CAGGTTCTCCCTCGTTTGGTGAAAGAGATGGCTTGTCTTGCGCCTTTCGTTTCTCTTCTGCGTATTTCCTTATGTCCTTTAGGAGCCATTTCCTTTTGAGGTATGCTCGTAGTCGGACACCAAACGTTCCGCTATGGTCGCGGAGTCCTACATCTTCCGATAGTCTTCGGAGATGTTCTAGGCGCTGTTTTTCGCGCTCATTGATGCGTGGTTTGTGCCGTGGCTCCACGTCTGATAACCGCCTACTGTATGGCGGTTCTTCCCTTGCCCTGGTGAACCCATATGGTTGCTGGCATTTCTGGGGGCACCGATCAAAGTGCACTTCACGTCGCCTCCATTCGATGGAGGGATCGTGGTATTTCAACCAATCTGTTCCCAGGATAAGGTCGTCTTTCCCTAGATTGGAGATAAACATCTGGACGCGCTCGGTATGCGTTCGTCCACTGATGTCCCGAATGGTGAGGTTCACATCCAAGGCGGATCGGATGAGACCTGCTTTGTTAATGGTGTCATCGACATTCCGGACGCGAATGGGGTTATTGAGTGTATAGGTGGGGAAACGATGTCTCTTGACCCAAGTTTCGTTTACTATAACCCCTTCGCAGGCCGAGTCGATGGTTGCTTTTGCTCCAGCGTTTTGACTCCTGTTTGATACTTTCACGTTCAGGCGTATGGGGGTGATGATACGGTCGTTCATTGCTCCGATACGAATACAAGTGCGGGCATCAAACTCGGGTCGTCCTTGACCTCTCTCCTTCGCTGGTGAGGGAGAGGTCAGGAAAAACGCTCCGCGTGTCCCAAGATTACTTCTCTTGCTTCATCTTCCCCTAATTCTCCGAGTACTGCTCTGATTCGAGCAGAATGACTGACGCTTCCGTCTCCCCGTCGTCCGTTAGGTAACATAGCGCGTTGCCCATGGTTCGTTTGGGGTCGTCCGGATGAGGTAGAGTGAGGACGTTCCATCGAAGGACCAGGTTGTGGTACCCGCTGGTCGTTGCGAGGGACATCCTCTGTCTCCATTCCTCGATATATTCCCGCTTGGTTTCCCATAGCGGGTGTGTCGTCTTCTCCTTCCAAATCAACTGCGCGGTTTCCTCTCCCTGTCGTACCCAAGCGTCTTTTCGAGTTTCCTCGAACTGGTGGAACGCCTCTACGAGCGGATCGGCAGTCAGCGCTATAATGTCCTCTGCGCCCGCAGTTATAACATTTTGGTTGCTTGCCGTCAAACTTTCTCTTTTGACTTTCGGCATTACGCTTCCTGGTGGCGTCGATGTCCATGTCTACCACCTGGTTATTCATTCTGCGAGGGGCGTTTGTGGAATTGTAGCGAGGGGAGATTTGGTTATGAAAACGATTCAGATAATCGCTTCGAAAGGAGGTGGAGTTGGCGAGGATGGCTTTTTGAGCTGTTCTGGCTCGCAGTCGTCCATCTATTTCGCAGGCTGTATTGATCCAGTCTTGAATAGTATCCTTTGGCTGAACTTCCTTGTCATATATTTTGTCCATGACGCGCGGGTCTAACCCGCGTTGGAAGTAAGGGACCTGCTCTTTATCGGAGATATCGGCATCGGCGGCGATGAGAATGAATTGGTTGGAGTATTCATCAACCGTCATTCGTCCTTGGGAGAAGGCCATGAGTGCGCTTCGCGCTTTGTCGGTTTTGCCCGTCTCCCTAAACTGTAGCTTGAACTTTGCTAGGAAGTCCTTCCAGGTGCCTAGATCGGTGGGAGGGTCCGCTCCTACTGATTTTAGGAGAAAGTTCTCCGCCCAAGCTCCTGCCGTGCCATATCTCATGCATGAGAGCACAAGGGATATTTTGTCTTGATCGGTCTTGTACCGATCGGATTCTGCTGCGAAAAGAAGGAGGCATTGGAGCATGAATTTCTGGGATTCAATGCGGTCGCCTGTGTAGTTGTCTGGGAGTTTGACTTTTCCTCTTCCGGGTTGTACTGTCGCGGAGGGGGTGTTTGTAGAAGTCGAAGCTTGTCCCGACATTTCGGCGAGTGGTTCGTTTCGGGTGTTGATCGGTGTTTGGTCTGGTGAGTCGGAGTCTGATTCCGAGGTTGTTTCCTCTTGCTCCGAGTCTTCGGGGATTACCGGCGCCGGTTCCCTGTATTGTGGGGCTAGTTCCCACTGAGCTTCTGTTTCGTTCCAAATATCCTCTTCTTCTGTTCCGTCTTCAAGGGTGAAGTAATAACGCCCGTTTCGGTATGAGCAGTTATCGTAATTCGGAGGGGCAGTTCCGTTATTGTCTTCGTAGACCCAGAAGTCCCCTTCGCGCCGGATAGGGCGATTGTTGTGACGGAGTTGGTTATTGATACGTCTAGTGCCGGGTGGGTATTCCTGGCCTAGGTCTTGCTCCAGAGTGTGTGCAGTAACGCTTTCTCAATGGGGGTCTATATCCCCACTGAGCAAGGTTATGAGAGAGAGTGTGGCAGCAAGCTAGTGCGAGCAAGGTAGGGGCAGAAGAGTCTATTCTAGTGTTACGACTGCTCGTCGGTAACCCCGAGAGTAGGAGGTTCTTCCCTAGGTCACTCGTGGAGGATGTGTGGAACGGTGGTCTCGACTGTACGTGTAGCACAGGAGCCAACAGTGTATTGCGATGTAGCAATGAAAGTAGACAGTACGAAGACTGCCTAAGAATGAAGGAGTACTGTAGGAAGACAGTACTGAACGAAGAGAATAGACTGAAGATCGTCAGCCTATTCTATGGGCCTTTTATACTACTTTGGGAAGTAGGGCGTGAGAATACCGAATATGTATCTGTAGGTATTCTCTAAGTCGTCTCCCTCAATAACGACTACTCTTGTGCTTCTCCGTTGGTCTCCTTCCGGCCAGGAAAGACTAGGAGGTTCATGCCCTGCGTGTGAGTAATTTATAAGGCGGCGTTCCATGCCCGCTAATACATAGGCCCATGATACTCGACCAATGATTGATGATCCATTGGGAGTGGATGACCAAGGTTAATATCTGTACCTTGGTGTACGCCTCAACCTGTGAGGCCGCGTGATATTTGTGATGATCGTATCGGAATAGACCGCCGTGTAGGCCCGATAGAACGTGATCATAACAACCGCCGTGCTAACAAATTTACAGGAGACTGTGGGCATGGAGGACCCAAAGCATATGGACATGCCAGAGCAGCCGGCGTTAACAAGTGGATATGCAATGTGTGTCGACATCGACTCAGATTTGGCTGCTGAGGACTCCTTGGAGGAGTGATCCGTGAGCTTTCTTCCTGATCTTCTTCTTGTAGTTTGTGCTTACATGTTTCTTCTTTTGCAAAGGCCACAGTGCCCCTCACATCTCCAGGGCCCAATCACCGCCTTCACAGCTGAATAGTCAGCTTCACCAATTGGATCCAGAGACACCTGGCTGCCCATACAATGAAGCATTGCTTTGGCGTGGAGGAAATTAGCTGCAGGGGCTTGAGACAAGGTCTACGAGGAGCTATGTATAATATACTACTATATTCCGCAAATTGCCCAAAAAATACTGATTATATTGATCTATCCAATACTTTTTGAAAGCATTTTGAGAGTTTCCGAGAGCACAGCTGCATTCATTATGACATTAGGCTTATATCAAGGTAGCTACTATAGGCAAGTCACCGGAAAGACAAGAATTTTTAGGCCTTTTCACTTGGTCTTACAGCTTATTTTGACGTCTTTCAGCTTATGCTCCATCTTGATGATATAGACCTGTTGTCCACAAGACAGCTTCTCATCATTTTTCATGTCTTATACTGTCTTATCTCACTTATTGAGCCATATAAGACAGAAAAGACAACTTGTGTATTTCCTGATATGCAACAGGCTCGTGATACTTGACCAGCAATGGATAGTCCATTAGGAGTGGATGACCAAAAATATTATCTGTACTTTCATGTATGCCTCAGGATGTGAGGCCACCTGATAGTTGTAATGATTGTATTGGCATATGTTGGAGTTTACGAGGCCGACTAATAGAAGTGCGAGCAAACGAATGACTCAGTGCGTGTAGACAACGACTGATATATATAACAAGTACCTAATAGAAGCGCGAGCAAACAAATGACTACGGTAAGTCAGTAAAGGATCTACAAAAGTATGAACAATATAGTAGCTCACCTCAGTGCATGTAGACAACAACTGAGGTGCTCGATAATGACGAACGTATGGTAACGATAGTGTGTTCAGAGTGTGAATAGGAACTGTATAGTACCAAGGCATCAACTCCGCAAGGTAACATGTCCAAGTAAGTCCATGAAAGGAAACTGGTAGCATATTATGTAATAGTCCGTTCGAAGTCAAAACATACCACTGTGCCTTCGTGCACGTTTGTTGCTGCAGTAAATCTCAACAGCATAGACTGCCATAAAGGCCCAATAAGTTGTGATCATAACACCACCCTTCCTCTATGAGCAACTTAGGAAAGAACCTCCTACTCTTGGGGTTACCAAACAAGCAGTTTATAACAATATCTCCTACCCCAGTGGTACCTCAAGAAGCATCAGCCCTCCAAGCTGCAGCCTTGACAAGACCTCGTGCACCAGCACTGGCAGAACCTCTAGTCTACCCATTTGCCAACATCCCCAATGCTACTTATGCACCGCCTCATGATTGCAACATCAGGGCACTACCTAATGGTCCTGCAATTAAGAAAGATGGTCCAGCATATAAGACAATGGCACCTATCTATAATGAGAAGATTGGGGTCTCTAACCAGGCCATGTCAACATAGGTGACACTTACTCAGTGTAAACTCCTCTCGCTCGCCCCGGAGGTAAGATCTTAAGTTTGTGAGGCAACATTGGCAAGGAGGACACCTCTCAAGGACCCAAATCAAGTCAGGATGTTGTACCAAGATGCAGAACCCTCCTACATGATCAATGACCTTGACCCACCGACATTGACAGTCTCCTCCTTTGCTCATATAATCCACCAACCAGAGACACCTCCGCCAGGATCTCTCGTGGTGCCCGATTGTTACGAACAATATCTCAGCTCGCTCTCACCCAGTCAGATTCCCCAACCACTCGTTGTCACTAAAGAATCCCCTGCTTTAAGGTCAATCATACCCCTTGTCAACCACCAGCAACTTGTTGAGTCCATCATCAACCCAGGCTCACAAGTCATAGCAATGTCGGACAGTATCTGCAACAAGCTTGCCCTCATCTACGATCCAGAGGTCATCCTCAATATGCAATCAACTAACGGAGAGATTGACAAATCCCTCGGTCTCGCGCGTAACGTCAGGTGCGAGTGTATCCAGCTTGAAGACATTGGCTCGCCAGAGGGCTCGAAACTGAATTCCCCCACATGAATGAACAAAAACGATGAACAAAAACGTCCCTGTCATGCGGAAGCACAACTACGATGCAAGAGTAGTGTAATAGATATAGAAAACTTCAAGAATGAAACACAGCATCTGCACATGGACTACATAATTCTGACTTCAAAGGACGTCCACCATGTGAGCTCACGACTGAAGGGGTGCCGCATACCCTCGTCCCCTCCCTCGCACACCTCTCGACATTGGAGCAAAGCCCCCACGTCCTCTGAAAAAGCCGCCTCTCGGGACATAGCCGCCTCTCGGGTGCATTCCGTTGGCGGTGCCGCGCGGCGGGACCTGCGGCGGGACCTGCGGCGTGCGATTTTGTTGAGGAGAATCAGGTGCAGCGTCGCCAGCCGGGGCATGCGGCGCTCCGTTGACTGGATGGCCGCCACGCCCGTTGACATACGCACCGCGCCCCCGGTTGGGGTTCGTCATGATATGGACAGGGCTGAGGAGCACGCGTGAGAATACGGTCAACATACTCTGTAAGGCCATACGTACTGCTCAGTCTGAAGAGCAGGGGGCCGGAAGCCGCCGTTGCTCTGCTGGCCGGGTGCTGGACGCGGAACAGAATGCGGCCCAGGTCGCGGAGCGAACGATGAGTGGACGTCTGCAGGCGGTGGCGCTTTGGGATTGACAGACGTGATGAATTGGGGGTTCGTCAGATTCAAGCATGTATTGAATTCCACAGTGGAGCCTCGGTACTGCGTGCACCTATCCGCCGATGAGTCCGGTTCGCTCGACCCTGGCTAAACGCTGAACGCTCACCGGTTGCTCAGCGTCGTGCCTGACATGAAGGGGTGATCCCAAACGACGTCCATGTTCTTTTCGTTCAGCCCGATCACGACGCCTTTAACGGCGAGCGGGACACCGCCGGAATCTTGCACCATCGTCACTCTGTCCCCGATAGCAAAGTGTTGGTTTTGGAGGCGGTATACGGCGTGTGCAGGTTTGAGAACGGCCTGCCGAGGGATGCCTTTCACGATGGCCTTCTTGAAAGTCGCGGACCGGTTTTGGTTGAATGTATTCGCAAGTTTCTCAATCTCTTCCACCGTCGACTGCGAAAGGATCAATTAGGTCAATTAAGTCATAGCCCGAATCGGATTCAACGATAGCTACCTTTCCAAGCTGGTCGCAATCCAAAGAAACAGGTTCAAAGTCACGCACACCCTTCGATGCCAGCCACGTCCTGACCGATTTGGCCCGAGCATCTGGATCAGCTTCTTTCGAAAACATTTTCTCCGCCTTGACCATGTCTTTAGAGGTACCTCGTCAAAAAGTAACCCCAGACGAAGGCATCATAACTTACCATCACCATTGCGATCGAGACCTAAGAAGACTTCCGGGAATTTTGCCTGGAAACTGGGATGATCATCTGGGATGATCTTCTGACTGATCCAATCTCACCTTGTACTCCTGGAGCAAATCCACAGCCTTGTCACTAAACTCCCAAACTTTACGGTCTTTCCAGTGTCCGCCCCCGCCCCCGCCACTCTTCCGCGAGTAATCAAGCACTTTCATACCTTTACCCTCAAACTTCAAACTCAGTCCGAGGTTCACCTTCTGATTGTCCGAAGTGAGGACCATGAAGCTCGATGTGATTCGAGACAATGCACGACCCGAGACCCCAATCTTCTCTGCGACCTGGAAAGACGGATAGTAAGGCATGTGGGAACGATTTGTCACGACCTCTTTGAATTTCTCGTTTTCCGTTTTGTCGGTTGGGGAGAACTACTGCAGCGTTCAGGCATGGCCAAAGACTATGATTGTGACGTGTGCTTACAACGAGGATGACAGACAATGCGTCTTCCGTGGTGGCAGATACCTGGGCTGCGACACCGTACGCGTGCTCTCCGAGGAAGAAGATCTTGCTCTTCTCTGGGAACTCCTCGGACAGAGGTGGTGCCTTTCTCTCTAAGAAACGAGGGTCCTCGGAGACAACGTCAGAGACAGTCAGCTGCACAGCCTGTTCGACCTCTTTCCTATAGTCTTCATAGTCCTTGACCAAGGCTCCACTCTCCAAGCGCTTGAGACCTATGTAAATGTCAACGATATCAGGAGGGAGGCGATGATCGAACGAGACCGACCTTTGAGGGGGCGGACATGCAACAAGATATCAATATCGCCGGGGATTACGCCGCACTTCTTAGAGTAGACATATGTGATCCTCTCGGCCTTGCTCTTCCACATAGCTAATCCCTGCTGCGAGTGCGGATTTCCCACCACCTTTTGCGGACCTCCCTGCACGATGGACATCTTTTCATACTTGAACAAGGAATTCGACACTGCAGCCACCATCCCCTCTTGCAAAAACGGCCATCCGATGAACGTCTTTTTGCCAATGAGCTCGCGCGCGATGTCCTCGGACTTCTTACCCTCGAACGTGTTCTCAATATGGATGACCATAGATTTATTGCGGCTTTCTGACCCGTGCACATTCACGCCGTGATGGCCAAGCATGGCAGTGTGAGGGAGGGTTTTGAGAGAAGGAAATCCGGCCAAGGCTTCCGTGCCGAGGAAGACGCCATCACACAAACCTTGTACAAGATGCAGGCCGTCGAGAGTCGGCAAATCGAAGGGTTCCATGATGCATGTACAGCGGTAAATCGGAGGAAAGAAGCCTGGAAGAGACGAGGGATAGGTAACCGGCTCGCCTGGATTATGTTTGAACTGGTAGCTTGTTCCGTAGCTGTTTCGTTGCTGCTCCTCTCTTGTCAAACGGTGCTCTCGTGCTGTATGAGCAATTTGAGTGATGAACCGTGAAAAGCGCATGTGGAAAAGACTTACAGGCCATCGCGCGAAGCAGTCGCTCCTGGTCAATGAAAGGAATTTTCACCACTGCTTCCCACTCCTGCTTCTTGCCGTTCAAATCTTGCTCAAACTCTTGTGGGTAGAAATCCAAGATCGGAGACTCAGAGTTGGACATCAAATCCTGGGAGAAAACATAAATGACTGGACGATTTATTCAGTCGATTGTCTCACTTGAAATGCCGTCGGGATAAGCTCCTTGCTTGCCTCGGGTAAGACACCCATCAGCTGTTCGAAAGGTCGGAATGGCTTGCCGAGTTCAAAGGTGAACGACATTTTATCGACACCCTTCAAATCTTGAAGCAACTCATTAGTTCTGAAAGAGGCATTGTGTGGGGTTCCTCACCAGACACTCGAGGTGCGTAGTGGTAGTCATAGAACCAACTCCACGATGCGACACCGCTGTAATAATAATACATAACCCACTGTAGGCCCTCTACGTAGCGATGCACGAGTGCCCCGATCTGCTCAGGATCATGGAAGTCTATTTCCAACTTGCTCTACGAGGAAGTCAGCCAGCTGTCAACATGACGAGCAGAAAAGCACACTTGCCACGTAATATCCCTTCTTCCACTCGTCCATTTTCGCCTTGACCGATCGATCGTGTCGGGTATCAAAATCACCATCCTCCTCGTCGTTCGAGACCTTCGCTTTCGCATACTTCTTCAACACCCTGTCAACGGCTTCCGTCGCCTCTTCATCCTCCTCACTTTCCCACTCTTCGTCATTCTCGTCTCCCGCGTCATCGGTAGGCAGTGGAGGCTCCAGCGCCCCAGGGAACCGGAATGTAACGAGGTTCTGATCATTTTCGTCGTACTCATCCCACGTGAGCTCCAGGTGCAAATCATTCGCGAGGTCGGTGATAAAAGTCCTGTCACGCGCTGGGAAAGTATTCGGCATGTCGAGCCGGGCATTGCGTAGTTGCGCTGGTGAGTGCAGGCCTCGATGCTCCAAGACGAATGCTTTGACACTATCGAAGATAGATCGCTGTGAAGGAGTCAAGACTGCCCAACCCATGAGCAGGATATATATTAACAATATATCCACACTCACCAAGCTTCGACTTGTTTCGCGTATGCTCCAACTCCTTGGCATTCTTGGATTGTTTCCCTTTGTACCAATTCAAATCCGCATACTCCTTCTCGAAAACCTCTTGCTCCCATTGAGCCATCTCGTCCAGGATGACTTGTAGCCTCTTGGTATCGATCAAACCGCTGTCGTTCAAGTACCCACCTATATGATGGTCAATATAAGTCCCTGTACAGAGTATAAACATCTGGAAAGGTACCTAACGAAGGCAGAACCTTCATATATACGTCAAATAGTCTCTCCAAACCATTCTCGTGGATGTGTAGATCCGGGAGATGTGGAAGAAAATCATTCCCGATGAAGACAGCGAGCAGGATAAAGTCGTCGATCACTCGTTCGAGATTGTATTCGAAAGGTAGCTCGTTCGCTATATCCCTGAATTCCAGATCTAAATACTCTCGCATCAACGAGAGGTGGAGTAAGTAGAAATTGATAGTGTCCAGCCTGCATTTTATTCAGTTTAGGGTGAATGACGCTCAGGCAAACACATACCCTCCATTTCCTTTCCTCCTCGCCGCCGGGCCAAACTTCACCTCCTCACGCAACAAACAGAAATGTGGGTCGTGACTCAGCAAACCCAACATGATCAAGTCCGCATCCAGCCCATACAAGCAATGCCGCACGTTGGGGTTGTATTCCGGTTGCGCCTTGGACAACCGGATGTACTCCATAATCTTGTGCTCCCCTTCACCAGGCACTTCGTGTCCAGACAATACGACCTGGATATCCCGCCAATTCGAATCCTCACTAATCTTTTTGTTCACAAAATAGCGGAGTTGCTCGGAGAGCTTCGCCATGAACATCGTCCCTATAGTCAACAGAAGTGAATAGAGGCACCACCAAGTTAACAAGGGATCTAGATGCGTGAACAATGACGGAAGAGGACTGACCCGGAGTGATACAATTGCTATCGAACGCCTTCTCGTCTGGGAGTTTCTCTCCCTTGCTCAACGCCTTCTCCCTGACCTCCTTGGCCTCCTTCGCAGTCCTGAATCGCCGACTCCGCTGTTGATTCATCTTTGCGCGAGGCGCAACACCATCCACAGCCATGAAGAAGAGTTTTTTGGGTTTTATCTTCCCGAAAAGATGATCCACATAGGCGAATATAGACGTAAATATCTGCTCCTCTGATAGTCGGAAATGCGCGTCATCGTCGTTCGGATGTGAGCCTGTCCGATGTGTGGGAACGTGTGCAAATGGTGTGGGTAGATGACGACTTACATGAATGAATAATGCCGTTGAAATCAAGATACAAATTATCTTCCCAAGCCAATGAAGATCAGCGGACCGTCAATCGACAGTGGGTGGAAAGTGGCGCATACCGAACTCGGGAATCTTGTTCTCCTCGATAATTTGGGACGTGAGCGGGTAACGCTCCCTATGAGACAGCGTGAATGCCGACATGCCGACTAAATTCAGGATGTCACTCACGAGATGTATCTGAAGAACTGGAGGGAAGGACACTGTTAGGGCCGTCCCACAACTGCCAACATGGACTGACCTTGGGGATACCTAAGGAGAGCCCAAAAGCAACAGTAAGCACGAAAATGGCATTAACGATGGACTTGAGGACACTAACCCATGTTGATATATATATATACTGCTTCTACTGTTAAGAAATGTCTCACAGAACAGGAGTCGGAGGACGGTGCAAGTCGTTGGTGGCAGCAATGCGGCCTTCCGGAGGCGCTGAGTCGTAAGAGGCTCGTGATCCTAGATCTCGTGCCTTGCGCATCATGTTTGGTGGCGGTCAGATCCGTTCACCTTGCACCTCTTGCACACATTCTCGCTCTCCAGCATCCCTTCATCCTGCAAGCACCAAGGCCGTTCAGAACCTCCAACGGAACGCTGCCATGCTACGGTGATTGTCACCGATATCCCCGGAGGCTCTCCAGTCACGAGAGGAACGAGAGGATAGATTCAAACTATCCGAATCCAGGGCACAAAGGCGTCGCATGGTATCGCTTTGGCGCGTATGCATCTTTCGAGTTCATGCGCACCCTTGCGCACCTCGACGGTATTTACATATGCTTGCTCAGACAATTGTGCACAATTACAAAAATATATCCAGGGTGTCCATGTCGATACCCGTCCTCGGACCCCCTCTCACGCTCGTTGCGCTCTAACCAACGTCAAAATTGCTCATATCGCTGTTGCCCTGTCTAGGCCCTATCGCTCTCAGGTGCCTTAATATGCGCTGCTTTCTATTGCCCTTACTGCTCAAGTCGACACAGTGTCGACACGCATTGTTTGCAAGCACATCATTGCCTCAAAACCCACGGCCGGTGGCTAACTCGATCGAAAGGCACGCCAGATAACGTTCCTCATATCGCTTCCACATCATCTCAGTATGCACCTCCCACTATCAAACTCCACTGTTTTTGGCTATTGCTAGCCATTTACTCCAGCTGACATTGCAGCAGTGTATCGCTCATGGTGTACGGCATCAATGCCTTGCCCTCTCTTACTCATGTAGCGCTCAAGGACCCATGCCAATCGTCTGGGAGAAAGTCTGGCTGTATCTGGTATCCTCGACGTACATAACGCACGTGATCATTGTCGCAATCCATCCTTCTCTTTGCGCAAGGTCTCGTGTGTATGAGCAGCAAAATATCGTTTTCAGATGATGTATATAAGAGTATCGAAGATACTGTGTTCTTTCCCTATTCAGCATTGGTGCAGCAGCAGCCCTACCCATTCTTCATTCTCCAGTCATGGCCCCCGTCGCAACGAGCGAACACACCGAGGTCGCTTCCAACTCTGAGAAGGTGTTCAACCCCTTCTACTCGCCATCCATCGGAGATGACGGCAATGACTCGTACAAGTGGTCTCAATACAAGGTGCGCTCGCATACCTTTTCTCAGCACGTCCGCGGTCTGACAGGCCGTGCTGTCAGCCCCACTTCCCAAATGTCTCCTGGGCGCCTCTGCAAGAAGTAAAGGTCGTCGAGCGCGGGCTGCATGCCGACTCCGCAAAGCGAGGCCTTCTTTCGGCGGCCTCAAAAGTCGTCCACTTGACGCCTGCCATTGGGACGGAGCTCCACGGCATCGACTTGCGCCAGCTGTCAGGTTCGCAGAAGGATGAGCTGTGAGTATCTGGTTCTGTCGAGCGTCTTGACATGCTGAATGCCGCCCAGTGCCCTGCTTATCGCAGAACGAGGCGTCGTTTGTACGTACCCTTCAAGGTTGAGTCAGGACCATGCCTGATTCTTGTGTATAGTCTTGCGCGATCAAGAAATCAACATTCACGAACAACTCGACCTGGCCCGTCACTATGGACCTTTGCACAAGCACGCAACCACCCCCGTCCCCAAAGAACCAGGACTCGAGGAAGTGCACGGTAAATCCCACACGCCTATACTCTCTATCAGCTCTCATCCGCATTTCAGTCGTCTACAACGATGGCTCTCGCCGCCCCGATCCCTCTGCCTTCACCAAGCTCGAGCTCTGGCACTCCGACGTCTCGTACGAGATCCAGCCACCAAGCACCACGTCCCTCAAGATCTACACCGGGCCCGAATACGGCGGTGACACGCTCTGGAGTTCCGGCTACGCGGTGTATTCGTCGCTCAGCCAAGGGTTCCAGAAGTACCTTGAGGGCCTCACCGCCGTGCACAGCGCAGTCGCACAAGCGGACGGCGCGCGCGCAGCGGGCCTGCCTGTCCGCCGCGAGCCCGTCGAGTCGGTGCATCCCGTCGTGCGCGTCCACCCTGCAACGGGCTGGAAGAGCGTATACGTCAACCCAGGTGCGTATCTGCCCATCACGCTGCTGGAGAAGCTCGAATTGAGTAAACTCGATATACTAATCTATTTTTGCCAGGTTTTACGCGCCGCATCGTCGGCGTGCCGAAGGGGGAGTCGGATGCCATCCTCTCGTTCCTCTTCCATCAGCTCAGCGAGAACCCGGACTTCCAAGTGCGGTTCAAGTGGACGCCGAACGCCATCGCCATCTGGGATAACAGGGTGAGTAGCGCTCGGACTCGCTCCTTCTCGTGCCCGCTGACATCATCGGACGACGACTGGTAGGTCGTGACTCACAGCGCGACGTTCGACTTCTGGCCTTCGACGCGCCACGCCCTGCGCGCGACGCCTCACGGCGAGCGCCCTATCTCGGTTGCCGAGTACGAGCGCGATGGGAAGGTCGCGAAGGATCGCCAATTGGAAATATGGCACCAGCAAGGCGTCGAAGTTCCTCAGCCGAAGGAAGAAAGTTCGCGCGCGCGCGGCTACAACGATTGAGTGGACCCATGTGGACTCCATGTCCGCGACGGAGATTCCCAGCTCTCGCCAGGTGCCAAAAAAACCAAAGATGTACTTCGTATCCACTTCACGCATCCTTGTACACTTTCTCTCCAGTCAACATGTACTTCCTAAGTATGTAGTACCACATTTATTATCTCCAACTACTAGCCACGCGCCCACTCGAAGTCCTGGTCCCAGCAGCACAAGAAACGCCGAGATGCACATGATTGAGTGTGCCAAACAAGTGCCAGAACAGCGCGAGAGACGTATTGAAAATGTAAGATGGAGGCCCTCGCAGGTTCTCGTGAAGCCGTGGTGTAGTGCAGGTGTGCTCGTGGATCTCCTTCGAGCGTTAAGTGGGGCTATGCCGATCGACGGCGCTCTCTGGGCTTCTTCGCTCGATGATATCTATTGGGCTGCATCTCTCCAAGAACAGACTCCCAGAAAACGGCCGCAATCGACGACGAACCAACCCCTCACAAGAGTCAAGACCCGAGCCCACCCAGCTCCCTCAAGCTCCAAAGTCCTTTCTAATAGTACTATAAGCCCGGTCGCCGCCTCGACCTGGCCTTCAGGACACGATGGCTCCCGACCGATGAGTAGAGCAGGGAGAGCCTGATCTCCCGACACCCGCACGCGGTGTGGAAGATCGCCCAGCGCGGAGCCGACGAGCACTCTGCCGCTTCCCAGGCTCCCCGCTCCAGCCCGCTCCCCGCTTCTCTAGGGCTTCCCGACCCTCTCCCCTCCTTCTCTTCCCTCTGCTACTGTACCAGTACTATACCCCGCCCCAGCCTTCCCCAGCCTTCTCCCTATTCGGATCACACACGCTCGGACCTACGGACTCTCGCTCGGCAGACGGACAATCTCGCTCTCGTCACGCGTCGCGGGTGGATCACAGCCAGTCCCTGGTGCCTGTCCAGCCTGTCCCGTCCGTCCCCTACAGCAGCTTGCACTCAGAGAGCCAGAGTGAGCCTCGCGAGGCTCCCAGATGTTCCCAGACGTTCCCAGACGCTCCCAGACGCTCCCAGGCACTCCCACGCCCCAGCCCCAGCCCCATCCGCATCCTCCGCCCTCGGCCGACCGCGCCGCGATGAGGAGCAACCGTGGCGCACCGTGGCGCCGCGCCGCGCCCAATGGCTCGCGCATTTCTGCAATGAGAAAGCACGCAGCAAGACCACAGCAAGCAAGCAGACGAGCACCCCGACGTGGCCATCCGACTACTATTCGACTACTATTCGCCGCAAGTGGCGTAGCCGCCCGATCGAATGATGAACGATCCCGCCACGAGGAGCCCCAGGGAGCCCCACATCTCAATCTGCACGCAGTATCTGCACCCCATCGCATCAGTATCGCATCTCATCTCATCTCATCGCATCTCATCGCATCTCATCGCATCTCATCTCATCTGGAACGGCGCCCTCTCGTCTCGGGCAGTTCTCGGGCCCAAGATTCCCCATCTCGCTCCACATCACCCCGATACACAATGATGGCCCCACATTCACTGACTCAAGTTCCATACATACATACATACATACCTGCCTCCTGTACAAGCACTTCCTGACCCACACGCCTTCTTTCCTTAATACTTACGCATTCGCCCGCCTGCACACGCACCTGCTTGGGCACTCAACCGAGACCGCCACGAAAGAGTCAAAGAATAGGGCACCACAGAGCGTAATATTCAATCGGCCGACCGAGGACAAACAAACAGAAAAATACACAGAAACGTGCGAGAAATATATGTGTAGAAGAAAAAGACGAACAAAAATATCGAGTCCGCCGGCATTGAATACGTTTTGTAGATTGGCGATCGCCTGAGCACGCACGCACACCCTGCTTCCAGCCTCAACGGCTTCGGCTTCGGCTGGTACAACTGCTATCTAAGTTACTTGTGTATTGCAAAACGGCGACTGGATGCATGGAGTGGGCGGAGCCGGAGACGGAGCCGCCCAACAAACAAATAAAAAGTGAAAAGAGAGAAAAGAATATTATAAAATGAGCTCGGGACACCCAGAATACTTGGACCCACATCCGCATTGCAGACCTCAATGCGGCGATCCCCGCCCGTGCGCGTGCGCGTGCGACGTCCGCATGAACGACTCGTACCCGCGCCCGCTCCCACTCGCGCCCGGCCCGACGCTCCCCCCTCCGGGCCCGACGCTCGCACCCGCGCCCTGCCCAGGGCTCGGCCCCGCGACCCCGTGGGATGCCCACGGTGGCGGCGGCGGCGGCGCCATGCTCTCCGCCTGCGCCGCCTGATGCTGCTGGTGCGCGTGCTGCGCGTGCTGCTGCTGGTGCGGATGCTGCTGATACTGAGTATGCTGCTGATGCGGCTGGTGCGCCAGCGCAGAACCCGGTGGCGGCGGAGGCGGCATCATCTGCCCGTGGTGCGGGTGGTGCGGATGCGGGTGCGGGTGTTGCTGGTGCGACAGCTGTGAGCCTCCACTCCCGCTGGCAGGTGGCATGCCATGGTAAATCGGCTTTGACGCCGCCGCCGTCGGCGTGGGCGGCTGCGACCGCGCCTGCTGGCTCTGCGACGATCCCTGCGCCTGGCCCTGAGACGACGGTCCACCCATGCCCGAGCCCGGTCGTTTCGGCGAGCCCGAGCTACTGCTGCCACTGCCAAGATGTCCCCCGGGTGCTAGGGTCGTTGTCGGTAGCGGGAGAGGCAGGGACGGTGCAGACGGCGGGGGCATGCTCTGACCCGAGACCTCTGCCAGACGCGTAGACGCGCGCAGCGTTTCGAGATCGATCCGCGCAGGCTTGCCGTCTGACGCCTTGTCGCGCTTGCGCATCAACTTTGCGTAGTCTGCGAAAAAAAGAAGAGGGAAAGGCGCCGGCACGCGATCCAAATGAGCATGCCATCCATCAGAGCGAAAGACCTTGGGGTAGGGCACTCACGCAAGCCACACGCGTTGCACAGCGTCCGGGCGCCATCAGGTCCCCGGCGCCACTCTGGCGTCTCCCGAATATTACATGAATGACATTTTCCTGGCGGTGTCGCGCGCTGTGCACACCGTTACCGCAACATGAACCGTCCAATCGCCCCAGAAACGTCCGTTCGCCGCCACCGATCGAAAATCCATTCAAGTGTCCCGCGGCGCATTGTCCGATCCGAGACGGAAGAAGCAGGCGCGCGAGCGAGAAGCGAGCGGGACAAGGATGTGGGGATAAGGAGCACGATGCGTAATACGAAAAAATCAGCAACAAGGTCAGATACGCCGGCACAACGCGCAGATCGCAGGACAGGACGGGACTCACGCTTCGCTTTCTGTACTTGCTCTTCGGCTGCCCTGGCCCTCCGTTCTGGCCGGACGTCGTCGCGCGCTTCGTCCGGATCAGCTCCATGTCTGCCTCAGCCGTTTGCTGCGCCTAGGAAAAGACGGCTGTCAGAACACCCTGTCGAACGCGCTTCTCGCTCGTGGCGAGAGAGGGGCCGTGGGCCTCGAAGTCTGAGCCACTCACCGCAGCCAAAGCGGACGCATCCGGTGACGTCGCGCTGTCCGACATATCCTCCCAGGGCCTCTTGGGCGGCCTGTGATCTTCACTCTGCTGCCCCTGCCCCTGTCTCTGTTGATGTTGTTGTTGTTCCGCAACGGAAGATGCGGCGACGGAAGCCTCGCCCGCCTCGCTCGCGGTCTCGTCCTCCGGCGATATCGTTAGCCGACGGAGATCCTCGAGTAGCCGGACGACTTGGTTCGCGCGCTGGCCCATGTCCGCGAGCTCAGCGGCCGAGGGCTGGACGTGTGGCAGGCTCGCCTGGAGTTGCGCTAGAATCGGCGATTCGTTTGCGGTCGAAAATGAAATCAAGACGGATCAGAACATGTGGACGACGCGTGATGCACGCTAGGGACGGCCAACAGAAGACAAGACTCACCGTATTGGCTCGCAAACCCGCACAGGACGGAACAGTGCTCCATGATCTGCTAACAGATGAGACATGATATTTTGAGCATGCGGGACGAACAAAGAAATGATGCACGAAGAAGCCCGTATCTTGTCGATTTTGAAAAAAAAAAAAAAAGACAAGAGCACGAAAAAAAGACAATGGGGGAAAAGGGACGTCAAGACACACCTGCGTGAGCGTCTCCTGGCGCTGCGTCATCTTGGCGTTTATGTCATGGCGCGCATAGCTAGCGGCCCGGACATCCACCCCAGTCGGAAGCACGGGAGGGGACATCTTTCCGTAGGGCCCTGACGGGGGTACGTGCTGCGGCTGCAGGGGACCTTGGTGTGCGTGATGCGGGTGCTGCTGCTGCTGCTGCTGCTGATGGTGCAGGGGTGGGTGCTGGTGCTGGTGCCAGTGCTCCGCGGAGGGAGGGGGTGGCGGGTACGGATTGCCGTGGGGAGGAGGCTGCTGCGACGGAGGTGGCGGGAGCCTCTGCTGCACGTAATATGGCGAGTACCCTGGTGGCGGCGGTGGTGGCGCAAAGGACGAAGGGTGGTGCTGGAGCTGATCGTGTGATGGTGGGGGCTGGTTGAGGTACGGGGGAGGAGGCTGCTGGGCTGCATAGGAGGGGTGCTGGGGGTACGGTACCTGCGAGGCGTCGAAATGACGTGTCAGATGGAGCGTGGTGAGCGCGCTGGGGTGGCCTGCACGATGCGGGACCCCCGCGCGAGGCAAGAGCAGGGAGGGGGAATGGGGAAATGGACGCTTACGTGAGAGGACCTGGGCGAGACGCCAACGCCGGGACTGGAGCGCGGACGCTTGAGGGAGTGGGAGGCAGGATCGTCGCGGAGGGAGCCGGCGGGCACAGGAGGCGGAGGTTGCTGTGAGTGGGTGGGAGGGTAGGCGACCTCATGTCTGCTCGCGTGGTCGTGGGGGCCGGGTGCGGGGGAGGTGTGCTGCGAGGAGAGCATGTGGGTTGGGTGAGGGTGAGGGTGAGCGGAGCGGGGCCATTCGTGGCGAGCGTTGTGGTTGGGATTTGGGCCAGGGTGGTCAGGCTGGACGGGGCCCGACGGGGGCGGGGGAGCGGTGTCCTGCGCTGTGGATGAGAGCGGCGGGCGGTATTGAAAGTTGAGGTCTTTGAGGGAGGGGAGGCGAAAATCCGACTGCATCGTGGGATGGGAGTGGTGGGCGGAGGAGGCGTAGGCAGAGGCCATGGTCGTGGAATTTTGAGAGATCTGGGGCCAAGAAGGGGGACAAGATCAGAGTCGTATCTTGTAATTTGTATCGCCCGATGAATGCGGATCTTGAACACGAAATGTGCGCGAGACGTGCGCACGCAGAGCGAGGACGGTGCTCGGTGCGGATGCCACGGCTGCAGCGCGGAGGGGAGGACGGGAGGGGGTAGCTCGCTGGGAGAGACGGCGACGGGGGGCGGGGGCGGGGACGGGGAGGAGGAGGAGGCGAGGAGGCGAGGGACAGGAGCAAGAGAGAAGAAGAGGGCAGAAGAAGAGATGACAGCGTCGTCAATCTTGGAGCGGAGTCTGAATCTCCGTAGCTTAGCGGCTTCCCGGCTGAACGTTTAGCTTTGCGCGACGCCGACTCCGCCTCCGCCGTGCCGGGCGCGCAGAGGGTGAGTATATGCGTCGGGCTGTGCGTCGCTGCTGGGGGGCGTGGGGGGCGGGGGCGTCGGGGGAAGACGGGGCGGGGCGGGGTGGGGCGGGATAAGCGGGCGGGGAGGAGGGCGAATCTGGGAGTTGCCAGATCGGCGTTTCTGACACGCCAGATCCAGTGCGAAATCTCTCCCATCGGTGATCCGCAAGTCCGATACCCATTCAGTACGTAAACGAAGGGACCGGCCGTCCCCGATGCCCCACCCCGCCGGCGCACCCAGATGCGATGTCCCCTCCCACTCTCCCGCTCTTTCTCACCCCGTGTCTCCCCTCCTCTTTCCCCGACCCCGCCCTTCACTCGCCCCCGTCTTCCCACTCCCCTCCTTCCCCAGGGCACCGCGCCCCCACCGAACCTTATTCTCCCCCGCCCCATCTGCCCAGATCTCGCCCCAGCCCCCCGTCGCGACTCCACCGCACTTCCTTCCCTAATAGGCCCGGCCCCGGCCCCCTTCCACGCGCCGGCCAGGCGGTACCCGCCGACCCAATCTGGCCGGGCCCAGCGCCAACCCTCTGCATATCCGCGATTGGCGCCCGTCAGCGCCACCGTGACCTAGGAACAAGTACCGAACCACGGTCACCGTGCATCATTCTCCCAAATCCGGCGACTCCCTTCGTCTCCGTCCGTTCTCGCCCTCAAATAAAGACTCCATTATACCCGCGCCTTTTGAAAATACACGAGCGCCCGCCCGCAGCTGTCACGTCCCCGCTGCACGCACGCCTTCCCGCTTTCATCATGGTCTTTACCCCCGGCTGTCAACGCTTCGTCCGAGCCGAGCCCGCGCCAGACCCTCCCACACCCGCGCGCCCGGCCGCGGCCCTAATAAGCACAACGCACGCGCGCGCGCCATCCGTCATCCTAATAGCCTGGCAGGCAGTGCACACGAATGCAGCCCGCACCGCGCAACGCGACGCTCTTCCGCGCTTACGACCGCGACTACAACCGCTACCCGCATGGAACCACCGCGCCACCCGCCCTAGCCTTTAATGACCCCGAGCCCCGCCATGACACGACAGCCCTAAACAGGCCGTCTGCGGGCCTGCGGCGGGTCGCTCGCTCGCTCGCGCGCTGGCAGCGCCTCGTCCGACCGCTTCGCACGCGGCTCTACTTGAGCGCCCCAGCGCGCCGTCGGCACTGTCCCAAATGTAAGTGACATAGAACCCCAGGACGCGATCATGCGGTGCGAAATAACCGTCACATCGTTTCACACCCCAAATCTGTTCTTCTTTGATGTCCCACGTTTGGCAACGGCGAGCTGAAGCAAGCCAAAAAAAAAAAAAACTCGATACATAGCTCTAGCCATCAGCGGAACACATCCCGCTCTCAGACGCAGCAGCGCTTCTACAGCGCCAAACCACCCAGCCTCAAATCAGCGCACCGGCAAACAAACAAAAGCCAGAACAAAAAAGCTCGCAAACGCCCACAGTCGTCCACAGCACCCTTCGAACTCGCAAAGCCTCCTCCGCATCATACGGCTGAGCGTGCCGGCGCGAGCTGAATCGCAGAACGCGTGCCAGGAAGGCCCAGCGTCTCACCCCGCCGCGGTCCCCTGCGGCGCCCGCAGAACCCGCAGAAACCGCCGATCACGATCACCGCACGGCGTGCTGTGCCTTCCACTCCGACTCCTGAGGCCCAGCCAAGGGCACGAAACGGACCCAAAGCACGGCACAACACAGAATCCGCAGAGACCCACCGGCTCGACGCTGCGCCTGCTCTGGCACCGCAGCAAAGCCGCCACCTATCATCCTATTCTCGCTCGGCGGCCGACCGGCCAAATTCGCACAAGCGTCGATCAAAAACAGCACGCACATCCACCCGATCCCGCGCAAGGCAAGGAAAAACGGGGGGGACATCAAATTGACGAAACCAAGCAAACAAACCACCCGGTCGTCGTCTGCACGAATCCGGATCCGGAGCGAGCGGCCGCCAGGGAAGATCCTGTCGACCCGCATCCACGACGGACGGACGTGACGGCTGGACGGTGACTGGCCACAGGCGCGCTCGCCGATCCCTTCGTCGAATAGGTGTCAAGCATCCCTGACCTGGCCTGCTCTGGCCAGGCCGAATCCGAGCTGCACATGCCACATGCGCTTTGTGCTACACACCCCGAGCGTACGTTCGGCACACACATGCCCCGCCGCGGCGAACGGGCGCCTGTCCTGCCCTGCGCGCGGCCTCGCGACGTCATTCCTCCCCTCACGAGGGCCGCTTCGACGCGCACCCCACAAACGTGAGAGCCAATGACGAATTTTCCCAGCAGTCTGCATTGCTCGAGTCTCTACCCCCACAGCCCAGACGCCCCCTGAGCGCCCGTTCGCCCAAAGCCGCGCTCGCCCGCGCACGAACACCAGCTGCTCGCAGACGAGATAGATCGCCGAGTGCAGATGGCCGGGCGAGAACCGCCAGAAACGCGCAGACCGCTGATGCCCAGGATATGATGTTATGATGCACGACCGCGGTGGGATGGCGACGCGATGCTACGAGTATGAGTATGAGTATGTGCATGCGGGCTGAAGAATCGGCGAGCGAGGATCAGCAATCGAGTCGATACCCATCAAGGAGGATCAAGGGGATCGGGGCGAAGACTCGATAAGCGATTGGCGCCCGGCGCTCGAGCGCCTGGTACTGGATCCATCCAGATCCTGCATGCGTTACGCCCTGGAGCCCGATGTTCCCTCGAGGTCTGCCGAAAACAACCACAGATCTAGATCACCCGTGAGCGCTCTATCCCACGAGACCGACCCGCAAGACCAGGATAGAACGAACGTGTGAAGAACGCCGCGGCGCGCTCGGAGAAACCACCGATGGTTCAATTTGGGCAGCCTACAAGGCGCATATCAAAATGAACGACAGGCAAGGAGGCAGAGCGAGAGACGCCGCTCACATGTGTAAAAATACGATGGAACAGTGGTCCCGCGATTACCGAGGGCTGCGCTGTAGCGCCCGACGCTGCAAACTTCTGCGTCAAGCAGAGAAGATCAGATCCCACTTACAGCGAGAGTCTATTGATAGCGACGGCGGAGAGCGGCCATCAGGTGCGCGCGCATCCAAACGGCCGTGCGAAGCAGAAGAAGCAGTAGCATCGAGGGGCCCGACGCATCGTGGGCATGGCGCGTGACGAGGGCCGCGCCTCGAACCTAAGATAGGCGCGCGCGCCAGACACGGCGCCAAAAGCCACCGCCCACCATGCGTGATGCCGACACCACTAGGGCGCTAGGATCGGGACCCTGCGCGGACGCGGGCAGTGGCAGAGATTGGCACGGAGCACCTCGAGATCCTGCGGCGAGCTGGCAAGCTGGTCCGCCGACGCCGCCGATGCCTCGGCCTGCCGTCACCAAACCCCCGCACCAACCGCGCACGGGCTCCCACGCCCTCACCCGGCGAAAGCACGGCCAATCAACGACTCGACCTGTGCTGGGAAGAAGGCACCCGCGCGCCCCGTGTATACGTCCCAACAACCGAGGTCCGCGGGAGATGAATGGACGCAGATCCAAGATCTGAAACGATGGACGCCTATATCTTCAATGAATCAAAGCTCAGCTTACGGTATGACATGATCCCACATCATACTTGGAATGAGGCGGCCATGATGCCAGAGTGCATTCCCATCGTCTAAGTTTCTCGCGCGCATGCGAACAGGCAGAACAGAAGGGGGGCAGGTTTGAGCGCTCGGCGTCCAACGGAACATGGATGCCGTCGGTAGGCAGCTGCAACCTGGCTGTGGCTTGACATCTCGAAATTCTTTCGGATGGATGAACACAGCGCGCCGGAGAAATGATCGGCAAGGTAAGCAGGGGCGCGCACCGGAAACATATATGCATACGCTCTTCGAGCTTCAAGCTTCAGGCCAGTCAAGAGTCCGCCAACTGATTCGGTGTTGGCATCCCATCCCACGTCAGGACCATCTTTACTCCTGGATATCCCCGCGCCAAGCATCCCACGTCACGCTGCAAATACACAACAAGTCAAGATCGCATTCAGTTCTGCGCGACATCGCACCTGTCACCTGAGATGTGTTCACAGGCACTATGACAACTCTTCCTCGTAAGTAGGGAATGCTCGAAAGAAGCAGTGATTTCCCCAGGCGCTTCGACACTAGTAGGCCCTGCGTCGGCGCCTAGGCAACGCGTAGCTTGTCCACAAGGATTGGCAGGAGACGAGCTTGTAGTACGACAGGAGTGGGCGCTCCAGCGCCGCTTCGCAAGCGTCATCGAATGTTCGGACGTGAAGACGTGAAGGGGACGCTGTGCCCGATGACCGAGGTAGATTAATTGTCTCCGCGCAGAGATCATCGCCGCGGCAGGGGTACGTAGAGTAAGCCGCAGCGTGTCGGCACCAGCGAGACCTGAGTTATTCATATTTGTGATTGGCGAGAAAAGGGGTGACAAGGCTGCATAAGTCGTGGTGTGCACAGTAGGCGAATTAACGAGTGCCCGGAGTTTCCAGTGGCGCCCCGGGAGCTTCCAGGCCAGAGTACAGCACGCGGAATTTCAGACTGTCAACCGAGCCACAGGCGAGCGCACGGGCATCGTCAACGCTGCCACGTCCGTCAAATATCCTGGCTGCCGAGCATCACATTTCCATTGAGAGAAACGACTAGAAGCTATGTATTGTGGGCGGTTTGGTTTCGGCGATAGACGAGGTAGCCACGGCTACCCAAGAGCTCCTGCACGTCGATACCAGGGTCATCGATCTGAATGAAAAGCAAACGTAAGCTTGCTGGTCATCGTAGGGAACTCGGGGGCTGACCAGGGCTGCGCGACCTTAGAAAAGCCCGAGCATTTGCATTTGCATTTGCATTTGCACGCGATGTGTACAAGGAAATAAAACTCAGACCCGCCGATAGGACAGATGTCCGCTTTGGCGCCCAGAGAGTCATCGAGTATGATGCACAGTGCCCCTACTCCGAGCCGCAATTGGCCCTGCACGACCTAATCGGCGACGATAATTTTGCTTGTCGAAGCCAGGAAGGTGCTGCACACCGTGAGATTGACATTCGGGGCCATAAGACATCTAAGCGAAAAATAGTCAAGACAGACGTCGCAGACAGACGTCGCAGGGGGTTATATGCGCGGATATATGCGTATCAAACTCACGTTGACGTAGACGCCTTTTGAAGGCATGTGTGCGTACTATCGTCAACGTGAGCCGTTCAGGGCGCACAAGTATATTGAGTACAATGCGCTCAGGCATATGGCTGGCTTCTATCGTAGTATCTAACGGTGAGATTTGCATATAGCCGGGCGTAGCGGCTCTGGCATACTTCCTGAACGCTCTGTCAAGGGATTTGGAGTGAATATGGAAAGGGACATGGCTGATCATATAGGTGAAACATGTGGGTGAGGTCCGAAGCCATCGATATCACAGCCTGAGCTCACCAGCAGGCCGTCTTGAGGAGCGACACATGACCAGTGCGCATATACGAATCGTCGAGCGCGGCCACGGCCCCCGCCGCCAGCGAGATGCGCATGATCGATGAAGAACAAGGCGGGGAGAACTGCAGCAAAGACAAGCAAAGCGTCAAGAACCGGGGACTTCGAAGCCAGGATCTAGATTCGTACGATGGTCGATCCTCCCGATGCCCCATCGATTTGGTCGTCCTTTCCCAGATCGCCGAGGATCGTCGACTCAGTTACTTCGGAAGGACTCATCCGCAGATGCTTTCCAATGCCAGCCATGGCCGCCACGTCATGCGCCGACGTTCCTTTCAGACGGCCTGCCGTCATGTTCGAGAGACAATGTCGATGACGGGGTCAGTCGAATTGGTTAGTTCTAAAGAAAAGGACCAATCCCAGTATTCGATAGGTCTCTCCTTCCCCTTTCGGAAATTCAGAGTCGTAGTTTGCCACGCAAAGTACGCGGGAGCCACACATGTTTGGCTGCCTCCATGCCTGCTGTACAACACGATGAGCGCGCACTCTTTCCACGTTCACCGTTCCCTGGCACACCACTCTAAACGCACCTCGACATTGTCATTCGTAACATTCATACTGAGATAGGAAACTGAACAGTGATGGCTGAGACTCGGCGCAGACTCACGCGAGATGCTGCTTCGTCGGACGACGAGGGTTGGGAGGACATCAATAGACAAGCGCGGATGCAGAGCCCCTCGGGTTCGCAGTATTCTGTGGGCGCGCTCTCATCTCGCAAGCGACGCGCCCCTCGCCTCCGCCCCGTTGGCACACCCACTCCGCGAAAATACAAGCCCCGTGCCCCCTCTCCCTCCTTCAACAACGACAGCTTGGTTCTTTCCCGATCTCCTCGCTCTCCCGCAGGGGCGTCCACCCCTCCTTACTCAGAGCCCGATCCGCTGAGACCACCGCCGGCACGCAAACCGGAATCCCGCAGGATCTCCTCCGATGATGTCCAAGCAGCGCTCTCCTCAGGGGCGGTCAGTGCCTCCACCTACGTTATCGACGTCGTCGGAACCGCCGTGCGCCTTCTCAAGCGCCCAATTTCCTTCTTCCTCTTCCTGTACCTCCTCGGCCTCCTCCTCGCCCGTGCCTCCTCTACCATCCGCTCCACGCTCTCCCCGCTCTGTTTCGTTCCTGGCCTATCACGGCTCTGCCCAGCTCCACTTACCCACGCACAAAGGGGCGCGAACAAGGGGCATGATGCGAAGCCGCAATGGGCAGACTACCCTGGACTCGTACGCGTGCAGGGCCAGACGCTCGGCGCGCTGCTCGACGAGGCCGGCACTGGGCGGGGCCTCGCGCTCGAGATTGCGCATGCGCAGATCGCGACGAGGGACCTCGCGGCGCTCGTGGCGGTCAGCGACCTCACCGCGCGCGACGCGCTTGCAGAATCCCTGACGGGATTCGTGAAGGCTGCACAGAAGGCAGGGCGCGGGCTGCAAAGGTTCAGCGCAAAAGTCTCTGGTGCCGTTGATAAGTACGTACTTCAAATTTAGGTCCTGTCAGTGTGTTGCTCGAGCTTACCAAGGGCGTGGTTGCTTGCAGCGTTATGGCAGTCAACGACTACGCGCTGCACGCGATCGAGGTCGCCAACAAGCCGCCTTCCGCGCTCATAGTGCGCACTCTGTGGCCATTTGCCACCAACAACGCCGAGGCCACTAAAGAGGTCGTCACCAAGACGTTCATGGACGCGATGAGCGCCCTCTCGCTCAACATGCGGCGTCTCGTGGTCGAGGCCGAAGTCTCCCTGGGCGACCTCGAGCAGCTGGAGGAGCGGCTCTCGTCCCTCGCGGAGCTCATCGCGCGCGAGGACTCGGCGATCTCCTCCACGAAGGCCGACTTGCTCGCGGACCTGTGGACGCGGCTCGGCGGGAACCGCAAGGCGGTGCGCGGGCTCAACGGGCACCTCGCGCTGCTCAAGGGCCTCGGCGCGTACCGCCAGCAGGCGGTCACGCACGTGATGGCGGCGCTGCAGACGTTGCAGGGCATGAGCGAGGAGATGGAGGAGCTGCGCGCGCGCGTTGCGGCGCCGGAGCTCATCGGGGAGCGTATCCCCATCGAGGTCCACATGAAGAGCATTCGCAGCGGGCTGGATAGGCTCAAAGAGCGGCGAGTGAAGGCTATCGAGAAGGAGGAGCAGATCGTAAGTAAGGTGCTGGCTGCGGTCGCAGGCTCGGAGACGGCGCTCGCCATCGGATAGAATATGGTTGATTTGGATCGACCGTTTCATGTTTTGGATTGTATGTACTCTGTATTCTATTTGCCTTCGTCCATGAAACATTGCTGGGACTGCTGATCTATTTCCCTTCACGGCATTTATAGCTCGAGCTACTTGTTTCGGAACGAAGCGCGGGCAAGTGCGTTGTAAACGAAACCCTGTCCGACAGCTGCTCAACGATTTCACAGGATGTCCATCGTTTCTGGATCCTGACTTGCCTCACTTCGAGTTGATCAGACAAGCTTACGGCGTCCTTCTCACCACTCCATTACGATCACAGTCATTTGCGGCTCCCGGCGGCTCCGCCCCTGTCAATTACAACACGACTCACCAATCTACATCGAAGTTCGTCTCCTGTCAAACAAGATCAGAATCCCATGGAAGCATTCGGCTCATTCCGTGACATGCCAGATCGGCTCAGATAAGTACTTACGGGGACTCTCCTTGGAGGCGGTCAGTGAGAAAATGGATGGACCGCAACTTGCGTGCAAAAATGGGGAGGATGGGAATCTCCAACGGCACTCCAACGACTCCGTGACGCCTCCAACAGCATGGCGCTGTCGCTCTAAATAGAGACGCGCCCTGAAGGCCTGGCAGATTGCGGCAGATTCCCCCAATATTCCCCCACCCAGGGAGAAGATTTCTCACCGCAGAGGCGCCGCTCCATCTCCACTCAGTTCGACCGAGGTGGGGCTATGATTCCGAGTATGTGCTATGAGCGGCGCTGGCGCCGATCGGCCCTTGGCTCTAGCTCCCCCTTTCTGGAGCGATGGGTGCTGCCCGCCGGTCGGCGGGGTTGTCTTTACCGTGTTTGGGAACACTCCTACAGGAGTTCATACCGAGCGTGCGACTTGGGCGATCTCCGTGTGGGAACGCGTACCAGAGGGAGGGAGATAGGGCACGCAGGATGTTGGAGATCTCCGCACTGCACGTGCCTATATGCTCTGCTCCAAACCGTGCCCATCCGCATATATGATGTGAAGCGCCTCAAGCCCAGGGGAACGCCGGAGGACAGGGGTATAGGGGACCTCAGATGTTGGCCACGGCGCCACTCAGCGTCATTCCCCCTCGCCTCGAGCTTCAGACGAGCCACCATCGACCTGTGACCTCGACGCCGGGATGCCGTAGGTGGCAGGCGTTCAAATATGCTGCACGACATGATCATGAAATATGGTATTCGATGCAAGCATGGCACAGCGCCGGGTTATGAACCCGCCCTGCAAATAAGATCCGTCCGCATATCGCCAGATTTACTGCTGTCCATCTGACGCCTGTCGCTACGTGATCCGAGCTGTGCCTCTTACTTGATCAGCTCTAGAGAGTCTCTGACAGAGCGCGTATAGAGAGCTAGCAGTCTGCATGATAGCTGGATCGTCGCCCAGCGGTCTCCAGCGGTGCCCAGCATACGCAAGAAGTGTGGATAGTAACGCTCGGCGTCAGCTCGTATTCGAAGCCGGTGCAGCTCGGAGCCGGTCCACGACCGCGCGACTCGAAGCAGCTCGAAGCCTCTCAAAGCCTTTTCCAGCCAAATTCATAACGATGGGCCGCGACAAAAAAGAACAGACTTAGCAAAATGCGTCGGCGCTGGAATATTTTGGCCCTGTCCGCTAGATGCCGATTTCTCCGCCTGTTGTCCGCTCTCCTCTCCTCAATCGCACTCTGTCTGGATCTCAAATTCAACATTCCGACTTAATCCTTTTTTCCGAAGCTTGGGCCTATCGTTATGAATCTGGCTGTCATCAAGCGTCGGTAGGCGTCGGCGCTCTCACCGCGCAGGAGCCCAGAGGAGCCCTCAAGGCTGATCATACTTATAGCAGCTTCCCGCCTTCTCGATTGGTTCTCGTCCCGAGATGTGTCCGATGACGCCTTGGCGCTCGCATTTCCCCGCACGTGGTCAAGGGCACCGGGCTGCACTCGGCATGCGGACTGTCGTCGCGCCGCGGTTGACACGAGCTAAGCATGAGCAGCTATGAGCAGTCGTATGTGCAGGTTCGTGTGAGGTGAGAGGAACACAATCTGTCGAGACGGAGCCGTGGCGTGACGGTCCCGCCAAGGCACGCCAACACGATAGGATACGGGCTGATACGCTCGTCGCCGAGTCCACTAGAATTCCTGGGGAGTGCTGGGGTCGATCACGATATCGCCTGTGGTCATGCTTGGCCTGATCAATTTCAGCGCTAAGCTGATTGGGTGGGAGCGGGGGGGCAGATCCCAGTAATGGGGAGGGGTGCGAGCACATGCGCACGCCGAAACGGGCAGCAACGAGGAAGATGCAGACGATCGGTGCATATGCGCGCCTGTGCATACGGGGATGCGACGAGGACGATGGTTTATAAAGTAGATATGTCGATATGGGATACTTATGGGATGTGCATGAGATCACATGTGAGGAGGGCGAGATAGGGCTGAATGGGCGCCGCGTGTACGTACGTGCGGGAGCTCCTCGCTCGCCTGGGGCTACGACAAATGAGGGGATGCTGGTGAGTGCAATGGAGGACAGGCATTCGGCGTCGAGCATGGTGCTCGTGGACGACGCTTTGAAAAGCAAGACCATTGATGGGCAAGACAAGCCCGGAAAAGGGAAAGATGAGAAAAGTCAAGGGGAAAACCCCGAAGCGGACGCGGGCGATAAGTGGCACGGCGCCGGGGGGATGGCGGAGACATATGCGTGCAGCGTTAACAATAACAATGAGGTCCAGCTGCTCCTCGCTATCTCCTGCTCTATTCCCTCTCGGTCCCCGTCCGCAACTGCCCTGCGCGCCCCGTATTCCCCGCCTCTCTTTTTTCTCCCCCGTCGACGACGACGACGACGACGACGCGCGCGAACCTGTGCTCGGGCATCCAGCACTGCTCACAACGGTATGGGAACGTTCGTCCTCTGCACTGTGTCCGAATGACCGACCGCGCGACTTTTCACATGCGCACAGCCGCATCTGTCACGCTCACCCATATCTACTCCACTGCTCGCTCGCGCGTCGACCTCCTCCTCACCCCCCCGCAACTCGACAACCGACACCATTCGTGCCCATATCTCGAGGGCTCGTGCCCGTAGCGCTCTCGCTTTTCCACAGGTTTGTCGCCGTCACACTTTCCGACATATCATGCGAACAGTTCATCAATCCTTCAAATCGATCGTATCTAGGCGTTTCATCCTTGCGTTCGTCCGTCGAGACACACATTGGACCTGCGTCCGATTGCGCTACACTTGAACGACCACTTCGATAGGAAATTCGAGTACAGATGGACGCGTTTCCCGTGAGTACCGATCCGTGCGAGGGTTGCTTCTCGATTTCACGAATTCATTTCCCATCCCAGGTCAATGTCCCCGGAACGCAGTCTGGGCCACCTATACCCGACGTAAGTGTCTCCACGCAGCGTTCTCATCCCCCACTAAACTCTTCGGGAACAGTACTACAAGCGGGCCGTCTACCGTGCCGCGCCTTCCCAATTCCATGTCGAAGTGCTCCCTCCGGCCAAGATAGGTCAGTCAGCACCTTGTTCTCAGAACGATGTGAATTTATGGGTGCTGACCGCGCGTGCACAATCGCACCCAGGTGGAGCGTATGGTTATGGCATGCGTATAACTCCCCTCCAGGATGACAGAGTCACGGTGAAAACAACTTCCACCAAATCCGACTACGTTGTGTGGCGGCGCTGGGAAGACTGCCTCTGGTTCCAGGACGTGCTCGAAATCGAGTATAGCATGAAGGCGCGCGAGAAGCGCGCGCGGCTATTCGCAGGCAAGGGTGTGAAGAAGAATGGGCTATATATGCACGATCACGCGTCATCCTTCGAATCCCTACCCCCAGGTCCAGACCCGAAGTCCGTGTCGAAGGACATCCACGATTACCTTCCCAAGCTGAACAAGAAGGGCACGCTCTTCCGGCCTAGCCAGGCGACGGTCGCGCTGCGTCACCGAGAGTTCGCGGCACTCATCGACGCGCTTTTCGGAGATGACGTTCCCGCTCTCATCGCAGAGCTCCGCAAGGAGCGCATCATCCGCGATTTCTTCGGCCACTGGCGCCGTGACCACGATCTCGCAGCTAAGCACAAGGCCAACCGCGCTCTCGTGACCCAGTCTCTCAGTGCGGGTGCGTTTTCGACGTATTTCTCTGCTTCGAATGTTTCGCTCTCTCTCCCCGACGCGTACCCCGATGTTCCTACGACCCCCGCACCAGCCCCGTCGACGCATTCGATCGAGCGCAGCGAATCTTCATCCAGCCTGTCTTTGTCCGATACGGACATATCCTTTTTCTTCCCCAAGGCTCCCTCATCGGCACCAGCCCGTCTACGCACGTTCGACCAGTCACAAACCATAACTGAAGAACCGCGACTGGCCTCGGAAAGGTCGTCTTCTTCGACGCATGCGTTATCATCAACTCCTCCACGCACGCCTGCGATACCTCCCAAGTCTGCGCGCAGATCTGCTTCCGCCACGAAGCAATCGGAACGAAAAAAAGACGAATTTACCATAGAGGAGTTCCCGCTGTTCTTGACAAGCGAGACCCGCGAAGGGCTCAATCTCAGCGGAAAGTCTATCGCCCAAGCCAATGCACGACCTATCCCACTGCGCAGTGGACTCGCATCGCTACCTGAAGAGCAAGAGCTCGGCTCTACTCTATCATACGGCGAAAACGAGTCAGAATCTTTGCCACCATCGAGCCTGCGCAGCAGGTACACATCCCTCACCAAGGGGGACCCTGCGAACAGGAATTGTGTCTTGTTCGTCGAGTCCATTGATGGTCTCGCAACACTTGGCGAGGCCGTTAACCCTGACCCCATCTCGCCCGCAACGTCCGAGCCGTACCCCGACGCCTTCGACATGTCCCCGCCCACAAGCTCTTCTCGCCCTCCCTCACTCGTCATGTCCAGCTTCTCCGTCCAGTCTTCATCCTCCTGGTACTCTACCGAGTCGGCGCCACGCTCTCGTCCCGGCTCTCCCCACTCAATAATATCAAACGACCTCGACTTGCCCTTCGTTGAAGGCCCGAGCTACCCGATCACCCCAGCGAGCGCAGACATGTTCCCCGTGTCCGCAGGCCCGTTCCCGCGCCTATCTACCATCAGCATGGACTCCTACCAGGGTGTGTCCATCCCCGAGCGGTCGATCAAACGGCGCTCCATCTCCCCTGGCCCACCTCTGAGCCCTTCCACAGGCTCGAGCGTTTCATCGGGATCGCGCCGACCACGCAGTTATAGCCAGCCACTACCCATGCATGAGGAGCAACCGTGGTCCGACCTCGGGGAAGACTTCATCCAGTCATATCTCGATAACTCCTCCGTCCTCGAGTCCATCGCTGACTCGGATTCCTTTGAGTTCACAGCCAGCCGCCCACAGACGCCCACCCCCTCTGAGCGACCTCCGAGCCCTGATCCCAGCTCCAACGCCAATTCCGACGTCATTCCGTCCCCATCCTCCCACAGGCAGCAGATAGCCATGTACCTCACTCCCGAGCGCCTCCCCCGATCCCGATCCTATCAAGACCGTCCCGCCGGGCAATTCCATCTCCCACTCCCTCCTCCGCGGCCCTCGCCCTCTCAGCCGCTTCCTGATCCTCCACAGTTCCCGCCTCCGCTCCCCAGTGTTCCATCTCCCCATCTGCGATCGTACCCTTCCCCGCCGGACGACACACTTGTCGTCAAGGCCGCGCTCGGGGACGCGATCGTCGTATTTCGCACGCCGCGCGCCGGCTCGCTCGCGGATCTCCGGTTGCGCGTGCACAACAAGTTCTCGCGCCAGGAGGGCATCACGCCCCCGGAACCTTTCGTGCTCGCGTATCTCCCCCCGCTCATGCCCGGCGCGCGCTCGCGCATGAGCTCGATGTCGTCCGCGAGCTCGGCGGACCTCGCGAAGATGCTGCCGCTCGTGTCTGAAGAGGAGTGGTCGCGCGCGATCGCGACGTGCGGGCCGAAGCTCGTGCTACGCATCGTGGAAGTGTCCGAGGAGGAGTGAGGGGATCCGCAGTGCTTTCCCGGTTTCTTTATTCGGTGCTATTCATCGCCGAGCTTCGGTGTTATTCAATTGAGATTTATGACCCGCCATGACCCTTTTCCTTCCTTTTGCCACTAATCATTTCCTCCTCTTTCTCTCTTTCAACTCTCTTACACTCTGACCCTCTTTTTACATAGCAAGGACGTTCGGTTCGGGATGAGTGTCCCAAAACCTTGCACAGCTGCGAGCACCATGTGCAAACCACCCTTGCGTTTACAAACCCTCATTTCCGTGCGCACGCGGCGCCGGTATACCTATTTATACTCTTCGCGCTTTCTTCCCTTCGAGTGTGTATCTCTGTAATCGTTTAGATAGCATTTTGTTGTCGATTTGTACGCACCACCGCCAGATAAACCATTCCCAGCGTAGATGGGTGAAATTTACATTCGTGTTCGATACTTCTGAGAAGCAACCGGCGACGATCACAACACCAAGACCGTGACCTTTCCTCCCACACTGCCAAGCGCGACTCGTGCCAGTGGTTCGCTGTACTCTAATGCGCTCCACTGTGCGGCATGCTCCTCCGTTGTCCATACAGTAGCCATGCTCGCACCCCGCATCAGCCGTACGCTCTCCCGCTGCGGCGGGTCCATAGGCTCTAATGCGCGCGGGGCGATGTATACGAGCGTCCCATATGCGCCGAGACGCACTGAAGGACAGAGGACGTGCCCCCGAATGAGATTTGTGGAGAAAAGGATGTGGGGAACGATGTTTATGCGGGGAATGGCATGGGAGCGACGGGGCGAAGAGTGAAACAAAAAATGATTAACGAAGCGCGGCGAGGCGGACCATGGGTTGTCGCTTGTTTGGTGTATAGCGACCCCTATCGGGGACAGGGCGCCAGCGGGATGCGCGGCCGCCTGGTCGATGTCTGTTCTATATGTCTGCCGAGTCACGGAGATGGCGTCGACCCAGCCGACCGAGCGCACGACGATGGGCTTATGCGGAGAGTGCTCCTCTGCTCCGGTTGGCGGGTGGAGAGCAGGAAGAGTGAAGAAATCGATGACATGTGCGCGCACAACGATGACGATGTTGTTGTCGTGCTCTACAATGACCTGGTGCAGCTTGTTCGACTGAACGTCAATGAGAGCTCTGGTGTAATGAGTCGAGAAAATCGACATAGATACCTGGGAAGGTTTGGTTGAGTCCGTAGAGCTCTCCAAGGTGGCATTCGACCTTGTTTTCCAGTCCATGAGGGTTGTTTTGGTGTCGTTGTCACCAAAGGCGATCCAGTCGCCTCTTAACATTGCCGGAATCCAAATCGTGTCAATAGTACACACAGAAGTCAGTGTTGCAGAAGATTCGCGGGCATCTGTAGATGTGTGTAGAGATAGTAGCTCGATATATGCAGGGCTGGAATGACGTTTAATCGAGTATGAAACGGGGTGAATCAATCGCGAGGCCTCACCCTTCGGTGGGACGGACAGACACCGCTATTGTGGCTTCAGCGTCAGGCTCCAAATTGACTACGAACGCGTGCACAGTAGCGCCCTTCGGGGGAGTCCACTCCGATATTCTGCGAGCGGGGCCCAAGGCTTCCTCTCCGATATCCCAGATGCTGACGGCGGCCCATATCCCTTGCGTTACGACGGCAAGGCATCTATCGCCATGCCCCGGTATGAAGCTGACATCTGAGATCGCGTTACTTTGTGGCGTCTGAAAGGTAAAATGATGGGCGGGCGATGCGGGGACAGGGGCCCAGATCTTCTCCCAGCGCAGCGCTCTCAGGGTGAGATACTCAAGATGCTGCTCGCTGAGCGAAGCTAGATGCGATTCAAGGTAAACGTGTGGCAGATTCGGCCCCAGAACGTGGTTGACATAGGCGCGCTGCCAGACTAGGCGCAGCCTCGAGAAGACGTTCAGGCGACGGCATGTCTGAGCTTGTGTGGTATGTGGATATGCGGCACCAGCTGTGTGAGCTCTTGCTTACCTCTCTGCATGCAATTATATCAGGGACTGTTATGACAGAAAGGATGAGAACGACGACATCGTCATTAAGTCTGTCGAGTAGGTTTTCGTTTGACATGGTGGTGAGGACCTGGAACCGTTGAGTGGCGTTCGATTACGTCTACAGGCCTGACACCGCTTGCAAGCGCCTACCACGGTCATGATATCCGAGACGACAAAACAAAGTGCAATTGCGAATGCAAAATACATAAATAAATAAACATGACTTCATCACTCAGAACAATACCAGTAGCAAAGCGATAAAGCACCAGGACAGCATGGCCCACAACATCGAAAACTCTGTGACCAGTGATGAAGCCCCCGAGATATATCCCACAGCACCCGCAATTGTGGAATTGCCCGTGTAGAATGTATCCGTGGCCGACGAGTTCGGGTCTAGCAAAGCGAGCACAAGGCCAGGACCCGGTACCGTGATGGTACAGCCATCGTGGCATGCCATGTAACTTGTTGTCTGGCTTCCGTCCAACTCGCCGTTCGTTCTCACTGTCTGCCCCGCCCAGTCGATCTCTGTCTCTTCGTTCACGCTCGGCGCACTAAGCACCCGCAGAGCGAAGGCTGTCGTCACGTTTGGGGGAATGACGAAATCGTGCGCGGTATCGTTGGAGTAGTTGATCAACACCAGTTTCCCGCGCGCCGTTCCGCCCTCATCGTAAATGCCATACCCCGCGACATGGCTCGTGACGTTCGTAGTCGAGTTATCGATGTTGAGGTCAATGACGATGCTGCCGGTGGGAGACATAGCTTCAGCTAGAATAAGCGCCGCATAGTAAGGCGAGCCCGTGCGCCAGTTGGGATCGGAGGATGTGTTCGCTGACGGAGGATCAAAGAGATTGTAGGTGATCCCATATTCTCGCGTATGCAGATAAGCTGCGGTGATATTTGAGGCGGCGAATTGTAAACCGGCATCAACTGCCCACAAAGACGCGGCGAACTGTAACACATGAGTAGAGCGTTATAATAGTACAGTCAATGCATTTACCGTGGGGGAGATTGTCGGAGAACCACCGCATGAAACAGTGTTGTACTCAGTGATGAGGACAGGCACGCCTGATCGTTGTGCTATCTCAACACCCTCAGAGTTCCAATGTACATACGCAGGGACTATCGCAGGGTCAGTTTCGAATGATAGAAGATGAAAGCGGACCGACCATTGGTGTGCGAGAGAAAGTAAGACATGTTCGTGTTGGCATCTGTGGGGCCACTGCAGTAGTATGTAGGGTAATGCTGGATACTGTTCGACCGAAATCAAGATCGTCCATTATGAAAGATTCAAACTCGACCTACCTATAATATTTGTAGTTGAGGCTTCCAAGACCTGCGTTAATTACTTCGTCGAGGTCCCTGGCTAGACATGAGCTATATGAAACAAGTGTATGGAGAAATACTGTACCAGCTGCAACATGTAGTGGGTCCACCGATAATGGGTGTCGAAATTAGGTTACCGGCTGGCGAGTTTTGCATATCAATGAGGACTTCCTGAATCTCCGGTATCTGGAAACCCAAGAGTGAATACAGGCCTTTGGTCAATGTTCATCAAGAGCATACATAAGTGGACAGATTGTAGGCGTCCCGTGTTCCGTGGCCAGCATACAAGTCCGGTTCCTGCAGGATGGTGATAAGAGCGATCATATGACAGTGACTGATGTGGTTCTGCTCACATTTCCGAGTAACATGGCGTCCAAACGTCTTCCCAGCATCTGCTCTGCTGCCGTGGCAAGCTCGATCACGTTCGAGTCTTGGCTTGGATTTTGCATACTCAGACCGATGATGAACTGCATCTCTCCAACCGCGTCTGCCATGGCATTCAGCACGTCAAAGAAAACTGGCCCAAAATCAACGGGGATATCATTGAAGTACGCGTTAGGGTCGGTCAGGACGACCATCTGAGTTTGACCGGGGACGTATGTGGAACTATCCATGCCATTGCCACCGATGCGGATGCGGAGGTTATTAGTGATACGAGAACGGATATTGGAGAGGTAATTTTGAATGGCAGATGGCATGGTCGTTTTTGTTTGGCCCCCTAATCACAGCCATGTCAGTCAACTCAAAGATGGCAGAAAAGAGAAGAAAGCGGGGGCCATGAATTGGCCCAATGTGAATCGGATGCGGCGTAGCAGAGCATAGAAATGAGATGATTCCAGACCGACACTAGGCAAGGAGAAGGTATGCTCCGCAATGTCTTGATGCGATCTTCTGGCGCTCAATGCGAAACACGCCAAGCCCTGCCCTTTGTCGGATCCTAGAGACAACCCAAGAGCAACACACTCATGTGATAGCAGCTGTGCGATCTTTACGAAACCTAATAACCAGAAACACACAGCAAACGCCCGGCCTTGTCAAGACCCCTCCACGCCCACTGGACATGCTCCGTACTTCGCAGAGACGAGGAGCGTCAGCGCGCAGAGGATTCAGAATACAGGCGGCCCTGGTGAACTGGGAGAGAGTGTGAATCAGATGGAGACTCACATAACGTGTCGAACGAGCTCAGTTCGAACGAGATACCCAAAAAGTTATCTTGCACGACTTGCGCATGTCCACTCGGGGGCGACTCGGGGAATGTCACAACCGAAGCGCGCGCAAAGGATGCTGTCCACGCCAGTGCCGAGACGAGAAAAAAGACATGGCGCAGTGGAGTCAAACGCATCGAGCCAGGAAACACACAGACCACGGAGCGTTATAAGTCCAAGCGTCTGTCAGAAAAAGAGGGTCCGAAGGAGTGTGGGCGTAGACGCAGAGTCTACTTGTTATACGCAAGGCAGCAGGACAGGCTCGCGGGGCCGTGGACGAGGCACTGGGAGCTGCTGCGGTTCTTGTACAAGAGCAAGGGCTATCAATGAATGACGGCCTCGGCGCTTTTGTATTTGTACGTTTGGGATGCCAAGGCCCGAAGCAAACATGCTTCTTGGCGTACCGACGGCATGGAATGGCACACATTGTTGATGATACCGAATCGGGGCACGCAACCCAGCAAGTGCGATAAACTGCTGCGGGAGGCGAGGACTGTCCATGATCAAGTGTGGACGATGATGATGCCGTCTGGTAACAATCTCTAGGCTAGAGATGTCGCATCCAAGGGTGTTGCACACTGTTTGCACTGGGTCTTGAGACTGTCCTGAGTCGGAAGAGGATTCAGTGAGGATTCGGTCTGCTGATTCAGCATACCGCAAACGAGACGGGAGGTGGTATGATACGCACTCTACTGCCCACTTTCAACATGCATCTCCTTCCTTCACTTGGTACTTTGCCCCCACTGCTTCAATTCACTTGCCACACATAGCAGAAAAAATACCTGCCTTCGAGGCGATAGTGACCAACATACCCCAATGAGCAAAGGCCTCCCGAAGCCGATGGAGAGAAACCCGAGGCCTCGATTCACGCTCACACGGATCGCTACCACTTGCTCCAGGTAAGGACTGACAATAAGCCAGAGGTAAATCCTTTGTTGATTGGGCGCAATTATACTGGTTCAAGCTCTATCAGCCTCTTCACACACGTGAATCCCTATCAACACTGTCAGATGATGCGGTGCGAGCAGGGGTACAGGTTGGCATCAACATCCTCAACCTCTTTCGTACGGAAACTGAATTAGTCGACAAAGAGCCGGAGGCGATCGATACTAGAACGGACACGCTGAAATCAGTGAAGGCGGCGCGAATTCTCTACACTGAGGCTTCTGAGGCCCAGCTCAGAGAGTTGAAGTGCGTTGCCATGGAACGTGGTCTCCCTCCCTTGGATACCGATCTGCATGATAGAGAGGAGTCGAATTCTGAGTCGGCGGCGGGTGCAGACTGATAATTCTACGGAGAAGAATTCCAATGCTAGGACGTGTGATGGTTGAAAGAGGATGGTTGAAAGAGGTGTGTATGCTGTCTTTGTGCGGGGAAAGTTGATTGACCCACACGCAGAGTGCAGGGTGCCGTTGCAATTATGAATAAAATCGGGTTTCAATCTCCCTGCTATGTCGTTCAGTATGCTATATTCTGCATGCATGTTATAGGCTGATAGACGTTTTGTATGTGGCTATAATGATACGTTGTTTGGCGCTCAGATTTACATCGCGTGTAGCTTCCAGGCTGAGCGATGGGGCGCTGAGGCCTTGAGGGCTTGACGTAGGCCTCGTTCTGATTATAGTGCATCGTATAGGAACAGTCCACGCTCTCCGCCCATCCCAGCAGCCACCTCCCACCCTAATCACAGATCCTCCAAGCCATCACATGCATCACATCTTACTTCACGGCGCCGACATCTCGCTAAGCCTCTTACCCCTACTGGCACTGGAGTACTGAAGGTCAGAGTCTCCCTCACCGCCTTCTCGCCATAGTGCAGACCTGCTCAGGCCTGGGTGAAAGCGAGGCACCATGCTCTTGCTTGCGCTACGAGCCTCGTCCAGACGCCACGCAATAAAATCCAGATAAGACGTACAAATACATCACTTTCGTTGGCTTCATACCTGACGGAGCGCGACGTTCTCGCTCCTCCGCTCTTCAGCGTACATTTTCTCGTCAACAACTTCCTCCTCTGGCGAGCTCCCTTTATCATCCTTCCCTCCATGGGCATGACTACGATCGCCCAGCCTCTCGACCATCCATCCATGCGCCTTGCGGATCGGCACGGGTGCATCGAACAGCTCGTCCATGGCCTCCAGCGGAATACCCTTCGTCTCTGGAAGGACGAAGTAGACGTAGGGAATGGCGAGCACCATGAGACTTCCGAAGAAGATGTACACGCCATAGTCCATCTTGGCGAACATCTGCGGCGTGGCCCGCGCAATGGCAAAGTTGTATAGCCAGTTGCTGGCGGCCATGCACGCTTGGCCGACGGTCCGACTCTGCTGCGGGAAGATTTCAGCGCCAACGCTATATGATGTCAGGGTCAGATCAGAACAACAATATTGTTGTCAGGGGGGTGATGGTCACGTACACCCAAGGCGTCCCGTTCCACGACGTGGAATAGAAAATTGTCCAGAGATAGAAAGCAACGAGGGCAGAGATTCCTCCTCCTTTCAGACCGTCGGTGGCATGCTTATGCTTGACGTCTGCAATTTTGATATATGCGCCAATCCAGAACATAAAAATTGCACCACCAGTCGCCCCAGTCATGAGAATTATTCTCCGGCCGAAGTGATCGATGAAGAACAAGATCCAGATGACGGCGCCGATCGTTTTGATGATGCCAAACACGCCGGTGGTCAGAAGGGACGTGCTGGTCCCCGTGATACCAATGGATCTGAATATTGTCGGAGAATAATCTGAAGGAGGACGAGGTAAGACATCCTGGGACGAAAACATGGCAGGAGAGCTTATTCTCACAGTTCACTGCGTTGATTCCTGATGATCATCTGCCGTCAGCCGATTGCGCGAAGAGGTGCTAACGAGGACTGACCCGCTCCATTTTGGAACGCAAACAAGCTTGAGCCAAGCAACACTCGCTTGAAGATATTACCGACCATGAAGGTTTCCCTGAAGGGCCCCCAGAAACTGGTCCCGACGAGAGCTCGTTCGTGCTCTAGCTGAGTCTCCATCGCAGACATCTCTTCTATGACGTATGTGTGTGATGGAGGTAAATTGCGAATTTTGCATAGGTTTCGCATGGCGTCCTCTTTGTCACCGTGTTCAAGCAGCCAACGTGGGGATTCAATGAGCGTCAGAGAACCGATGAGGAGCAAACCACCCGGAACTAGCTGAATGGCAAAAGGAATGAGCCATTGTCCTATGTGACTTCGTCAATATCCTCTCTTCTGATCTGCCTACAGGGTCTGTGTTCGTGACCAGGTCGAGCACTCACGATGCGAAGGGGCCATATTCCGATCGACGCCGAAGTTAATCCAAAACCCAACGATGCCGCCAATCTGCCATCCCAGCTCGTATAGACCCACAAGCTGGCCCCGAATACTCGACGGCGCGATCTCAGCGATGTACATCGGCGCGAGGTTCGACGCGCTGCCGATAGCGGCGCCCGCGAGCACGCGCCCGGCGTACATCGGCCCCAGCCCCGTATGGTGCGACGCAGCGCACATGATCGCCGACGCGGCGCAGAAGATGGAGGCCGCGACGAAGAGGCCCCATTTGCGCCCGAAGAAGTAGCCTAGTGGGTATCCGAAGAGGGACCCAAAAAAGGCGCCGGCTTGGTAGGTCGAGACGACGTTTGCGCTTGTCGTCGCGGAGAGTGTGCCGAATTCGTTCGTGAAGGATTTGAGAGCCATCGTGCCGCCGATAAAGGCGGAGTCATATCTGTGCAGAACATATTTCAAGCGCGTCAGACTCTGTCAGACGATATTCTATAATATCACTAGACGGCGCTGCAAGCGCATATCGAAGGAAACATTGAAGTCAAAGATCAACAAATCGGTCGTTTTATCTCTCGCTAGACGGCATCGGTAGCTCATGCCCTCCAAAAGAAAACCAGGAAGAAAAAGGAAAAACGGAGCGCGTTATCTGCGATTTCGGGACGAAAGAGGACAAGGGGAGATTGACACATAGGAGGGAAGTTTGTGAAGGTTTGTGGGCGAGGAGAAGGGGGCACGGCCGGAGCTTGCAGAGCGATTGCGGGGTAATATGAGATTTTGACAGCAAACTCACCCAATCACCATCGAAGCACATGCCGCGGTGCTAGCAAGCGTCCACACCCTCCAGTTGTATACCGCTTTCGGCGTAGGCCTGTCCTCGACACGACGGAGGTTGACCATGGGGGCGAAAGACAGCGATTGACCGTGACGGGGTTGAGATGCAAACAGGGCCTTTGAACGAACAGAATCTAGTCACTATTAGGTGCAATCAAATAAATTTTATTCATGAGTCCGACTGCAACGCTCATCTGCTGACCCTCCACCAACTTCGGGAACATGAACTTCGAGCCCTGTCAATAACGAACGGATCTTTTAGAAATCTACTAGCGAGGCACCACCATGGTTGTGTGCGCACATCAAGGAAACGCTGAGTGGTCCAATCCACCCAATCAAGTAGGTCCTCCTATCACGTAATCCCTTCCGTCTGGCACCTGAGCTTGATTTTCCTGCAGTGGTACAGGTTGAATTTTCCTGCGAGTAGCGGAGGCATCCCACACCACAATAGCACAGAGTGTGCTAGAGCGTGTAGCTTTCCACCCAGAACGCTTCGATGCACCGACCTTGACTTATCTCAAGCAATAATGCAAAATTTCAATTGTCGGACATCAAACTGTGCGAATGCAGGGTCTATCAGATACCGGCCACCACCAGGAATTGATGATGGCAAACCCAAATTTCCCGGAAAACCTCTCCATCTCGCCTTCGCAGCACCCACAAACCATCTTGACCGCGCCCGTCACTGCGGCTGACCCCTACGTCTCCCATTTCGCCTTCGACGCGTCCGCCCAAGCAGCCGCGATCGAAAAATATGGCATCGCGGGCAGAGTCTGGTATTCGTCCTGCCATTCGCCCGACACGCCTTCGATGAGTGACATACTGCCTGCATAATCCCCGTCGCCCCAGGGAAGCCGCGTATCTGCTCACCCTCTACTTCAACGCACCGCCTTCGCACGCGTTTGATCCCCCGTTCGATCCCCATGGGGCATCGCAGCTGACCGTCGTCGAGCTCGGCTCCGGCACCGGAATCGTGGGCTTGAAGCTTGCTGAGAGACTCGCGCGGACGGGCACGGACTCGAGCAATCTCGTCGTGCTGACCGACCTTCCAGAAGTGTGCCCATTGCTGCAGGAAAATCTGCAGCAGCACGCAGCCTTGACAGAGCGCGATGTGTGGGTGCGCGCGCTCCCGTGGGGGAGCAGAGCACACGCCGACACGCTTGCGGAGGAATTAGGTCTGCGAGCAGATCCGCCATCAGAAGCACGCCCGCGCTATCCAACACACATCGTCTGCAGCGACCTAGTACGTGTGTTTTGCATTGTGCAGGTGTCCGTATCAGAAACGACCGTGCACCCACAGGTCTACTTTCCAGAGCTTCTCGCGCCCCTCCTTCGAACGCTCCTCCATCTCACATCTCCGCCGTTCGTCCCTGTTTCAGCATCGTCTCTTCCGTCCCCTCCCGAAGTGATCGTATCGTACAAAATCCGGTCTCTGGCGAAAGAAACCGCGTTCTGGAGTGCCTTCGGCCTCTGGTTCACGTTCACGCCTGTGCTCACATCGCCGTCTGCTTCCACGTCGCCAGATCTTTCATGGAAGCGATTCGGCGCATCTGTAGATGCGTTCATTCTGATCGCGCATCGTCGGCCCGAGTCGATGCGATGGCCTGTGCCGGAGGACGATGCTGGGCTCCTTGGCGGGGTAGGTGCGCATGGGATGTCGGGAAGGAAGAGCGATGATGCCTTCGAGACCATGTTATTGATGCAGATCGACGACGACGACGAAGAAGAAACGTAGATACAAAATGAAAGAAACATTGATCTAGACAGATATAGACCGAGTCGAGTGCAGAGTCTAGAGTGCCTCGCGAGCGTATATAGCGCAGCTGCGGGCTTGCGCCGTGCAGCGTGTATCCCTTGCAACGCTGTCGGCGTCCGCGAGCACTGGCACAAAGGTCTTCCGCTCACTGGCCCTTTGGTGCAAATGCCGACAGCATCGTTGAATGGTCATGGGAGGGGGCGCATTCATGTGATCATGGCCGTGCGGCCGCCTCTTATACCCGGTCTCCTCTCGGAATACCCATTCCCCACAACTTCATGCATTGAACGCTCAACCGTCTCTTCTCCAACCACCAGCATCCATCGACCATGGCAGCACAATCAAAGCCGGTACAGCAACAGCAGCTCACCGCGTTCGGCTACGCCCTCGCCGGAGCTCTCGGTGGCTGCTTCAGCAATGCGTGAGTTTCGGCTCGCTCCTCAAGATGTGTCGTACTCATATCGAGCAGTGTCGTGTACCCATTAGATACGTGAGTTCTGCTCGAGAGTTATGGTCGACACGATGCCGGGTGCTCAATCATTTTATAGGATCAAGACTCGGATTCAGGCCGCTAATGTTGACGATAACGCGGACGGGAGCCCCTCGGATCTCTCTGTCACAGGTCTTCTCGCTCGCATCTTCAAAGAAGAAGGCGTAGCAGGATACTACAGAGGATTCGGAGCAACGATGCTGAACACCTTTTCGATGCGTGCGTCCTCGCACCTTAGTCTCGCGCGCATACACCCCTGACGCTTCCCCGACCTCTCCGCTCTCCGTCCAAAATCACTCTACAGAGTACGCGTACTTCTTCTTCTATTCGCTCGTGCGCATGTCCTACATCAAACGCCTCGCAGCCCGTCGCCCTGCCGGCGCCTCCGCGCCCCCGCTCTCGACCGCCGCAGAACTCGCCCTCGGCGCGCTCGCGGGCGCACTCGCGCAGGTGTTCACGATCCCCGTGGCCGTCATCGCGACGCGGCAGCAGATCGGGCACTCCCTCGACAAGCGGAAGGGTAAGGGCAAGGGCAAGGCTGTGGACTCCACGAGCGAGAACGGGGTCGCGGATGCGGAGAAGGGCAAGGAGGCTGAGGAGGCACAAGAGGAAGAGGAGCTGGACGATTCGTTCCTCGGCGTTGCGCGGGAGATCATACGCGAAGAGGGCGTGACGGGCTTGTGGTTGGGTCTCAAGCCCGGTCTCGTACTGACTGTGAATCCCGCGATCACGTACGGCGCATACGAGCGCGTCAAGAGCGTGTTGCTGCTGGCGAAGGAGAAGGCGGGCACGGGCACAAAGCTCGGTCCATGGACGTCCTTCATGCTCGGCGCGCTCAGCAAGACGCTCGCCACTGTCGTGCGTATCTCATATCATCACATCACCCGCCCCTTGAGGCGTAGGACCTGAAGGTCGCTAATCCGAGCCGCCCTTTGTAGGTGACGTACCCGTACATCATGGCCAAAGTCCGCATACAGACGCGCACCGTGGATCTGGAAACGGCAGAGGAGGAGCATGTCCCACCACCACCTCCGGGCTATCATCACAAGGGCACCAAGCACGCCGGTGCGCTGGACATCCTCATTCGCGTGTGGAGGCACCACGGGTTCCTTGGCTGGTATCAGGTTCGTCACTCCTCGCCCATCTCATCGTCTGCGTTATACTCACGTCGAGCGCTGCTGCACAGGGCATGGGTGCACAGATCACCAAAGCTGTGCTTTCACAGGCTCTGCTCTTCATGTCGAAGGAGAAGTTTGAGCACTGGGCGCTCGCGATCATGCTTCTGTTCTATAAACTCGGACGGCCGACGTCCTCATGACCTTCGAATGTGTCCATATTGTTTCGGCGTTAGACGAGTGCCTTGACATACTGTATATTGCATCGCGTACTGATGAGGAAGTCATTTCTGACGCAGGGCTGCGCTATCAGAAGAAGCTCAGATTATGAGGGAAACATAATAGTAGGTATGTGAGAGCTAATGAGAAAGAGGGTCCACAATCAAGCACCAACAGCAGCCATTGAAGGCGTGGCCTCGGGCGGTGGACGCGGATTTGCGGGGGGCGCACCAACAGGCAGCGCCGTCCGCGTCCAGTCAGGAATCACGGTCCTCCCACCACGATGCATCTCTCCTTCCTCAAGGACCGCAGAGACGGCGATACTCTCGTCCGGATCCTGATCCTGTTGCCCGTCGACTTCGTCCCACTTCTCGCGGGACACTTCCGTGCCTCCGGTTTTGAGAGCACTAAAGCGTGATCAACGTTGGAGGTGAGCTATCGGTGGACGGCGGGGAAAGAGCCTACCCAGCAAGCGATCCTCCAACCCACGCCATAGTCGCAGGCGTGAATGCGGGCGCTTTTCCCGCGTTCGCGCTGCCGGGCGCGCTGGTGGGCGGTCGCGGAGATGGGTTGTTGAGTATAGCAAAGAGCGGTACGAGAGGGCGCAGTGATGCATAGCGATCATATGCCGGTGGACGCGGGCGTCCGGGGCGCATGGGTGGGCGCGCGGTCGACGATGGGGAAGTTGTGATGGCGTGGAGGAGCTCGAAGTGGAGACGTGGTATGAACCCTGGGAGCATTGCCGTGCCTCCAACGATGAGTATGGAGGACGCAAGGGTCCTTCGGAGGTCCACTGGGACCTGCGATTTTTCGTTATCAATGTCGGCAGACGGAGAAAAGGGATCGTATATGAAGCCACCTTCAGCAATGAATCGAGAATCGTTTCTGCAACGCTGCTCTCATCGACGTCTCCACCCTCAAACAGCACCTCCGCTCCGCGTTCTCTTATCCATCCAGGGATAATCAAGGTGCCCCGCCCCGTCCCTGTCTGCTGCGCGACGGGTGGCACGACCTTCAAATGCAGCTCTGTCGCGGTCGAGTGGCGCGTGTAGAGGCTCGCAAGGGCCTGCAGATGGGTCTCGCCCCTTGTCATGCGTTCTGGGGCGATCTGCGAGCGCGACACGATCGAAAACCCGGAGGAAGCGGGCTGCGAAAGTTCGTTGTTGCTCTCCAGATCGGCGGAGCCGACGCGCGAGAAGTCAGATTCGGACGGCGTCATGTCGCTGCTCGGCGGGAGGTCCAAGTCCATCGGTTCGTCTTCGCCGGGAGACATAACGCGCATGTCGGACCTATTGTCGATGGGGGTGCCGACGAAGCAGCAGCGGGTGATAACTTCGTCGAGGACGACATCGGTCAGAACTTCTTGTGGCACTCGTGTCGACCGGGTTGCGGCAGGAATGTTCGCGGCTGCACTGAGGGAGGTCGGAGGTGGCAGATAGGTTCCGAAAAGGAGGATGAGAGCACGGATGTGAGATGAAAGCCGCGAACCGGCTAGGGGCGTCGTGCGGAGATGCGGGAAGAGTGGGCGGGAGGAAAATATCTGAGAAATAGAGCTAAATATTCTTCGAGGGGAACAAAAAGAATGAACTAACTCACGGGAAGAACGGTAGATTCCAGAAATCCACAGTCGAGAACGAGTCCAGTTATTCTGCCCACAGACAGCAAGGATAACAGATGGCTCGAAGCAAACGATATTGATGGTACCTGCAGATTAGAAAACAGAATCCTTGCCAGCATCTCCTTGATATACACCGGCAGCAGTGGATGCTCTATTAAGATGACTTTTCGCGATTTTGGATCTGCTAACAAAGAGCTGCACTCGGGCGCGTATCAACAACCCTGTACAGCTCCATTAGCCTAACCAACCAAAGCACGCACTCACTCATGAAAGACCTCTCTCAGCTTGGCCTGCAACCTCGCCTCCAAAACCCTGTCCTCTTCTTCCCTCTGTGCCATGTCCGGCGCGCGCCTGAGTCCCCATAGCGGACCCACCATGAACACATCGCGTGGACGCCCTTCGCCGCTGAACCCCACCTTCCATATGCGCGAGCCGGGGTCGATGACGACGCGGTCCTCTGTTCCGTAGAGTGAATGTCTGCGGGTGGTCTGGTAGTGGGGCGAGGCCTGCACGGCACTGGCACCTGCAAGGCGCGTGATGGTTGGGGTTGCAAGAGGGGTGGAAGGACCGGCAAACGTGGTTCTTCGAGGAGTAGAAGGCGCGGCAGACATGACCAGAACTATCTCGGGCCAATGGCTCCAGAGCAGAGTTGCGTGGAGCGAACAGCGCGCAGTTGGTGTAGCACCCCTTGTGTGGGTGTTGCTGCTGGTAGAGGAACAAGTCTCACGTTGGTGGCTGAGTCGAAGGTGCAGTCATCCAGCGCGATGTTTGTCACCTCAAAACTTCCGTATATACAGCTCTAGATAACAAGCAATACCTAATGTCAAGATATGGTATTCATACACCAACACCAGGGCATCCCTGTCTTCTGATCACCCCCTCCCATATCCCTCCCTGACCGACGCACCTATCTGGCTTCAACCAGATATTGTCAGATACCCACCCGAACCATCTATGCGCAATCAAATCTTCCCAGATGACGCGCCATGGCCTCGAGATAGTAAGATGCGTGAGTCTACAGTGTATTAAGAAATGGAGCGGTGTATACGCTGAACGGGAGGAGACGGCAGTGAGCATTGAATGTGATCAGGGAGGAGGCAAGCCGCTCACCGACATTCACTTGCGGATTGATGTATATTCGAGGTCTCTGAGTCGGCGGATTTGCCAAGTGCATATCATAGGATACAAGGAAACACTCGGATGCTGCGCATTGTGAGTTGTCTCTGAATTGTAGCGGAAGCTGGCCATCGGGCGATTGCTCTGTTTTAGAGCAGGATAACGGTCAAGGTTATACAGTAAAGTGAGCGTGAAATCAACTCACGAGGAAGGAACCAGCGAGCATCGAAAGCAGCAACGCCATTCCAGCAGGATGAAACCTCAATAGGCAAGTCCTTGCGAAGATTATCAATAGCAACATCATCTGTGGAGAAATACGGCCATATTTCTTTCGTCGGAAGACCACAGGCGTCGTGAGTAACCCATCTGAGCCAATCAATTTCATGAGAACAGAGGTGAAACATGTGGGTATCAGAAAAAGGCTCACATGTCATAGAGCCCAATGCCGTCGAAATCGAGTGCGCATGCGATGTCGAATTCGCCGTCTTTCGTCCCCAGAAGGCGAACAATAGATCCTATGTGAGAGATGTATCAGATAAATACTGACACATCCAACAGAAATGGCGGCCAATCCCAAGACAGTCGCTGCGCATCGTATTTCCTACCAGTATATATAAAGTCAATATATATCTCAAACATACTGAAGCGGCCTTCTACTTTGGCACGGCATGGAGTAGCCTGAGCAATATGTGTGGAATAATATGGCCATAGAACGACAGGAAAGAAATGCTCACTCCAATCGAAATAGACGTCATTGAAGAACAAGATTTTGTTGAATGGACGCCCGTTGGTGTGACCGGATGCCAGAGGCTGAATCGCCTTGTTCCTAACTTCGGCCATGTACTGTACACGCTGATGTCCACCCAGAGACCAACCCTGAGTTCGTCCTGAAGTATCTTCCGTCCTGATGCTCCTCTTCACGCCCATTTGTATAAGATCATCATCGAACGAGCGTAGTAAGCGTTTGGTATCATCCTGCGAGTTGGATTCATAGATTGCCACGAAAACATTGTCAGGTCCGAGATGCTTGATGAGCGCCTTCATCTCTCGTGTCCATGATGGCAGCACAGCGGCCGAGTTGTACAAATTAGAAACGATGAAGTACGTCTCGTTCTTCAGCGGAGGAATAGACGCAGAAGGATTGAGGTATGACGATGGACCTGATGATGGATAACGAGGGGAGAGGACCATGAACAAACACCACGAGCAACATAGTAGGAACCGAAGTTGATGGATGCGTGACCACCGAAGGCGGTTCCCATTCTTCAAGTCAAACGCGTCCAACACTGCGAGTGTCGGGATGCAGAACAGGACAAAAGGGAGGTAGAAGAAGAGCGTGGTGAAGAAACCGATGTAGTAAGCGATGGATAGTCCGACGGATAATGTGAAGGCGGCGGAGCAGTACAGCTCAAAGTGATCTCTGAGGTGCGATACGAACCATCCCCTTCGACGTCCATACCGAAATCGCATTTCTTCTGTCATCAACTGCCTATTGTAATCTGTGAGACGGGGAGCTCACGATGAGGTTGCAGGTGAGTTCGACGAGTTTGGTGATCCATAGCGCCTGTGATGTCGGGCTATCGGACAAATTCATAGACGCCCAACCAAACTGCGACAAATGCGGTACAGCAGTCCAAGATCTATGTAACGCAGCATACAGGCAGGAATAACACAAAGTAAGTCGCAAGATAAGTAACCCAACGAGGGGCAGAAGCTAGGGATTCGCGACTGATCCAATTCGGATCTTATGGAGTAGTCGATACAGTGGTAAAAATAGAGGATACAATGCAGCATTCGCTCTCGAGGGCCAATGTAGCACATGCTGAGAAAGTCACGTGCAACGCGTCATTACCTTGAGTGGTGCAGAAATCTCTGGTTGCCGTTCTCCAGATATCCTGCAGACACATTGTAGTCGATCTCTGTTTCTTGGACGTATCCAGGAGGGGCGTACGAGCGCATGCGAATGCCTGGCGCACTGGCGAGAGTAATAGTGACGCGTTCAGAAATGAGATGGTCGTTGGCATCTATAGACGGCACAAATCCTGCAACACGAGGCGGAAGCAGCGCGATAATGTACTGTAAAGAGCATGCCATTGATGTATCAGGGGCAGAGTTGTCACTCAAAAGAGATACGCACTTTGAGTGACAAACGAGGGAACGTGAAGCTAGACTTGATGCCTTTCGGAACGTGCAACTCGCCTTGGAGTGTTATTTTGCCTGTTTTCCCAATGTCCTCAGAGGGAAAGAAAGCCGCACGAGCGATGGTGCTGTAGAATGTATTATTGCTTCTACGAGGAACAGCCTCGTCAGAAGCTCCAGAACCAATCGCAACAATGCGAATCAGTTCGACGGAAGGTTTTGAAGCAAGCAGATCGAGAGCTTGTGCATCAGTGCTTTGAAACGTGAGGATGAGAGGGACCGGAGAGTCTGATGCATATGTGACCTGCATATCATCCTTACATTACACGTTATTTGGGCAACAACGAGGTGAAAGACACACAGGTGTAGCAATCGCCAGCTAGAACTCGCAGTTCAGTCTCATGATGGCGCTTTGAAAGGTAGGTACATACCGTGCATCGTACCTCGGGTGAACGCGCCGCAAAAAGCGTCCCTGTGATATTCTTGGCAGGTAATACCTTCCATCCATCTGGGTCAACTTCGGGAGCGAGGAGTGGTGTACCCTCGCGGTATGCAAGGGCGCGGAGCGCTGAAGGGGGCTCTGCGACAGACCGTGGGAGGTGTACAAAACTTGTTGATAGTCTAAAGTATACCAATTGGATCAAGATCAGTCGCGGGCCAATTAGGAAAAGGCACTACTGACGTTTGATTCACCCGAAAGGCTCCACGACGGATAGTGACGGTCAGCTTATAGTCAATATAGGCTGGGCTTGCGCGCTCTGAGAAACTCGGTGGAAGAGGGTACCGCGTGGAGGCAGTCTTGTTGGACAATGAAAGGGACGTCTCCGCGGGTATCGTGATAGAGAATGGCCATGTATGTGTTCCTGATATCTTCGATGACGAATGGGGGGACCATAATGGGGACGTCTCGTTGAGAAATAGCTCCTCCTCTTGACCCACTGCTGTCGTTCCGGCGCTCAGCTTGGACCACAAACCATCTCATTAGTATGATTTATAACCCGCCATGGCTTGTAACTTACTGTGATTGTAAGGCCCTTGATGTTCTCCGGTCGATCTAGGTCTAAATGCACTTCACCCGAGATTACATCCTGGTCAAAAAACAATGGCATGTTGCTGGGATTCTGCGAGCGGCTGTTGATAAGCAGAGTGATCCATACTCGCCCCTTATTGTTCTCTAGGTGTAACTTGTGCTGACACTTGAATGGGTTGGTATCAGTAAGCCTGGGTTGTATGGGTCGAGGAGAGTACTCTGGAAGTTCGGTATCGGCCATGCAAGGCAAAAATCCGGAGAAAGGTCACCACGCGACTACAACGGTGAGCTGCAGATTGTAAGTGTGCCTTGCATGTTCTGTGTGAGAATGGCGTTGACTGATAAGTAGGGGCAATAGATAGGCTATTATTGTAAGGGATGAACTACCAAGAGCAGGGAATAAACAAGAGCTTTCGGCCTCACGTGTTCCCAGAAACGACGATTTGGTTATGCCGCGAATCTGCTTCGCAAAGTGAGACGTATCGAAATGCTATGAATGCATGCTGTAGTAGGATGTCCCGTGTTGTGATAATAAATTATATTGTACAGAATTCTGTCCGTTTCCTTGTATTAGGTATCGGAACAGAGAAGTTTCGTGATGAAGCACAAAATTAATGCATAGTGTAAGTGTCCATATCTCCGGTGAAATGAAATCTACGATTGGGACTACCAATGAAATCTGCATCCGATTCGGCTACTAGCCTTGGAGGTGCATATGACCTGAATCGGATGTCAGGAGGATTGACGAGAGCGATGGTCACTTGCTGCGAAGATAGAGGACGATGCGGTGATGCAGGATTGAAGCCAACAACTTGAAAAGGATAAAGAGCGATAGCGTACTGAAAGGCAGCATATGGCAACCATGTTAAGAGAGACATAGGAGACGAAGCAAGAGCCTTACTTGGAGGGAAATCTCTCGAAATATAAAGCTCGGCTTCAATCCCTTCTTGAGGTGCAACTCTCCCCATAAAGTCCTATGGCCAGGTTGTGACGTGCGATCGTCGGTAGGCCAAAAAACAGCGCGTCCCATATAATCGTCGAATGAATTAGAGGCATGAAGCATCGAATTGTCGTGAATGGCAAGTGTGCGGACCAAGCGAACCACGATTACTTGAGGTCTTGAGAGAATATCGACTGCTACGGGGTCGATGCTCTCCATGGCCAAGTGTAGTGGAACAGATGTATTAGTTGCGTAACAAAGCTAAGAGCGCTGTGAGTTTGTGAAGTTCGTGATCGTGCTACTGTTCACTTACTGGAGCAGCAATAGCGAGCTGAGAGGATGCAGCTGGCTTAAAATATAACGACAAAGATGATTTTAAACCACTCACAGTGCATCGTACGGAGACAGCTTTGGACGCATAAAGACTGCCCTTGACTTCAATTACATCGAGAACCTTCCAGCCTTCGGGATCATTCATGGGTCCGATCAGCGATGTTCCTTCCCGATAAGCGATTGTGCGGAGGGCAGATGGCGGCTCCGCAACAGACTTGGGTAGGTATACGAAATTTGTCCCTAAACTAAACTTCTGGAATGAGCTTATTGGCATAGAATAGAATGTGCGGACAAGGCCCACAAAAGGACGTACGTGCTGTTAACGGCTAGCATACCACGACGGATCGTGACTATGATTTTGTAATCGATGTGAGCAACACTGCCCCTTTCTGAGAATCGAGGGGGTAGGGGATATGTGCGATGGGGAGTGTTGCGGCCCTCGGTCATTGTTACGGTAGAGGGGATAGATATGGAAAAAGTCCATGCATAAGAACCTTGCAGCTTGCCTGAGGACTGGGACCAAAGCGTCTGAGTTGTCTCGAGAAACACCTCGGGCTGGTGCCCCAGGGTAGTTGTACCTGCTTGGAGCTTGGCATCGAAATCAGGAAGTAGATAATCTTGATGAGTTAGAATTTATGGAATTGAAATTCCTCACCGTGATATTGACCCCCCGAATGCCGTCAGGCTTGACCAGATCAAGTGATACTGAACCACATATGACATCGTGCTCGAAAAAGAGAGGGAGTAGATTGGAGTGAGGTGAACGACTATGTACAGACAGCGTGACCCAAGGGCGTCGTTTGCTTGTTTCCAACGAGTATTGGTGCCGACAGCGAAACGAATTGAGAGTTGAATAAGAATCGGTAGACGCAGACGCATAATTGGCAAGATAAGGCGGAAGCGCGGAGCGCGGTTGACGACGTGACGAGTAAGGAGGAGGCTCCTGCGCCATGAGAGGTGAAAAGAAACATTAGTCTGTACGCAAGCAACGAGCGTTGATAATGGGTTTGTCGGAACGCGTAAATGGGAAGTATTTCTCCTATCACATCAATGGAAACCACACACGCGGAGGACGATAATCCGAGAAGGGCATCTCGCGGACAAGACAGCTGCACGGCAGCACGCGGTGCAGAGGCATACATGTGCACCAATGCAGTGTTTGGGTTAAATATACTATTGGTTCCTGGCGTGAGCAACCATCCGCAGCTTGGACATCTCCTGGTATAGCCAGTTTGCACAAAAAGAAAACTGAGCAAAACCCTAAATGGGACCGCAGCTAGCCTGGCTACACTCGCGTGAAATTATATGCCTAGCACATCAGAGCACACCATGGCGTTGGCGCCAACGAGAGCTTGTTTCCGTGCGGTAGCTCGATGGAGACAGGTTGAGGTCTGTTCAAGCATGTCGAGCAGATGAAGGGGGAGATAACAGTGAGATAACACGCAAGGATAGCTCTATGATGGATGCAGTTTGTCGGGTTTTTTTGTCATATGATCAAGGATTGCCGGGGAAGTTGATCATGCACGCATTGCCTTTTTGGGAACCGCAACTTCGACGATGTGGCGCGGACGCGCTCTGTCTCTGTTCACTTCTACTAATCGCGTTCGACGTCGTCCTTTGGATTAATACTCAATCTATCGACTAATAACTGTCAAGTACGACTCTCAAGCGCTCTCAAAGAACGATCAATAGCAGTAGTTTGGATCAATGGCGTTTGCTACCAGGTGAGCAAGTTGCCTTGTTGTACTCCATGTCTACTTCACGTTAGAATTACAGTGCCTCTGCGTTTGGGATGAAGCCTCCCGAAATCAAGACTGCACTATCGGGTTTTTCCACGGCTCCTAACGCGCCTCCAAACGGTTCTCTGTTTGGCGGACAAGGGCAACAGACGCAGCAGCTGGGGCAATCCGGTGGTCTCTTTGGTGGATTGGGTGGAACCACACAACAACAGAATCAGCCCGGAGGGGGTCTCCTTGGTGGAACGAACAACAATGCTCAGCCTGCAGGAGGGCTCTTTGGTGCAGCAAGCGGGAGCAATCAGCAACAAGGACAGCCTGCCGGGGGACTGTTTGGCGGGGCGGGTGGAAACGCTCAACCTACAGGCGGGCTTTTTGGCAATGCGAGCAATGCCACGCAGAGTCAGCCTACGGGTAGCTTGTTTGGTGGCGCACAGCAGCAGACTCAGCCCTCAGGCGGTCTCTTCGGGAATACAGGTCAGAACCAGCAGCAACAACCGTCCTCCGGTTTATTTGGCCAGCAGGCGACTAACATAGCACCTCAATCGACTTTCCTTTCTCCACAAAATGCAGGCCAATCCAATGCTCAGGCGGGCGGTGGCCTTTTTGGAGCCAGCAACAACCAGCAGGGAGGGTCAAGTTGGAATCAAAACAATCCCCTTCTTCCTAAATCTGCCTTTGGCGGTAATCCCGCGGCAATGAACAACGCGCTCAACACGGGGACTTCCTCGCTTTTTGGCCAAACGCCATCTCAAAATACTGGTCTAGGAACCTCACTTCTAGGTCAGCCACAACAATCACAACAGCCGTACGTAGTTTTGCTTCTTACTTTTCTTTGCTTTATATAGTTCTTTAATTTATTGACCACAGTTCACTGTTCGGCTCCACCAATACCGGATTGTTCGGCCAGCAACAAAAACCACAGTCGGCGTAAGGCCCTTTGTCCTCTTGTGGTATATATAACTGATGAGGCTCAACAGATTTGGGTTCGCAAAGAACAGCTTCGATCAACCTCCTCTCGCTGACATATGGCTGCCAGGTTGGGCAGCACCTTGCAACAATCTCAGCTCAATCAGCCTGCTGCACCGATGGGACCACCTCCTTTCATAAGATCGACCAAATTCAATGATCTTCCCGATTACTTGAAAAAAACTTTTGAGGAGATTGAGTGCGTAGCCATCTCTCCTTCGTAGGAGCACTCGTGTTGAAGACGCCCAGGGCCCATATTCAAGGCCGAGTCCAAATAGCTACCGACTTGAAGCAGCGGAAAGTCGGTGACGAAGCAGCGAAGGGTCAAGACCTTATTCGCAGTGTTCACAAGGTCTTTCTTTGTCCAGATGGACTTCGTGCTTATGTGGCGCTGACTATTTTCGACCCGTGTAGGATCTCATCAAGTCTATCACCACGCTTCAATCTGATGTTCTTTTGACTCGAGATGTGAAAGCGAAAGTCGACCAAACCGTGCAAGACACTATCGTCTCCACGCACATTATTGATGGATTCCGGAACCCGCAACAGCAGCACGGATCACATTTGAGGAACCATGCTTCCTTCCCCCTCGAGTATGTCAACTGATAGGATAACAAGTTTCGGAAGCTGAGCAAGTTTTATGCACGATGACTATTGCCGACAGATTCTTCACACGCCTTGCGGAACAAATGCGGAGGCGCCTACAATGGTACAAAGCGACCATCGAGGTATAACTCATTGCAAAGCAAAGCTTGGTTATCTCACCTAGGACTGACTCCTGTGTTATGATCAGCAAATCGAAAGGAAGTTGGATTCGACAGCTCACCATGCGCAGTACACACCACAAGGTGCGCATTTTGTTTCTAGCTCTCATTCATGTCTATCGATTTCTGAACAATCTCATGCTAGCGATATCGACCACATTGGAAGCCCAGCATGCTTCGTTCATCGCTCTAGCAAACAAAACTGCTGCCTTGGATGCCAGCTTGCAAAAGGTGAAGGCGATCTATACGCAGCTGTGGCGTACTAAAACAGGAAGTATGCGAGATCCTTTCAATGAGTTGGATAGAGGGGCTGGTGGTGAATTTGGTTTGGAAGGATTGTCCGGGTAGTGAGAATGTTCTTGGTTCATCGATGTTTTGTATCTCTGTTTGCTTTGACATCCCTCTTTGTCTTCATCGACTACTCTGTGGGACCTAAACAATTTCTTGCTTTTCTGGTGCGCCCAGTCTCAGATGTTAGTACATTAGTATCCGTGGCGGACCTTGTACGGACAGTTGTTCTGTGTTTAGGTAGTACAGCAGTAGTACAGCGCATTCGAGGTGTCAATGAAGTTGATGAAATTGAAACACAGATTGGCAGATATCAGCTTCATGCACAACAATGTTGAGTGCTGTGCCTGATCTAACTATTGACAACAACAACCATGAGCGTCGACATTCATCCTTTCCTTCCGACAACTCTTCTGCCTCCAATCTTCACTTACCTCGCTTGCAATAGCAGCGGTGGTGAGTTTCCTTGCAATTTCCGGCAGTGTTCCAACCGAGGATACTCACAGGAATAGAAGTTCGAGGACTTCACGCTCGATTTCCCATCTACCCCCGTCCAATCGCCGAGCGTTAGACATTGGGTTTCCTTCAGAGTCTTTCAACCATCCATGGCTGAGTATCCTCAGAACGATATTGTATCCGGAGAACAGTACCGCTACGCTCTTACCAACTTTGTATGTCTTCGTTCATTCCCCTCCAGGATCACATCTAATCTGATCCAACGCTGCCATTTACCAGCGTATAGCCCACGAGAAGGTTGAGCAGCAACGCACGCAGCTTGAAGAGCAGGAGAAGCAGGTTGCTTTGCTTCGAGCTCGGATTGCTACTTTGGAGGGCACTTTCACACTGAGTGTGCCAAAGGCGGGTGCGAGACATGGCGGAAATTCCGTCGACGACTTCTCCATCAAAGTAAGTTGCCTTGGTCTCTATGGCGTAGTGTGCCTTGCCCTCGTTGGATAACATGATGCTAAGTCACGACAATTTACAGAATGCCGCCTCACAGCTGGAACGTCAGATCAACAGATGGGCAACCGATATCCTGCGCACTCCCCCTGCCAGTCTGAACGATATCCGCGACGCAGCATTCACGGACCTTGTCGGTGGTACTGAATTTGAACACGGTGACGATGCGCGTCCCATGCTTGTACAGAACCTTCTGAGACACCTACTTGCTGAGACCATATCGGAAGCCATCATCAACTGCCTCATCGTGACCAGTTCTACCGAGGCCAATATCCAGCTCACACGGATCCATGAACATATCTTTGCACGTGCGTCTTCAACTCTGCCATCGCTGTGGATTACTTAGAATGTTTGCCTTGCAGGCGATCCAACAGTCGCCTCGGTATGGAGACGGCAAACATTCTCAGCGGCGGTCGACGCCTGCTCACCTGAAATGTCGCGCGCGATTCTCGAAGAGCACATGCCAACGCTTATCGAACTGCTTAGCCCCGCCGACTCGGCCCCAACGCCCGTCTTCACCGCCGCGGCTGCAGTCCTGGAATCAGCCTACGAATTCTCTCGCATGCTGCATGGCTCTCCCTCTAGTGCGGGCGACACCGCCGACGCGTTCTACCGCTCGTTCGTACCGGAGCTCGGGAGCACTTTGTACCCCCGCCAGGTCGAGCTTGTCAAGCGATGTATGCGGAGCGAACGAGGAGAGCTAGATCGAGTCGGGGCGACGATCTTTCCTGGGCTCGTCAAGGTTACACGAGGGCCAATGACGCCTGGTGGTCGGAGTGCGGATAACATGCAGACGGTGGTGAGGCGGGCACAAGTCATATGTGAGTGTGCCTTGCAGGCAGGCAGTCAGGCTCACACGAACGGATCGGCTGCGTGAGGCCTACGGTTATGTGTTCTTCTTTGACTGGGTTCTTTCATGTATGTCAAGAGCTTGGCGGTGTTTCGACCAATCTTACTCGTATATCATGAGATGGAAATGATGGGTGTAGGGTCCATTTTGACGTCTATAATCAGAGGGATATATTATATAGCCCTACACAACCAACAACGATGCGACGGTAGCTTGCGCTTCTACAACCTGTAGGGAGCAGACACGCAGTGAGATGATGCAAATAATAATTCGAGATAAACACGAACATCTAACGCCTGCTGCACCTCCAGTCGTCTCCGCGCCGCCTCTAACCAGTCTTTCACCAGTACCTTGGCAGTACCTGCTAACTGATTGAGCTCCCTTGTGGCGCTGTCCAGGTCCTTCTCGTGCAAATAATGTTCTGCACGCGACAGGGTACTTAGGACATCGTCACCGGAAACTAAACCTTGGCGGCGGAATGTGAAGGCGGAGAAAACATGCGACGCTATATGCGACAACAGGCCAGCGTTCTGATCTGGTACGAGGGCGACGCTGGATACGCGGGGCGCAACAGAAGTGGTGAACCACGACGCGAGATCAACGAAGGGCTCGACCCCGACGTCAGGAACGTCGGAGGCCTCGAGGGCCTCGAGTGCAGTAGAAACGATGGGATCGTCTTTCGCGGCGGCAATATGACGCAGCACACGGAGCTCGTCACGGAATGGCTTGCGCGCGGGCGCATCGACGGCGTTGTGAAGCGCACGGATGGCGGACCAAAGAGAGTGAATATGCAGGTTCTGATCCAGGTAGGAGGAATTATCGAGGGCGACGCGTTCCAGACGCTTGAGGTTCGCGGCGAGTTCATCGAGTTTGGCGAGACGCCCGCCACGTTCCTGCTCGACGCGCACTTTGATCTCACGAATCCAGCGGCGTTGAAGTTCAATGCCTTGAGCGATGATCTCCTCCTTCAATCTGAAAGTCACAATGTTCAGCGGTATGAATATGGAACACTGACGCATAGAAACTCACCGTTCGTTGATAATTTCTTTCTGGATTTCTAGCTCTTGCTGCATCTTTTCGCGGTAGAAAGAAGCAAGTTTAGTCTTTTCCTCATCAAGGTATTCCAAAAACCCTGCTTCTTGATTAGCCAGTTTATCCTGAGCTTCGAGCTCCAGCTCTAGGAGCTTGAGCGTGTATTCCCTGGACTGTTCATCCATCTGCCGCTCGAGTTTCCGCTCCTCCTCTTCCTTGACCCTGTCAAAGTTGTGAGCCAACTCGGTCAAGTCAGTCTTGGCGGTGTCAAGTACGTCGCGAGCCTTAGACGAGGCAGATGGATTCGAATTAAGGAAGGAGGCGAGATTGTCTATGGTGGAAGCCAAATGAGCAAGCACAGGCTCTGAAGAACTGAGCTCGGCTACGACGGGAGCAATGAGGGGCAGAGGGGCAGGCGCTTCCTCCTTCGCGGGAGCCTTCGGAGGTTTCGGCGGTGCTGGACGCGAATAGCCAGGGGGAGGCTCATGACCGAGGGGGAGAGGAATATCGTAGAGATTCGAGGGTTTGGCGTGAGCCTCAGTCTCAGCAGGCACGGACTGTGAAGGGGTAGCAGCAGCACCAGAAGAAGGGTCGATGGGCTTGCCAGAGAGGGCGGCCTCAGCTTGCCTAACCAAATCCTCGACGCCTTCAGAAAACTGCTCTGCTTTATGCTTCGCGATCGCTGCTGCCTTCGCGCCCTGCTCGTAGACCTTTTCCTCGTTCGCCTTGATGTCCGTTTTGAGCTGCCCGACAACCTTCTGAACCTTGCCCTTCGCCTCCTGCGACTGTCTCTCCGCGGCGGCCGCAGCGGCTTTAACCTCTTCCGAGATAGTGGCTTTTACCTTCTTTGCCTTGTCAGAGGTTTCTCCCGTTGCGTATCCGAGCTGCTTCCTAGCAAACTGGTACGTCGCAACAGATCCATTTACGGAAGCCTCGACAACGTCTCCAACTGTCAGATTATCCCAGTCGTGAGCCTCTGCGAATTCGAGGACAGCGGCACCAAAGGGAATCTGGCCCTGGAAGAGGTCGTAGTACTGGCGGTTATTGAACGAAACGAAGGCGGACCCGATGTAAAATGTCGCGGTCGCCGCGGTCGTGTAGAATACCAGTCGGGGGAGGATCCGTTTCTTTTTCTTTGGAGCTGAAGGGGATGCTCCCTCCGCCGCCTCTGTCGTGAGACGCTGTAATTCACGAGAATTGTTCAGATGATGGCGTCAGAAATATTGTGGGAGACGCACTCTCCGGGATACTCTGACAAGTCCCCTGCTCGCAGGTTGAGCAGCCTGCCTAGTGACAGGCAAAACTCGGTACATCCGTCGAGCCCGTTGAAGTTGTTGAGAAATGCGTGTCTGCTGTCCGTCCTTCACTCCAAGCGGTTCTTGCCGAATAGCCGTTACAGCGTCACGCATATGACATACGCGTGACAATGTAACACTCAGTGACACTAAGTGCTCCTGACCCATGCCCATTTGTTCTCTCGGATCGACCTTATTCCCTTGCTTACAGTAGAATAGCTCACAATGCGTGTTCTACGACATTTGTTACACTCTTGAATGCCCCCACAGAGGACTTTATGTTACCATTCTGCACGAGTTGATTAGATTGGGTGCATCTCGGTACCCGGTTGCTGTACGCGTTCTTTCATCCTCCTGCCATAGGACATTGCATGAACGCACTAGGTCTTCTGTAGGACATCGGTACAGCAATGGATACAGACATCATGGCAGGTCTGGCGTCAAGTGTCCTTGCTTCATATCATGGAGGCCGCTGCCAGTCGGCCCGAAGATAAGGTGGGCTCCTCAGCTAGGCGCTCGACGTTCGTCCTTCCTCATCCATCGCATCATGGGTGACACCTTTCTCGTGAACGCAGACCGCAAAGATACAACTCAAGTGGAAATTAATGACCTCGAGCTCGAAAGCGATACACGTTCACTGAGTGGGAAAAGCCCGTCCAACCCCAATTGGACGACGACGCGACGAGAATTATGGTGTTTTTATCTATACTACATTGTGAGGCATCATGGCTTTCGACTGAATGCTGTCTTTTCCTCGCCTTCTGACATGATGTTGATGATACGAAGGGCAACAATGGCCTTTCTGGGTTCAATTTTGGCCCTTCGCAGTTCCAAAATTTGCTGTATTTAGCTGGGTATGACCCAGAGCAACCTCCATTCACTGCCACCTGTGGGAGTGGTACAGGTTGCGTGCTTCCTTACTTAGGCCGTGTTCGGGACAGTAAGTGCTCACTTCCTGATATAGCTCCGATATAACATGAGGGGTTTCGCTCTACTAGTCAACTCGATTGTACTCCTCACAAATGGTATCAGTTTTGCCATCCAGGCCGTCCTTCTCTTGATGATCGGAGCATGGGCAGACTATGGACGTTGGAGGTAAAACCCACATTCATGTTCTAAGGCTTCCGCCCACGAAACTATTCCCACAGGCCCAACATCACTATTTTCTTCACTCTAGTGGCTGTTGGAGTATCATTTGCTTGGCTCGGCGTTGACGAGCCATCGCAATGGCGTGCCGGAATCGCACTTTATGTACTCGGTCGTGAGTTTTCGCTGATTTCAATGTGGTGTCTCCTGATAACCTCCACTAGTGATCACCTACCAGGTAAGTAAAGCAATCTCTAATCGATATCTACATTTTCCGAGCACTATCTTAGTGCGCTCTCACGTTCTGGACCGCCGCGTTTCCTGGGCTCGCGCGCAATCTTCCAGAGGTTGAACAGTCAGCTGAGGAAGCGAAACAAGGGAAGAAAACGTCGGTCGTTTTCTTGTACATGTCTTCTCTCTCTCCAGAATCCTTGTTCTTTTCTCGAACAGCCTCGATGACCACGCAAATTTCGAGTCCCTCGCGAGGAACCGGATCTCGAACATGTCGTTCGCAATTTGCTCGGCCGGCGAGATCGTTGTCCTCGCAATCATGGTCGGTATCATCAAGGGCCTCAAGGCGGGCGACAGCACCGAAAATAATACGAAATCCTTCAGTGTGCTCATTGCATTCTCTGGTGCCGTCTGGCGTGGGTCTCATCCTTAGCTGTAAACATGATACCCATTCTCATGCCGTTCACTACTGCCTAGTCCTTTGTGCCATTCCATGGTTCATTTTCGAGAAGCGCCGGCCGGGACTCGCGCTCCCTCCAGGAGCTTCTCTCGTAACGATCGGTTTCAAGCAGACTTATGTCGCGTTCCGTGAATGTCTACGCTTGAAGCAGACTTTCTTATACCTCATATTCTATTTCTTGATGTACGTCCCTCGCTATGCGCTCCTCCGTCCTAGATATGAAGGCTGGCTCGCAGGGGCGATGTTTTGAATACCACGGTGTAAGTCCCGGTGCCGTCAATGACACGTGCTTCATCAACGTTGACAATGTTCCATGCAGGACTGTCATTGGGACTCTACAGAACAGGTCGCTGGACCTCGTCAATCTGTCAAATTTGAGCGTTGAACGTGTTTATTCAGCGTTGTATCATATTCGACACTCCAATTGACCCTTCTGCTCTTGGTCGGGATTGTCGCGCAAGGGATCGGGATCTAGTATGCTTTCCTGTGATCTACTCTGTCAACCTTCTAACCCTTGAAAAAATGAAGTGCATTTTGGCTCGTGCAGAAGAAGTACATGATATCCACTAAAACTGTGCGCTATCCCGTTATTATGGTTTCAGTGTCCTATTCTCATTGCCTCATCGCGCAGATGTTGATGTTCAACGTCTTTTGGATTTTGGTTCGTTCAATGGAAGACATATCATGTTCTCGCTGAACCTGATTGAATGCAGGTGCTGACGATATGGGGTCTCATCGGTGTCCACACCGATAAATTCGGGTTCAAGCATATCTGGGAAATCTGGTGTGCAACCTAATCTAGTATCTGTAGATCTTCCTTCTTGATGACGTCTTATGCGCAGGCTGTATCAGGTCTTTTACGGGCTGATGGTGTGTCCGTGGTATGCATACAGTCAGACGATGATCAGCGAAGTCTCGCCCTTACCGCAAATGTACGTCTTCGTAGCTTGATTCAACGTTCTCCGGATAAGATATGGTGTTCCTGACCATCTATCTAGGTTCCTATTTTTTGCCCTGTTCTCCGTCGTACGTCAAGCTCTTCTTTCCTTCCATCGCCGGATGTAAAATATTAACAAGATAACATGATATTATTTTCTCGAACAGATCGGGAAGACGTCTGCGTTCATAGGACCTTTTGTTTCCGAAGCCATCATCACTGCCTCCGGAAACAACAACAACATGCCGTTCGCATTTTTGTTTGCCTTGTACGTTACCATCGGCTTCTTCTCTTCCCCGACTGGATCATTCATTTTAAAATAAATAGGGGTGCATTCAGCACAATATTTTTGTTCTTGGTCGATATGGAGAAGAGTCGCGTCGAGTGCGAGGAATTCGTGGCGGCCGAGGCAGAACATCAAGCATTCACTAATATCGTTGCGTGAGTGTTTACGTGAAATGGACTCTCGGAGGATGTGGGAATGGCGATGATGTCACCACGAACAAAGACTCGGAGGATCCAAAGGGTATCTTCTTCGGGAAGTCCTACCTCACACGACCCATCTATGTAAGGTCCAGTGTTGGCCTCCTAAAGGAGAGATCATGAAGCCGCACCCGTCGAGAAAATCTAGAACACGATCATCACGGAAAGATTTGACGAAGTTCTATCTTATCACGTCGGACGACTTCGAAGCGTTAACTCGGAAATTACTAGCGAGAGCGAAGAAGGATAAAGGTTATGCCATAAGTCTCGAGAGAACAAACGGGAGTAGGTGGATGGAGAAAGCAGAGGTCCCAGTCCTCGAGATAAGAGCCGATCATACCGTGCACGGCCGACACTAGGTCGTATTAGAATATTTCTAAGAAGAAAATCCAATCTTTCTGAAGCGAAGATGGACACGATGCATACTTTGTGCAGCATGGCCGCCGTAAAGAGATGCAGCTATGGGAATGTCAATGCTTGACTCAAACGATGAACGCGATAAGGATGCACCGACGGCTTCGACGTGTGGATATTTGGACAAACATAGGTCATGGCGAGAAGTCAGTGGGAACTTTCCGCCATCGCCATACGTATTCAAGCATACTCTGACGCTCCGATGAAACTGGTGAGTCAAAATGTGCGCCTCTTAGTCCTTGATTGCGCGAGACGTCTTCATGCGTTGCTCCTAGAAAGTACCGGCAGGGAAGCCTGTCTAGAGATAGGTATGGCCTCAAAAGTATAAGTAGCACGCGTTCTAGGAGACAATGAGGGGCTAAACTGCTTGCTTACAACGGAGACTGTTTTGAGAGTGCGGGGAATCGCTTAGCACCATTGGCTCTAGTCAGCTCCGACGGACCGACTGGCTCACAAGTGAGCCCCTCTCTCCTTTCTTCCTCTCCACCACCATCTTCCCTTTCCTCCACATTACTCCTTGTAATCTCTCGTAATTAAGAGCCAGCCACGGCCTCAGGCAAGTCGCCCTCTTCCCCTTTCTTGTCCGTTCCGTGACAAAGATGTAGCCAGCTGACAGCGCGCTGGCGTCGGACATCGCACAGGTTTTGTATAAGCCCACCCAACCCCATCTAATCCATCCCCCACATTGTTCCTGCCCGCGCATCAGTGCCACCTTTACCCCGCATTCTTTGTCTTGATCCACCATGGCCGCCGCTGTGACTCACCCAAACCTCCACGACGACAGCGAGTCGAGGCCCGTCACTGTCGATGCCGCACAATACTATGGCGGACAGGAGTTCCAAGGTCGCTCGAGGACTTACAGCGCAGTATGTGGCATACGCATTTCGTGTGCTGGCAACAGCGCCTAACTTTGTTCATAGTCGGGCACGTATGGCTACAACCCCAAACGCCTCCCCGCATTCGAAGATGATTGGCATCTGCGTCCCCGACGGATGTCCCACGACGAGAAGAGCACCGCGCCTCGTCGCTTCCTCATTGATGTAGAAGAGACAATTCGTCTTGTCCTCGAGCAGGAGGACACTGACGGTGACTTCCAAATCAGTATTACTGACGCGGGCCCTAAGATTCTCTCCCTTGGCACTGCGACCAGCAACGGCTACAAGAGTTTCGACATTCGGGTAAGTACCGCCCATTTTATCTTTTATGTAGCTTACGCCGTTCCTGTTTCAAGGGGACGTATATGCTCTCCAACCTCCTCCAAGAACTCGCCCTCGCTCGTGATCACAACAGGAAGCGCATTGTCCTCGACGAGGCGCGTCTGACTGAGAACCCAGTCGACCGCCTCTCTCGCATGATCAAGAACTCTTTCTGGCATTCTCTGACTCGTCGCATCGATGGCGATGGCCTCGAAATTATCTGTGCAGATCCCAAGAACCGCACTGGTCGTGTGCAGCCTCGCATTTACATCCCGCACGGCGAGCCTGCCATGGCTGACTACTACAGAAAGATCGCCCGAGAGAAGCCACATCTGAACTTGGACGTTCAAGTCCTTCCTCCGAAACCTGACGATCCGCATTTTGTGAAGAGTCTCAACAGCAAACCGGGTATTCTGGCTTTAGCGATGAATGAGGTTGATGATGGCAAGGGCGGTCGTACCCTGAAGGGCATTCCCTTCATTGTGCCCGGAGCTCGTTTCAACGAGGTATATTTCTGCCCGCCAGTGACCTTAATCACTTATCTTACATCTCTCTTAGCTCTACAACTGGGACTCGTACTTCATTTCTCTTGGCCTTCTCGTCGACGGTCAAGTGGCAATGGCCAAGGGCCTCGTTGAGCACTTCATCTTCGAGATCAAGCATTACAACAAGATCCTCAATGGCAGTCGATCCTACTACCTCTCCCGAACTCAGCCACCCTTCCTCACCGACATGGCTCTGCAAATCTATAACCAGCTAGACCGCTCTGACCTCGAAGCTAACCGCAGGTGGCTTAAGCGCGCAATCCAAGCAGCAATCAAGGAGTACCACACCATCTGGGTTGCGGAGCCTCGCATTGATCCCAAGACCGGTCTTTCCCGTTTCCGCCCAGAAGGTGTCGGCATCCCGCCTGAGACGGAGGCCACGCACTTTACGCACATCCTCGAGCCGTACGCGCACAAGCACGGGCTCTCCGTTCTCGAGTTCAGCGAGAAATACAACGAAGGCCAGTTGAAGGAGCCTGAGCTCGACGAGTACTTCCTGCACGACCGTGCGGTGCGCGAGTCTGGCCACGACACGTCCTACCGTCTTGAGAAGCGGTGCGCGAACTTGGGGACGATCGATCTCCAAGCGCTGCTGTACAAGTACGAGATCGATATCGCGACTGCCATTCGAGAGGTATTCGACGACGAGCTTGAGCTCGAGGAGGACTTCCCACTCGCGCCGTTCCCGCCGTCCCCTGAGGCATACGCGCACCCGTACCGTGAGCGCTCGACGAGCCGCAAGCAGTTTAGTGAGGAATGGTTCGAACGGGCAGAATGGAGGCAGGGTGTAATCGACAAGTACTGCTGGAACGAGAGCAAGGGCTTGTACTTTGATTACGACACCGTGCAGGAGAAGCAGAGCTTGTACGAGAGCGTCACTGCGTTCTGGACCTTGTGGGCTGGGTGCGCGAGCGACGATCAATGCTGGAAGCTTGTGTACGTGTCTTTGCCCCTTCTGGCTATCCTGGAAATAGCGCTGATGAGATGTTTTAATTTGACGTACAGCTCGCAATCGCTCAAAAAGTTCGAAGTTCTGGGTGGCTTGGTCTCGGGGACGGAGGAGTCTCGGGGAAAGATTTCTCTGGATCGTCCCAACCGACAGTGGGATTACCCTTATGCTTGGTGTGTTCATTTTATTTTCGTCGTCTTCATCGCTTTCTGATGCTGATGTCGGGAAAGGCCTCCGCATCAGATCATGGCGTGGGTTGGCCTCGAACGGTATGGCTATCTTGAGGATGCCCAAAGACTGGCGTACAGGTTCCTCTACATGTGAGTCGTCTGCGTGGAACCCAGTGAACATAGCTGAACGGTTCTATAAGGATGACCACTGCCTTCGTGGATTTTAATGGTGTAGTGCCTGAGAAGGTAAAAATATATCTACCTTTGGACATGGATATAATTTGACCTGTCGATGTCTATAGTTTGACGCTGTCAAGCTTTCACACCTTGTGGACGCCGAGTACGGGAACCAGGGACTCGACTTCAAGATGGTTCCTCGGGAGGGCTTTGGGTGGATGAATGGTATTGATATTCGCATCTCCTGGCGTTTGACTGTTCCGCTCATTGATTCCCGCACTGTATAGCCGCCTACCAAGTCGGTCTCTCATTCCTGACGAGCCACATGCGCCGCGCGGTCGCTGCTTGCACTTCTCCCGAGGTCTTCTTTGGCAGGTCCATGATGGGCGAGCACACTGCCGCCCCGCCGTCTAGCGTTGTCAACGACCCCCTGGGAATGGCAATGGAGAACCTGACGCTCAACACGAACATTCCTAGCACCAGCACCGCCATCAACGCCGCAGCCTCGTTTGTGCCCTCACATTCACCCGCTGGGAGCATTCAGTATAACTACTACTTCCCCGGAGGCCTCTCCCCAATCTAGATTATTCTAGTGGCATAGTGCGTATAGTTTGGGTCGGCGAAGTCTGATTACAGATTCGGTTTGATTTCTCTTCTACTGTAAAAAGTATCCATCGCTTGAGAAGCCGAGTAATTCCGCATCCTCTATAACGATGCTCTCTCTTCCACACGTTTCACTCCTTCATCACGTTCCCGTCAGGCTTCATTGCATCGCAATTAGAGCTACTCTAGATGCACGTTCTCGTTCCCAATCACTCCGCAGTACCAATTCGTGTAACATCTATCCATGTTCCTTCAGTGCCTCTGCGCATCGTCAGCCTAGTTAGATACCAACCTCCTTCAGCTTCCTCTGTTATCTTGGTACAATCTCGTTAATGATCGTCTACTAGCAACTCGCGGACATCGTGTCTTTCTTTTTTCCTTATTTTTTCTACTGGATGGTCATCTTGGTGGTTCGTGGGTTCTTAGCATTCAATAGATGGATTATGTCTTGCATCGCATTTGTGTTTTGGTGTGAACGGCAACGTTGGTGGAGCTCCGCGAAGCCGGATGCATTTCCAGTTTTGGCGAGTGCGGGTTGGATGCGTGCTGGTCGCGAGTGACTCGCCATCCGCCTCGCTCAATGCTCCCACTATCTCTCACCAGCTTCATCTTCCCGCTCCTCACCTACTTCACCCCCGATGCCCCCGCGCGATCCCAACGCCCATTACTCAGACCACAACCGCCGGCCCTCCAGTTCGAACTACGTCACCAGCACGCCGTCACCCCATCCGCCCACGTCTACTTCTCCGATATCCCTCCACTGCGCGCCTCCGCGAACGGCGATGGCGGCAGCTACCCGCAGTCGTATGCTGTGCACACGCGTCCGGTGGTGACACACAAGCCAGCATCGGCTGCCGCTTTCGCACGCGCGCGCACCCGCTCGATGCAGCGTGCGGAGAGCGAGGCGCTGTGGTGGGACGAGGACGAGGTGCAGGGCCCGGATACGGAGAAGCGGGAGACGCTGCTCATGCTCGCGAAGATGACGAGCAATGCGTACATCGCCCCTACGGATCCCGGGTGGTACGATCTCGGTGGGAACTGGACGGTGGTGCGTGCACGCTTGACAGACGCTTCTTTGTGCATCATTGGCTCACAGGGGTGTTCATTCATCGAACCCACATCTCTCTTGAACCGCGCCGATCTCCCTGATTCTGCTCGCGTGCGCGCATCGGATCGACTCAGAACGAGCCGGTGGGGTGGGAGGACGACGCGGACGGGTTCCGCGGGTACGTGTTTGCGACGCCCGATAATTCCACCGTCGTTCTCTCCATTAAGGGCACGTCTCTGGCGATTGTCGGAGGCGGCGGAGGTCCGACGACCAAGAAGGACAAGCTGAACGATAACCTGCTGTTCAGCTGCTGCTGTGCGCGCGTCGATTGGACGTGGACGACGGTGTGTGGCTGCTATCGCGGTGGATGGAAGTGCAACCAGGACTGTGTCGAGGAGGCGTTGATCGAGGAGAGCTTATTCTATCCCATTGGGACTGTGAGTGGTCGTTTTCTCCCGCGCGGGTTATCGCGCTGATAGTGCTCGTTTGGGGTCGGCGATGCTAGAATTTGTACAATAATATCTCTTATATGTACCCGGAAGCCAACATATGGCTCGTCGGGCACTCGTTGGGCGGATCGCTTGCTTCGCTGCTGGGTGTGACATTCGGCGTCCCCGCCGTCACCTTCGAAGCCCCAGGCGAGAAGATGGCGTCCCAGCGACTGCATCTCCCCTCCCCAGTCCGTGATCGAGCTCCTATTCGGCGCGACTAGATCTAATTAGCTGCATAACAGCCTTCGACGCAACATGTGACCCATGTTTACCACACTGCCGACCCCATCCCCATGGGCACATGCAATGGGGTGCTCTCCTCGTGCGCGCTGGGAGGATATGCATTGGAGAGCCAGTGCGTTGCTTTATGCGCCTGCGCGTTGTTTCGTCCGGCGATGATGGACGGGCTGATTCATTGATCACTAGATGTCATCTCGGGAAGGTCATCGAGTACGATACCGTATCGAACTTATCGTGGGCCGCGGATGTGCGGACGCACGCGATCCTCAACGTCATCGACAAGGTGCTCAGCCAGCCGTGGGCCGCGGCGGAGGAGGTCGGGAGAGAGGTGCCCGAGCCGCGGGTGCAGGACGACTGCGTGGTGAGCCGAGTTTCGAGAATGTCCAGCTTGCGCATCCAGGCCGTCGCTCACGGCCTTCTTTTTGCTGATCGCCACAGGAGTGCTTCAGCTGGGAGTTTGGCAACTTCTCGAGCACTGGGGCGTGAGGCATTATAATGAACTATGCTATCGGTGCGGTGGCTGGCGTCACACAGGGACACCGAGTCGGGTCTGTATACTATACGTTTTTACTTACTATCATTGGGTGCTTTTAGAGAGAGAGGGGGCCGACGTGCTAGACGTGGACGTCATTTGGTCCACGATGTCACGGCGGGTCTCTCAGCGTCACGACAATCATCATGCTATTGCTTCGACACCTGTATTGTCTAGTTTATATTTCCCATTCATCTGTGTCATCGTTGCTCCTCTATCTGGTTTGTTCGATTTGCACGCACTCACGGCGACTGACGTGCGGAGGGGACCCCCGATGTGCTGACTATTGGCCGCTACTCACTTTCTTCACTCAGCAAAAAGCTACCGGTGGGCTGCTGCCGGCGCATGCGTTCTAGGGCGCAGTTTCTACAGGCGTGAGTCGTATTCCCTCGCTTTCATCAGTCATGGGTCCTGTCTTGTGTTCTGATCACACTCAACGCCCTTCCGTTACCAGCCCAGATCTCGGGTCTGTCCCCCTGATATGTCTTCAGCCGTCCTAACGATATTGTTTCGAACCTGACTCGCTGGCTTCCTTGTCTACCGGATGTATGCGGTCCCATAGCATTCTGGGAGCTATACGCCCTATGCGAGCTGGAATCACAGTACGGTCGGTTGCTCCCAGCCAGGCCAGCGTCACTTGCCTTTATACATTCACGCTGATTCCAAAATCCTGTTTGATCATGGGAGTCGAATGCGCATCGCGCCAGGAGTTCAGCACACCCGTGGACGAGCCTGAAGGACGCATGGAGGACCCGTAACGACTTTCCAGTCGCTGGCCCTGCAGGGAGAGTGTCAGCAGCCACATCCAGCGCCACACCCGACGCCTTCCGAATGCGATTCGCATCTTCGCATGCGCAGACACAGACACAGCCCGCCAGCTCCTCGTCCCGACGCAAATCCTCTTCCCCGTAAACGTACGCCGCAATCATCGGTGGTCAGGCTCAGCCCCAAACGAACCCATCGTATGTCCTGAAGCCCAAGCTTGATGACATCCGTTCCCGCGGGTGACCTCTCGCGCGCGGGCCTGCTTGCACGCGTGACGCCTCCTTTGGGGCCGCGGGTCCCCCTGACCCTGCGAGCCGTGCCCTCAGACTCGAGCGCGCGCCGAACAGGAACCTTGCGTCCCGAACTAGGACGTGCTGACGTGTGTCGGTGGGCTTCGTATGGGTATCTTGGTCCTCATACGGCCGAAGACGGCTTTGACTGGGGAAACCCCAACCGGGGTCGTTGCAAGTTCGGAGCGCTCGGACATGCGCCGGACAGCGAGGATCTGTGCCGCGCCGGTGGATGGGCGTGTGTTGCTGCCGCTTTGGCTCCTGGACAGTTTGACTGGCAACTGGCAGCTTCGATCTGCACGTGTCTGCGAGGCGCGCGCGATTAGAGCTTGTTGTTTCGACGTGGTCGGTCTATGTGCTACCTGTCCTGCGGGAGCCCTCCGAGTTACTGTGCATGCGAGGCCTCGAGGCCACTCGCGAGGGGAGAAGCCGACTGTACTCGCGTGGCACCTCCGCATGTAGGCCTGCGCTTCGTCTTTGTTATGTATCTGTCGTGGGTGTCTGCAGGCGACCGCATTCCCAGCGCAGCTTTCAGCGATCCATCGACATCATGGCCGCGCCGTCACCCGCTCGACCGCATCGTCACATACACTTCAAGCGTCCGATGACGCGCGCTTGCTCGCTTGCTGGCCTGCCTACCTGCATGTATGCGCGCACACCGAGCCATCTATCCGAAAGGAAGTCGCGTCGGCGATCTACGCTTCTACACGCATAATGGACAATGAATTGGTATTATCATATCATCGCGTCATCGAACCTTTTCGTCTACCGATATCATCTCATAGCAGCGCATGGCCTAGAATCCAGGGCCCAGAGCCTAGATGCGGCTTCTTCACGACTAGGAACCTCCCATCGACACAGTCACTATGATAGATCTGATTTATTACAGTTTTATTAATGTGGATCGACATGTTCTAGGCGATGGACGGGTATACACCGGTATGGACATTGTCTTCGATGTCGGATGCGTGTTTAGGACAAAGGGCAATATAGCCAGGTACAGGAAGCAACCGTTGGAAGGAACTCTGCGTGTTATGTGTACTCGTACACCTTTGTACACTCAGGCTGGAGCAGCCGCGATCTCGAAGAACTTCGCACCCGCATGGTGCGCCGACACTTCTGGGTTCCAGACCACCGCCTCATGCCGACAAATCATCGATACCGTGTTCCAAGTCTCCTTCGTCAGACGAACGTCAATGTAGCCTCCCATGTTCTCCCGCTGGAAGTCCGTGCGCTATTCTCGGAGGATCTAGATGCGGTCAGCCCTACCGCTGCCGGTGAGGGCGTGATTGTCGATACGTGATTGTTGCCTCGAGATTGAGTGGGAAGATCTGGGCCGAACGCGGTGGGTCCCTCAGGCGCTGGACTCCATCAGGGGCTCGCGCGACCGCACACGACGTGGGTTGATCACCATCGAGGCGACAAGACGGCCATTCGACACGACGAAGGCTATCGAAAGACGACGAAGGCTGTCGAAGGGCGACGAAGGGTGACAAAGAGGGGATTTTGCCGTGGCATGTGTGGGCGACGCGCGTTCAGATGACTCGAGGGGAGTTCCGAGGACGAGTGGGCGGGACGGCGTGCCTACGTCGAGTCGCTTCGCGGGACCTCGTGACGCGGATGCGGTGACTCGTTGCGGTAATGGACCCTGAAGCTAGAAAGGCATCGAAGGGATAGCAGTGATGATCGGTGCAGACATGAACTTTGAAGAGAGGCGCACACCGGGAGGTCGCGAGGCGCATCTCCCTTTGGAGGGGAAGACTGGTGGGCCCTGCATGAACATGAGCCGGGCTTGCTAGTGCTCCAAGGATGTCGTGAGAAAAGCGAAGTGATGCACCGCTGTGCGCCGCGCTTTCGCATTTGTTACTTTAGCGACGTGAGGAAGGGCGACGATGGCGAGACCGTGAGGAACCTGGGAACGGAGAAGATAGATGCTTACGGGGGACGCGACGGGCGAGAGCAAGCGAGAGGAGGCTGGAGGGGACGGGCCAAGGGATGGTCGACCGTGGGCTGGAAGTGGCAAGGTGATTGCGCCATGCTGTGGAAGGAAGGTAACTTAGAAGTTCGGGAATGCCCGATCAGGATGCTCGCTGATGCTCGTGTTGGCACCACGAACGAGGTTTAGGCGGGCATGCAGGATGCCGGCAGACGCGGACGTGCATTGCTGCACGCGGCGGTCCATGGACGGCGTTGTTGTTGAAGGGCGCGGTGGAGGAGTGGTGGACATGGTGGTGGAGGGGATTGCCCAGAAGAGACGGGAAGGGGCTTCGAATGCGGGGTAAGGGACACCGCCCGCCAGCCTCTCGGCCACCGCCAGCTGATATCCTTCATTAGCATATGTGCCGCGCAGGGACCAAGACAAGAACAGCCCGTCTTTTCACCCTCGGAGAGTTGGCGAGCACCACAGCGTGGAGTTGTGCGATGACTCTGATGGCATCTGGTCGACATGGTGCAAGCCTGAAGAGAAGAAGACGGGAGATAAACAGACAGGCGGTTTCCATTGCAGCGCCAAGAATAGAGTGCGATCTCCAATTTAAAAGCTTACTGGGGACGCGTACGTAATGGCGTGCTCCGAAAGGGCACACGTGAGCAAGCAGTATATAGACCCCACCCTCTCATCTCTTCCGCCTACTTTCTCCCACCACATCCCTCCCCGTGCCTACATCAGAATAAACACTATCGCAACAATGCCTACCGAATCCATTAGTAACAGTCGCACAGATGTCAAGCACTCCAGCCCCATCCCCATCGGCGGTAACGCCCCCAACCGCCGCCGAGCCCCCTCCTTTTCGTCTTCAGAGGGCTCCCCAACCTCTCCCCAGAGCCTCCAAACACCTCTCTCACCATCGCCCCCACGGGTTGCTACCTCTCCATCGGCCTCTCCCATCTTGTCCTACTTCATGAGCGCATCTCCTACCAAGCTGAACCCCACTTTCCCCTTCCGCCGCCCCTTTGGCGCCCCGCCTGTTCTTGAGGGTCCGCATCAATGTCATCTCGCTGCAATAAGCAGAATACTCACGTTCATTCACATTTCTCCACAGATGACGAAAGCCTCGACGCAGACACACTCCCCACATTCCATGGGCGCAGCGCGTCTGCAACCTGGACTACCGTCCCCCCTCGCTTCCCCCAGCCCTCTTCGCCGCCCATCATCCCTATCCCTGAGGCTCAACAGTCCCAGCAACAGCGTGGCACGGGCGTCCTGCGTCGTCTTTCTCTAAGCAGCGGTTTCGGCAGAGTGTGTATCCCTCTCGCGTACCCTACTCCTGACTCCCCTGAAATGGCTCGCTCATCGCCCTATCAGCCGAACCTTATGTCGCTCAACCGCCCTCAGTCGCCCCCACGTCCGGGCACACCACCCCCGAGCGCGGTGAACATGGCCCCTCAGAACGGTGGGCTGTCCGCAGCGTCTCCCGGGCGCAAGCCTCGTCGCGCTACGACACTTGGCGTGCGCCCAGCCGACTCAAAGACCCGACGTGCGCCGTCACCAATGGGCGAGCGCATCTTGAAGGGCCACTTTGATGGCTTCAATTGAAGCCCTGTCTCCATCAACGCCCTTTGCATCTCATTCTCTAGCTCTGGGTCTCCATCCTCGTTTCCAATCTCTTCATATACTCGGTTCTGTCGTCGCTCTTGGCCTCGCTTTCTGTTCAAATCTGTATCATGCCGCGAGCACTCGCGCTCGCTCGCTGTACCTCATACTGTATCTGTCACCCCATCGTAATTGCTCCCCGCGGTCTGCTCAGGCGCTATACTCTTGTCCACGGCTAGTCCACGATTCATTCCTATACGTGCGGAGGCCTTGAGGACATACATCTGTGGATCGATGAGTCGTGCTTTGGCTATGCGATGCTGCCGTCGCCGTGGGGCAAAATAGCCGTGCATTTCTGGGTTTCCCTTGACACCACTGCCGGCGATTTTACTTTCGCCGGCCCCATCGTTTTAATCACCATCTTCTCAGCAAGTTCCGTCGGTCGCTTCCTTTTCTCACATGCATCACTGTCAGCAAAATCATCCTCCCACCATCTTTCTTCACCCACCCACCCACCCCTCTGCTTGTCATCATCGAACACCTCGCCTTCATTCTTCTCTTCACCAGCATCACTGTCCCATTTTTAGCAGAAGCATCGATATCAGCATCAAAAGCATGTTCGGGCCCTTGCGAGCAAGTCACCCTGTTCCTTTCATCATCCTCTCACCTGTCTTCCATTTTTCGTGTCCGTCTTGTCTTCTGTGAACGCCGTGTGGCTCAGATTCACGCACGGCCCGTTCTCGTTGATCGGAAGCGACGATGCTGTGGTACCCTGAACCCTGCTGTGAACACAACTCTATTATTGGATCTGCTCTAGCGTCGACGTTCTCCTGACGGGTTGGTCTGTGAACGGGGCTCCTGTCTCCTGTCTCCTGTCTCACCCCCGTTCCGTCATCCGTTATCTGCCCGTGTCCGTGCTGCGTCACTGGGTATTGGAATCGATGTGTGGGATGGCGTCAGTCTTCAGGAGGCGCATTCAATACCGACTGGGTGTCGGGTCGGGGTCAGCGGTTTTGGCGCATGAGGGTGGGCCTTGGGTTCAATTCAATGGCGGCGATCAGGATCGTCAATCGGCGGAGTGATCGAGGTTGCGTCCGCGCCAGGAAGGCTACGAACAGCGTGGAGGAATAATAGGGGCTCGTCGGGTCCGCGGTCTGTCTTGGTCTTGCTACGTTTTGTCTTGTTCGTTCTTGTGTTTTCGTGGTGCGTGTTTGGAGTATATCTTATTGAGATTTCGTTTTTGTGGTGTACATACTGTGGATTGCGGGTTGCGGGAGGAGGTCGGGAGTGGGCGGGATAGGGGCAGTCAAAGAAGACTTGTAACATGTACAGTACTTGTTTAGATGAGATTTTTTTGTGTGATCCTCTATCTTACTAAGGAGTAATCGAGCGATCGAATCACATTTCAAGCAGTTACGGGTACAAAGCAAATACTGGATACAGAAGACGTGCCCATGACGCCGGTCGTGAGTTCGGACGTCAAACATGCTCTCGATCTTGTTCGCGTCGCTGCTGGATTCTGAGTTCTGGCGGGGCACAAGAGGTGAAGTGTGATATGTGAAAAATTGGTTGGAAAGGATCTGCGGTGCCAAAGCCGAGCCATGATCGCGATGGCATGTATGATCTCGGGAGATGTTTTCGGGACTAGGGCGAGTAGGTCGGGTAAGCCCAGCCATGATTGAGTGACGGGCTGGTGGTTTTTGGGGGGAAGGTAACGGGTGGGAGTTCGGAGTGGGGTGCTGTGGGATGATGGCGTGCACGATGCGCGGGGCTTGTGCGGGTGACGATGGTTGATGTCATGCAGGTGTGTCGCGCGGTGGGCGGTCTGAGATGTCAGTGCTCGAGACACATGAGCAAAGGACATGGCTGTGATCTCGATTGCGCATGTACTCGCATGCATCATCTAGGCAGACGGCCCGGTCCTTTGCTTGACGCCCTCGTCGTAGACTCGCGCATCATCCAGAGGCGCGGTCCTTTTGAGGCCCTGGATGCATCCAGTGCACACCCATAATCACGAATCTGTAAGAGCCTTGCAGATCTAGGCTGGAAGCGTCGCGGCGCCCCGGGTCCCGTGTCCCGTGTCTCGCATCGGGAGCCCCGACATGCAGCGCCCCGTCCACAGCAGACGTCACCGATCACGCCGTTTTCGCGATGACGTTCACGTTCATGGGACGCGCGGCGGCGGACGCGGCGGCGGCGGCATCCGCGCGCGTCTGGCTCTGGCCGACGATGGGCATCGGGCGGCGGGCGAAGACGAGCTTTTTGCGCACGATGGCGGCGATGGTGTACGTGGCCGGGGGCCGCGTCGTGGGATGCGCGGCTGGAGAGTCATAGGAAGCAGAGGCAGAGGCAGAGGCAGAGGCAGAGGCAGAGGCAGACGTGGTGAATGGGGCAGAGGGGTCGGAGGGAGGTGCGGGGGTGGTGCGGTGCAGGACGGCGAGGGGTTTGGGAAGCGAAACGAGTTTGCCTTCGAGGAGATGATGCCCGATGCGCAGGGTCGGTTTCGCCTTGTGCGCGCGATCATGCAAGGGAGTCAGCGTCGGCATGGTAGAAGCGATCCCGTAGAGAAGAAACTCGCGCGCGCGCACCTGTGTATCGCTGGCGTCGGGCACGGTGAGCGTGCCGATGGGCTGGTCGCGCCTGTCGCCGTCGGCGTGGATGTCGCCTTGGAGCTCGATGAGGACGAGCTCGGAGGTGCCGATGCGGGCGATGTTGGGAGGCAGGGCTGGGGAAGAGGGCGAGGACGGCGCGGGCAGGGTGATGGGGATGATCATCGTGGGTGGAAGAGGCGCGCACTGCACAACGGTGACCGCGACGCGACGCGAAGGGTCACGATAAGTCACGTCACCCTAGATGGCTTGTCACACATATCTCCGACTCGTTCCGATCGTCCTCCGGCAATGGACGCAGCTGCACAGCCGCTCTTCCCCAATCCCCTCGTGCTGCCCACTGGTCTCGCTCTCGAGACATGTTTCGCGCCTGCGTCGCTTGACGGTGCTGATGATTATGACGGGGCCACTGCACCGCGCTCTGCTCTAGGTAGCAAGCTGGCAGTATGTCTACACCCATGGTCGCGTCTGGGTGGCAACATGTATGATCCGTGCGTCGTCGTTCTCATCTTTGTTTCATCGCGCGAAACCGATTCATAATGCGACTTCACTTTGACTCTTCACTCGTCATAATCTGTCGTTCGTTATATGCGCCGTGGTGGGGGTCGAACAGTATACTTGAAACACTCGTTCATCCATTGACACGCAACGGATACCATGTCTTGCGATACAACGCGCGGGGCGTGGGCGACTCGTCTGGAGCTGCTTCGTTCACGGGCTTTCAAGAGGCCCAGGATTTGAAGGAGCTCGTGCAATACGCCGTTGCAAGGCTCGGTGGCGTCCAGGAGCTGCTTCTCGTCGTATGTCTCCTTCCGGCTTATCCTGGCTTGATCTACTCACATTGATAACATCGATACCCAGGGGTATTCTCATGGCTCTCTCATAACGTCCTTTCACTCCCCGCTTCCTTTACCGACGCGAACGTCGCATATACTCCTATCCTACCCGTTCGGCCCGCGGCAGTTCCTCACAGCGTTCAACTCTGGAAAGTACCAGGACGCTATCGAGACTCTCTTGAAGGACGCGGGTGCTAGAGTCCTCATCGTCTATGGGGACGCGGATGAGTTTACGAGCGCTTCCTCGTATACAGGGTGGATCGAGCGCCTCAGGAACGTCGCGAGTACAGGCATGGGAAGCGAAGAAGGTACCGTTCGGGAGAGGATGCAAATCGAGTGCGTGGCGGGCGCCACGCACTTCTGGACGGGCCAGTCGCGGGGAGAGTTGGTCCGCGTAGTCAAGGCGTTCCTCGACGAGGGTTCCTACTCCAGATAAATTGCTCTCCACCCTTTTCCACCCCGCTCTGTCGATCCCCGAGGAGCCCTAAGACCAACAATAGATGCATGGACGGTGGCTAATCGTTAATCGTACGTGCACTCTGTACTCCTATACATGTACCGACTATCTGTATTGCGTCTTTACCAGGAGCTGTGCTCCCGAAGACAGGACACTTAGGCCAAAACCCTTTCGGTCGCTGCTGCGCTCGCTGCTGAGCTATTGAGCCCAAGCATTTCTGCGAGATGCTATGCAGCTCAGCCTGTCAATATCGTTTGTGGCTGAATCTCCTTGCGTGCCTCTGGCCGCAGCTTGTAGTGGAGCTGCGGACGGGGACGAGTAAGTCCAGACTCGCTGACCGTCTATCGGTGGCTGATTTTTTCCCAAGAAGGTGATCGCCGCCTGGAGATGCTCTTCACAGGATGTTCACAGCTCGTCTGGTTGGTCGGAAAGCCCGGGGCTCAGTGAACTTCAAATTTTCAGACATTGTGTACTCGTGTGTTGTGCGAGTTGTCTTTCATCTTGAGCCTGGGTATTGCTGTGTACTTCTTGAGGGTGCACTTTCTGCCTTGCATCCTGCCCCTTGATAACGAAGGGGCTCTCAGCGAACGGCATACGTATATGCGCTTTGTCTAAGTAATTGGGGGAAGTGGTCAAGATAGGAGCGTCTGTCATCATCTCTTGAGTCCATGCGGACAGCGGTTCCTCGAAAACTTTCTGCAAGTTTGGTGCGTGCATATTTGTAATGCTCGGCGTTTAGCGGTTAGCATCTCTGCCGTCTTGTTCGTTCTACCAGGGAACCCATTCCTCGTTGGCAATGACTGGGGCTGTACTTGGAGAGACTGGAACGAGCTAGAGCTTCGCTTGATCTTATTGGTTCTCGCGCTCAATGCGTGGAAATTTAAAGTGTTCGGTTCTCGATGCCTCTAGCATTTCCATTGATCAATGAGCGCAGTGCGTTTGACACGCTTCGACACGTCGCAATTTGTCTGCAATGGCTGAGGCTGTACTCGGAGAGACTGTTTACTCGACGCTAGCGGCTTGGCCTTCTTGTCGTTGCGCACGATTGATGGAATGGCTAGTTTTCATCCCTATCGTGCTTATCTGGATAGCTCTACTTGCCAGTCATGCGCTAGATGGCCAGCAATTTGGCTTGTCCGATCATGTCTGCTGCTTCGATGAGGTGCTTCACTTGCTTGCCTATTCACCTGCGCGCAGCTAGTCTCCCAAAGGCAGCAACATATGCGATCCTCCTTCAACCTCGGACGTGGTCTCCGAATATCCATGTACAGTCCTGCATGCTTTCTATCAAGTATTATTTGCACCTTCTTTGACTTCCTTTATTCCTCAATTCCCATATGTCAAGGGTTCCCATTTGGCTGAGACAGGGCCATACTTGGCGCAGCAGCGCGTAATATTAGCAAGAATCACTACCAGGAACTCTCCCACCTTGAACTTTCAATGTCGGACCCACGTTTCAAAGTCAGGCAACCGAATTAACTTCATAGCATGCAATTTGGAAGCGCATCACAATTGCTTACTTTGGCTCTGCTAGGCAAGTCGGACGAGGAAGGGCGCTGCGCCGTACGCTTATGAAACGGATGCCGACGGCTCTTCCTACGCGTCAATTCCCATCCTACGTACGACATATGTGGACCCTGTCGGCGCTCTGACGCCACTCGTGGAGAAAGGTGGGGTCGCGGAGGTCGTGCGCTCCCCGAGTGTATGGAGCGGGCTGTACACCGTGGAATACTTGATCGCACACTCCATGACGCGTGCGGTAATTTGACTCCAAACGGAGGTTCCTAAAGGCCCGTCTACGACCCTGCATCAGTTTGTTGAGTGTTGCAAGCCAGGGTTGGCCACGCATCGTTCTGCTTGTCCGGATTGACTTCAGTGAAACGTCCCACACTCATTCGATAGCTAAGTGCTCAAGACGCACTGGAACCTTCAGGCATCATCAGAAACTTGGAGAGCAAGTGGGGATATTAACGCATCCGTAAGTTTATCAAACGTTCTATGGCGCTCACACGTCGCCGCTGGCCTTGAACTCATGTTTGCTTAACCAAACTAGGACCTCGGCATACTCATTTTGGAGTAGAGAGAGACGTTTCACCGCGGGCAAAGGTCACAAGTTCAGTGAGTGGAGTTGGTCACAAAATTGCATTTACTCTACACTTCAGTTTCGTGCCCTTGCATGCTCTCGATAACATCCGATCGTACCTTTGTATGTTGTTTTTTTTGGTTGCGTTCCCATCGGCATATTTTCTAGGGTGTACGCGCCCTTACACGCCCTTCTTTGCCAGCGCCATTCTACCGTTACGTATTTCTTCACTGAGGCGATGTAACCAATTCTGGCGTTCTGGTTCCGCATGCACGCATCTCATGAGATTGAGTGCGAGTTGTCAGGCAACTAAATCTTTGCTCCTCACTCAAATGACCCAGCGTGCTTAGAGCGTTGAGCGGTGCGAGTTTCATGTGACAACAGACCAAGCAGGTCAGTCCGTCCACTAGCTGGTGATTCTGACCCGTTCACTTACATCCGAAATTTGTGGCCCGTGCATCGAAGCCTCTAACATAAGGGACCCTGCGCACGATGCGCACAGCCTCTTCCGTTACGGACTCCAAGAGACTCCAAGGAACATTCTCGATGCTCTATCTGTACCTAAATATGTGCATGGCAGGCAGCTGGCCTGCACAGCCTTGCCTGTAAGCAGGCTTCTTTTGGGACTTTTGAGTTCTGGACGCTTACATGCATCCTCTAGAGTGGAGAGCAGTCCGATCATCGATGGCCTGACCTCTGAAGGATGACTGCAGCCGTCGTTCTCACCTTTGCGTGCACGACATCTTTCTCTCATGAGGTGGTACATTTCGAACAGGCACCTTTGGTAGAATGACTGTCATGGTGGAGCCCGACTAGGTCAGGATAGTAAGCTACCCGTAAGCCGCAATTTGCATAACCGGGTTGTCGGCATTGACCGTTATTACAGGCAAACAATGCGGGTGAGGCTAAGTTGCACGATTCCCGAGGTAGCGTTATGGGGTAATGGTATCACAATCACCCTTCGAAGCCGCTAAAACCCACCTCAATATCATAATAGCTCGAATCATAACCGGGGGGCAGTGTAGATTGGTATTACTCTACTTTTTCGTCCTAGACGTCTCTCATCAGGAGAAGTTTAGGCTGTATGTTTGGCTTTACAAGCGATCGTCCTGACTAGACAAATGAATGGTCCAATGTCCGAAGTTCATGGGCATAGGGCGCATTATAGCAACGACGTCAGCGGTTCTACCGATCAACATTCACATGAAGCCTGTGTCTTTGGATGAGACCAATCGATTATAGACCAAATCAGACCATCAACGCCATCCAGATTGGTGTCAATATCGCCGTAACTATTTGCCCAACATCATGATCCACTGAAGTGTCAGCGGCCGATGGGGTTTTCGAGGCCAGCGGATATATGATCGCTTTCTCCAACGAAACAAAGGCGTCAGACTCATTATCCCCCTATGCTCGTAGCGCGTAACATGAGACGCATAGCATACAAGCAGCCTTGAAGAGGTATGTCGAGGCATGGAACATGCCGCGATGTGACACGGAACCTACATGATCAAAAGAGGGTCATAAGTGATTGTCCTGCATGAAGAGGGAAGCTAGCATTGATATGATCACACTTCTCGTTACCGCCTGGTGCACCTTTCCACTAATTAGGTCCGCAAATGAGGCTGTCGATGGCAGCCAAAGTGTGTGAATCCGGCTGAGGGGTGAGTCATGTGAGTTACACCAATGAAGTACCCGATTGCTTTGTGTCGTGCACTGTTGACACATACTATTATTGGCCGGCAGGTTAAGGTGATTCTAGAATCTCTCGAAAATGTGTGACTGGGTTGATTTCTCTAAAGCGCCTACGAGTGCTTTGCTGTCTGGAAATGAGCATGGCAAACTGACATTGCGCAGCACCCAAAAAATTCTCTGGCTTCCCATTGTGATACAGGCTGTGTAGACGGCCTTCCTGCTCGTGGATGATCCGACTACGCATGCCAGACCCATTGCATGGAAATGCAGGTATCCTTGCTGAAAGCTGTGAACAAGCCATACCATCGGTGAAAAGGAGGGGAAAAGAATAATCAGAAATAGACTTTGCGGACCTTGATCCGCTAAAATTAATTCCCTCATGCAAAACCGTCGAAAGTTTTGACGCCGAGAAGATCGTAGAGTAGGATTGAGCAGGGAAAAGAAGATCACTTCCGGGTCGATGGGGTTGGAATTTCCAACAAGCTGTTTCATGCCCACACATTTTTCAGGGGTAGAAATATGCGCACATTATGACAGCCATACCGGATTGTCTAATGCTAGAGGCGCTCATCGAGGATGTAGCCCCGCCGAATGACTGGCAGGGCATGTGAGCATCTGCCTCCATATGAAAGGATATTTCTACTGAAGATAAAAGACTATGCCCCATTGTGTCTGAGATCAGATGGCCCAGGTCTTTCGAACGCAATACGAATACAGAATCCTTTGTGATGACACTGTGATACGAAATGTACAGCTGTCATGGTCTGTGTATGAAGAAAATGGATTGATTACTGAGGTGCAGTGCTCTGAGATGAGCACAAGTACTCATACGGGTTCACCACTGATGATCTGAAGGATACTGACGAGAGGCGCCTGGTTGACCAGTGCGGAACGCCGCGGTGATGGGCAGTACTAATACGCTGGCAATTATCAGAGCATCTCACCCACGGTCACGACGAGTCCATAAATCAAATCATTTGTTTCGGGTTTGAGGCAGCATACCTGGTCCGCAGTTTTGCAAGGAAGAGGTATGAATATCGGGGGTCAAGTCAAAATCGTGTCCAAACTCGGCAGCAACGGCATGATGAATCCCATCCTCGAGTACACGCCGCGGAGCTCGAATATCTGACCTCATCCAATGAAGACCCCGGCGGGTTCTCTCATCTCTGACCACAAGGCCATCGGTCACTCCTTCACTTCTCAGATTCTCCTTTTCTAGGGGAGGAGCGCAGAATATTGGAGCTTACCATTGCAAGTGTAGAGCGGCGCAATATGATGAACTCACAATGAAGATGCAGGGCCTCATCTGTTATTCTGCAATCCTGATCCTAGTCACCCACGCAGCCTCAGGTATCAAGGATTGCATCACGCTGCGCGGCATGTGTAGACATCAATCTATCAATTATGCGGTACAGCATGAAAAGCGTAGATGCCGTGGAGCAACGGAAGGTTCGCTGAGCCGATGACCGCCCGAGCAGGCTCCGCAATGGCAGAAAGTTGACGAGGTACGTCGAGGCGAGCATAGCATCGGCCGGAGACCGTTTGACATCATTTACAGCATCCCGTTGCTCTATTCCACTTCGAAGGCATGTTCCCTAAGTTTCCTGCGGCCTGCCTACGAGATGGTCCAGCTGCGCGCCCCTGGCCGTTGTCAGCGCACTTCGCTGCGTTCATAGATGCCTTTGCATCTCTTCATTGAACGGAATTATGACCGAGCGTATGCTGCGCCTTCATGTTCGAATTTCAGAGGGACGTCTCGCGCCGGATTCAACTCTGCGAAGTGCACGATATTTCAGCACTTCGCGAACCTTGGGGGCTGTGCACACTTCCCTCACGCTGGCAATCATGCTCTCTGCTTCATTTCCTGTGTCGTGTGCCAGTACAGATGACTCAGATCACCCACATCCACCCCGCTCCTGAGGATCCAAGTTCAAGTTCCGAGATATGCTGGCAGCAGCGGCAGCAGCATAATTGTCATCTGGCGCTCCAAATGCGTGCTTCCGCGCAGGGAGAAGGCATAAAGCGATGCTGTTTCGGAAGGAACGTTCCCGGGAGGTAGGTTGCATTCCGAGGTCAAGACTCTTCTTCTCACTGAAAGAGACTAGCTGTTCCGATTTGGTCCTGAATGAAGCAAAGCATAGATGGCCCGCCTACATAGGATTGATCGCCATCATAAGTAATGGCGGGACACGTCTTCGTACATAGTACTATTTGTAAGAAGGTCTGTCAATCAACCAAGTAAGCTGCATATAGCTGACAATGGGCCTACTAGGGCAATTGGGAGCACCCGCCTCGAATACGGCCAGGCTCACTTTGTGTTCTCTGTATCCGAGGCTGTCATCATCGATACCCTCTTAAGCGCTCAGGGGCTGTGCATCTCACAACCCCAACATGGTTTCGCAGGCAATGGTGCAGCCTCCTTATATTTGCGCCCCGTGATCTGCTCAACGAGTCCAATGCGGTGGTTGAATCAAGATGATTTCCCATTCCGTCTAATAGTCCATGGTGCCTGAAAGCGCGAGAGCATCCTGTACTATACAGCATCTGCGATTGTGGACCCCTACGCAAGTTGCCGAGGAACAATAGGTGCATCGTACACAGGCTCCTATCGCCCATTTGAATACACTGAACGAGAAGACGCGCAACCGAGAGCCTCAAAGCAGCGGCTTGCCGCACACGTGCCGAGGTAAAATTCGGCGTCGGCTTCGTCCTGTCTGCGCCCGTCGCGTCTGCAGCCTCACGCTGGCTGTACTCGAGCTTCGAACGCGCGGCGCGCGGCAGCCGCGTCGCCGCGTTCTCTCCGAACAGTCCGAGCGCACTGGCCGCGCGTTCATCTGTTCGTTTGCCCGGTGGGCAAGGAGACGTCACCGCCCGCAGGATAGGACAAGACGCTACGTCGCATGTGCCCATGTACGTGCCCATCGTGTACGTGCGGCAGGAACGTCGGGCCCGCACATGCCCCCTGTGGCTATGGGCGCGCCCTGATGCACAGACGCTGTGCACCGCACACCACCGAGTGAGAAATCAGAGCCAGCGGTATCGGTATCGGCATAAGACGTAGGACGAAAGAAGCAAGGCAGCGTACCGTCATAACACCGCGACCTACATATCGCTCTCACGCCGACAGGACGATGATCTCCCGACGCCCAGGCTTATCTTTGCCGGTATTTGTCGTGTGTCGCGCCCTACTGTACGGCAGCCGTGCAGGCTCGAGGCTGGTTAGTTGGACGCGTGACCTACTTAGACTAGATGCGGAGGCCCGAGTATGTCGCTTTCCTGAGACAGGTCATTACCCGTGTCATTGCCCAGGCGAAATCCTAGGAGACCCGGAACGACGGCGTGGTGTGGCGAGACGGCTGGCGTGCGCATCAAAGAGCGTCGTCTGTGTGGGCACATACATCCCTACACTCTAGCTCGTATATCGCAGGACTGCGCCCCCCAATGTACGAGTACGGAATCGGAGCCGGAACGCCGCGCCGAACGTATCTTCCCCAGCGCGCGCGAGCCGAACACGTACGATCGAGTGCGTCCGGGGCAGATAGAAGACGTCGGTTATCTGCACGCAGACATGTGTATCAGCTATTGTCACTGTAATCATGACGCGGAGTGCATGATCGGGGGACCTGCAGCTTCCACGGACGTCCGTGTGTCGTCGAGGGCCGATAGCGAGAGCTCTTCGGCATCTGCTCTGATCCGCTGTGAGCCCTCATGATCCGCGCACGGCGCTGGAGGCGCGCGTCGACGATGTCGGATCCGAGCGCGAGCACGTCCGATCGCGCAGAAGGACTTGGGCCCTCGGTCGCATCCGATCACGAATGAGCCAAGGGCTGCGGACAGGCGGGGTCGCCTGCCCGTCCAACATCGCCCGTGCAAAGCAGAGCAGATCAGAGCAGAGCTCAGAGGGCACTGCGCTGGTCGTAGATCGCGGATCGCAGGGCGCGGCGAGCGTGCAGCCCGACGGCACACGCCAGCCGAGCGCGCGGAGCCGGACGCAGCTGTAGAGCGATGCGCGAGATCTCGGTAGACACAGACAAGCAAGCCAAGCGAGGCATATTAGGCAAGGAGTACAGAGAGCAGTGTATGCACGCGCGCGTCGGGTTCTCAGAAGAGCGCCGATCGAAGTGCATCGGACACGTTTCCTGATTGCAGCTGCGCGGCGCGCGCCACGAGGGGGCAGAAGAGCGCCGATCGGGGACGGATCGCACACGTTGTCAGATGAGATGCGGGGGCGAGATGGCGCCGTTTGGCATGTGCCAATAGGTCCTGTACCCGTGCGCACGACAAAGAAAAGCGCGCCGCTGTGTAGGCGGAGACGCGCAGAAGCCAGAAGAAAGGCGAGCACGGAATGAACTCCGCAGAGGGCGAAGGCGAGGGAGAGTAGCCCCTATTTTCGAGACAAGGGATCTTCCTTTTCCGTTTTGGAAAGAAGAGGAGAGGCCGCAGATTTCCAGTCAGCCTCAGTTGGTGGGATTGTGCTATAGTAGCAGCGGGTCGACGATCACAGCGGATGAGCTTGCATTGTGTGCAAGCGTGAGCCGTAGATCGTCCCCAGACCCGCAGACCCACAGCCTGACACAATCAGCACTTGTCCGGAGAAGTCAAGATCCAGCAGCCCCTGTAAGAGACTCCCGGGTGACAGCCAGATTTTGGACGCAAGTGGGCCCGGCGACCTCGAGGCGCATGATAATGGCCAGGCGCTCGCCACTGCCGCTCGCCGCTCGCAATTTGAATGCTGATTTCAGACTCCGCCCGTCGCGGAGCTCAAGTACGCGCTCGGCCGCGCTCGGCCTTCGTGCGGAGATGGAGCGATGACGAGCGTGCGGCTGCGGCGTGTCATCGCGGGTTGAAAGGCGGATCCAAGACCAAGAGGATCCAAGAGGACTGCTGGGGCGGGCCAAGCGCCTCAACATGTGGCGGCGATGCGGAGGGACACTGTATCCGACGGGCGGATAGCATGATCAGGTTTCTAGGGCCTGAAAGCCAAGGATAAGTCAAGCACATTGTGTGATAGCGCGATGCGATGTGGAGACAGTGTAATACGGGGTATGTAAGGCTACGGGGTATGCAAGGCTACGGAGTATGTGAGGCTACGTAGTAGGTGGTGTGCGATGCCAGAACCAAGTGGTTGCTTGTTGTTGCCGGAAGGCTATTGTTCACGCCGATGCCGTGGGGCAGTTGATCTGGAGCATAGGGGAGACGAGGCCACAGTTGTGGAGAACACTTAGTTCTGGTGCGTGGGTGGCGGATCGGCATATGCAGGAGGCAGTGAGCGGGCACAGTGCCTCCGCAGACAGGGCTCGCCGAGTACGGGGCCGCCGCTGTCCATGGAGCTGTCTGCGGCGTATGACTGTATGCGCGTCGGCGAGGGGGCGCGTGTGTGTGCACGTGACGGGACTGGGGCTGAGAGACCAGCTGTGATGAATGCTGCATGGGCAGCCGCGTACGAGGCGACGGCGATGAGAGAATGAAGGAGGGCTGTATGCGCGTCGGGCAGTATGTATTGGAAGAGAGCAGAGGAGTTGTGTGTGTGGCAAGCCGGGACGCCAAGCCGGATTTCCTAATGCAGCCGCACAGCCTCGGTTCACCGCCTTTAGTTCTGGAAATTCTGTGCTTGTTTTGGAGGATCGTTTTATAGAGCAGACAACGCGCGAGGGGCATGCTCACCTCCCTCCCCCCCTCCCTCGACGCCATGCCCGACAACGCACACGACATCCCCTCCATCGCCGTCACCGGTTCCACAGAACACCTCCACCTCTTCGCCCCCGGCGACGACCGGCACAACGTCCCCCTCGACGACCTCGTTCTCAGGCCTCCTCCCGTACAGCCAAACCGCGCACGCTCCCCCTCAGAGCCCGGTTTTCTCTCTCTCCCGAACCCCATCCTCAGGACAGGAAGAAACTCGCTCGAGGCCGCGTCGTCGCCCTCACCGTCCTCCCCATTGTCCGAGCGATCAGACCGCTCAGACTCGCCCCTCCTCAATGTCCCGCCCTCCCCCACCCTTTCCGCACACTCCGGCACCTCCGTCCACTGGGCGAACTCCACCCAGCTCCGCACAAACCGCCCAGAAGAACACGATGGCATCTCGTCCCTCGGCCTCCTTTCACCCCCTGCCTCCGGCCACCGCCGCAAGGGGAGCAACGCCACTTTCACAAGCTCCATCAGTGGCAGCGAGACAGAGCCAGACCACACCGGCGAATCCTCCAACATCGCCCTCAGCCCCCTCCTCACCGCCCGCTCTGATGCCAGCACGCTCGCGTCCCCGACACACACACACGTCGACTCAGCCTCCGACGGCGGCTCCCGCCCCGGCTCGCGCTCAAGCTTTGTCAAAAAGTTTCACCGCCTTCGCCGCGCGTCGCGCTCCCCAGAAGGCTCTGACGGTATCGACACCGATACGTCCGACGGCCCTCCCGCCGCGCCTAAGCAGGAAAGGAAGGGAAAGGGGAAGAAGAAGCGCGAGCTCGAGCGCCTCGCTGCCATCGAGCTTGAGCAGGATGCGAACAAGGACCCCGCACCGTTCGCGTTCAAGCCGTTCCAGCTCGCGAGCCTCCTCGATCCAAAGAACATCGAGGCTCTCGAGGATCTGGGCGGCGTCGACGGCCTTTTGCGCGGCCTGGGGACTCACCGGACTCTCGGACTGGGTGTGGCGAGCCTCGCGGCCAAGGCGGACCCGCCCGATCACGCGTCGCAACCTGTGCAAGCCACTCGGAAGAGCAGGGACATCGAAGAAGGTTCAGACGAGCAACTCCCAAATATTACCATCACAGAGCCCAGTGGGGAGATCAAGGGGCTCCAGAGCACAGTCAGCTTGGGCGATGCAGCACAGTCCGCGTCGGGCGGTACGCCCGACGCGCATGGGGCAGACATGGATGTTCGGAAACGCGTATACGGCGATAATGTGCTTCCTGGAAGGAAAAGCAAGAGCTTACTGCTTTTGATGTGGCTGGCGCTCAAGGACAAGGTCTTGGTGCGTGTCTGATTGGCTATGCCCGTTTTGTCCGCGCGCCTACTGATACGGGGGTTGCCGTCATTGGGCGCTTGTAGATCCTCTTGTCGGTCGCGGCGGTCGTCTCGCTCGCGCTGGGCTTCTTCCAGGACTTTGGCACGCCACGCGCCAGCGACGACCCCCCTGTGGACTGGGTCGAGGGCGTGGCCATCATCGTCGCGATCGTCATCGTCGTCTCGGTCGGGTCGGTCAACGATTGGCAGAAGGAACGGCAGTTCAAGACGCTCAACGAGAAGAAGGAAGAGCGCACGGTCAAGGTGATTCGTGGCGGCGTCGAGATGCTGGTGGACGTACATGAGGTCGTCGTCGGCGATGTGGCGCTTCTCGAGCCTGGCGAGATCGTCCCCTGCGACGGCATCTTCCTGTCTGGGCACAACGTCCGGTGTGACGAGGCTGGCGCAACGGGCGAGTCGGACGCGATCAAGAAGCTCTCATATGAGGAGTGCATACGCATTCGCGACGAGCGGCTGTTAGAAGATAGTCCCGCAGCGTCGGACGTTGAGCAAACCGGTCATGAGGGCGCCGACGGAGGAGACGTGAAGAAGGCGCGCCCGTCGGGTATGGATTTGCTCGGGCACACGGACTGCTTCATTATCAGCGGGAGTAAGGTGCTTGAGGGCGTCGGCTCGTACGTCGTCATCGCTGTCGGCACGAAGAGTTTCAACGGTCGAATCATGATGGGTGCGTTTTCTCTTTCTCTGCTTCGTCCATCCGGCTCACTGAACACGCAATTTAGCGCTGCGGACGGACGCGGAAAACACCCCGCTCCAGCTCAAGCTCAACGACTTGGCAGAGCTCATCGCCAAGGTCGGCAGCCTCGCGGGCTTGCTCCTGTTCTCGGCCTTGATGATCCGGTTCTTCGTCCAGCTTGGCACCGGTGAACCCGCCCGGTGCGTTTTTGTGCGTTGACGGTGTTCCACGCACAGCTGATGGATATGTTTTATTAAGGACCACGAACGAGAAAGGCATCGCATTTGTTCAGATTTTGATTATTGCTGTGACTCTCGTTGTCGTCGCTGTACCTGAAGGTCCGTCCCTGGGATAATTATCAGGCGCATATATGCTGATCAGAATGCAGGTCTACCATTGGCAGTCACATTGGCGCTCGCTTTTGCGACGAAACGAATGACACAGGAAAATTTGCTCGTGCGCGTCCTCGGATCCTGCGAGACGATGGCGAACGCGTCTGTCATCTGCACGGACAAGACCGGTACCTTGACGCAAAACGAAATGACCATCGTCGCCGGCTCTGTCGGCGTCCACGCCAAGTTCGTGCGACAATTTGAGGACAACAAGGCGCGCTCGAACGTCGACGACTTGAACACGTCGGGCGACCGCAAGCACGTGCAGGACTTCTCGCTCGACCAGGCGCAGCTGAACCAGGTGTTCTCGCCCGCGCTCAAGACGCTCTTCAACGACGCGATCGCCGTCAACTCAACCGCGTTCGAGGACCGCGACGCTGCGACGAGCGAGCTCGTGTTCGTGGGCAGCAAGACGGAGACGGCGCTGCTCAAGTTTGCGAAGGAGCTTGGGTGGGCTGATTATAAGCAGGTCCGGGACAGCTTTGAGATCGTGCAGATGATTCCGTTCTCGAGCGATCGTAAGGCCATGGGCGTCGTGGTGAAGCTGCCCGACGGCCGGTGGCGGCTGCACGTCAAGGGTGCGAGTGAGATCCTGACGGATAGGTGCTCGCGGCATGTCGTGGTGGAGCAGGACGGCTCGGGCGAGGCGATTGAGACCGCGCCTATCGGTGAACTCGAGCGCGACAATATTTCGCGGACTATCACATTCTATGCATCGCAGACGCTGCGGACAATCGGCATTTGTTACAGAGATTTCGAGCAGTGGCCCCCTGCAGGCGCACGGTACGTCGCGAACGATGAGGTGAGTGCACTCGGGCATGTCAATTCAGCAGCTTTGATTGACCCTGCGCAGGTGGAGTACGATGATTTGGCGCAAGACATGAATCTGATAGGTATCGTCGGCATCGAGGATCCCCTCCGCGAAGGTGTCCGCGAGGCCGTGGCAAACTGTATTAAGGCCGGCGTCGGCGTCAAGATGTGTACTGGCGACAACGTGCTCACCGCGCGCTCCATCGCGCAGCAATGCGGTATCTACACTGTTGGCGGTATTGTCATGGAGGGCCCGGTCTTTAGGCAACTTCCGCCGGACACGATGAAGAAGGTCGTGCCGCGGTTGCAGGTGCTCGCGCGCTCGTCGCCGGAGGATAAACGCATCTTGGTCGAGACGCTCAAGGGACTTGGCGACGTGGTCGGCGTCACGGGCGACGGCACGAACGACGGGCCGGCGCTGAAGACTGCACACGTTGGATTCTCCATGGGCATCGCCGGGACGGAGGTCGCAAAGGAGGCGTCTGACATCATCCTGATGGACGACAACTTTTCATCGATCGTGAAGGCCATCATGTGGGGCCGGTGCGTCAACGACGCGGTGCGCAAGTTCCTGCAGTTCCAGATCTCGACGAACGTGACGGCTGTGGTGGTTACATTTGTGACGGCGGTGGCCTCGGACCAGGAGGAGTCGGTGCTGAGCGCGGTGCAGCTGTTGTGGATTAACATTATCATGGACACGTTTGCTGCTCTCGCGCTGGCCACGGACCCCGCCTCGCCCGTGCTGCTCGACCGCAAGCCGGACAAGAAGACGGCACCGCTGTTCACGGTGGACATGATCAAGCAGATCGTTGGACAGTCGATATACCAGATCATCATCATCCTTATTTTCCACTTCTTGGGTTCGCAGATCCTCGGCTTCCATGACCACACGACGAAGGAGAGCGACATCGTCCAGACGCTCGTGTTCAACATCTTCGTGTTTGCGCAGGTCTTCAACTCAGTCAACAGCAGGCGGCTCGACAACAAGCTGAACATCTTCGAGGGCATTCTCAACAATTATTATTTCATGTCTATCACCTTGATCGGTTTGTTCTTTTGTCGTGTCTGTCGTGCGTGATAGAGCAAGTCGGCTAACGCGTTTTGTAGAAATTGCGGTTCAGGTGCTCATTGTGTTTGTCGGTGGTGCCGCGTTTCAGGTGACCAGGATCGGCGGTCGCGAGTGGGGCATCTCGCTCGCGCTGGGGCTCGTGTCTATCCCGCTTGGCGCGCTCATCCGGTGCATCCCGAACGCACCCGTTGAGCGGCTCATCAGCAAGATACACCTCCGGCCTTTCTGGCGCAAGGAGGAGAAGCTGCCGACGACGCGCGCGGACGCGGAGCCCGGGTTCGGGTTCGCGATGGACCGCATGCGGGACAACTTGGGCACGTTCTCGACCGTGCGCGGCGGGCGCATGCGCTCGTCGTCGTTCGTCGTGAAGAGCAGATCTGGGCGCGCCGACGCGGACGCGCCGAAAGTAGTGTTCGTAGCTCGTTTGCCTTTCGCCGCACTCTCCGCGCGTCGAACGTTTTTGCTTACTCGGACCGTGCTTTTTTTTCGCCTTTGGCACACAGACCTGAACTGTTGACAATGTTCCCGTCGCTGATGGCCTCGCACATCGTCGGCTCGAACTGGACACCGCAGTCGAACGGCTCGCTCTCGGACCCGGCCGGATTCGACCCGTCCAGATCGTCGGCTGCGCTCTGGGAAAATAAGTTCGAGGTGCATCCGGACACGCCGCCGAACGACCCCGTGTTCAAGCTCTTGGGCGCGCGGCCGTCGACGTCGCGGCCATGAAACCTACGAAAATCGAGATTCTTTTCCCCTGTTCGCATCTGTCTATAAAGCCGCCTCCGGTACCTATGCCATCGGGCACTTGCGTGCGGGCAAGTTGGACGGACCACCGTCCTTGGCGTCACGACCATCAAGGCCTCACGCTTGATGGACCCTGGACGGGCCTGCGCCGCATGTACTCCCTCGTTGCTTGTAGCAACATTATCTCTCTCGGCGTGGCGCGATTTCTCGCCACCGCCGCTGCATCTAATCGCCCTCGGGCGTCCCATTATTTTTGTCCTCGTTTTTTTTTTTTTTTTACATTTCCGGCTTTCGTTTTCGTTTTCTGTATACTCCGCCAGCTTCGCTATCCATCACGCATGAAGACGGCACGGCACTTGTCGGGTTCGGCCACATCCATCGCACGACCGCGACTCGGCAAGCAAGAAAAAAAAATACAAGTTTCTTTTCGTCTCCCCTCGCCTCCTGGATCCCTCTCGACGCTCGACGCTCGACACGAACTTGCATGACCCCCCCCGCATCGCAGACAAGATACCCACCGCGACCGCCGCTTGCATAGAACATCACTCACCCGGCTATCTATCTCCAGCATTTTTTCTCGTTGCAGTGCTCGGTGCCCCCGACCGAATTATTAGCGCCAAACATCACTATTTGTTACTTATCGCGTGCGCGCGCGCACTCATACACACACGCGCGTGCCCTCGCATCCTCGCACCCATTTTCATATTTTCATGTTATCATATGTTCGCGGACGCGGGCTCTTGCAGCGTCTGCGCTGTCTAGACGAGCGTGCGGCCGCGCGTCGGTGATGTCGTACATGTTTTTTTTTTTCGTAATACAATAGAAGCTATCGACGTCTAATATTTGCCGTTCGCACTGTGTGTGAGAGAGCTGCGGCGCTTCAATGACAACGATGGTGATGATGATAACGGCGAGGTGTGATGAAAAACGTCCGCGGCGGACACCGTTGATCTGACGTGACTGTCTGATCAAGGCTGCCTGGAGTCTTCGAGGAACGGACGGGTGTGTGTGGAGGTTACCATGGGAAAGGCTGGAGGAGGTGCGAGGGAGCCCCTAACCTGAGTGGGCTGATGAGCGGACCTCGTGTCCATCGCCGTCATCTCTCCCACCAACGGCACACCGCCTCTCCCCTCTCCACCTCCCGCTCCCCGCATCGCGCCAGCTCCATCGCAACAAGTGTAGGGCAGCATGTGAGTCTCGCCGTCTCTCCCACGTCGTGTCTGCCGCTCATCGCCGCGTGATCCTGCGTCCCCAGGCCGCTGCCGGACGAGCGCCCTCGCCAGTCCGTAGCCAACCTCATCGGGCGGTTCGAGCAGCAGACGAAGCGCACGTCCACCGCGAACGGCTCCCCGCGGCCCTCCAGCATCGCCTCGCACTTCACAGGCGACTCCGTCAAAGAGGAGTCGCGCGCATCGCGCGAGTGGCCCCCCGTCAAGACATCCTCGCTCGCCGCACCCGCAAAGCCCCCCGCACCCGCACCCGCAGCCGCCGCACCCGCCGCCGCCTTCTCCCCGCCGCCCTCCATCCTGCGCACCACCGCCTTCTCCCCGCCGCCCCCAGACCTCGCCCTCGCGCCCATTTCCCCGCCGCACAGCGACCCTGCCACGTCGGACGATGCCCCGCCCCTGACCGCCCACTCCGACCCAGAGCCCGCATCCGCTGCCGTGCCCGCCGCCGTGCGCACCCTCCGCGCACCCGCCGCGGGCCCGAGACAGTCCGCGCCGCCCAAGATCGCCCGGTCGGCCCCCCTCTCGTCAAGCAAGTCCACCCCAGCCCGCGCATCGGCAGCGACCCCGACACCCAAAACTCCATCCAAGGCCCCCGCCGCCGCCGCCGCCGCCGCCACTAATACTGCCGCCGCTGCTACTACGAAGGCGGCCGCGACGCCCTCCAAGTCGTCCCACCCCCCCTCGGCCGCCAAGTCACGCATCCCAGCCCCAGGCGCACGCCCCAAGACCCCGTCCACGCCGCACAAAGCCCCCGCGCCCAAGACCACCCCCTCCTCCTCGTCGGCGCTCGCGCGCCCCAAGACGCCCGCCTCCACGCGCCCCAAGACTCCGTCCAGCTCGCTCTCCACGGGCGCCGCGCGCCCCAAGACGCCGGCATCGGGCCTCTTCGCGCCGACAGCTGCGTCGCTCGCCAAGGCCCGCAGCGTGCCCGCGAGCGCCGCGCCCGCCCCCGGCGCGAAGAAACCGCTGCCGAACCTCGACCGCCTCAGCAAGCCGACCGCCGCGTCCGCGGGCAAGGCGCGCGCCCCGTCTGCAGCTGCATCTGTGACTGCGGCCGCACCTGCGGCTGCGACTGCCGCAAGAGGTAGGGGCACGCCGCTTAAGAGGGGCGCCGCGCCCGGGAGGGCTGCGGGGGCCGGAAGGGGCGCTGCTGGGAAGGCGGCGCCGGTTGCGGGAGGCGTGGCTGCCGTGGTGGGTGCGGTCGTGGCTGTGGGAGAGACGGAGGAGGCTGCGCATGAATCCGAAGCGCCAGACTCGGCCGACGAAGCGCACGACGAAGCTGAGGCGGAGCATGAGCACGAAGACGTTGGGCAGCACGAGGAGCACCATTCGGAGCCTGAGACCGAGGCCGAGCAGCATACTGAGCACTTGGAGCTGGAAGAGCACGCACCCGAGCCTGTGCCAGAGCCGGAGCCGGAGCTGGAGCGCGCGCATTCGGAGCCCGAACTGGAGCTCGAGGCCGTACCTGCTCCCTCGCATGAATCTGACGGCTCGCCTGCGCCTGAAGTTGAAGAACCTGCATCGTCCGATGAGGCAGAGGGCGCGGAGGAGAGACGACTGGATGAAGTGAAAGTGCGCCATACGGAGGGCGGCGATCTGGAAGACATCGTGAACATGCTGCAGGGACCGGCCGTCCTCCCCAAAGCCATCCCAGCGATCTCGGATGGAGACATCGCGGGGGAGATTCCCGACGAGGAGTAAAGCTAAGGACCGTCGCGAGTCGGGCAGGGGCAGGGCAGCACCGCTAACAGCAGACAGATAATGATGCATCGGGGTGGACGGGTGTGGGTGGGGTGGGTGGGCTCAGAGTTTGAAGCACGCTTTGCTTCGGCTGCGTGTATGGACTGTACATTCATCGGTGAGGGATTCGCGATCTATTGCTCCACCCGTGGATGCTCGGAATGGTGCGTGCTGACGGATGAGGGCAGACAAAGTATCATACAGAATCATAAATCGAATATGTGCTCCGAGCTCCAGACGAGGCTATTGTCTGCTTGCCGGACACAGGACGTTCCTCCGTCGCGTCGGGTCGCCTATTGCTTACCATCGTTTTATTTGCTCCCCTCACTTTCTGCGGTACATGTCGGTTCGATTCGATTCGTCGAGATACTTTGGATTTATATAGCCTCCCCTTTTTCACCCCTTCCCCTCCTTTCGTCTCCGTCTTTTCCCGGTCTCTGGTCGTCGTTGTCGTTCCGGTCGTTGTCGGGCATTTTTTTAAACATCTCCGGCATATCTTGGCTTCGTCGCCTCCGTCTGCTTGATCTCGATGCTCAGCGCTTCTCACTTGGCCGTTCGTCCTCTCCAGCTCGTTCGCCGTCCGCCGTTCGGTTTCTTTGGATCCACAGATCACGCGTGCATTTTCGACACCCCACCCACCACCCCACGTTCCCACTCTCTTCTTCTTGTTTCGTTCTCGAATACCAATATACGCATATTACGATACATCTATACCCGCTTGGCCGGCAGGCAAGTTTGGATGAAATCGTGATAGTGAAATCCGTACTTGTATACATACAGAAGCATGCAATGGCACCGCAACGCAGTCGAATGGAAGGCGGTCGGGCGGAGTGTGCATGACAAAATGGATTCGCAGTGACAGTGATATGGAAGCTGTAAGATGCGCGATGGGTCGTGAACGCGTGGCCGGGTAGGCTGGTGCCACAGTATATGTGCGCCGTCAGGGGAAGATCGAGCCGCTGTTCGGCGCAGCCCACCCTCTCGTCACTCAGTCAGCGACGAACGCGCATCTCAGCTTTCGACGACTTTTGCGAAAATACCGCAGTACGGATCAGCTCCTCGTTTTTCCGATCGATAGTACGACAGCTTCGAATCAAGACGTAGCATAAACACGGGCTGCAGGCTCAGGTGTACCCGGTCACGACTTCCTCTTCCCCTTCTCCTGCGAGTGTGGTGAGGTTTGTGTCCTCCGGCGTGGTTCCTTCGGTGGCTGTTAGCGGCGGTGGCGACAAGGGGAGGACGGCTGTCGCTTTCCAGCCACTCCTGAACGACGCAATGGCCGCAGCGAACCCGAAGATGGAGACCCATATCTATATAACCATGGAGTACATCAGCACGGCCGGGTGGAGATATCGCTGCAGTAGCTCACGTCGTTTTTAAACAGTCCTTGCTCCAGAGACCTGGAATGGAGAGGGCATTGAGTATACGATGTTGAAGCGAGGTATAGATAGATAAATGCAATGCTCCTCGTACCAATGAACTGTCAGCGGTAGGTACCCGACGTTCACCGCGAGCTCGTTCCACCAGGCATCCCAGCGGCGCTCGAGCTCTGCGTGCTCCTGGCCCTTTACCTTCTCCTTGCTCAGCACGCGCTCGCGGCGCAGCAAGAGCGCGCGGTCTTCGCGCAGGTGCGCGAACTGCAGGACCACGTACAAGGCCCAGAACCTGGTGGACCAGAGAGACAGCGCGGTTGAGTCCAACGACAGCGTGCGTGGAGACGCTGGTGGTCCCTTTGAGGGGGCGGCAGAGGATGGCGTCAGGGAAGCGGTCGTCGACGGGAGCGGGGACGACGGAGAGGAGGAAGATCGCGAGAAGGGGAGGGAGATGGACGACGGGATTATCTCGTGTGAGAGCAGGTAGTAGAGGTGTTCCATGGGGTAGTACGCGAGCATGGACCATCCCTGTGCACGCTCGATCGTGAGCAGGCGGCGTGTGGGCGGTGGAGAGCGCTCGAGCGATATCAGCCACTGGAATATGGGAAGCAGACCTGCGTGTACACGAACGATGGTACAGTCAATATGGAGCGAATCGAAGACTATGCGAGCTACGCACCCCATATTCTCCAGAGCATCCGCGCATCGCTGACGGTGCTCGCAAGCTTGTTCAGGGCCGGTGCGGCGGTGCTAATTGGCTCCTTTCTAAACCCCGCACGGTGCTGCAGCCTCGCGCGGAGATGGAGGATCGGAATGAGCAGTTTGGCAGCATATTGGATGACCTGGACGCTCGTTAACTTCGAAGTCGTGGCTTCGGATTGACGTCATTAATCACCATGAATAATTTACTATGGAACGAGTTTATTAAGCTCTACATTTCAAGATGCAAAATTAGGGACATACTCGCTCCCGCTCCATGTACTCAGATAGCGAATGAGATGGTCAAGGGTCTCGGAGGGTGGTACCAACGCAAAAAGGCCAAGGCTGAGGTCGTTGAGTCGCGAAAGAGTGATGGATTTCGACATATTTTTTTTCGAAGAGATCCAAGTTGAGTGCAATCCGACGTATTGTAGAGGTCGAGAACGACGAGGAGGTGAACACACAGTTTGATTTATCGTAGTAGAGGCCTGGTTACGCCAATGATTGCTTTCCCCACAAAGTATCGGCTAACCGGCACGCGCGCTTGCACATGATTTCACACACGTTATCGTGAGAGATGCTTACCTAGCTTTTGCTAGCTATATAATGCGCTCTGGGCACTGCGCAAATTTCATCGAACAAATCCCTGGGGACATAAAAGTTCGGGCTCGGTTAGATCTTAGCCTCCTTGTCCGCGTTCCAGTCCCCTAGACGGACCAGGTCTTTTCTGAAGTGCAGACTTCTCTGTTTGATTGTCTTTTTTCTGTCCTGGAAGCATCGCTTCGGCTGGCGCTCATGAGTGGCGGAGGGGGATCAGGAGGAGGCAGTCGGCTTCGGAGAGACCGACATTCTTTCTGTTTGGTGCGGCCGTTCTTTTTCTTTTTGGTCGTGAGTGATCCTGTCTCGCGTTCTTGTATTATCCGATTCCTCAAGTATTTCCCATCAATATATATCTTTTGTGCCAAGTTATACTGCGAGCAGATGTGAATCATTTCGGTTGTTTGTTGGCTTTTCTGTGGATGATTATGCATTGAAAATGTTTAGGTTTTTGATGTTTTTCCACCCATCTCCGAGTCCTAATGCTTCTTTCGTCGAGCATGTGCAGCCCGTTCCCGAGGCGGCTCTCCGATGACCTTGGAAGAGTGGATAGATTTAGATGTTGCAGGCGATTCCGCAAGTTTTCTGTCCACATGATCTTCTACACACCTTTTCACAAATCGTCGTTCTAGCTGTCAACATAGCGCTGAACTTTGTTGTTTTTAATTTATGGGGAGGCGCTGATATGTCTACACACACCCGCTGGGCCATACACCGATCACTAAAACTTAATGCCAGCAAACACCCGAATTTTAGCCAATGTCTCCAGCACCGATGATTGACCGAATGTGGTGACGACTCTTTTGTGCTGCACCGCGCGCGCCGGCCTCTCCGCTTCCCTCCGGGCCCCATCTGACATCCATGTCCTATGGCATTTTAGAAGATCACTATTTTAAGAAGCTCTTTCGTGTCAGGGACTATACTGGGGCTGTCCGGACGTCCCTGCGAGTGATACGCGTGGTCAGCGTACGCAGTCTCCAGACCCTCGTGTGAGCTCGTGGCCGCATTTATTTCAAGCTTTCTGCGACGTCTTGCCGGAGATGTGCTAGCAGCCAGGTTATGTGTTTCTTCCGACGGACGTGTACATAAGTGGGCACACTCCGTCACCGACACTCCCCAAGCTGCAGCTCAAGTTCGCCTTGCTTCCGTCTGGGTCTTCAAAATGATCAAGCTCGCCGCGTCTTTCGTCGCTCTCATTGCCTTCATGCCATATGTGACCGCCCAGCAGGTTGTCTGGGGACAGTGTGAGTTCAACAGCTCTATTGCTTGAGACTCAATAGTGAAAATCCACGCAGGTGGCGGTATCGGTTGGACTGGCGCCACGACCTGTGTCTCCGGGACTGTCTGCACCACATACAGTGACTATTACTCGCAATGCGTGCCCGTATGTTTGGTATCAATGTCTGGAGCTTATGCCAATTCAATGCCGTATTTCAGAGCTCCAACGCACCTACCACTGCCCCGGCGAGTTCCACTGGCAGCTCACCAACTAGCACGGCCTCCTCGCCAGGAGCGACGTCAACCGCGAAACTGAACACCGTCGCAAAGGCTGCCGGAAAGCTCTACTTTGGGTCAGCAACCGACAACCCCGAGTTGACTGATACTGCCTACGTCGCTATTTTGAGCGACTCGGCACAGTTTGGTCAAATCACGCCTGGCAACAGCATGAAATGGGTGAGTGTTTGCGTTTCCGTCGTCGCTCTTCGTTGCACGATTCCCAGGAAGAACTTCTCTGATGCGTCATAATACCGTGACAGGACGCTACAGAACCCGAGCGTGGTACGTTCACATTCTCAGGGGGTGACCAGATCGCCACGTTGGCCAAGAACAATGGCCAGCTTCTCCGCGGTGAGTTTCCCCAGCCATTTCCCGATATTTCGACTGATGAGCCCTCGCTCAGGACATAACTGTACGTCTCAACTTTCGGTGGCTTACACCGAGCAGTTACCGAGTAGAGACCAGGCGTGTGGTACAGCCAATTGCCGTCATGGGTAACTGCTGGCAACTTCAATGCTTCGACTCTGGCGAGTATCATCACAACCCACTGCAGCACTGTCGTTGGGCACTACAAAGGGCAAATGTATGTCTATTTTCTTTCCCTATTTGACGGTGTGAATAACACATGCTTCCTCTTCAAGATGTATGTTATCGTCAAGCTCAACAGTTTTGACCGATATTCTGATTTTTTCATTTCTTTGAGACTCCTGGGACGTTGTGAACGGTACGTTGGCACCCCCATACCCGCGCAGAGCTGATCTCTGACTTTAACCAACCTTTTTAGAGCCCTTCAACGACGATGGTATGTAGGGCAGTGCAGGGAAAAGCTTCGGCTAATCTTAGGCTTCATATGATCAATAGGCACCTGGCGCACGGATGTCTTTTACAACACGCTCGGGACCTCGTATGTGACGACTGCTCTCGAGGCTGCAAAGTCGGCCGATTCGAATGCCAAGCTCTACATCAACGAATACAACCTCGAATACGCCAGTAAGCCTCTTACTTGCAGATGGTACCCATGTGTTCATAACCGTAAATAGGTGGAAAATCCACCGCCATGATCAACCTCGTCAAGTCTCTCCAAGCTGCGGGTACTCCAATTGACGGTGTTGGGCTGCAAGGCCACCTGATCGTCGGAACTGTCCCCACTGCCATTCAGTCGCAGCTTTCTTCCTTCACTGCTTTGGGCATAGAGGTAGCAATCACTGAGCTTGACATCCGCATGACCCTACCAGCCACGGCGGCGCTCCTCGCCCAGCAGAAGACGGACTATGAGAACGTCATCAAGGCCTGCAATGCCGTCCCGAAATGTATCGGTGTGACTACCTGGGACTACACTGACAAGGTGCGCCGCATTTTGTCGACTGTTTTGAATTCTATGCTGAGCATGATTTTCGCTTCTATTGCTCTAATAATTCGACATCGGTATCGCGATATTAGTACAGCTGGGTGCCCTCGACCTTCCCAGGACAAGGAGCTGCGCTTCCTTGGGACGAGGTCAGTCGTTGCGGTACTCAAGGGATCACCGAGTCTCACCATGTGATATGCAGAACTTGGTCAAGAAACCTGCTTTCGATGGCATTGTCGCCGGATTTGCTTGAAGTCTCATGTTTCTTCCTGGTTATTGCGGCGCTCGGTTGGATATATTATATCCCAACCTTGGGGAATAAAAGTGATGCCTGCGCGTATCGCTACCAGTGTTCGCGTTTTATTCCATCGAATCAATTTTTTTTTGAAGATTCTGATCGTGATCTTGATCTTGTTTCTGTTTGATTACCGTTGACTCTCGCAGTGTCTTATGCTCTCTTCCACCATTAGTTCAGCTAGATTGTCCTCCATCGGACAAAATAGGCCATCTCGCGAGTTCCCTCAAGATAGGTCTATACCAACCGGGGCTGTGGGATCGAATGCGCCGATGAGGATATTGTCAAGTCTTGCAAGGATATCTCGATATTCGGGCTCGTTTTGAATACTCACTTCGTACTTTCTTGCAAGATCAGTTGCCAAGCTTCAGGCTTTCAGGATCGAACCGCATATTTTCTCCACCCAGCTTGTTCGCCTGTATAGCCATGCGTCTGGTCTTGCATCCACACGGAAAAGGGCCGTTGGGACTCGCGTCAAGCGGAATACTTGCACAAAAGGTGGTAAGGCAATGACGGTGTGATGTAGCGTGCACAGCAGATCTTTTGATCCACCGATGGGGTGGTCATCTCGCTGTAGATATCAATCCATCAGTCATCCCTTACAGAAATAATCTCATGCATTGGAGGTGTCAAAGACACAACAAGGGGTAGTGAATTATCGGACGCGTCAACTCTTCGAAGCCGTTAACGGAACTGGCTGAAAGATATAGTAAACCGATCAAATACCGTTAGGTAGATGATCGTTAAAACATAACAAGGCCTCTATGTTCTCTGTTGCTGCTTTGATTGTTGCCCAAGGCCCTGCATGTACAGCTCACAGCTAAACCACTAATTCATTGCCATGACGCGCTCAGTACACCACCCTACTTCTTGTCCCGAAGAAAAACACGATCGATCCCGGCGTACTGTGTGTTTACTACTGTACTACTAGACTGCTGTACGAGTAGGGTGCCCGGCCTCAAATCAACCTCCGTCCCAAGCACCACGATTTTACACTTCGCCAATCCCTGGATTGACTGATTTAGATGAAGTCGCCCATGGCAGCCATTTCTGGACCGCCGGATTCCTAAAGAGGGTGCCGTTAGTCTATGCGTACATAGACAAACATGTGTATGCTAAGCGACTTACCCTCATGCCAATTTCCCAGTCTACGAGAAGAAAGAGAAAGGAGGGGTAAGCTTGGATACGGTATGTGAGAATACCAGACGTACAGCTGTAGATGATGGTGACGGCCATCAAGATACCCGTTCCGCTTCCAATGGCGCCCATGAGATCAGCCGACACAGAGAGCAGGCCAAGAATGGCGCCTCCGAACGCAGCGGCCGTAGGAATGACACGCTTGAGCTCCTTGTACATTGAGCCCTCACGGTGTCCAGCCATAACCTGTCCAACATTAAGATTAATGCCAATGTCGCTCAACTTGTACCAAAGGAAAGGCTTACAAGTTGCTGGTCTTTGAGCTGCTTTGCAATATCGCGTGGGCCGCTACCGGAGACTTCGATCCACGTCTTAGAGAAGGCGGCACAGGCAGATACCATGAAGATAACGTAGATGGCGGTATGGATGGGGTCGAGGAGCGCAGCATGAAGGGTGTGCGGGGGCGACATGTAGTATGCGATTCCAGAGACGGCAGCAAGCTGTGGAGAGTCCTCCAAAGGCTGCAATGCGAGACCTCAAATCAAGCCATAGAATGGGACACCACGTGACTCACCTCCCAAACACCGAGGAGCTTGACCAAAAAGTTTTCGGGGAATCGTGACGCCAGCATTTGAGATACAATGAAAACGTTCGACGTGAGCGCTGACTCGAGCATGATGGGCATGTTGGACGTGTAGAACAGCTTGACGGGGTACGATCCTCGCTGGCCACGGAAGCGGTTCGACTTCACAGGAATCTCGAGGCGGAAACCCTGCAGATAGATGACGACGGCAAACACGGCGACAGTTGCAACGAGGTTCATGACATTTGGCAGGCGCTCGCGCCAGAACGCCTCGCGGAGCGCGCGGCCTTTGTCGTTCCAGGTGAAAAGAAGGTGGAACAGCGACACGATCGCGCCCTCAAACTCGGGCCCGCGGCCAGTGTTGACGGTGGTAGGAGAGAATGCCTTCCATACAATCGACTCACAAATATTGGTCGCGATGAAGAGAGAGATGCCGGAGCCGAGACCGTAGCCCTTCTGCAAGAGCTCGTCAAGAAGGATGACGATGAGACCGGCAGCAACAAGCTGGATGATGAGCAGGAGACAGACGCCGGCGCCTAAGTCGCGGGGCTGTCCATAGAGACCGGTCAGGACGTAGACTGTTGCTTGGCCAAGGGCGATGATGAGAGCAAAGACTGCCAGCAAGGAGGGCGTCAGCAAACGAACTGACTTTTGTACATCACCCCGAGGCCGTCACCGCCGTACGACGACATGCATGGGCGAGTTTCGCAGTAGAAAGGGGAGATCACTCACGCTTCTGGGCACCGCTGAACAGAGCACGATCTTCCTTCAAGGAGAAATCAACCTCAATAAGATTGGCACCCGCGAGGAGCTGCATGATCATCCCGGAGGTCACGATTGGACTGATACCCAATTCCATAAGAGTTCCACGGTTGGAAGCGAGGATGACACGCATCCAGTAGAGGGGGTCAGACGAGTCGGAGGACATGATCCCGTACAGCGGGACCTGTGAGCAGACCAAGAAGATGAGGAGTGTGACGGCCGTCCATAGTACTTTCTGATTGAAGGGGACCTGAGAAGAGGGGAAGAAAATTTAATGAGTGACACGGAAAGAGCACCGGGTGCATACCTTGCGGTCCGGGGAGGAAACCTCGGGGAGTATGGGGAGGAAGGGTCGAACGAGATTCAAAAACCGGACTGTAAAATGGGTCAGCGTGTGCGGTGTTGAGGAGGGTAAAAGGAGAGCATACACCCGCTCATCGTTGAAGAAAGAGCGGAGGAGAGACGGGCACAGGAGGGGACGGAGTGGTTGGGTGGTTATAACAGACGACGCCAACGCGACTCGCGGATTACAGACGTGGCAGTACAAACATCGCCAAACTCGCGCTCGCGTGGCCGCTTCGGCAATCACCGGGGGCCTGCTCTGCAAAGTTTCCTGCTCGTCGACACCCCCAACGATCCCCACGCTCACAGACGCCTACCCCGACGCCCACTCTCACAAATGGTGAGTCTATGTCTCTGAGAGGCACACAGAATGCTCCAAAAATCTGTCTGTCTTGAAATTGGAGCATTGGAGGTGGATGCACATCTGGATAGACGGATGGAGGAGCCCATGAACCGATGGCTAACATACCTCTCCCAATTTACAGGCCTCCGCAGAGCTCGCCGCCACGTACGCCGCGCTCATCCTTGCTGATGACAACATCGAAATCTCCGTACGTTCGGAGCCCACATCTGCACTGGAACATTGGACTTGACCGCGTCCCACATACAGTCTGACAAGATCGTCGCTCTCACTTCTGCGGCCGGCGTCGAGCTTGAGCCCATCTGGGCTACGCTGCTTGCCAAGGCATTGGAGGGCAAGAACGTGAAGGACCTTCTGTCAAACGTTGGATCAGGAGGCGGTGCCGCCGTTTCGGCTGCCCCCGCCGCCGCAGCGGCCGGTGGCGCCCCTGCTGCCGAGGCGAAGGAGGAGGAGAAGAAGGAAGAGGAGAAGGAGGAGTCAGACGACGACATGGTACGTCTTTCCATTCCTTACCTCCTTTGTGATTCGCTCACTTACCGCTGGCGGTGTACAGGGCTTCGGTCTGTTTGACTGATTTATTTCTTTTCGTTTCTGCATTTTGTCTCCGCCGCTATCTCTCGTCGTTGTATCCTCACGCCCGATTGCACATTCCAAAATACATGACTCATGCACATGGCCCATGCGAATTGCACGGATCACTAACGAAGCCTCGAGAGCTCTCACATCAAGAATTCAGGCGCTTTGAAGCTAGTCTTGGTATGTACTATCGTCGGAGAGTGATGTATGCCGTTCCACTCAGTTGCGTACACTTTGGTGATTTATACCGCCATGTCCAAAACCTAGTGGTGATTGTAAGGATTGAGGCAGCGCTCAAGAGAGTACTGCAAATCTTTTGAAGAGAGTTACCGCTCGCAACCTACACTATCCTCGTCCAAACACTCCTCAAACTTGCTATCTTGCATAAAGCGCTGTCATGCACATTATTCCTGTCGCATGTCATTAACCAAGCGCTCCCTATTATATTGACGGGTGTACGCTATCAGTACTCTAATATCAGGGCAAGCCAGTCAGGAAGAAAGAAACACATATATATAGAAATATGCGGAACGGTCATGACAGGGACATGCGACATGAGAAACGTACAAGCCAGATATACGTATGTAAGAGATATGTGTTACGGTGTATATGGTTGGCTGATTGCTTGGCGTGAGATGGGACGGTGGGTATGCAGGCCTGCGGTGTGCTCTATCCGTGCCTAGTGCGAGAGGTGCGCACGGTGCGTTAGAACGGGCGAATCGGTATGCGTGAGCCTAGATCCTGAGCTGTGGTGCACAGACGTGCGGACTGTGGAGGGGATTCTGGAGTATATGGGCGGAAGGAACCCGGAGCGAGGGACATGGAGTAGGGACGACAGGAAAACATCAAGATGGACGTAGACTTGGTAGATGCGGAGAATGAAAACGACGAGGATGGAGCAGCGAGATGCGAAGCGGCTGGACGAAGTAGGCGAGGCGGGAAGCGGAAAAACGAAATGAAATGAGACACAAACAGCTTTTGTACCAGCGAACGGGGCGAAAATAGGCATTCGGAAAGCAGTCTAGCAGAAGTCTCCGCCCCTTCCATCTGTGTCTCCCGCGGCTCACATCTTCCGCACCGCGCGCATTCCCATAGGACCAGGCGCTTCAGCTGCACCGGCACCATGTGAGCTCACGCCCTTCAACTTACGCATCGTCGCTGCGGGGTCTCTCGCAGAAGCAGCGGCAGCAGGCGCGAGACCTCTCGTCGAAGCCGCCGCCGGCAGTCGTGGTACTGGAGGTGCAGAGGCAGACGCGGATGCGGGCGCGGCAAGCCCAGACATACCGAAGCGCGAGGGCGGGCGGAGTCCCGATGGCGCGCCGATTCTGCTGGTGCCACTTATGGCTGCCATCGACGGCCTCTTCGAAAGCCCCGCCGCAGGCCCAGCAGGGGGCTGCAGCTTGGATGCAGGTGCGCCGTAGCTTGTGCTCGCGGCGCGCGCTCTGGTGCTTGCAACTGTCGCGGTCGTAGCAGTGGGAGCAGCCGGCCGCGAGACTCCCGCGGCGCCTCGCACGCGCGCGGCGATCTCGCTTGCGCGCGCCGCTTTCGGGAGCTCTGTGCCCGTAGGGGGCCGCTGCAGGCCGTGGATGACGGTCCTGGCGCGTGGGGCGGGCGCGGGCAAGTTGACCTGAGCAGACTGCGAGGTCACCGGTTCAGGGGCAGCGGTGCTTGTGGTGTTGCGTGGGGGCAACGCGCTCGAGCGCCTAGCGGCCATCGACTCGGCCTTGGGCTTCTTGACGATGCGCAGGGCCGCAATGGGCACCGTGGCGGCGGGCCTGAGAAAGGAGAGGCGACGCTCGGACGGGACATCTCTCGATCTCTTCCCCTTCTCCTTTTCTTTTGGGGCTGACCCTGTGGCGAGTTCAGTGGGCAAGGATAAGGCCGCGGACAGCGCTGGGGCTGAAAGAGAGGCGCGCTGGGCGGGCGCACGCTGCTTTACGGAGGCAGAGGCTTGCGGTGCTACGGAAGAAACCGGTGTTGTCAGGGTTTCGGTGAGGAGGGAGGGTAGAGCAAGGCTTACTGCGCTCGGAAGACGATGTTGCGTTGGAGCTGGCGCGATGGCGCTGGACTACTTGAGAGTCGCGCTTCTGCACAGGCGTGATCAACGCGGGCGGCTGGGCTGAGGAGCGACGACGGGAGGGGGGGCGATTGCCGGCTGCTGGATCAAGCTGGACGTCACGCAGGCGCTCGACCAGCGCGTCGACCGCAAGCTCATCCTCGGTTTCGACTTCGGTGTCTGGCTCTACGGCTATTGTCTCCGCAGGGCGAGGCTCCGAGACTCTCGCCTTCGCTTTCGGCTCGCGTGGCGACGCGCCGAGACTCACCCTCCCCAGCCTGTCTGCCAACGCGTCCATCGCCCGCTCCTCCCCCGCCAGGTCGAACCCGTCCTCGCCATCCATGTCCATCATCGATTCCTGCGCGAGCCCCAGGAACGAAATCTTGTCGTTCAGCAGGTCGAACGAGACCTCGGGGCACTGGAAGTGCATGCTGAACGACGCCTGGAGGTCGACGGAGCTGCGGCGTGGATCGAGACCGCTCGCGCTCGCCGCAGTGCCCCCACGCGGGCCTGTACCGGTGGTGGTGATGCGGGGCCGCGGGGGGGACGGCGATTCGGGGGAAGTGGGCGCGGAAGAGTCCACATCGAGCGGCGAAAGTGGGGGCTGGGCGGACACGAGGTGCTCAGGCGGAACGACTCTGATCTGAGGCGGCGTCGGGCGTACGGTGGGCGTAGAAGACGAAGAGGACGACAGCGAGGACGCGGACGTAGGAGACGTACGCGTGGGTGGGGCTGTGCTGGTGCCGTTGATCGCATTGATGACCGAGGCGAGCGGGGACGTCGCGGGTGCGGCGGTGAGCTTCGGTGCGCCGAACGCGGGTGAGGCAGTGCTGGCGAGGGCGGCGGCGAGCTTGCGGGTAAGAGGCGAGCTGAGAGGCTGTTCCTGGTGCTGTTCCTGGTCGTCGAGCAGGATGTCTGCGAGCGGACGGCGCTGGGGCATGGGGTCCACATCGGCGATGGCGGGAGCAGCAGAGACATGACGATCTGCACTGGAGCACAGAGCCGTACTTGGGCCCGCATTCTCATCCTTGTTCTTGTTCTCGTCCTGAGCCTGCACGTTTTCACCGTTCTCGTCGTTCTCGTTTTCGTGCTCGTCGTCCCCATCGTGTTCATCCTCATCGGCGAGCACGCCATCGAGTTTACTGAGATCCGTATCCTCCCCAGCCGTATCGCTAAAGTCGATGAGCACACCCATGGGAGGCATCTTGGGCGGGAGAGCCTTGTACTGTGTATACGTGCGGCTGAAGAACTTGGTCAGCGTGAGCGGGCTGTCGGCCGAGCCGGTTCCCGCCGCAGCAGAGGCAGAGGGGGAAACATAGGCGGGCTCAGCGTTCTCCTTGTCTGAACCCGAGTCTGGAGAGTGGACATCGCGCCGCATGGGCGTGGAGGGCCGCGCTGATGTGAGGGGGTCGAACATGTCGAGGAGAGACGAGCGAGGGCGGTTCGTCATGCCAGGCATCGTGCTGAATGCGTTGTATGTGGGCCGCTGCTTGGATGTATGCTCTTCGTCGTCGTCGTCGCCGGCCGTGAGGGTAGATCTCTCGTGAAGTTCGTAGACAAGAACCGGGCACGGGCGCTTGAGGGAGTGGAAGCGAAGACCGTGGGCGCTTGACGTGACAATCCTCACTCAACAACAACTTGTGACCTCTGTGACAGACGCGTTACTCACGTGATCGTATATTATTTCACGTCATTGCCCTCTTGTCACGGCCGAATTGTCAGGCTAGGGGTCTTCAAACAATTTACATCCGTCCTTCAACCCGACACACCACTGGTAGTTACTGATGTTGACACAGGCTGATCCCATAAGATCTATCTGAATCAAGTCCGGGGTCATCGTTGACTGTGCACTGCGCAAGTTGTTTGCTTGCAAGCAAATTGTGTGACTGATTTCGTTCGCCTCCTACTAATCATTGCAGTAGAGGTTGTCGATATGCACGTTGCGGTGGGGAAAGGTGGAAGTTCCTGACGTTCGAGGTGCACCTGGATCGCCCCGATCGATCCCACGCCTACCCGTACTGAGTGTTTAGTCGTGTGGGTGAGCTCGTAACGTGGATGATTCGTGCGCAATCGTACTGGCAGGGCTGCGGACCATTTCTCGAGCGTGTCGAGCCGAGTAAAACAGGACATGCACATAGTAGTATTTTGTTTCATAGCCAGTGCACTTCGGCTCAAGATGGGGCGTACCTAATTGATACGGAGTATGAGATGTGGGGCCATACAGTGGTGCGCCAACTTGAAAGTCAAGAGCTACAAATCAACCGTCATACACAGGACAGTCAGAATAAAACCGATCAAAATCCGTTAGGCACACACTCCTTTAAATACAACAAGTGTCCACCCTCGTACTCTGCCGCCGCTTTAATTTTGGTCCAAGAATCTGCATAAATGTCCCTCGGCGTAAGTACCGTCGTTTCTGAGTTCGCCTGCTCCTTACCGACGACATATATTTCGTGCTGCAGTGTAGCTGGCGATCGCATACGCCAAAAATCCAGGATGCGCTGCGCAAACGCACGAATTACGAGCCATTCCCATGACCGAGTCACCTAGGGTATCAAGTTTGGTGATGACAGGATCAGCTCCAAAAATTTCGACTTTTTTTTCTGCAGTCGTGTACTGCTCCCCTGGCTCACAACTTGAGCGGCAGATTCTTGATCAAGTTGCCATTTTTGTATTGAAGGCATACGAACGGCAAAATCCACAGGAAGAATTCGAGGTCATGGTGATACTGTCTCTTGATGTTGCCATACCAATACTCCCCGTTGAGCAGACCCAAGGCCATGATGGGCTAAATCTCAGGGCGAGAACGCCCGTTATGACTCGACTGTCAGAGGATCGTCGCCAGCTTCCAGTCGATCAAGAAACCGCGCTTGTCCATATCAACCATGAGATTTGACAGCCTGGGCGTGACATCCTGAATGCCTAGCTCCCAAAGAGAATAGTGGCCTGAACCCTCTGCGTCAGCAGTCATCGACACCAGAGAAAAGCAAAGCAACACGCACTGCGAACGCAATCAAGCCACGCCTTCAAAAATGCCTCGCCGACCACCGTAGTGATTGGTCTCGGTCGAAGGAACACGGCCAGCCGGAGGAAACGAGCAGGACGCCGCTTTTCAGGTGGGTCGAGACCAAGCTTTCTCCTAATATTTCCTGTCGAATACTGAGTGTAGTCGCGCGCGTAAAGCGGCTCCGGATGATGACCCAGGGTATCTGTGTTTGACCGCAGCGTGTATGCTCCCCTGAGACCCTCTGCTTCGTTCAAAAGCGGTTCTTCCTGCCAGTGAATCTTCGCTGTTACCTTTCGAAGCTCTGTGGAGGGTTTAAACGCCGTAGTCACACCGCCAGCCATGTGGCGCTTTCTAGAAGACTCAACCTTGCGAAGCCGAGCCGCAGTGCCACAGAATACAGATGTGCCCCGCCCAACCAGGCCATACGCCTGATGCACTTGCCTGATCGTATCGATATCAATGTCCTCCCACTCGCCTGAAGCTCGAAGGATCGAGGTCTTGATATACCTGGTTTGGTCGGCAGCAATGCCTCTGGAAGCTACATCAGAAGGGTAGATAGCATCAAACTCCGTGTCTAGCGAGATGTTAAACCCCCAGCCCTCCAGCCCGAACCGCTGAAATGCAAAGAGCAGAATCAAGAAGCGCGGAAGGTCCTGGACGAAGTTGATGCCTTCTGTCTGGATTGCACCTTGTCTGTCGTACCACCATATCCATATCACATCGTCTGAGCCGGACGTGAGAAGGAACCGTGCGAGACGAATCAGGGATTCGAGCCTCACCGATGAAGAGTAGATTGATTGCGTGGTTGATGCACGGCTTTCGTGATAATATCTCGACGCCATACAGTGCGGACTGTATGATAGGAAGTGATAGAGTCTCCGGCCTTTTAGCTACGATTTTTGTTTGCTTGAAAGTTGCATCTGCCGTGCGAATAGTGGGAGTGGGTCGACGGCTCGAATGGACTTAGCTGCTAAAGACTATCAAAACACGATGTCGTGTGCATCAAAGACCCTACCTGGAATCAGTTTCGTACTCGTGATAAGAGAATGGCTTGTAGTCGGTTCGAGGTAGTTGACCTTCGCGGGGATCACTTGCCCTAAACCCGAATAGGTGGCAGGCGGCGGATTCAAAATGTATGCGCAAACTTCGAACTCAATCGAAGCGCATATGCTCGACCAGGCGAGGTTCTTGCGCGGAGATGGTCCTTCGCAAGCATATTCGGCGACAATATCGTCCCATTGCATGTCCCCGCGATCCGGCGCAACCAACTCCGCTGCGGCGAGCGAGACTAATACCACCCTAGGGCCGCGAGAGACCTGAGGATCACGATTGTTTTGGTATAAAGTAATGTTGAGGTCTTCATTTGCACGCCGAATATCGGCGATATCAATCGTTCGCAGTTTCTTTAAGACATCGTTGGAAAGGTCAACGAACAATCTATATCTGCTCTTTTCTTCGGGTTTCGATGTGCAGCTGAGATCCGTCTTTGATTGCTTAGGAGTACGGCATCGAGACATGACTGGAAAACGTTCGGCCTCGTATCGTTTGATGAGGCATGAGGATCGACGAGACGTCGGGTCAGGAAGTGGATTAACATGTCATCGACTTTGCATCGCTCATGTTTCTCGAGGTCGCGGGCGATGCTCATGATGCGGCCAGCGACTCAACGCTGTCTATTCGAGTAATCAGCCGTACAATTTTATACTCTGAGGCGCCACAGTCACATAGCTTACTCGTAGGCTCGAATCCTTCACAGGCAGCAGTGGTCGACGATGATCCCAAAGGCACGGTTCGAAGGAGTTGCGTCGAGCTTCAGCGCTTCAGCCCTGCGATCTTGTGCCGGTCACCGGGGGGCGTGACTTGTTCTGCTTGGGTCAAGCGCCAGCCCCGCCATATGCCGGGACATACCTGGTAGTGGATATCCATGTTCAGGACTTCAAGGCCTCGAGCTTAGCCCACCGGGGTTCAACGTTCAACTGGTCGTAAACCGGGGCTTGTGTCCCGGACATTCCACCTGCAGCCAGGAGCGGCTGAGACACACGTGAATAATTATCAAGAAAAATACAATTTCTTTGCTTCGACATGCGAATATAACGTGCAGATTCTTCAACAGGACATACATACATGCGCTCTCCACCCACTGAAGGACAGAGCAGAGAAAGAGAAATGAACTCGCAGCGTGCGTACATGCAAAGAGGAAGACAAGACGTACCTTGGCCGACTCCTCCACACCTAAGCCTTCTTGCGCCTCTCACCGAAGATCCCTGTCCCGACTCTCACAACGTCACTCCCCGCACGCAGCGCGGCCTCGAAGTCACCCGACATGCCCATGCTGAGCAGAAGCTTCCCACCTTCGCCCCACGCGCCGCCCGCTTCCTCAGACACCCCCGCTTCGGCGCCGAGGACCGTCTCCAACGCGTCGCGCGTCGCACACAGCGTCGCGAAGTCACGATTCTCCGCGTCTAACTGACGCGACTCTGCGAGGGAGCCGATGGTCATGAGCCCGCGGAGACGGAGGCGCGGGCATGTCGTGATGATGTGTTTGGCGAGGGTAACGAGCTCAGAGCCTTGATGCTGCTGCGGCTCCGGCGCGGGCGCGAGGGGCGCGAGCCCGGACTTTGCGTCCTCGCCTGAGGTGTTCACCTGCAAAAGGATGTTGAGCGGCGTCGTGCGCTCGGCTGGAAGCGCGCGGTCGAGCGCGGTCGCGGCCTTCGTGGATGTCACCGTCTGGATGGTGTGGATGTTGGGGATGGCTGCCAAAACCAACGCGCAGCGTCACGCGAGCGCAGGGTCGGTATCATTGTAAATGACTGGAGAGGAAGAGGGGCGGACATGCGAGGGTCTTGGCCTTGTTGGACTGCAGCGTGCCGATGAAGTGCCATCGGATGTCCGAGGGCAGCTGGCCGCGCACGATCATCGATGCAAATTAGCATGCGTGCATCCGGGGGAAATACAAGCAGGCATACCTGCTGTGCCTTCTCCACGAGCTCCTGCACATAGTTTTCGCCAAAGTCACGCTGGCCGACGTCGTAGCACGCCTGCACGTCTGACGCGGGCTTGTACTTGGACACGGCAACGAGAGTCGGCGCTGACGATGACGACACCGGCGTAGCCCGTTGTACACGCGCACGAATCTCGGCGAGGGCCTCGTGGAGATCAGCTGTGCGTTCTGAAGTTGTTGATGAAGAAGACATGGCGAGACGCGTGAGGCTGCGATGAAGGGATGAAAGGGAAACAGAGCGCATGATCGATTGGTCAGCCGCCGGTTCAGCTGGTTGTTTTCTTCCGCTGCTCCCGAGTGCAACCCTCTTACATCCCAACATTGATATGTGGCTAGCCTTTCCTCTGGCATCACCGAAAAGCGAATCTCCTACAGGCAGTCGGGAGCAGAAAGGGCGGCAGCGATACCGTGAACTCGTCTATCACTCGCTCGTAGTCTGCAACAGCGACAAGGAGACACCCAGCGCCCTCGACGGCGCCTACCAAACGACGCTTCACTTGATCTTCCGTGTTTCCCTCTGTCCGCCTCGCGGAACAAACGATAGGGAGAGACTGTGGGCGCAGTCCTGACACCACTTCTGATTTTCCTGCTACTTGCATACAAGATCAAACTAGTACGGGAATACCAAGCGTTATGGAGTATATCCGACCTATTCAAACGAATCTAGATCGAAGATGCCATCCGTCAGCTCCTCCATGGGCCCACACCACTGGAACATGTACCCCAACCCCCGGTCATCGTGGCTCTTCATCGCCATTATCAGTACAAGCTCATAATTCTCGCCTGCATAACTTTCCAAAAGCTTTTTCTGCTCCTCGCTGGCCATGAAGCTCACGCCATGTACTTTATTCTCCGTCGAGTCGCCTTCGAAGTTTTTGATCACTGCTGGATACCTCCCCCACATCTTCACCTGGCAACCGACGATGAACACGGGATCGAGCACCGGCGGCTCAATGAGACTCAGCACGCGCTTCAAGACTTGCGGGGGAGAGAGTGCCGTAGAAAAAGAGCTCTTGCTTGGGATGTATGTATGGTTCGTCCCTGATGAGGCTAGCCTTCGCGGCTTCGTTGTATTGACGAAACTTCATCTACATGGCCTCTCCCTTTGGAAGGCTGCCAGTTCTGAGTATTGTTATCTCGAGGTGAGCTGCAATCTTGCATGTAGATTCATCAACGTCGTTGTTTTCATCGAATGGACGTCAGCACGTACCTTGTAAGTGGGCAAGATCGATCACTGCTCACATCCCATACTCTGTGGTCCACCTAGGGCTTTGATATATAGTCATCGCTTTACACCTGCTTGGTTCTGACGGTGGTGGCACCCGGTGGAGATGAACGTGAGTGACTTCGATAAGGGCTAGACTTCTCAGCGTTTAGAGAGCATGGGGATGACAGAATGATCTGATTGCGTAGTCCTCCTCCTGTTGTTCTTCCGGGCAGGGTCCAACGCCACTCATGATCGCGGCCCTTGCGCGACCCCACGGAGAGTCGAAATAAAACCTGCTCTCGAGACTCGCGAGATATCCTCAATCCACAAATGAAGACAATGCCATTTAACCGGCTCGACACGCACTTACCCACTCACTTGGAGGCTCGACCAATTCTTCCTCCCTCAGTACTGAAGACTCGTCCAGCATAAACAAGGATGAGCCTGAGTTGTGCCCTTTGTATGCGCGATGCGCATCGAGGTGTGCATATATCAACAGGACCTGACGACGATCTCCTCGCCGAAGTCGTTGAGCTCACACAATCTTACTGGCTTTGAATCCTTGATTTCTTTTGCAAGAAGTGACCTTCAGACCTTATCCTACTGTCTCAGTTGGCTGTCGCTTGTTATGGGCCTTTGCAATCGATCATGCATCATCTCAACCTTCCCGAGGCTGACCTGCCCTCGTGTTTGTCCGTTTATCCAGTTACGTCGATCATGGTGGCGATCCTGGTGGCAATCTCAAGCGATCATGGTATTGAAGCACATCGGAGCTCAGTTTAGCCCACGGCTCTGCCACATTCAAAAGCGCGTGGCCCATAGTGCCTCTTTCTCCGCTTTGTCGTCCTCATCGCGCTTTGACGGGCACTGTTGTCTAGCCCCGGCGCCACCGTAGCCCCCTGACAGATATAAAAATGACGGTGGATGCTGACCATTCACCCAGTCCTCTTCTTCGCCTAGGAAGTCCCAAAACCCTTCGCCACACTCATTCTTCCATCGTGGTTATCAATGTCTGGATGTCTCCCCGGCAGTGCTTATAAGTTTTACGAAGAAGCTTCAAGCTCCAAACCAAGAACAGGTGCGTTTTTTCATATGCCAGCAAGATGTCGGCTTGATGGTCCTATCTGTTTTTTTTTAATAGTATTTACGCAGTCATCCGACGGCTACTGCTTCGGCATAGAAATCGAACTAACCTTATCACCCAAAGTACAGAACATACATCAGTTTCATTCATCCCTGCTACCTGGCCCCATGGAAGACGACGGGACTTATCCCTGGGAGCAGATGGCAACAGCGCTAACTATGCTTTTAGACCGCGTCCTTTGGGACCGAGGCATGGGAAGGGCCTCTCAGCGGCAGTCGTACGACAAGTGGTGTGTCACCTTTGACGATACGATCCAACCACCAAGGGGATTCTGTGAGTCTGCAGCCCTAGTCCTCGAATATCAGTCTCCATTCACATGTCGCGTATAGCTGGGTTCGAGATCATATCTCCCATTCTCACCACAGAGATGGACTGGCGCGTGGTGATAGAAACAATCTACGCCGTTGTAGATGCTTATTTTATAATCCAGGCCTCTCCATCATGCGGCACTCACGTACACATCACACCTGGCCGCAGAACCTGGAATGTCGCCGACCTACGCGCTCTCTCAAAAGCCATCGTTCTGTGGGATCCTGTCATCGAGGGCCTCTTGCCCGAAGAGCGTCGCATTGATGCCCCTGACTCATGGCACCGGAGCAACATCCATGGACAGCTCGCTTTACATCTGGAGCAATTTCATTCGGACGGGTTTGATCATCTCTTCCAAATGATTGACGATATAGACGATCGTGATGAAATAGTCGACTTTATCTCGCCAGACAAGGCTTGGGCATGGAACTTTTGCCATGTTAAAGAAGCGTGTGGGACAGTAGAGTTTCGCAAGCCACCGATGGCGCTGACAAGCTCCGCAGCGGTAGCATGGATCGAGTTCACGTTGATGTTCGTCCGTGCCGCCACAGGGATGGAGATGGGATACTGGGAAGGTGTAGGCTCCCAAAACGCACGACCAAGCATTAGGGCTTTGGAGAGCTTTGTCTGCTTGGGTCTCATGCCCGGTACTATCGACGGGAAATCTGGTCTCACCTTGTTCCAGGACTTGACGACTTCCCGTTCTGGGGGCTCCGCAGGTCCTTGCTTAGTGGCCCAGCTTTGAGGTTCCTTGGCAGGCTCGATTACTCGGTGCTGGAACTTTTGCGGCAGCGCCGCGCTATAGGTTATCCGTGGTTTGCAGTATGCATATGCTGGCGACATGTAAAAAAGTATATGTATGGCGCACTTAATGATATGATATGTGCTTATGACATCTAGGAATGGCTGTCACAATGACCTATCACAGTACAATGTTCTTGTCGACGTGGACACTGGCTTCTCATCCATCCACTTGCGCAATGTGACACTGATGACTGAAGTGAGCTGCTGTTCCAGGGCGCTGAATGCGGACAATGAGAATACGATTAGCAACATCGGAGAAGGAATGTGTGGAGGATGTGTGGGTAAATGGGTATGGGATGGCTGCTACGGCGCAAAATCGACAAGCAAAAGAAACGACAAAATACTCGAGACTCTATTCTCCGATCAAATTCCTCAGACTACCGAAATGTATCAGAGCAGCAGCGCTAGACGCCGTCTCACTACTGTGGGAGAATCATATATCTGGCTGGGTTGCCGGACTGCGACATGTCCGAGTGATCCTTTCTTGTACTCCCCTTGACGCTGCCCGTGGAGGGAAATCATGGATTTGGGCTGGATGACAGGGATAGTCGGAAGCCTTCCGTGGCGATGGCGATACGTGGCTATGTAGAAGCTGAAGATATCATGTTCAAACTTGAGGTATGTGTCACGATCGTCGAAACAGCATTCGTCCCATCTGGATGCGAACGTGCCACCGGGCCAATCACGCAAGGCGGTGGCCACGCTCTCGACTGCCCATCGACGCACTTGCCAGTCCCGAGAACTGAATAAATCGCAATTGCCATGCTTCTCCCACATAGGCTGTACTCCGCCTCCGCCCCAGATCTGGAAGATGCGCCATTCCCGATGAGCTGCTTTCACATTTGAGTCTTCATAGATTGACTTGAGGAGTTCTCGGTCCAACTCCAAAAGTTTGAGCCGGAAGTTCATGAGAGAAAGCTCCCATATGACTTCTGCCCACAATCCCTTGTCAGTATCTGCCTTCTCACGATCAACGACAAGGCTTCCCCGGCGGTAACTCTGAGCAGAATCATAAGGTTTGAAGCCGCCATAGACAAAGAAACGGACATTGATGTCCACGCACTCGATGATGTGCCGTTGGGCTTTCATGTTCGGATTTCGCTGTGCTTTGGGTACATTTGGATCATTGCCAATGCGAGCCTTCTTGTTTGGTGGAGGCGCGACAGGTAAGCGAATGATATCAGCGAGCGAAGACAGGGGTTTCACAGAGCAATGGTCGAAATTCACCATGTGATACCTCCCTTCGAGAGCCACCCGCCAGTCCTTCGTTTTCATGAATATCATGAGGTGAGCGGGGGCGTGGACGGCTTGGTGGATGCACCAATGATGCACGCGAAGCCAGTTGTGAAATTTTCACCCTATGATTTCGGTGCCGTCTGTATAGAATAGGTGAGATGGGGGGGATATCTAAGCACAGCATTGTCTTCGTCAGATATTCTTTCGAATTGAGTGAATGCCCGAGCCCATCCGTCAGCCAACGGCGGACACCATGATGGTCGAGGGTTTTTGAGACCGGCCGGTAGAGGGTGCTCTGTTGCAGTGTCTGTGTTTTCAACTAGGATTGGCGCGCCATCCACTAATAGCGACACTTGTCAACTGAATGTCTCCTTCCTTTCATCACACATACTCACAAAATCTGTTGGAAGGCATTACTAAAAGAGCTTTCCCTAACGGAGGATGGTGCTGAAACTGCACAGAGTTGAGCAGATCAGTGATTTTAGCCATGTCAAAGCCTACAGGACAATGGTGAGTCAGGGGTACAAGTAGATGTTACATCGTGTCCACTAACCCATGCTTTGCATGGACTGCATCAGAACCATGTCGCTATCAAGGTTAGAGAAATCAACCCCTGATGTGCACGATGTGTTATCAGTGAGCGATTACAGGTGGAATCAGAGGTGACGAACCCACCGTAGAGCTCCGTGGAGACCGCAATGATTTGCTTAAGTGTGTAGTGAACCTGTTCTGTATGATTCACAGCAGCAAGAGCAGAGCAGCCCGGCGCCTTGCTTGATGGCACTTCACCCCGCCGATTCCCAATCTTATCTGTAGGAAGGTAGGCCAACTCGTAAGGCTGAACCCACGCAATTGTGCATGTATGTTCTTTTGGCTGAAAATGTTGTGCTAGGGCGCCTGCTCCCAAAGCGGCACGGCTGATCAATACTCGCTGTGCACCATAGTGAGATCGGAGGTGAAGGCAAGGTGAGTGGGTGACCTCTTTGACACGTACAATTAAGGTGTCTGTGGTGAGGGTCTCTCGCTCCCGTATCCACCAGACTGGGATACCACAACGGATTAGTCGGTTAACAACACTGAAATGTTTTGTTATGACACTGCGGAGGGGGAGCACTGGTGTGGGACTGTCAAAATCAGGATCAAAGAGGCGGGACTGGATCTCCTGTTTGTAGATGACCCAAGCCCGCATGTCGAGAAGAACACGTTGGAACTCGCGGAACCACAGCAGAGCATCGAAAGAGGTCATGGGTACAGAGGGCAGGCGTTGATACGCCACAAATAGACAGTCCGCTCGACCTCTTTGATACTTATAATCGCGCGCGCCAGCAAGTTCCTCCTCTGGCGTAGTCGCAGAAGAGACTAACTTGATTCCAAGGTCCTCAGACATACTGCGTGCCTCTATCAATGCCTCTTGGAGACGTGATAAGACGGCATCGGACAGAGAGCCAAACTGCTCAAACGGCAGCTCTCGAGGTGGCACGAAATCCTTTCCATCAATAGAGAACCATGGCGCGAGATAATCGCTGAAGGTGAGCAATGAACGATGTGACTCCAGAGGCAGCGATGCAGGTTTGGGACCTGAAGAGGTGGTTATGTCTAGTGCCAATAAATCGGGGTTACCTGATGCAGCCATCGCATGAGGCTCCGCATGATACTAGAGAGCCTGAGGCCACTTGAGAGGTTCGAACATGCCAAGCATCCCACCTGAGAAATAACGGAATGGTTTGCCATCGGGATTCATAGGGACCTCCGGTACAAATCCCATGTTTGGAGATGAAGTCCAGAGCTGGTGCTCACTATCAGGGAAAGAAGCTAAGCAAAGACAGTCGGTAGCCTGTAACTGGTCTCCTGGACTTATGCCACGGTGCGCATCCAAAAGTTCTTGTAGAGACTTAAAATGCCTCATTGTAGACGTAAGGCTAGCCATGTCCTAGAGTTCACTCAAAGAAAAAGGATACCGCGAAACCGTCGAGTTTGAGGTAGTACAGTATCCCAAAGGCAAGCAGGTGAGGGGCAGGCAATTCTGTGACTCCTTCAGCTTCAGCTTCAACCTCCGACACGGTCTCCGAATATCCGAAGTTTGAGGCTTCTCTCTGCTTGTCAGGTCATTCTTGAGCTGGAGTAGTTTCTATACACGTCTCTTCGTCTCACGACCTTCTCGGCCGCCGACTTTTGCCACGTAGTAGCGGCCGGTGCCTTACCAGAACAGACTTTGCGTTGTGTATGATAAACGGCGACCGAAACCCATGATAGACCCTCGATTTTTCGATCGTTCCTTCCAGTATTCCCTCTTCCTTAACACCCACCGGACTATGCAGCATCAAAGTACGATGGGCGTTTCCTCGACGATGCTTGAGGACAAAACAGACCTCGGATGGGACAACGTCGCGCTCGGGCTCACTTTTATCGCGTTCGATGCGGGGTTATCGTTCGTGTTTGGCCTCGGTATCGGCACGTCCTTGCTCAGTGCGGCCCTGCGCTGCGTCGTGCAGCTCACCGTTGTTGCAACTATCCTGCAGAAGGTGTTTGCGACAGAGAGCTTTTGGGCGGTTGCAGGCATTTCAGGTGAGCGCACAGTAAGACCGTGCTGTTGATTTTGATTAATTCAATACTTGTCGGGTGTTCATTTAGTACTGTTGAATCTATTGGGCACGTTCGAGACGGGTGAGCGCAGTCTACCCCCTACTTTTGAAGAATGATAGCGCTGACCCTGAGTCAATTCACTAGTCGTGGTCAAGTCCAATCGCAGGTACCGATACATGGTGCGTTCAACCTCGAGAAAACTGGACGGATCTCCCATCGAACATGTCTGTCTACGCACTCTCCCGCCATCCAGTTCCCTGCCGTGCTCTTCGCGATGCTGTTTTCTACGATCCCTGTCTCGGCCCTCGGCGCACACTTTGCGATGGGCATCCGCCCATTTTGGCGCCCAGAGCAATACAGTGCGTATTAGCACCACGCATCTTCACCCTTCTCATCCTTCATCCTATGTCACTGACTACGTTTCACGTATGAATCACGCTCTTCTCCCCAGTCCCGCTCGTCGGAATGCTCTGCGGTAGCACCGTTTCCGCCATCGCCATCGCCGTATCCCACGTCTTGAAAGAGCTGGAGTGCGTCCCTCCCACTCCTTATACACCCGCACACCCGGAGGCTTGGCTAACTCTCTCCGTACTTTCTGCATGCACATTTTTGCAGCGTCAACAAAGATCGGACCGAGACGTACCTAGTGTATGGGGCGACGCGCATTGAGGCGTGCTTACCCGTTGCGCGCGACGCACTGCGCGTCGCGCTCACGCCGTCTGTCAATCGGATGAGGTGCGTGCCGGCAACGCCTCACACAAATCATCGGCCTCATTGCTCTTGCAACTAGCGTACTTGGCATCATTGCCATCCCAGGTATGATGACCGGCGCTCTGCTCGGCGGATCCTCGGTACAGCAGGCCGCACGGCTGCAGATGGTGATCGTGTTCATGATCTCGTCCTCCGAGGCGCTCAGCTGCGTCATCACGACGTTCCTCGCGCTGCTCGCGATGGTCGACCGCGAACACCGGCTGCGCCCGGACCACGTCGATACTCGGCTCCATGTGGTGTGGCGCGCGCGCGATAGAGTGGGGTGGGCCGTGGTGGGCGGCGTGAAGGACGCTGGGATGGCGGTTGGGAGGTCCCTGTGGCCGTTTGGGAGAAGGAAGCAGGGCACGGCTGATGGGGTGGGGGAGAGGCAGAGACTCTTGCCCGGATGATCGCATGATCAGATCCAGATCGAGCGGTGCGTCCCGTCGTGGGCTTTTGGGGGGACAAGTCGTATCTTCAGGCCCAAAAAGACACGGTGATACTAGAGAGAGTACTTTGGGGGCGTGAGTTTTTTCACCGTGACGTCTTCCATCGACGTTCACGATACTTTTGCCATCGAAAATAACCACCGCACGTCTGTATTTCATCCTATATTTAACTATTCGAATGTATTCATGCGATCTCTGTAAGACCTGCGGCCCCCATGAAGAACGTGTGCGATCACTTCGGGACGCCGTGGACTCTGCTATTCGCGATACGCGTATCTTCACTTGTCTGGTGACGCGTATGCTGTGCAAAGCAGTACTAAGCACGTCACGTTGCCTGTGTGTCTGCTCACGTGCAATCGGTCTTTATAGCGGCTGCACTCCCCCCAGCCTGCTCCTCCCCGCCCAACGTTGATTCTTCAATCGCTCAGGTAAGCTTAGGTGCTTTCCGCTCATCGGTTTTCTCTGCACGTTTAGAGGAACGTTCAGCTTCATTGACCGACTCGTACTTTCTAATCCCCTATATTTTACATCGGATCGGACAGGCACATCTCACATCTCCACACCCCAGAACGTGAACCGAGTCCAGCGCCCGCGACGTGATTGATTGTGACTAGGAACCCCTTGGTGCATTACTCTTACAAGTCAAGTGAGTCCTTCTCGAAGCTTTGTCGGTAGATCTGCGCAGGCGGATATAAGGGGATAGTTGATGGTCCCCTCCAGCGTGTATGTATTGACTATGACCTGTTCCGACCTGCAGCTTAGCTTCCATCACCTCGAGACGAGACACAACATGACAATGATGATGATGGTTGCGGACTCCCCCTATTCTCCTTCTGTACCCGTGAACAGCTGCTATGCCGTGCAATGCGGAACGTGCGGCAAGACGACGTGGAAGGTAAGTTCTCTACGCTTGGCTAGTTCGGTCTGATGGTGTTGGGAACGTCGGTTTATTCTACGAGCGGGGTTTCCTGCTCCGAATGCATGCAGATATGACGATTGGGTCGGCCGTCGAGCTCGGGCATACGTAGTGTGCTGGTGTGTGATGCGTTGCGGTCTTTGTTCTCCTCTTCGGTCGTAGCCTATGATGTGGTCACTCATTGATTGAGCTGATTTTGCTTCGCTTCTGTAGGGGTGCGGCCAACACGTCGAGTCGGTGCGTACACAGATCATTGTTGCACATGTCTGGGCAGGAGGATGCCCCTTTATGTAGTGCCCGAGATTCACCCTGGATCGTTCGCTCAGTTCGGTCCAATTCAGTTCATGGCGATCTGGGGCGGGGGCTGATGATGCGCCTGGACCTCTCGTGAGAGGGCAGTGCTGGAATTACTGGTCCTTCTCGAAGCGAGGGTAGGGGGCCATTTTATGTCATGCCGCAGACCCGCAGAGGCCCGCAGCTGGCGCGCCCGCTTCTATCCACGCGGGCGAGGTGGCTGCCATCTTTTTTCCTGTGGCTGGTGTGCTTGATGTTGACGTCTTCGGGCTGACTTTGAGACTGTGGGTGAACAGGTGATGAAGGACGTGGCGGAGGAGGACAAGTGCAAGTGCCCCCGTTGAGGACAAACGACGAGGAGGAGTGACGGCGCGACGCGTGGAAGGGCAAAGGCGAGAAGTTGAACAGCAAGGAAATGTAATTGTAGCTGGCGAAATGAATATTGTTTGCGCACTGCGACACTACTGCTCCCTGCAGTGAGGCTCGAGGGAGATGAAGAGAAATGAAATGGACAGGATCTAGATGAGCGTATATGTAATTTGGGAGTGCGGAGTTGGGCCAAGAGCAGTAGCCACCTCCTCCTCGTCCCCTCCCTCGTTCCTCTCCCTTCTTTGCTCGTCGTTTCTCTCGTCCTTGCCGTCCACGTCGCATATGCCTGTCCTGCTCCCATGAGCTCCTCATACTCACAGGCGGTGCCCCCGCGCCCTCCCGTAGATCTCACAGACGACGTCCGCATCACCGCAGAGGCTCGCACAGACAGGGACCCTGCCTCCTCTCGCCTCATCCTCAACCAGTATGTGCGCGGTCCCCAGGTCGGCAAGGGTGTCCACGGCGAGGTATTTCTTTGCTGGGATATTTCCCAGGACATGGCAGAGCGAGTGAGTCCCATTGGCCCCTGCTCTCACTTCATCCGTTCATCGATACCACCGCGCTTCTCACCATACCTCTCGTCGCGCCTTACCGTGCCCAGGCGATGAAGGTCGTCTCACGCAAAAATCCACGTCAGGACAAAATAAACAAGCTTCGCAAAAAGCACATCCCTGCCTCGGGCGGTCACACCCGCCTCAACGACAACATGACCAGCACAGAGTATGGCATTCGCAAGGAAATTGCCGTCATGAAGCGATGCAGGCACCCCCATGTCGTGAGGCTCATCGAGGTCATAGACGATAAACTGTATAAAAAGATTTATATGAGTGAGTCCCCATCCTTCCCGTTCATCTCTCTGCCTCGTGTGTCGGCAGCAGCAGCCTTCCTCGATCACCGTGTGCACGTATCAATTTTATTCCATCCCCATGACTCCCGAGGCGCAATCATTGACTCGCACGCCCCCTGCTCTCTAGTTATGGAGTATCTCGGCGGTGGCGAAATTAAGTGGCGAGATCAAGACAACAACCCTATCTTACGAGTAGAGCAAGCGCGGAGAATCTGTCGCGACGTTATTCTCGGGCTTGAATATCGTTTGTGCTTTCCATACTTTCCCTCTTGTCATTGCCTTTTCAACGCCCTTCCCATCCGCTATCCTCTGTCCGTAGTGCACAAACAAGACATCATCCACCGCGACATCAAGCCCGCAAACCTCATGTGGACGTCGGACCGCCGATCCGTCAAGATCACCGACTTTGGCGTCGCGCACCTGTCCGGGCGCGACCCAGAGGAGATCCTGCTCTTCGACAAGGCCGAGCTCGCCAAGACCGCGGGCACCCCCGCCTTCCTCGCTCCCGAGGTCGTCTGGGAATTCGGGAACGTGCCCGCGTCATCGACGCCAGCATCTCCCGCGACCCCGCCCGAAAACGGTTCCGTGCCCAGTGTCAACGTCAACGCCATCCTCAACCTCGACGCAGCGAGCTCCGTATCCACCGTACACGCGGCGACGCCGTCTGCGCGTCCTGAGATCACCAAGTCTATCGACTTGTGGGCGTTTGGAGTCACGCTCTATAGCTTGCTCTTTGGCCGTACGCCGTTCGTCGCGGAAGGCAACCACGAGTTCATGCTCTACCATGTCATCTGCACGCAGGACTGGGGTGTTTCGGAGACGATGGGTGTGGACCGTATCCCGAGCGGCGGTAGGCACCCAAAGATCAAGACGCTCAGTCGCAAGTCGCCCGAGGGCCCGCTTGTCATCTCACTGCTGGAGCGACTCCTGGAGAAGGACAAGGACAAGCGGATCACGATGGCCGCGCTCAAGGTATGCCCCTCCCTCTCTCACTATGCTCATTCCCGCATGGGTGCAGTCCGTTTGACGGATCCTTCTTCAGCAACATCCCTGGCTCCTCCGCGACATCCCAAAGCCAAAAAAGTGGATGAAGGAGACTGTGACGGATAAGGTGACCGTAACGCAGGCCGCCATCGAGCACGCCATGTCCCCGATGCGCTTCCGCTGGCGCCAGAGGTTCACGAATCGCGTCACGTCCCTCTTCCGCACCGTTCGTCCGCAGCGCTCCTTCCGCTCCGCGGACGACGGCTCCGACACAGACGTCGGCGTGCGCTCGATGCCGTCCATGAGCATGAGTCGGTATACCAAGAGCGTGAAGCCTGCCAGCCGACATGCCAGCCCGCGTCACCACTCTCATCGTGTGCAGGAGAAGCAGCCCGAGGGCACGGCTGCTCGCCCAACCGCATACACGCACTCCGCCGTCGATGTCTCTGCAAGCAGGTCAAAGTCGATGGACCGCCGTCCGGTATCATCCGCCGCTGCTTCTCCTGGCAGTTTTACCGGGGGTGTCCTTCACTACCCCGTCGGCACGACCGCCAGAACGCGTCGCGGTTCCGCATCTCTCCTTGCGCTCCCCTACTCACACAATCAGCAGCAAAGCTCCTCGCGCTCCTTCAGCCCGACACCGAGCACAGGCGGCGACGACGGGACGGACCGCACGCTAAGTGGGCGTGACCGGCCGAAGAGCCGGTTCTCGCTCAGCTCGTTCAAGCAATGGCGTCCTGGCCGCAACGTGTCGTACGGGCCCGGCCCACACGAGGCATCGACATCGAATATGACTACTACGTCCAAGCCCAGTCGCCAAAACTCGAGCGGCCAGGCGTCCACAACGGCGACCAGCCCGACTGACGGCGCGCGCTCGAGCGATGAGGTGTCACCCATCGTTGGCGGCTCGGGATCTGGCCTGAGCTCGGGCGTGGTCGTGCGGGATTACCGCAGGCATAGCGGGCCGCACGTCACGATGGCGATGCGCGCGTCGAGCTGGGGGAACGTGGGCGAATACAGCCGGCAAGCGGAGGAGGTCACGTCTATCCATTCGGGCGATCGCGAGGAGGCCGTTGACGAGGAGGTGATGCTGTTCGGCGCGGGCGGCGTCGCGAATGGACCGCTTCCTCCTACACCCAACGGCGGGATCAACGTGCCAATGTCTCCCGTGCCTAACTTTTCTGCGCTCGATGCGGTTTGCTTGGATGCGCAGTCTCCGCCACAGTCGCACCACTCGACACTCAAGGCCGTCCCACATGAGCTTCTGCATTCCGTCACTGGCCGCGATCCAGCCACAGAGGCGGACCCCGCCGTACACGATGCTAGTACGTATGGGCGCGGTGCCAGCGGAGTCGCCTCCTCCCGCCCGCACGCGCCCAGCCCGCTTGCGCACCTGTCGTATAGTTCGGAAGACCTCGGGCAGTACGACTACGACGATGACGACGACTCGTCGAGCTTCTTCGAGCGCGCGTCCGAGGTGGACGGTGCGGAGGACGATGGGCCGCTCAGCACGAGTCAGATCTTCGACGACGAGGATGACGAGAGTGACGAAGAAAGCGTGCCGCTCGAGGTGCGCCGGCGGCGGCCGTCGTGGTCTGTCGTGCCACCGGATCAGGATCAGGACAGCGGGGAGGAGGAGGAGGAAGATGATGAAGATGATGATGATGAAGATGAAGTAGATATAGAAGAGTCATGATGCCGCTCCCCTCCGCATTCGTGTGGTGCCACCAGCATCGACGGACGCATCTGTATTTATGGGGGTATGTATCACCGGACCTTTTTCTTTCCGCCTTGTTGATCCCCGTTCGCCCCTTCAAGCTCACCATAGAAAACGGACAGAATATATTTCACTTGCCATCTCTTACACGCCCGCTCATACCCTTTTCTTTGCCCATCATGCATCATCATTCAGTCTCTTTTTGTTTTCTGGTTTCCTCCACACCTGCTCATTCTCTACTCGGTCGGCCTCACTCCTCCCACTCCACTTCTATCTTTCGTCCTTCATCTTCATACCGTCACGACCTTTTCAAAGCTGTCTTTGCCTTTACATGTACTCATAGCCTTTCCTTCTTCCCTTCGCCTATCTACCATCATACATTCCTTGCCGGCCATCTCACCACGTTTGCAACGCTCCAGCCTCAGTTACATACAGTCACAGCCAGTGGATTCAGAAATAGAAACTAAAGGGCTATATTACCGCCGCAGCGGCACAGATTGGTGTTATACAGTTGCGTATAGGTTACACGGTATGCGGCCACCGGAGTGGGGATCGAGACAGTGGTAAACGAAAGGTGGTGTAGACCCTTCACGAAGCATATACGCGCAACGGCATGAGACTGCGCCTTCCAAGAAACGAAAACATAAGCCGATGCGATTAACAGAAATGGAAGCAGTAGATAAGTAGATGAGGCAGGGGTAGAAAGGGCAATGGTGATGCTTGGAGAGCTTGGGTGAGCGGGGTATGCATGGGGTATCTGGTCAATGCGGTACATAAATAGCGAAAAAATATCGCGAGGAGAAACCATGGAGTGAAGGAAGGAAAGTGTATGCCTGGCCAGAGTCCAGACTACTTACATACTTACACCGCGTCAATCAGCTCAAGGAACGCCATAGTTAAATAGATAGAATGAAAATGAACTGGGATGGAATGGATCAAATAAATAGGTGTGGGCCTCGCAGCGCAAGTTCGGCTTTTCATGTCGGGAAGCCACGCACAATATGCGCAGCCCCACCTCCGAGTCTACCGAGGAAGTGCCACACGGCCGCCGTCCCGTCGTTTGCGAATCCCTCTCCAGAGGCGTGCATCGTGTTGAAGCTTGTCCATGCAGCGCGGTCGTAGTATGTAGGGCCACCGGGCACGACGTATTGCTGCGCCAGGAATGGGCTCATCGCGATGAACACAGCGGCAGAGGCTCCTACGCACAGCAGCAAGTGGGACACCAAGCTCGAAATCCCTGCCTTGCCTTCGCCCCGCGCGCCGTAGACGTAGGTGTTGTAGATATTATAGAACCGGTTGCGCCGGCTACTACTGTCTCGTGGCGGTCGGGTGCCTTCCGTACGAGGCGAGGCGGCGATGATCTTGTCGATGATAGTGCAGTCGACCCCGAGTTCTTGCTTCAATGCGCGCCATTCTTCAATGGCCTCAGGCGATACGCCGCCATCGACCCCACGAACGGGCAAGTGGGTGCCCTTATGCCATTTTTTCAATATCTCAGCAGCGATGCGAAGGTCGCGTCGGGCCTGGGGGTCGGAGATGTTGGCGAAAGTGAGGTCATCAGCATTGAGGAGGTGGTCAAGGTCGTGGAGGAGCGCCTGAGACGCGGCTTGGTTGTAGGAAGGGGGCAGGTCGGCCTGGATGGGATCAAGGGTGGCAGCTTTGGCCTTGGGGGTCGGAGGAAGGACGGTTGACGACGAAGAAGTCATGGATTCGTCTGCTTCCGTCGGTGATGGTGATCGAGACGGCTCAGGCTCATCTGTTTGAATCTCAACTTCTGTGGTCGCTTTAGGCAAAGCGGGGTCTGTCTGAATTGAAAACGACATCGTCCTAGGCGGTTCGGTCTGCGTTCCAGACGTCGATACGCGCTGTAGGTCAGTCTGCGTCGAGGACGATGACGTGAATTGAGAGACATCGTATTGTGTGTATGCGTCGGCATACACCCGGTTGTCCTCGATCGTGATGGCTTGCACCTTGTTGGCACGATTCGGACCACGCTGAAAACACGCCAGTCAAGACACGCACATTTGGGCTACAAACACGACTCACTCTCGTTGTGCGGGTGATGATAGTCTGTATAACATCCTCGCTTTCTGTATCCTCATCCTGACTCTCCAATTCATGGGCCTCCAACGTCGAGTTCGACGACTTATCATCGTCTTCGTCCTCTTCCCACCCGCCCTTACCCATGTGGCTCAGTAACTCTGCACCCAGGCTCTTGCTCATACTGTTGACAGCACTTGAGCCGCCACTGTGAGGGCCATTCGTGCTACTGGACAAGCCGTTGCGTAGCTCATCCATGTCGAAACGCATACGATCAATAGTCTCCTTGAGCATGAGGTTTTCTTGCTTTTGCTCGTCAAGCGACGACTGAGCTTCATGCGCCATGGCCAATTCGCCTTCTAGGATGCCGATACGATCCTCGTAAGCATCATGCTCCTTGCTCCATTTGTTGATTTCGATGAGTTGCAGAGCCGCTACCTCCTGATTTTCTTTGATTTCCTGGTCCTTAAGCCTAAGGGTATTCCGCAATTCCTCTGATTGGCCTGCATGGCATTCAGCAAATAGGACTCCAGTATGTATGAAGAGATCTTACTCAGTTGTTCTTTATACTGCTTTTGAAGGCTCTCGTACGAAGCCCGCGAGGTCTCGAGGCTTTTTTGCACTTTCGCAATCTCGACTTCCAGGACAGAGATCTGAGTTATGTGCGATTTCTGGAGAAAGAGTGGATTTTTTTATAAGCACTGATAATGGTGAAGGAAGGTGGCGGGGCAAACCTCCTTGTTCCGAAGTTCCTTCTCTTCCCTTTTCGCGGCACTGAGCTCGCCCTTCGCCTCCTCCAATCTCGCCTCCATCTCCTCGAGTTCCATTTCATGATCTGCTAGTCGATTCTGCAAGGTTCTCTCCGCCTCCATAAGTTTCTTCCCGAGCTCCGCATTTACACGCTGAAGGGCCTCCATCCGTTCTGTGGGCTCCATAGATACTGTCGACGAAGTGGCCGACCGCTCATGATCTAGAATAAGGCCCAACGCAGAATCGTCGTCGTCGTCTTCTGATTCAAAGTCAAGAGATCTGGGCATAGGAAGCGAGTTGATATCCTCCTCTAAATCATCGTACATCGGATTCGCCGGGTCAGCGTAGGGCGGCCCCATATCAGTTGGAGACTCCCGACCACTGAGGCCGTAAGGATGAGGGAAGTTCACGCTGTTGAAGTGAGCTTGAGGCTGAGACTGTGTCCGCGAATGTGGTCTCGACGATGGGCTGACCAAGGTAGGCGAGCCAATAGTGTCGACGCTGGTGGTTGGGGATAAGGGGGGTTGAGGCTGAGAAGAAGATGCAGAGGAGTTTGACGTGCGACGTGGACGCCCCGCAGATCGATTATAAGCTGTTGGGGCAGTCGACGACTGAGTGGCAGAACAATGGAACAAGGAGTGAGATTTGGAGAAAGCATGGAAATTGCCGGATACAATAAGGGCGTACCTCGGAATCACTAAGCGCGCGACTATGACCGCCCGCATCACTCTTCCTTCTACTGGGCGCAACTGGGCGTTTGGACCAACTGGAGGGCGCTGTCTTGCCCAAGGGCGTTGTACGCTGTCGCTTCTGCGCGTCAAACACGGAATCTTTCGCGGGCGTCCTCGGACCATTCCGGCTCTGTGGCCGGCTCGGCGGACGGCTTCCGGACAGGCGATAGACGGATGTGCCGTTAGACTCCATGCTAGACGAACGCGAATTGTAACCTGAGTAGTCGCGCTCATCTGAACGACCACGAAACTCCTCGCCTTCTGGCGAGTCCTCGTCTGCATTCTCTGTCGGACTATTAGAGGTGCGCATAGCAACTAGAGCAAGAATAGTCCCAGGCGTGGCTTCCAGTGCTGGCTGAGTGTTGATGATGTTGCTGAAGCCGTTCATCTCGTCCGGAGTCATGAGCTCGATGCCGAACTCTTCGCGATATGTGGCAAATACATCGGGAAGATACTGGGCTTCGAGAGCCACCTCTCCATCTTTGTTGGTGTACGATTGTGGGTGTACGCTGAAAATATCATGAAGCTCTTGGTCGATATCTGCCACGGATTGACGGTTTCGACCGTAGACACTCTATAGGTCGTAATTCAAAAGGCTTGAATGGGAAATAAATTCTCACAAACATACCTGTGCTGCCATTATAGAGCAAGCAACGAAGGGAAACTGTACACGGTAGGGGAGAAGCAAGACGCGACACGACGGCGGCTTCACAGCACCAACCAAATAGCCACTATTGCTTAGCTAATACAGTGACCGCCGCCATCACGTGACCGTGCTTGCCCCGACGCAACCCGTCGCGGGCCGCGGCAGACTTAGCGGCATGTCGAATGTCGATGGAATGATTTATCGTTCTCGTTGAAAGAATTTTGCTCGCGTTCAAAGAGATCTTTCTGTCTCCTTTCACCCTCACCGATGACAGCGCCATGATTTGAGCTCTAGATATGTTTGTAGTGAATACCTTTCAAGCCAAGTGATGTCTAGTCACAACATCTCATTAGATATGAGATTCAGGATAAGAGACATTAAAGGCCGAAATGCTCCCAGTCCCCATAAAATGGTAAGGTCTCCATTATTCCCTGCATCAGATCTGGCCGAGATCCAACATAGTAAGATTAGTGTGCATGCACAACTGTCTAATTGTGTCCTCTTCGATAGCAATCAAGGTGAATTATGAGAAGAGAAATCTTGGGAAATACTTATATCAGAAATGATATCGTAGATTGCATCCTGGATCGACCTGCTGAACCTGCTAGATGTTGCAAAAAATTTAGATGGGAACACATGGAGTCAATTGAGACCAACCCACTGACCATGATGCAAATCTTGTAAATATGATTATACAGACACAAGGCCAGGTGGCAAAGAGAACTGATTCATCCTAGGTATTTCAAGATACTTGAGCAACAATCAGGATGTTGAGGATGACTACCAAAGGAAGCAAACCCAAAACTAAATGCCCCTCGCGCCAGAGCCAGAGCCGCCGCCGCAGGCACGGCGCTCCAAGCCTGTTGCCCTTGCCACACACACATATCATCGAGGCATGCACATGTGCGCATCCATCTTCATGTTCACAGACTCGTAATCATTGGTCAGCTCCCTCGTGGAGTCACGTCAGTCAGATGTGGGATACCGCAACTTCGCGACACGCGACGTGCTGGAGATGAACCTCAGCGCTGAGGCGGGTGGTGCATGAGCCGGCGGCGGAAGAAGGGTGGGCTACAGCGTCGGGCCAAGTTGTGTTCCATCCTCCTTCTCTTCACGTTTGTCTTTGCGCAGGCTGTGGGCTTGGTTCACTGGCCGTGCTTTCTTTATAAGATTACGGACTTTTTTTTTCTATCAAGCGTCAAAACAAAGAAGTGGTGGCGATTCCTTTCGGGGGTGGTGTTAGTCTTGCTGGCTGCAGCGCAGGCGGTCGTGCCAGGTGAGCGCGAGGGCATGCAATGGGACAATGTTGTTGCTAGATATGCTTGTGATGTAGCATTGCAGTGCAAGACCTTTGCCTGGTCGAGCATACTCCCCTTGATCGAGCTCAAAGCTTGCGAAACCATCTCGAATCTGCCGCCTGCCGCATATGTGGGTTCAGGGCAAGTGATCCCTGCACACTCTGTCCATTCGGGCTGTTGACCCACAAAAATGCTAGCTGAAAGCCCGGAGACTATCAGTTCCTGCTATTCAGTGCAGACTGTATGGTGTTGCAATGTTGTTGCAAAGGCCGTGCGTCACCCATGTAATCAATCTACTCCTCATCAGCAAGACTCTATTGTCTCTGATTCGTTGTCCATAGTTCCTTTTCATGTCCTGGCTCAGATGATGTGATGTGGATATGGTGGTGCAACAGACAAGGTGCAATCCAGACGGAAGGCATTGACTTCGTCCATGACCTTCCGCACTTCTTGATTCTGCTCTTCGCGCTCCAGCGGTTCGAGCTGGACAACTGGTGGTTCAACATTTCGCTAGACCAGCAGCCTCATGCCATCCATTCCTCTGATCCAGCTTCCAGAGGCATTGGTATTGGCTCCACCAGGTATATCAAGCTCATGGTACTCCGAGCTTCAGGCAAGTTGGCGAGAAATCACAATCAATACGAGCTGGCAGGTGCATCAGGCGTATGGCCTGGCTGGGCGATGCACGTCTGTGTTCTGTGGCACTGCGACTCTGGCGGCCTCTGAGTGCTCTGGCAAGGTTGAGTCTTCTGGCAACAGCCCTGTGGCTGGTGGTGCGACTGTGGCATCCAAACTCTCCACGGAGCTGCAAGAAGTAACAGTAAAGATCTACTGGCAGGAGGAATTGCGTTCATACCAAGCCGAGGGTCCCAGGGAAGCGTCCATGATGGGGTTTAAGATGGATGCCTTGGGTCATCATCCGGATCCGCTTTTCACGTGCGATGTTCCCGAATGTTCAACATGGTTTATTTGGAAAAAGCTCGGTCTTGAATGAGCTGAAGACCGGCGTCCCTCTTGTTTTCTCTGGCTGGCCGCATTCCTCCACCCAAGGCATATCACCACATTGGTCAGCACGGCGTTCATGAAAGCGTGGCTTGATTGCGTTCACAGTGAGTGTTGCCGTAGCTAGCTAGGGTCAGCTTGGTCTGGTTCGGCGTCGACAGCTGCTGGCGTAGAGGGTCAAGGCCGCTATGCGCTTTGGGAGCTGGGTATCGAGGATGTCAAGCCCAGATTGTCAATTCTCATGGCTGGCAAGGGTGGCCACGGGTTCTTGATCAACTGGGAGTTGGCGACGATGTTCGGGCAGTCAAGTCACGACGGGACCTCCCACCTTGAGACCGTGCCCTTCACGGTCTTATACCTACTCGACGAGGAATATTGGGCCAGCAAGATCAAGCACCAGTATAACCATGGCCTCAAAGGCTTCTTGTAGATTGTACCTTTTGCATGCCTGCAGTACGAACACAGCAACTTGATCGAGCATCCACCAATTCGCAATCTGTGGAACATAGGAGACTACTCATCTTCCAGAGCATCCAAGTGTAATTTCTTGGCAATGCTCCAGAGAGCACTGCTGGAGGCACTCTGGGCAATTCATCTGTATAGGTGGGAGTGGCTCGTATCTCATCCATTGTACAACACATCTTGAATGGCTGGCGCATGCAATCAATCGCCAGCTACACCGAGGGAGAAAAGAGGTGTCTTCTGTAAGGAGCAGGCGGAGGCAGATCTGAAAACGACGGTACTTGTGCTGAGGGATATTTATGCAGACTTTTGGACTACAATCAAAGGGATGCAGATGTTGTCTTTAGTGGTGTGTGTGTCTGACGGATTTTGATCGATTTCCTTCTTGCTGTCCTGGATGTGACAATTGATTTGTGGCCTTTGACTTGGGAGTTGGCACACCTGATGCCATAATACCAGCCCCACATCTTATACTCTGTTTCAATTAGGTGCATTCAGTCTCAAATTGAAGTACCCTCTTTATTTTCTCAGTTAGACATGCTCGAGAAGTTGTCCATAACCCTTCTGGTATGATTACACATGAATGTTCCACATCATAATCTCACCCACACTGTTTGATGTGCCGTGCAGGTTTGCAGGATTGCTCAGGATAGGCCAGGTACAATTTGAATGTCATGAAAACTCGACTTGGAAGGTCTTCTGCCTATACCTCAGTATTACGTGCATATTGGCAACCTCTATTGCATTGATCAGTAGGAGGCAAACAGAAGTTAGAAAAGAGAAGTGAGCCAGCCAGTGCCTATCACAACAAGGAAAGTCACCTGGCTACACTGCCACAACCATGCTTGCACGCAAATGAATATGATTCACCTTCATCGTCTCCTACCTACCAGAGTCTGTTGTGGTCATATACATGAAGATGATCCTGGGCAGATGCCAGCTATCACAGGCAGTGCCACCACTTGGTGAACGGCAGATATGATATGTTGTCGAAGCATTGGGCATATGCGTAGATATGGTCCCATCCCAAATTAGAGGATTTTGGCCCTTTTGTCAGCACAAATTTCAGGTTTTCTTTTAGTGCTAGCACCACCAATAGTCTTTCTGAAATGGCTTGAACTTTATTAGATGTGCCAGCATTTGAACTTCAAAGGCATATTGCCCTTCAGACGAGCCGCCCAGTCCTAGTCTTGGTCTTGGCCATAGCGCGCTCAGCGCTGCGCGGAACAGCTCTAAGCAATATCCATCTGTTGTAGGATAACATGTGTCAAGGCTCGAGTGAGGGTGGCCAATGACAAGGAGGCAAGAGGAGGCGGGGGGGGGGGGAAATCACTTGTAACGTCATGAAATGTCGTCCCAATTTGAGACCTGGTCCTTGAGATCCAACGGAGCAGGGGGAAACTGTTGAAAAAATCCCCCTGCGCCCTACCAGCATTATTTTCCGCTCCTTGAAATCGGCATCCTTCAATAAGTCGTTCTTGATCATGGCTTCCAATTCCTTGCCGGTGGCAATGCTGGCACCTGACCTATTGAGGCCAGTTACGCCCCCTGACCAGATCGGCGGCTTACGTTGAATGTTCGCTGCATTGAAACTCGACGCCGCTCCTTCGAACAACATGGGATTGTCGTCGAACGCTATCAGCGAAGGATATGAGGACTACGTGTAGGTTATGCGACTGCGACGTCTCAGAGACTATTGTCTACTCGCTGATTGCTTGGTTCAACAGTGCGGAGTGGATTGCGAACGACCTCGAAAAACATGAGAAATGCAATGTCGATGACATGCTAGCGTACTTTCTCAAGCAATGTCTTCACGGCCAAACTCCTGCTTCAAAGAATACGAGCTCGACTTTCTTGCAACCATACCTCGAAGCGGTGCTTCCAATCTGCAATAATGTCGAGATAATGAGCCAGCTGACAGAATAGTGCGTCCTTCGTCCACACTAATTAAATCAAGGATTGAGAGACAATTACATAGCTGCAAAACTGGAGGCACCGAACAAGACAGATATCGACCTTTTGTCAAGCTTTTCAATTTAGCGCTCCAGAACCTACGCAGCGTCAAGGTGCCCAACGTTCGTTCCGCGAATGACGATCTTGGGATACTCTTTTATAGAAACAATCTAAAAAGGATAGAGGGATACCACAATAGTGATGTGTCTGATCGTAGCCCCGATGTGGTTGTGGTCTCCCTGGCTGCAGCTCGGGACGCAAGTGACTCTATTAAAATGCAATGGCGGCATGCCACTGGGCCCGCTCCTGAACAGCTTCGCACCGCGTTCGAGTGGTCGCAGATTCTCTGTGTTTTCGAGTTCAAGCGAGTTGCAAAGACGTTGACGCCGCCGCCCCTCAAATACTCCGGTTTTGGGACCGTCCGTGAACCTCAGCAAAACATATGGAACCTGTTCAATCCCGTTCTAGATCCTTCCGGAGCGACCAGTGTGGAAGCTCATCCAGATGGCGACAGATCTGAAGCGACGGGTGCAAATTCAGGTGGCGGTGGAAAGAGGCCTCGAGCGACAAGTGCGAGCTCGAGTGCACGCGCAAACAAGAAGCCTCGAGGAAGAAGTGCGAACTCGGTTCCACCGAAGATGCACAACACTCGTGGTATTAGTGCCTTAGCGAATCAACCTCTGAGCGCCTCATCGGCACCCATCGCGCAGGAAGTCGAAGTCGGAATGGAACCCGTGGAGCGTCCGGAACCGCCTATCGTCCAGTGCGGATTGTATGGCGTTGAGATGTTGTCACGGGGGCCATGCGTCAACCACGCCATCAATGTACTTGTCATTGGTGAGACACGATGAATCTTCTTGTCGCGGGAGGTTCCTCATTTTTTGCCCCAGACGATGTTATGTGGATATGGTGGTACGACAGACAAGGCGCGATCCAGACTCAAGGAATCAACTTTGTTCAAGATCTTCCGCGCTTTCTGATCCTGCTCTTCGCGTTTCAGAGGTTCAAGCTCGAGGACTGGGGGTTCAACACCATCCTAGACCCCCAGTCCGAGATCATCCATGGTCTCAAGAAAGTTCATAAAAGCAATTGTTTCCTTCCAGAATCGCATTTCGTGTTTCCGCCACCTGAACTGTCTGTCAGCGCACCGGTTGAGACCACTGTCCTGACGAAATCTCCAGTTTACCACGTATATAGCCTGGTGGGACGAGGCACATCTGTTTTCAGTGGTACTGCGTGTACGAAGGCTCCTCCGACCAGAGGTTCTGGCATACCTCAAGGCTCTGGCAAGGGACCCGTGGCTGTCGATGATATATCATTCGCAACCCCTGACAAGGATCAGGAAGTGGTAGTCAAGATCTATTGGCCGGAAGAATCACGCTTGAGCGAAGGCCGCATTATCAGTGAGGCGTATAAACGAGGGGAGGGCAATCTAGATATCGTGGAACATCTTCCGAAGATGTACCTCGAGCACGACTTCCCTGAACATTCGACAAACCATATCAGGGATGCGCTTCGTCTGACGTGGCCTGATGGACGGCGGGCTACTCGTATCCTTCGGCTTGCCATCTTCCTCAAATTGGACCCTATTATCGCATTGGGCGGGGAGGAGTTCATGAAAGCATATCTGGATTGCGTCCGCTGTGCGTCAAGCTTTCGTCTCAGTGGCGACAAATACTGACCCAAAGGTGCAGGCCACTTTGCTCTTTGGACACTGGGTATTCAACATAGCGATCTCAGCCTGTCAAATGTGATGATCAATGACCAGAATCGTGGTATCCTGAACGACTGGGATCTCGCCACGATCGAGGGAATATCAAAGCACGACGGGTGCGATCGCACTGGGACAGTGCCCTTCATGGCCTTAGAACTACTCAACAAGCGATATTGGGCCGGTAAGATCAAGCGCCAATATCATCACGACCTCGAAGGCTTCCTGTGGATTTTGCCATATGTATGCTTGCAGTACAAGGACGGTAAGATGGTCACGAATCTGCTCGAGTCGTGGAACACGGACGATTACACCATCTGCAGAAGAGAAAAGAGAGATTTCCTGGCGAATCTCCGCACAGACTTGACCCAAATACCCAAGGCGACCTCTTCGTATAAATGGGAATGGGTCATATTTGATCAATTTGTACAGCGCATCGACAATAACTGGCGATCGCCACTTACCGATGAGGCCATAGCCGCAGCCATCAAGGGAAATATGGAACTAGCAACATCGGTACTTAACCCTGGCGATGTTTATGCAGAATTTTGGGCTAGGATAAAGATGGCGGCAGAGGACGACAGCGGACACTTGTTGTATCTAAAGAAGTATGTGCCTGACGGCTTTTGAGCGGTTTCCTTCTTAGTGTCCTGGGCATGATGATTGGTATGAAGCTTGTGACTTGGAAGGCTGGCACGCACACCTGATACTATACCATCCCCACATCTTATACTCCGTCTCAAATAGGGTGCGGTTGAAGTAGAGTATACTCGCTGTTACACATAAAACTACGTTTTTTTCGGATATTCTGGTCCGATCTGCAGTGGTTCGACACACTCAGAAATTTTGTCCACAGATCGGTAACCACGAGTGCAATCATCAGTACGAAGCAAACAGAAATCTGATCACAAAGTGGACCGGCGTCGATCATGTTCTGAGCAGGAAAGTCACGCTACACGTACAAACGGCACCATGCTTGCATACCGCTTGCATGCGAACGACGGGCACACTGGCCGTACTCGATTAAGGAGGAATCGGATGGGATCAGCCCTTGACAACGTCGGTGCCAGTGGTGGGACGAAGCACAGGTACGTTGCTTCGAGTACGGGTTGGATCGGTCACGCTGATACACTAACTGGATGCCAGAAGCCGGATTGCCCACGACCTCGTGAAACATGAACAGTGCAAATTCGATGACATGCTGCAGTATTTTCTCGAGCGATGTCTCATCGACCCAAATGCTGCTCCGAATGATGCGCGCTTGAGCGTCTTGCAATCATGCCTCGAAGGGGTGCTTCCAATCTGCAACAGCGAGGATATGAAGCAAAGGCTTGTGCACTAGCAAGTCTGTCTCCCGCCCTGTTCGAGATCAAGCGTTCACAGTCAATCTGAAGCTGCACATCAAGATTCGACGAACGGAGCAGACATTGGGCCTTCGCCGACCTCGCCAATGAGGCACTGAAGAAACTACACAAGGTCAATATCTCCGATACTCGTCCTGTAAACGACGATCTCCACATTCTTTTCCACCAAAATGACCGCGCATATATCCAGCCAGATCGCGGTCATCAGGCCTTTCGCAGTCCTGGGGTGGTCTTGGTCTCTCTCGCTGCAGCTCAGCTGATTGTGCCAGATGATTGTGGGGACATGATGGAATGGGAGGATGTTGTCGCCGGATATGCTTGCGATGGACCATATTCGCGCAGGAGCTTCGCCTGGCCGAGCATACTCACCTCGATGGAGTTCAAATTTTGCGGAAATAGTTCAAGACAGCTGCCCTCGAAGCTGGCCGGTCTAGATTTGACTTCAGAAAATCCTCATATAACAGTCATGAATACCAATCTAGGTACGTTCGTATATGGTGTTTGTTGATAGTCTTTGGTAATACAACGTGTTCATTCTGGCTGGCAATCTGCTCTCACATTTGTATAGCAGGGGCAACCTCGAAGCAAGACGAGATTGAAGCCGAAACACTAGAGAATCCATCGTCTCCTATTGTACGGTGCGCGCTGTATGGCGCCGACATGCTATCAAGGGGGCCATGTATGAACCACGCAATCAAGCTACTCCTCATCGGTAGAATTGGGGATTTTATTCCTGCTGCATGGTCCTTTCTCATTTCATGTTTCAGACAAATGATATGGATATGGTGGTACGATAGACAAGGTCTTATCCAGACGGAAGGCATCAACTTGATACAAGACTTTCTGCGCTTCCTAATTCTGCTCTTCGCGTTTCAGCGGTTCGAGCTGGAGGACTAGGGTTTCAACACTACGCTAGATCCGCGGTCCAAGGCCATTTCCCTCAAGAGAGATTCTAGAGGCTATCGTTTTGTCCTAGCCAGGAATTTTGTGTTCCCGTCATTTGGAATCCCTTCAGGTGGGTCGGCTGAGATTACGATCGACACGACTCGGCAAGTGCATCGGGCACATGGCCTAGCTGGGCGAGGCACATCTATTTTCTATGGCACTGCGGCTCTGGCGGTTTCTGAAGGGAGATTAGCTCCAATATTCTTATGGAAGGGAAGATTGTCTTTCGACACTTTGGCCATAGTGATTAGATGTCCAATAGAACAAACGAGGGATCTCAGTAGGGAAAACAGATCATGAGTAAGTCAGAGAAGTCATGATGAGATCCCGCGTACGGATCGTAAGATCACCGAGCGAAGTCAGGAAATGGAGGAGCTTGGTAGATACAATAACTTCGTAGCAGAGCGACGCCAGAGTGCCGGACCGATAGCTCTCGCAATCACTATTAGATCGAGCACTCCGCGCTTGATTGGGGATGTTGGTATTTCTTCGAGCTTGTTTGCAACGACTTGCGAATATTTGTAGCTTGTCGACGGCGGCCAAGTGTTTGTATTCGGTCAGAGTCACTAAGCTTTTGGATTTCGAGACTCCGATGCTCGGCCTAGAGTGCCAGGCTTGAGTCTGGTGCAGTCGAGCCTCGGGAATGTCGCATCTCTCACATGATAGCGAAAGGCTGCATACTCGCAGAAGCAACCTGTCCCGGACTGAATTTGTCTGTGAAGGTCAGATGATTTCGAATGGCTGTCCGGCGCCTACTCATTATAGAATTCTAGACTCACTGTTCTTCTGAGTATCCCACCGCAAATCCACCGCCGAAGATGGGCTATCGTGCATTACCGCCAAACCTTATGGCACTTTGCGCCCAAGACCGACAACGCCCTCCGCGGTGAAGCGCCTGAGGCACCCTGAGGTGCCACGTCTTATTCTGATGACCTCGATGCCATTTGATGGGGACCCACGTCGCGCAGCACTTACCCTATCACCCTCTAATTCCATCTATCCCCTTGAGAGCTGGCTTGCCTGCGATGATAGCCTCATTATCGTAATTTGATTCGGAAGGATTTTGTGCAGCTGACCTTGACTGGCCAATCTATCATATCATGCAGATAGCAAAACACAAATGTTATTGCCTGACGCTGCTGTACACGAGACGACAGCGCCTTTAATAGAAGCGCCAGTCTATCAACCCCTATGACTTGACATGATGCAGTGTGCCGCCATCATCGCACTAGATAGCAACAACCATTAGCTGTGTCTCTGATATAAGTGCCATGTATGTTAAATCTGGATGGTACAGACTTAGAATATATCAGTACATATAGCAGATAAGAGGAACACAAACACTAGATTATGGATTGCCGGCGTCATCATACCGGAAGACGGATAGCGAAGTAACGAGTCGTATATTCCCATTCATCGTATTCTGTCGGAACGCGAACGCTAGCAGGATTATACAGTCGACAAAAAAGTCGTAGGCATACACTGAAAAAACCATTCTGTGAGGGTTGCAAGACGATAATACCTGATCAAGAGATGGTGAATTACCATCCGCGTCAAAAAAATTTGTGTTTTCACGCTCCACTGTACATGGCCCACTGTTGGCGTCTACAAACCGGCCCGCACACGGTTTCGCCACGGCGCTGTGGAGTGCTGTGGCAAATTACACATCGGGCCAAGCGACGCGACTTCATGTCTTCACTGCATGCATGCATCAATCGTTCAACATCAAGGTGAGTATGTTGAAAAAAATCATAACATACCAGGCATGATTTTCACTGCAGTATTCACCTTGCTCACCCGTAGCAAAATCAAAGGCTGCCAAGGAGCTACAATCAGGCTTGCGACACTTTGGCGAACCACCACCATCAGGACGAACTGAAAATGTAAATCAGTGCGTTTTATCCATTGTGTGTAGTTCAAGTTCGCCTACCTGGATTAGTGGTCGGAAGCGCAGGAGTTATGATTGGAGCCTTGAGACTAGTGACCGAAGGCTTAAGACTAGTGGCCGAAGACGTGGGTAGACCATGGTGCATCTGTAATGTATTGTCGTAGTAATGAGCACCCGTTACACCTGGACCGATGTTCGGAATCATAGGGGCCGTGAATGAAACCTCGGGACTCGAAGGCTTAGAAGTAGTGACCGGAGGCTTGGGACCAGAAACTGGAGGCTTGGGTCGACCATAATTCCACTGAGAATTGTCGTAGTATCGAGTACCCTGCGTAGAAGAATTGCTGTATGCGGGTAGAGCCGACTGCCCATCAGTCCAGTAGGTCTGATTTCCACTCCCTTCAGCGGAGGCATCTGAGATTCATGGTCAACACGTGTCACTTCGAACTGAATGGATGTCCTTACAATGAGGTTGAGAAAATCTTTCACCTGGATGTTGCTGCTGATATCCAGCCGGATAGCCTTGAAGATCGCTATTGCTGACAGCGCTTCGAGTGTCTTGCGAACGAGGGTGTATGCCTTGTATCGGAGTCTGGTGATCCGTCAAAGTAAAAGGAGATACGGGCATTTGGAATTCAGAAGCGCCTTTTTCAGCCTTTCCAACCCAGTGCCTAGAGAGAGGTACGCACTGACTGATTCGGATAAGGTGCCGTGTATATTCGCGGCGCGGACACATTGGACTGATTGTGTCCCGAGTATTCCCCAGTGAAGGATTGCGCTCGCTGGTAATCGTAGGCATCCGAGTGAGAGACCGAAGGGCGACGGTAGTCTGAACTCTATTACCCCTGATGAGTTGGAGAACGCCTGCCGTCATGATAAGGTAAGTACACACCTGATCTGAATTGAGCATCGGAGTAACAGGGATGGAGGACTGCGTTTCGTTATATTGCTGATATCCATGCGCTTGAGGCCACGAAGTTGTCGATGATGGAGGCTGCTGGTCTAGATGGAATATCGTGCTTGTTTCAATCTATGACAGTCTGAGAGCACTCACTGTAAGCCTGGTTCGGTAGATATGCAGGACTTTGGTCGACAGAGTAGTATTGTTGCTGTCCACTGGGAATTAGATCATATGATTGGCCTTGTTGACGGGTGCCTGTCGTATTGAACCTATATGGATCTTCCATACAAAGGATTGTGAGTGCAGCTACAGATACAATGCGGCTATTCTTACCTGGTGGTCCATTGGGATCAGAGCGAGCGTTGTTAGGGACACCGTATCCGCTGTGAGGCCAATTAGGAGGATAGTTGCTCATGGTAAGGTAGAGCTCTTGCATTGGTCCTCAGACCTTCCTTTATACATCGCTCTAGCGCCGTGTTGAAGCAATGGGCGAAAAGATGCGCAGGCTGCACTGCTTTGGTACAGGGAAATGGGCGTTCTGATGCCTTCCCCCCGAGCGGCTACACCGAAGATATCAGCGAGATAGGTGCATAGTTTACACCCACTGAAACTGGCATAGCACTCTCTCAGGCCGACAGAACATCAGATGCGTAACGTCCGTTCGTGATATGGAAGGGTCCGATCAAACCACAGAGCATCTGCTTATCTAATACGCAATCATGGAAGTCTTGCTGCTGAAAATAACTATGAATTTAAACAATTCTATCGCACTAAGGAGTAATATAGGGTGGCTCAAACCAGAACCTACCACAACAATGTCGCATCAGAATTAACTCGTTCGGTCGTTGTGATTAAGAAACATGTAAGCTATACTTAATATAGTGAACGTTGTTGCCCCACTGAAAATACATTGACGAGATCATCAAACGGACGCTCAAATCGGTTCGTCCTATCAATTCCAGTCAGTAGCAGCTTGGGGCAAAAAGACGGTACTCGCAAGCTGGATCAGGAAACGCTCAGCGCATTTTTCCATCTTGATCCCCCGACGTCTCCTAGAACACGCTCCACCTCCACTTGTTCAAGGTTTAGAATAAGTCTGCGTTCGCCATCGGGTTTCTTTAATGAGAGCGCCCCATCCTCAATCAGAAGGGCACGCGAGGCCAGTAGCGAATCTAAAATGTAACGGAACTCGCTAGGGGTGGGATTGCGCGTCGAGTCGTCATCGCCTGCAAGACCGGCCTGATACAGACAATGCTGATATTGGATCTATAATATCGTATATCCCGATCAAGGATGGTCATGCAGAGGCAGTGCGAATAGCACTCACGTCACTCCACTTGATTTCTTCTACGCCTTCTTTCTTCATACACTTCAGAAGAGCGGCGAGCATCAGACGCTCGTGGAAACTGCAGTCCCGCAAATATGCAGCCGTAGGGCTATTCTGCATGATTTTGATCACCTCCTTCACATCCTCTGTACGTGCCACTCGTTTCAAAGGTCGCACAAGCTCCACAGTCCGCCTTGGAGAATGAGCGAACCTATAACCCAATGAATGGCAAAATCGGCCCGTACCTGCAAATATCAAGAACGCGCCTTGCATCACCACTGATACTAGAAACCTTCATGGATGCGAATTTGACACCATCCGGTGAAATAACATCTACCGGGCCTGACTCCAAGTCTTCTTTAGCAATCTCTAGCCGTGAGCGGACAATTTTTTCAAGTTGTTGCGTCGTGTATGGCTGAAAGTTGATTCGGATCATCCCTAAATATTGATAGATGACTTAGCAGGCCGTGCATAGCCCAGTCGAGTGGAACATACCTAGTCGGGATCGTACTCTCCCAGTCATCACCCTTTCAGGTAGATCCATAGTATTCGCGACAGCGATCACCACGATCTTAGAGCCAACCAACGTTGGCCAATTGAAAAAATTGTAAACAACGTCTTGTTTCGTGGTCATTAACTGATCGAGTTCATCCATGAGCACTATACTGACTCACTGGAGTTAGCTCGATGAGTGGCACCTGCTGACCCCAGACTTACTCACCATGCGTGACCCCTGGGTCCCATTCTGCCACCTGAACTAAAGTGTTTCGTAAGGCTGTTGAGGGCCTCCTTTGAGCTTATCCTCAGACGCCCATCTTCGGCAGCATCGTGACCAGATACTGCTTCCCATAGTAGACCATATGCTGCAGATGGTTCTGGGATTCTCAGTCCGTTGATTTCAACGTACGTGAACGGATTGACTTCCTGCGATGTGACATGAGGCAGGTGGACAGAACAGGATACATTGAACTTACGTTTTGCTCAGCCATCCTCTTGAGCTGTCTTACCACAGCGTGGACGGTGGCTGTCTTCCCCGTTCCCGGAACACCCGAAATATCTACGCGAAAGATCAAACAGCCACATGGCCTCGAAGGATGATGAAACATACAGATGCAGCCACCGCTTCCCTCTTCGAGCAACTCCTCCACAGAACGCATGATCCTCTGATACTCTTCCTCTCGACATGGCAGTGCTTCGGGGCGAGCAGCAACGTGTAAAATATGCATCGCACGAAGGTAAGGATCCCTGGGCAGCTGTTCGACATTCCCTACGAGTTCTGGCGGCGGTGCACGCACAGTCACCTTCCTAGCCCGCCTACGAAGAGCCGCCTTGGAATGAGGCGTTGGCTGTGCAATGCTACGTGTGCGTTTTCGCGGGGTTGATCGAGGGGTCGTGTTGGTGCGCGGTTTAGTAGGCGTACTGAAAATTCGCTTGCGTTTTTTCGAAGGAGTCCTTGGTAGGGTAGGTGCACTTTCGTCGTCTTCAGAGACATGATCATGCGTCGAAGTCTCAGAGTCTGAATGGTCCGATACGTTTTGATTGTCAGCCTTGTATTCGTCGTCGTTGTCGTCTCCATCTCTCTCTTCATCAATCTTCCGTAATGTGGCGCTGCGAGTTTTCTTCGGAATTTCGACTGACACGCGCCATGAGGAACCGGTGCCCCATTCTGCAACCCCGCCTGTCTCAGGACACAGGGATAAAGCATGATCTCGATGCCGTCTCCAGTCAAGTTCATAGAATAAACCACGCTGTGAGTCAACAGCAATCCCACAATAGAACTTCTCGCCAGCGTCAGTATTGGCAGAGTCACTGTCATCGGATATTCGTTGACGTTTGGAAGGAGACACAGACCAAGCTGCAGAACTTTTGACTGTCGCGTTCGAGTCAGGTTGATCCGTGATCGTACAATGAGATATGATTGATGAAGTGCTGAGAGGGGAAGTGCGGTCCAGAGAATAATATACTTCGTTCTACAATCGAGAAATCAAACATTGTGGTCATGAACATACGAATCTTATGTTACCAGCAAGATGTATTCACCTGGAAGTGATTCCTCTTTGCTCTCGTTTGTGGAAGTTCTGTAGGCCTCAAAAACCAGTGAACTCTCACACGCATCCTAGGGACATCGGCACTTTCCTCTCGACTACGTATCTCCCACATGGCAATAATGACCCCAACACTAGGCTTTTTAGGATCGGTAGCAACCAAAACGGTATCTCCAATTTTGAAGGTCTCGTCCTTTCCCTCCTCCCGTGTTCTAGAACTTGAAGCCTTCCTCGAGTATGTTCGCAGAGCAGCCCGACCTCTATTCTGACTTCTGCGGATGAATTGGCCATGAAACATTGTCTCGAGGTCTTCAATGTCTTTCGCATCTTCCTCATCCTCGGGAATCATGTCTTCGTGGGTAGTACACCTGCTATGAGCGGGCGCACCGGAGATCCATGCATCTGTTTCTGGACGCGATGTTGGTGATCTACCTCGAGTGACATTGGGCTGAAAGCGTCTTGAGCGTCGTGGGGTCGTTGGCAGAGGTGTAGATGCCATTGTGTGGCTGCAAGCAGAAAATAGAAATGTGGTAGAAGAACTCTCCAAAGACGCGCCTTGTGCCACAAGCGCGCCCAGTGACAATGTGATGGTCACGCTTGAAACGTCTGGTTGAACTACTTTTCCAGTGCTTCAGGACACTAACTGAACGCCAACACTTGGATTTTTAGCTATTCCTTGCCGATGTCGACAGAGCATTGCTCTATAGGTAATTCAGACACCATCGCTCAACTTGTGCAAAGAGCGATCACAGAAACACAAGAATGGGGGGACGATGGCGAAGACTACGACGAGGAGCTTGATGGCGGCCTCGAGGAGGAAGACGCTGATGCTGAAGCAGAAGAGATAGCACGGAGACTAGGCGATCAACTATGGGCAGAAATCAGCAAGGCCCAACTAGAAGTTGCCGCGACCACAACCACAACAGCGACGGCCATTTCATCAACCCTCCCTCCACTGTCATCAGCCCCGTCTAGGCTTTATTCTCCTGCACCTATTGTTGATTTTCCTGATACTCGCAATGATGCTTCAACCTGTAAGCTTCCACGGAAGAAGCTTGAGGAAGCCATTATGACTATGAAATCTGTGCTCGCATATGCTTCGAAAGATCCTCTGGCCAGCTCCACCTTGGGCGAGGCAATCGTCCCTGATTCAAACGGCGCAAATGTACTCGATGTATTATCCCGCATAATCGCATCGGGCACTGTTTCGAAGGATGTTGCAAAGAAGCTAAGCCATCTCCTTGTGTCTCTTGCCAGGTCAGAGGTCCTTTTCTCTTCATTGCGACACTCCAATGCTTCGTCGATCCAATTGGAGCAGGGAAAACGCAAACGAGATGAACATGACAGTCTTGATCTAGACATACCAGCATCAAAGCGCCCTATGTATGCCCAGACTACCTACGATCTTCACACTCAAATTCAGGAGGCGTCACGCATCATCTCCCACGCTCTCCAATCCACTCCCTCTCGAGATAAGCCGCTCGAGCCCTCTGTCATATATTCAATACAGTTTCAACTACACCAGATCTTCCTATTTGCTGTTACGTCTTCTGCCAGGGGCGGACCAGAGGTAAACGCCTTGCAAGAGATAGGTGGTCTCATACAGGTTCTGGGTGTTCTTAGCGGCATTCAAATTGGTGGCCCTTCATCGCCAACTATTCCTCCACACCATCCTCGCACACCCTCTTTTCCACCTAACCCATCTGCTGTGTGGGTGCCGCCCGGCGTGCCTCCCGGTTCCGCCCCACTCACACATGATATCGGTACCGCTGTCTATCCTTGCCTCGTTCCAGCATGTCAGAAAACGTTTTCTCGATTGTACAGCCTTCGCGCGCACCAACGTGTACATTCTGTCGAACGCCCTTTTCGCTGCGATCAGTGTCCTGCATCATTTGCCCGAAATCATGACCTCAAGCGCCACTCGAAGCTTCATGAAAAGATCGCATGGAAATGCGCAGGATGCGATAAGATATTCTCGCGTCGGGATGCGATCAAACGTCACAAGAACAGTAGTCGAACCCGTGGAAAGGGCGAGGCTTGTGTCGAGGCAGCGGTTTTAGAGGTGCAGGTAGACAAACAGAGTGAGGAGGATGAGGTTCGGGAAGGTCGACGAGCAAGGATCTGGAACGGCATCGCTGCGCATCAGTATGCGACGCCTGCTTTTGCTAGTATTCCTGGCGCAGAAGGATCACAGGAAGAAGGCGAATTGCATCCGGAGATTCTTCGGAGGTCGCAGGCCACGGTTCTTCGCCTTCATGCGTTGTTGCAGGAGCGGGTCTCTCAATCGCTCGGGGCGCCTCCAGGCCAAGTTGTGTCACAACCACCGGTAGACCCAATCGGTGGTCAGGCTACACTTGCCAGCGTCATTGCTCGCGCGCAGAGCAATACTGGCCCCTTTGTTACCCCCTTGCCCCCACTTGTGACCCCTGAGAAACCCGCACCAGACGTGAATTCTGCACAAGAAGGAATGTTGCCCACACAGTCGATTGAAGGCCCTGTCGGATCATCCTTGCCCTCACTTTCGCTATATGGTCTTTCGGATGAACAGACGAGGATGATCGAGCAGGCAATCGCTAGTGCAGCCTCTGCTGCGCAACTCCAAGCGGAAGCGGAAGCCGCTATGGAAGAAGAAGAAGACTTGGATGAGGGGGATGACGATGAACTAGACGACGATGAGGGCGTTAAGTCTCAAAAGTGAACCCTGAATTCATATGCACAAAACAGCGCTTTTCTGACATATATTCATGCAGTTAAAAGATATCCGTCCATGCTCCAGATCGAAAATGGAAGCAGCGAGGGTCGATGTCGTAACTGCATTTGTTTCTGGATCCAAGTTCTCTAATCTGACCATGGAGAAGGTATATCCGCCTCTACTCGTCGCGATGTTTTGTTCTTGACGCCGAGTTCTAGTGTCGGATGGCCTATGAGCGTGACAACAGGATGTCATATACTTTCCGCAAAGGTATGTTTCTCCCTTTGTAAGATACCCATTGCTATTATCCTACATCGACGGGGGCGCCACACTTCGCGAATAAATTACTACTTCGTCTCTAAGCCTTTCTCACATGTCTATCATATTTAGCGCAGGGCGTGGACACTGCGCTCTACTGTTCTAGTTCTCACTTACTGTCATTGTTCTCCAGCTCAATCGAGAGGCCATCTCATGACTCGTCTAAGCTAGTAGACTGACAATTGTCTTCAGACCGATGTGCGACTTAATGAACGATCTACTACTGCAACGGTAACAAGCAGTCTGGACTGATCGTCTTCACAGCTGCCCCTCGAAGCTTTCTTTGATTTGGTCAACAGAGTGCCACCGTTCGTGGCCTATAAACTGTACAAGGTTGTTCTACATGAAAACCCAATTCGGCCAAAACCCATTTGACTTATCCATAGAACACTCGGATCGCGGACCAACTTGCCACTGGAGCCGCTGACTCCATAGTAGAAAAAGGCAGCGCGACTAGATGCGGCCAAGGTTATTAGAAGCAGCTGCATGAAGTTACGAGATTTGGAGATCCTTCAGCCGAGTTTCATCCTTACGGTCTTGTTATGGATAGCGTCTAGTGACAAATCGACTTGATTCGAGTGGAACAACCATGTGCTACCATGTGGCTCCTTTCTGTACCACATGCCCCGAGCAATCCATTCAGCCTCTTTCTTCAATTCTTCGACAATGTAATCGAATATCCATGGCCATAGCAATCCTCGAAGTCGTGCACGCCCCTGCCTGTGAAATCTGAATCACATCGTCTGATTACGCCAACACCTTCACTCCATGCTTTAGATCGCGGAATCGTGGAATCTCCATCAGGTGAGTCCGTAGGACCATATTGCACAAGCTCTACCGCCACGCGTAGAAGCACAATCTGCATGTGGCGGCAATGCTTGCCGTGGCCCTATATAAGACGCTCAACGCCAAAGCCTAGCACACCAACTTTTCTGCTCTTCAACCATGTTCCCCACTCTTGCTCTTGGGTTGCTTGCTGTGTCTGCTGGCGTCGAGGCGATAGCCAACCCCGTCCACAGCCCTGCAAAGATAAACTTGTCTTCCCGCAGAATAAGGAACCCTCCGAGGCCTTCGGTCTCTTCACAGAGAAGGGCACTGTCGCCCGCTAACTTACCTTTGACCGATTTCTTCAAAGGGACAGACCTTCAGTCAGCAGATATATCGATCTCTCAAGTGTCCCTTCTCTAACTTGCAGGATAGGTGGTATGGAAACATCTCTGTAGGGACACCAAGTCAACAAATTACCGTCGTTTTCGACACTGGGAGCTCCACTCTGGAATTTGCCAGTGAGCATAGCTTCGTTTCGTCGATTTACGATACTCATAGATCTGTAGGTAAACAATGCGGGAGCGCCTGTAGTAACCAGGTTCAGTTCGACACGTCGAAGAGCTCGACATACAAGGACGGTGGCAGGACATCGTCCATCAGCTTTGCCACCGGCGTTGGTGTCGACCCTGTCCAGAGCGACGATGACTATACTCTCACCCTGCGCAGTGGCTCGGACGTGGTTTCTGTCGGCGGTCTCGATGCCGGTCGCGTGTCACTGTTCACCATCACTGACCAGACGCCCAAGTTCAATATTGACCCCTTCAGTGGCATTCAAGGTGCGCAGCGAATGACATCATGTATCAACTGGGGATTAATTGGTTTTGGTTTTACAATAGGAATGTCTTCTCAAGCTCAGGGCTTTTTCGCCGCTCTCATCAAGAAGGGTCTTCCGTGTACGGGCGAAGCATCTGCGGCTGGCACATTTCTTATTGACATTCATCGTTCTAGCTTTGTTCAGTCTGTACCTGACCCCGCAGAAGGCCGGAAACGCGGAATTGACCATTGGTGGCATCGACAACTCCAAGTTCAAGGGCGACCTCACATATGCAACTTTGTCTTCCAGTGATGGCGACTGGGAGCTGAGTTCGTCAGGGATCTCTGTTAACGGCAAAACAACCTCTGCCCTCAAAACTGCTCGCGATATCATCTTTGACTCGGGAACGAGCAATATCTTATTTGACACGACCACTACTGAGGTACAAAGTCTTTTATGTCTGCCCTCAGCTAATGTGCTCACTTGAGTTCATCCATATAGGCAATTTACGCTCTCATTTCGCCTGATATCGTCGCCAATGATGACGAGCCTGGTACTTACGGGATCGCATGCTCCAAGATTGCGTCCTTGCCCGCTAAGATCGACATCCAGTTTACGTCAACGGCGGGCAAGGCTTTCAACTTGACTATCCCCAGCAGTGAACTCAGCGTCGGTCCATTTGCAAGCGACCCGTCCACGTGCCAGACGCTCATCAATGCGATGGACGGGCTCGATCTCGTCGGTGGTAGCGTCCTGAAGCACTACTACAGCGTTTGGGATATTGGAGGACAGCGCATGGGCTTTGCTAGCAATGGTGCGTATTCTGATGATGATACAAGACGTCGCTGACGCGGATACCTGCACGAATAGGCCTTTAAGCACAGGTGAGATCGAGACAAATTAAAATCGACGAAGTGTAATCTCGCCTTGTAGTATACATGATCTTCATTCAAGTATATGGTCAGAATATACGATTTTTTGATTTTTCTTAAGCCTGATTTATTTTGGATCCTTCTAATTTACATGGGTATCAGTCTGGTATCTGATACTAGATGCAGGTATACGTCGGAACAACGGGATGCCTGACATAGGGCGCGTGCTCGAAATGAGGATTCAAAGCCGAGTCTAGATCTTCGACATTGTGAACCAGCATCATGTTGACAGCAATGACGCGTGGGTTCATGTCGTAGCGACTGTAAGGTGGCAAAGCATCTGGATCGACAGCCCCACAGGGGCCACAAGGAATGTTGGGAAGCATTAGGGGCGCCGCGCCACTAGGTGCTTCGGATATGACAGGGGCACGAGCAGATGGATACGGAGGTGTGTCCACATCACTGGATGCGGTGGAAGAAAGAGAGGAGGTAGAGGAACGACCTGTCAAGGATCTTGAAGAGCTCGAGGGATAGAGCATGTCCATGACACTCTGTGTGGAAGGAACGATGGAAATGGGAATGGGAATAGGGGCAGAAGGAGGAGGAGTTATGAAACGTTGCCTTTCATCGACGACATCGTCGTAAGATGGGGGTAGATTCTGGCCATTGTGGCACTGTGCAGTGCACGAGTAAGGAATCAGAACGCCGACTTGACCATAGATATTAAGAACTCACGATGAGTGGACTATCGGCGTCACAGTCATTATCGAAGATATCGCCTTGGCAGATAAGGTTTCTGAGAAAGCGGAGAGTGGTCATAGGCATGATGGATGAAAGTAAGGTGTAGAAGTTTGATAAAATATGATGCAGTGAAGATATAGGACCAGCCTGATGTTAAGTTGTGATGGGTATGAGATGAGAAGATGGTAGTGGTTGGAGTGAGAGATGCTGAGAGGCTCCTGAGAGCGTTTGAGCGATTTATATAGCTGAGCCTCAGAAAGCTCCTATGTCTCGGATAGCAGCTGTGCTCGTTAGAGCCGACACATCTCAGGTAAGCCACATCGCGAGCCTTCCCTTTTCATTCCAGCTCAAGGAAGTCGTGAGGAATACATAGGGATTGCTGATGTTGAAGATGATGAGCACGCTAAGGGGTTAGGACAAGAGTGATGCACTGGTTGCCTCTAGTCGCCCATGCAAAGCCAATAAGTATACTCAATCTGATGCTTACCTTACAATATAGATAGGATATCAACATCTGATGGGTTCACAGGAAGTAGACATCTAGCGCCGAGGGAAAAGTAGCATAGTGGAATGTGCTGAACATGCAGAGCGGCGTTCGAGGTGATGGTCTTTGTGCAATGTCAGTCTCGAGCCCCGGCGCGAGTGTTGGCCAACAGTTCCCACGATTCTTAACATGCCGCGATCGCTTGGAACGTTGGCAAATGCATTCATCGTGCGGGCGACTGTGCCATACCAATCAACGATAGTCATATATTCCAATGCTAGAGAAACACATTATCCAGTACATATGTGGAAACTTTACAGCTCATCTTATATTGATACACTCATCTCCAATGACTCGTCTCGCGCAACTCACAATTCAGGGCTCTTATAAAGTACGTCGATCCTGACAAAATTGTTATAAATTTCGTCAGGGCCTAAAAGCGTATCATTGCCGCTAGGGTTCGTTGAAGGGTGAAGGAAGGACGCGATCGGCTGTACAATGATGTGTCGTTAAATAAATCTGCTGGTTCACGTAAAGGCAGACAGACCTCGTGGAACTCAAGGAAGGCTGCGCTGCCTGCAATGTAGCCTTGTCCTGGCCCCTTGGTCCCGCTTCCACCGTGAATTTTCTTCTTTGCGCCATCTCCTGTTGCAAAATTGTTGGAATAAAATTGTACTCCAGATTCTGATGTATGGAGTCAGCAGCGCTTCAAGCAATTCAAAAGTATATTGGAAACCGCACGATTCGTCTCGAATGAGAGCCGGATGCCGCTCTTCGCAGAGGCCAGCTCGACAACACCGTTGTCGGGCTTGGCTAAAAGAACATCTTTGACGTAATCCGCATCGGGCGAAAATGAGCTGACAGGAATGCGGTGGGCGAATGCAGGACCCTGTTCGCGAGGTTGAAAGACGTAGAAGTGGTCTAAAGCAAGCGGAGAGTGAGAAACGTTAGAAAAAATAGGAGTTCATAAGGACTGAAGACGAACCATAGCCACCACCAAAACCTTCTTCAGGGAACCTATCACCTATGAGCTTCTTCTCATGCTTGTGCGGCGTATCGGAAACAGAGACAAGGTTGCCAGTAGAAAGGCCGGCAGCATCTACGTCTACAGTGTGCGAAGCCTAGGATAGTTGAGCAACCTGCCCGTGAAAGACCATATGACACACCAAGAGGTACTCACCTTGATTGTCAAAGAATGACCTTTCACTGACCCAGAATCCGTACTATCCTTCAAGGATGCATCGAGGTTGAAACCCCAATGCTAACAATTCGGCGCGTAAGTCGTCCCTTTTCCGGAAAGCAAGTCCCGTAGCAACTCACCTGCGTGAGATTGATCGGCGTAACGACCTTGTTTCCATCATCGACTAACTTTGCCCTATATATGAAGACGATGCTACCGAGGTGATACTCTCCGGCGCTCGTCGGAGGTGCCTGTGGAGGTAACAAGCCCACGACAACTTCCACCAGAAGCGTGCCGGGGTATCCCTGATCACCGTCTTTTGAGATAGTCCGGAACAGTGCGGATGAGCCTTGGGGTAGTGTCAACTGGAACGTATTCAGTTCGGCAGCGGTGAAGAGAGTGCCGGGGGGAGAAGAAACGGCGACCCCTCCTGGACTGAATGAGGCAGCACCAACAAGAGTGTCGAGTGGGATCGGTTCGAATTCGGCTTGATCGAAGCCGTTAGGTCCGCCGTGGAGCGAGACGGTAGGAGTGGCATCGGAGTTAGGCAGAGGAGATACTTGGGCGGTCAGTCCATTGCGAGAAACGGAATAGGTGCCAACAGGAATGCGGTTGGTGTAACGACCGATGATCGTGTTCGTATATTTCTGTTCCAAGTGCCCTTTGGGATCCTCTGGGCCGACAACCAAATCGTGTGTCTGTAAATAAGGAGGAATGAGTGGGATGATCGGGCGGGGGAACCAAGAAACGCACACGACCATCCGTCTGTACAAACAGTCGATGGAGAACCAACCCACGAGGTAGAAGCTGCAATGGTATGTGTCAGTGTGCACTGCGACACAAGTGAATTATTAGCATCCATACCTCCACCGCAAGGGAAGGTGTCAGAGACGGTAGGGTGAGCAGGATCGGCTGGAGCGATGCGTCTGACATGGTGTAGCAAGTATCTGTCGTTCAACCTGTCGCTTCTGAATGGTCGATGGTAAGAGAGAGATGCACGAGAGTCGTGTGGGGCACCTGAAATATTGTCAGTCATCAGGTGACTACGATCGATATAGCGCCAGATAGTACCTTGTGCGATGCTACCGTCGCTCCGAGGCCTTTAGAAGTACAGATAGGGCTCACTTTTTATCCGATGAGTGAAAAGATAAAAAAAAGTAGCCTTGTAAAGTTTCACAGGCAGATGGCAGCAAACATGAACAAAAGCGACCGGCGTTGACTTCGGAAACCATACTAGCCCCATAAGACCTAACCTTGATCTAGGTTCCAAGTTACCTGAATCGGCCATCTGCAGAGTGTCGTGCCATCGTTGGTGAAGAGCATCTTCTCGTATTGGATGCTTTTTGTATGCGATACAAGTACTGAAAAGAGACGAACAGGGCGACAAGACGAGTACATAGATCCACCAATTTCTAACGAACCATGACAGATCACGTGCTTGCCAGATTTTGGACGCGTTGGGCGACTGGCTCGCCACAACCGCGCAGCGCCGTAACATATGCTCTCAGGCTTTTGTTGGCCTCTCCTTTCTTCCCCCTCATACCACAATCGACTTGTTCGACGAGCATTGAAAGACACACATATACAGAGAATACGCTGGGATCTCTCTGCATCTACATACACTCTTACGATCATGCCTAGTAAATCGGCCACATTTTATGCCGTGAAACAAGGTCGGGCGCCTGGTGTATACGAGACATGGTGAGCCACTTCATTGCCTAACATATAATTTACATAGTGAGATCACAGGAGGGAATGTCAAACCCAAGTGAATGGCTTCTCGAATCCTTTGTTTAAGAAATTCCACGATTTAGAGAGTGCTCGAGAGTGGGTTGGGATACCCAAGCGGACTTTGGAATCAGATACACAGCTACCTCCTAGTAAGAGGCATGAGAAGACCAAAGCATCCTCATCTTCGTCAACAAGCGACCCGAGTGTGACCCTTTTCCCAATCAACTCCACGTCCAAATCAAAGGCATCTGTCGATACCCCGCACAAACAGATGCAATCCGACACAGAGCATGTGGTATATACCGACGGCGCGTGCAGAGGAAATGGACGGGCAGGCTCTCTCGCGGGTGTCGGTGTATGGTGGGGGAATAATGATCACCGGTACTGGGTTCCAGTTTTGGAACAAACACTTATTGTGGCTCATTATTTCGCAATTTCAGTAATATATCAGAGCGATGTCCAGGTGTACAGACGAATAATCGCGCAGAGCTCATCGTACGTTCATCACCTTCCATTCACGCACCCTTACCTCAGTTGCCACTAGGCCATCATCCGAGTTCTCGAAACAGCTCCGATTTCGAATACGCCGTTGAGGATCAAATCCGACTCACAATATTCCATCAAATGTCCGCACTTATATTTCTCCCCGGCTCGTGTGGAGATTGACATAGATCCTGACTTTTGGATATCCATATGTTCAGGCGTTGAAGAGTGGCTGCCCAATTGGATAAAGCGCAACTGGCGCTCTTCCACTGGCGCGCCCGTGAAGAATGTGGACCTCGTCATGTACCTATCCACCCTGCTTGACCTCCGTGCGCGCTCAGGGCAGAAGATAATATTAGAACATGTGCGCGGCCACAGGGGCGAGGAGGGGAACGAAGGGGCTGACGTGCTAGCCGTCGCCGGAGCGGCGTATCCAGAGGTGCAAGACCGCGATTGGGCACAGCTGATGAAGGCTGTAGAGAAGAAGATGTCGTTCATGGACGGTGTCGCGGACGGTGTCGCGGACGCCTCTAGAGCCGGTGTGTCTGAGAGCGAAGATGCGCCAGTGACCATTGTAGCAGAAACAACGGAAACCCCTACGGCTGGGACGGAGGTAAGTACGAAGAGTTTGACAGACGATGATATAGATGCATCGGTGAGTCGCTCAGCAAACTCCTGGTCAAAAAATTGAATCCTCAAACGACGCTATGAATAGTTCCTGCTCAGCGACGAAGATCTGTTGGAAATGGAGAGAACAGGTGATTTCGATTGAGCGTGCGCTATTTGACCTCACTACAGAGCCATATCCTCTGAGTCATTCTACTTGTACTGTAGCCGTAGCTTGTAGCATACAAATCTTCATGAAACCCCCCCTATGATGAACTCATAACAATGTGGGTATTTAGCGGATCCTTTTCACGTTCTACACGCTTCAAATTTCTGCGAGATGACAAGAACTTCTGTGAGCAGACAGCTGCAAGAATTTCCACACTTCTCCCCTTCCTTCTCCACATCATCCAATGGCCACGTCATCAGGAGCTAGCTAGTCAACACACCTGCCCACAATTTTCCACGTGAACTGAAAATGGCCACGTCATCAGGAGCTAGCTAGTCAACACACCTGCCCACAATTTTCCACGTGAACTGAAATGGGCCAAGACGAAGATATTGCAGAAGTACACTGTAGATAAACAATTGCCAAGGAAAGTGAATGCGAAGATAACACAAACAGGTGGACTTGTCAGGAAGGGAAAGGGGGCGGTGATGGTGTGTATAAAAAACAAAAAAAACACTTCATAAAAATGATAGCGATCGGGTAAGACTGGGCAGGCGGATGTGAACTCTAATCTCATGATGGATAGGCTCTGTCTTTGTATGGCGAGTCCGGGATATCCAATAAAACAAGGAAGGCTTCGAGATTCACGAAGCGCGGCGTGTTCGACGTTCAAGCGCTCCCCGCAGTCGTGGCAGGAGCCGCGCCAGGTCGGCGGCCAATGCCCATGCCCACGCGGACGAGCGTCTCGAGCGATGCACGACCATTGACCAGCAGATCTTCATCCCACTCGACGACGCCCCTCTCAAACAGCAGCACAATCGTCGAGCCACCTGCGCGTCGTCAGCCAACGGTGCACGAAACAAGGTGAATTGGGCGCTCACCAAACGCGAAATATCCGAACTCCTCCCCGCGTTTCACTCGGTCTCCCTCCGAGACGGTCGTCTTGATACTCCCGACCATCATCGCTCCAACACACACCGCCATGACGCGACCGAATTGGGGACTATCGATCGGCACAATCTTGCGTGCGTTCTCGCCATACACATCCAAGGTCGTACGAATCGCTTGGGGCTGTCCAGGACACCTCAACCATTGTGCACATAACAGCATATAGCGTAGGAGATACTCACGTTGACAGTGTAATACTCCCCGGAGATGTACGTCATGGGCCCAATTGTGCCATCGACAGGCGAGTGGAATCGATGATAGTCCTGGGGCGCGAGCCGGAAAATGGCCAAGGCGCCACCCTGATACCGTTCTGTCTGACCCTTGTACGCGTCGCCCAGCAGCCGTGCGACAGTGAATTCCCGACCCTTGATCCACAGCCGCGTGGCCTCGTTCACCGTCTCAAACGCCATCAGACGGCAGTCCGCTGCGCTCACAAGCCGGTTAGGATTCTCGGCCTCGTCGATAGGCCTGGCAGACATTTTCAGTTTGCTGCATGCAAGTACGTTAGCATGGGTGGACATAAGCAGCTGAGGTAAAGGACACGGACCGGTAGAAGAACTCGTTGAACGTCTCTGATAAGCGAATCAAACGATTGAGCAAGGGTTTCACGGTCAGAAGAAAGAAAGAACCCACTGAAAGAGGAAATGGGATCCTGGATCTCATCCACATTGAGATTATGGAATTGAATAAAGGATGGTATATCGTGTGCCGATTCTGGGGAGTCGTATTTGACACCTTGTTTGATGGAAAGAGATTTGAGGAGCCGGCGCGCTGATGATAACGGTCGTGAGAAAGCGATGCGAACAGGAGACAAAAACAGATACATGCCTCTGGCGCCCTCCATCTTGCCTCGTGCACCCTGCCTGATAGTCAGTACACATACGCTGATCGCCGAAGCACAGAAAATCACCTTGTACAAGAGCCGAATACCAAGTCGCACGTAGACCTGCATCTTCTCTTCTTCCAATTGACCGGTCATCCGGTTCTGCACGATAATGTTTGCCGAATTCTGCGGCCCAATCGATCGTGCGGCATCAGCATCGCAGCAGGCAGCGGAGAAGAAAACAAGGAATGCTCACAGCCCCGAGCTTATAGTCTCCCGACGACACCTTCGACAGGACCCGCGTGTACCACTTGCGCTGCGCCTGGCTCGCCGTCACGAAATTGTTGACCATGATCCTGTCGACGCGCGCCCAGTCCTGACTCGCGCACACCGCCAGATGCGTCACGATGTCCCGCTCCGCCTTAGAGTTCAGCCGCGGGCGATGACACAACGGGCAGTTCTTCACGTTGATCACGCGCTCGAATGCGTCGTCCGACGAGCTCCAGCCCCCGGACCTCGACCCCGATCCAGACCCTGACGCGGACGCGCCGCTGGCCGACGAGTCTTCCGCGTCAGAGGAGGATGCAGACGTCTGGTGAATCATTGGAGGTGCCAACGCCGCGGCGCCGTGCCGCCCGCGCGCGGCCTCGAAGTGCGCAAACGGATGCTCGATGACGTCCTTGACCTCCTTCTCCTCGCGCAGAAGCACTTTCTGCATGGGCTCGGTGGCGTGCGCTTTCGGGTGCGCAGGCTGGAGCGATGGTGGCACGCCCTGCTGCGCCGGCTTGGATATATTCGGTGCAGGGCCAGATAAGTTGTGCTCAGGGCCATAGAAGCTCAGCTTGTCCAGCGCCAGCACCGTGTGGGGATCCGAGGCGTTGAGACTGGGCGTCACAGCAGTGGAGGTGTCTAGCCCTTTGTAATCATGCTCGATGCGCTTCTTCTCGCTGGACGGACGGCAGATCTCGGCTTCGAGGCATTGAATCGCCTCCGCGTACGTGAGATTGTCCTCTACCGGCTTCTTGTCCCAGCGCGTGAAGAAACTGTTGATCGTCTCCGTCGAAAGGGTCGAGCCGAGGGAGTCGAGCATAGACGTCAGTTCGAGGTGCGACAAGGAGCCTGTATCGTCCGAGTCATACTGCTTCAGGAACTGCCACCAGAATCGCTGGCGGAGCGCATCGTACGGCTGATACTTTGCCCTGATCAACCATGAGCTCGTGAAGCATCGTGGAGAGAAAATACAGGGCACATTACCGGAAAGTGATAGTGGGATTATGCTTCGACTCCCAAGGCATCTCCTTCGCCGTCGACAACGGTAACGTGAACTCCTGAAAGGTCCTGCTCCCATCCTCCTCCTCAGGGTACAGGCCCGTCTTGGAGTCCCGGAGAGGGACGTTCGCCGTCAACTGCGAGACATCGAACGCCGCGTCGCCGACGTGGTCGTTCGACGAGAGCTTGTCCCAGTCGAGCACGGTGAGCTGCACCCGGAACGCCGTCTCGTATCGCCGTACGTGGAACAACAGCTTCTCGTCCCAGACGGGATTGAGCGAATGCCGAATGACGCGCGTCCGGAAGACCTTCTTACCAAACGAAATCACGACGAATGGGTCCATGTCCCAGCCTGTACGCGTCACTGCCGAGCATATGTCAGCCTAAGCGCCCCGGTGAATGCTCCACAGTCCAAGGCCAAGCGGACAAGAAACGAAAGAGTGAAAATAAAAAAAGACGTACTGTTTTTGAGCCGCGGAAGGTCCTTTGCACCCTGAATTTCTAGCATGACGATCCCGACAACGTCGTTCGCTGCGTTGAAGTCAAAGTCCGTCTTCTTTCCGCCCCACGACTTCCGCAAGCGCTTTTTCTTCCCCTCCGTCGAAGACGCCGCACGCGACCGCGGGGTACTCGTCCCGCTCAGGGCGGCGCTGGCGGTGGTCGCGTCAAACGACGCGGACGGTGTCATTGATGGCCGTCTCGGGAAGATCTTCGGCATGTTAAACCCTGGCGACGGCGGTTTCGCCGGCGCCGGTGGGTTGGCGGCGACGGGCACCTTGCTCGCCGTTGCGAGCGTCGGGGTCGTCTCTGGGGACGACGAACGCGGGATTGGAGCGTGCAGCTCGGTCGGCGAGGGAAGAGACTGCGAGATATCGGGCTTGAGTCCAGGCGTCGGAGGGCCCGAGGCGTACCCGTCGTCGTCGTCAGAATTGTCGCCCTCGTCGGAGCTCAGGCCGTCGTCCTCGTATGCGGGGCCGGTTTGATGCGAGCGAACTGTGCCAACGCCTTCGGTCTGTGAAGGTGGCACACGTTCGTGACGTGTGATGGAGTGAAGAGGGAGAAGGACGACGTACAGGAGGTGCCGAAACGAGGCTCGGCCTCGAGCGCTTGATCAGCTCTTGATAGGTCTCACCAAAGTCGGCGAGGTTGAACAAGTCTGGGGGGTTGACGAAGCCGACCTTGATACGAATACTGCCTCGCACACTTGTATTCGAGCGTGTGGAGAGGAGGTCGAGAGAAAAGGGCTGATGGTGTTGTCAGTTGAAGAGCTCGGAGGATACAGAAATTGACTGGGCGTTCAAGAAGTGGAGACCGGATAGCACGCTCTTTGGTTTGGTGTAAACCATTATACATGTCCATATATACTGCGGAATGCAGCAGCTTGTGTCGTCGTGCATTGCATCGCGTCCTCTAGTGCATTCGATACATTCCCCGCTCAACACCGAACGGCTCGCATTATAGGGTGGGTGAGATTTGACAACGAAGCAACGCACCTCGTTATCAGGATCGTCGAACGCATATATGCCATTCTTAAACCAGTCCTCCAAAGGCAGGCCGACTTCACCGAGGTATTCCTTCTTGAGCATGTCCTTGTCCCATACGACGAGCTCGACCACGCCGAGCTTATCGGCGAGCGACAGATAGATAGGAAAGTTGAAGGTCGCATCCTTGGCAGGGTATATGGGGTTCGTCGTGCGTTTCAAGACGGGCGTCTGCTGTCTGTTGCTCAGGACCGATACGACGACAAAGCTGTTACGCGTCGGTTGTGAGCGGCGCGCGCGGGTGGCAAAAAAGAGGGAACTGGAGAGGAGCAAGGGGGGCTACGCACGGGTCACTGAGGCCATTGCGGTCCTTGGCGAGGAGGTCAGAGCAACCGAGGACCTGCACGCGGAGGGAGACGATGGGGGCTTCGCCGGGGATAGGGGAGAAGGCGTTCCTGCCGCTGCCGCGTCCTGAAGAGACGCGGGCGGGAAGACGGGCAGCAGAACGCAGGGCGCGGCCAAGCTTGAGTTTTTTGGCTGCTGCAACCATCGTGGGCGACGGCGAGGACGACTGCTAGCCGGTGGTGGTGGTAGTGGTGCTGAGGAGGAAGGGGATGGGTATGCTATGAGTTAGTGGTGTGTGCTCCACATGATCAGCCTAGGTTGGTTATAAATATGAATACCATGACATTTATCTGGTAGCCACTTGATGGCCGCGCGCTCGACGTCGACCCTCATCGTCTCCTACATCCCTGGGCGCCCCTCACAGCATCCACAGCCATCCTACCCCTCATCAACCTCAATTTTGTTCGCAACTCTGGCTTCCAACCGCCAATCACTCGCCTCTTATGAGCTGGCAATCCCTTTGCCTCTATTTCATCATGGACGCGGTTCCTCCTACAATGATGGAGCGGCAAACACAAGATTGCATCTCGACATCGTGCAAACCATGCTCTCTCAACATTCCCAACGTCGACGGAACCCTCCCTGTGCTCGAATAACCCGCTGCGGAACATGTCTCGAATTGGAATAAGCGCGTCGCCGTTTCGTCAATGACTCAATCCTCTTGTGGGATCTTGTGGGATACGTATGTCCTCGGATGGCCTCATTGTCGTCATGCAGATCGATCTCTCGCAATTCTCGAGTCTCGACCACCTCCCGCGCTCAATGTCCGAGCGCCAACGTCATCAGTGGCTTTAGCTTGAAACTATGTGCTACGACCATGCCACAGTACACCTCTGTATACTCGCTGTACTCACAACTTCTCGTGTTTTCTGCTGCCAAGGATCCTTCTCAAGCAAGCTCCAATAAAATTTTGCTGTACATAGATTATACACAGAGATCCAAGCAGATAGAGTTACAAATGCAGCCAAAAGTACATGCCGAGGTATATCACGCGACGATGCCTGGGAATCTTGTCCGTCAGATGCTGGTCACAGCACGGTGCGACGGCTTTTGCGGCGAGTCGACCTGCTCCTCCTCCGAGACCTTCCCGATGCCGAGCCCCTTCTCATCCACCCCATAGTCCGCCCCAGCCGCGGCCGCCTCCTCCCGCAGCCGATCCACAGACGGCGCCCGCTTCCCGCCCAAAAACACTCGCCCGCCCGGCGCGTCCTGCAGCGCGCGCACGACGACGTCGCGCTCGAACAAGTACTTGACGTCCTCGAGCGCGTACCCCGTCGTCTCGGGCAGCAGGAAGTACGCCCACACGGCCATGAGCACGCAGCAGAGCCCGAATAGCAGAAACGTGCCGTACTCGATGGTGTTCAGCATGATCGGCGTGATCTTCGAGATGGTGAACGCGAAGAGCCAGTTGACGCCGATCGCGAGCGCGAGCGCGGCCGTGCGAACGTGGTTCGGCGCGACCTCGCTCGCGACGACCCACGGGACGGGGCCCCAGCCGACGCAGTAGAACACGGCGTAGAGATAGACGGCGACGAGCGAGACGTAGCTCGCGGGCACGATCGTCGATTCCGGGTGCACCGCCTGGAACCCGCCGATCCAGAGCATCGTGAGGCCCTGGCCGATGCCTCCGATGATCAGGCAGTTCTTGCGCCCCACTTTCTCGACCGCGAACATAAGCACGGTGGCGACGGCGATGACTTTGACGACGCCGTAGATCCCTGTCGCGAACAGCTTCGAGGTCGTGGAGGAGACTCCGAGCCCAGCAAATATCTCGGGCGAGAAGTAGTTGATCTGCGCAAAAAGAGAGGTCGTTGAGGACGAGTGCAGCGCGGTCTGCAGAGCTAAGCGAGCCTCACCGCATTCGTTCCCGTCCACTGCTGGCAGAACATGACCAACGATGGGATGAAACATCGCAACGCCGTCGAACGCGACTCGCCCATCATCTTGAACTGCTTCCAGAGCGACGCGCGCTCCTTGCCGTAAAAGTCCTCCTTAATCTCCTCGAGGGTAACCAGCACTGCAGGGTCGTCCGCCGGCTTTCCGGCCGCAAAGCCCAGCGCGCGTGCCGCACGCTCATGCTCTCCGTGTTCAACGAGCCAGCGCGGGGACTCGGGCTGGAATAACATGCCAAGAATAAATATGAAGCCTGGGATGATCTGCACAATGAACGGGATCCGCCATTGCATAGCGCCGAAGGGCACATGCTGGGCGACGCCGAAGTTGACCCAGACTGATTTCCAAAAGCATCAACTCTTCATTGAGCAAACTACAAGCGCGAAAGTGGGAACGCAGATGCTCACAACTCAGCATAATCCCGACATTATTGGCGAATTGGATCATGCCCGTGCACCGGCCGCGAATAGACTTGGGCACACATTCAGAGACGTAGGACGGGACGAGCGCGGACACCATGCCCACGCCAAATCCGCCTACAAATCGGCCAAAGTAGAGCACCCTGAGCGCGACAGATTGGCTGCTCCCCAGCCCTACTATGCTCTGAATCACGCTCCCGATGATGTACACGATGCCCGACGCAAGGAGGACAGGCTTCCTCCCAAACCGCCCCGAGAAGTAACCCGTACTGAGCGCCCCGAAGCTTTGGCATACCATGGGTTGTCAGCCATCAGCGATTGGGCAGATGAGAAGAGGTGAAGGAAGAGCTACTCACAAGCTGCCAGCCTGGAGGATGGACACGACGTTCCCGTTGAGATTCGCGGCCTGAGATTTGGAGAGCTTGTCGACGCCAAAGTACTGCTGGTACGCCGGCAGGGAGATGACGCCGCCGATGAGGCCGATGTCCCACCCGTAGAAGATGGAGCCCATGCACGCTGAGAGGGCGAGCGTGTACGCGTGGATGTAGAGGCGGACATGGTCGACAAACGCAGTGAGGTTCCCCATGGCGAGCGGCGAGCACGAGGAGGGTAACGTCTCCCGCAAACGGCTTTAAAGCCTTGAATGCGGACGGACCGAAGAGAACCGGGAGGGTTGGCGAACAAGTCAGCTGTGCGATGGTCAGGGATGGGCTGCTCCCCCGTGGGGTATGGCCTGATATAACCCCGTCAGATCATATTGCCAGTGCCTGATCGCTCGCCGTCTCCAAAAGTTGTAACAGTCGACATAACTCACAGACAAAGTTTTAAACTAGACACTCCGGCGGCGAGGTGATACCACTACCATTACAGCTCCTTGAGCCTTGTATGTCCTCTGAGGTATGTAAATTACGGGTATTATGCATATGAAATGTACAGTAATCTTCAGGCATCTAACCTAACTCCTGAGCCACAACTAACTAACCGCCGTGCATCATAGTCATCCTCACGTTTGGGAGGGGCAATTCGAGGGGAGGGGCAATCCGAGCGGTGGGTCTATACAAGCCCTACAGGCACCGATTTCCATAGATTAGGCATGATCTTTTTCGTTCGTGGTGAGTTTGCAAGTTCCTTCACGCGCCTCCAAAAGTCCAAGTAAGCCTCCCTAGTCGGCACCTCCTTCACGTCAGATTCCTCTGGGACTTTCATCCCGGCCGATCTGTCCAGAAGAAGGTCAAACGCTGACCCGGACTGTGGGGACCAAATCTTGTGAATCGAAGGTAAGATGCCACAACATAGGATCCATTCCATCTCGTATGAAGGTATCGCCTTCATCTTCAGCAGTATAGATCCCTGTTCAATGTCATCCAAGAAGCCAAGCTTCAATAGTCTGCAGAAGGCGTAATTTCCCGTATTCCATGACTTTAATGGCGGATTCCTGATCAGGTCACCGTTCTCGTACTGCAATGAAACGAAAGGCAGAATCCATAGGAAGCCTTCGAGGTCGTGGCGATATTGGCGCTTGATCTTGCCCTCCCAATAATCATGTCTGAGCAAATCCAAAGCCATGAAGGGCACGGTCCCAGGGCGATCACACCCATCGTGGGTTGATTGTCCTTCGATGGTCGCAAGATCCCAGTCATTTAAGATGCCGCGCTTGTTCTCGTCAACCATCACATTTGACAAGCTGGGGTCGCAATGTTGGATGCCTAGCTCCCAAAGGGCATAATGGCCTGAACCTCCGGGTCAGTATTCGTCGCCTTGGAAACATAAAGCCACACTCACAGCGGACGCAATCGAACCATGCTCTCATGAACTCCTCGCCGACCAACGTAGTGATAGGTTTGAGTCGGTGAAATATTGCCAGCCGAAGGATACGAGCGGGGCGCCGTCCCTCTGATGGCTTTAGACCAAGCTTTTCCCTGACACATCCTGTCGAATACTCGGGGAAGTCATGAGAGAGAACCAGCTGCGGAAGGTGGTCAATGATATCAGGGTTCTCCTTTCCGAGTGTGCGTGCCACGTCAAGAATGTAGGCTTCGCTCAGGTGCGATTCCCCCGGCCAATAAATTTTCACTACGACCTCCCGAGGCCCATCAAGGGCCGTGGATACTTTGATATTATCGACAGCCGCGAGTTCCTCGCCAGAACCCTGAGGCTTGCTGGAACGTTTGGTCGTCTTAGGAGCCACCGGACACACAGTACCGCCAAAGACAGACGTGGCTCGTCCAGTCAAGCTATATATGTGATGGACTTGGTTGCCAGTGTTGATCCTGATTTGAACCGGTTCGCTGAGAGAAATTCCGGGTGGCGGGAAGTCGAAACACCTGTCTGCAACAGTGCGACTGCCTCCAGTACCTTTCTGATGACAATGAATGACCTCAGACTGGGGATCTAGGGTAGTGTTGAACCCCCAGTCCTCGAGCTTGAACCGCTGAAATGCGAAGAGCAGAATCAGGAAGCGCGGAAGATCCTGAACGAAGTTGATTCCTTGAGTCTGAATCGCGCCTTGTCTGTCGTACCACCATATCCACACAATATCGTCTAGAGCAAGAACTGAGAAAGAACCCCATGGCAAGAATGGATTTATCGAATCTCACCAATGAGAAGTAAATTAATTGCGTGGTTTACGCATGACGCTCGTGTGAGCATTTCGACGCCATACAGACTGCATTGAATGATAGGAGGCGGCAACGGGTTCCGGGCTTCCTCTTCGACTTCGATTTTTTGCTTTTTGAGTGTCGATTCGCCGCTCGTGGTTCGATTCGCTGAGAAACTACCACGGGTGGTGTACGCTGCCGATGGCTATCAGCAGATGCTGCTATGGTGAAACCGGAAAGCTCACCTGGAAAGGAGTTGAGGTTCTCCCTTGTCGCTCGAGGTTTCTCCGAGCCTGGATACGATTTCGTACTGGCCGCTCGAGCTTTCTTTGAGCTTAGACACGCGCTCGCACTTGTCGCTCGAACTTTCGCAGCTTCCGCACGTGCCATTACGGGAGTCTCTGAATTGGAATTGAATCGTTCCAGTACGTTGGCCTTGGGACTACAGACGTCTCCAAAACGGGAGTACGTGATGGGTGGAAGCTTCAATTGCTTTGCAATTAGCTTGAACTCGAGTGAGCAGAGTATCTGCGTCCATCCAAATTTCTTGAGTGGATGTTTGGGAGCAAGATGGGTGACAGCATCGCTCCATTGCATGTCCATGTCGACATCCTCTGTCGCATCCTGGGCGGCAGTGAGGGAAACCAGAACCACATCGGGGACACGAGATGACGCACGACCATCATGGTTTGCCTTGATAGGTGTGGGGTCGTTTCTATGGAAAAGTATGCGGAGATCGTCATTCGCGGGGCGAATATCGTGCATCTTAACCTCCTGTAGCTTTTTTAGCGCTAAGTTGAAAAGTTTGATGAAGGGCGAGTATCTGCTCCTTTCGTCGGCTTCAGTATCGCAGCTGTGGATTGTCTATTAATGTTGGATCTTGATTAGTGTGGACAAAAGATTCACTATGCCTCCAACTGTGTCTTTATCTCTCCGGTGTTGCAGATTGGAAGCACCGCTTTGAGATATGGTTGCAAGACGCTCGAGTTCGTATCCTTCAAAACAGCCTTCGGGTCGACAAGACATCGCTCGAGAAAATAAGTGAGCATGTCATCGACTTTACACTGCTCATGTTTCTCAAGGTCGTGGGCAATCCAGCTCACGACGTGGTCAACGCTGTTAATCCAAGCCATCAACCCAGAGCTGTAAAACTATATACTCTGAGAAGTCGCATAACCCACTTGTAGTCATCAAATCCTTCACTGACAGCGTTTGACGATGATCCCATATTGTTCGAAGGAGTTGTGTCGAGCCTCCACTTCCGTGTAATATCTTGCTACGAGGCGCCGGTCTGATTAGGAGGCGTGACTGGCCTCGATGGGTCAACCGCCGGTGCCGCCGCCGGCCAGGAATTCGAAGACATGGAATCGAGTACTTGATCAGTGACGACTAAGTAGCGGAGGATATCGATATTAAGAAGCGGAAAATAATGATGGTAAGGAGCAGGGAGATTTTTTCAACCCTTTATCCTGTTCCCTCAGATCTCAAACGGGACCAGCTCTCAAATCTGACGACACTTCATGATGTCACAAGTGATCATCAGGTGATCCAGCCCGCCACCTCGCGACTAGTATATACACTTCGCCATCAGCTGCCTTTATTCGAGCTTTCAAGCGTGTTTTCCGACGACGAACGGATATTTTTCCGAGCTGTTCTATACGGCTCTGAGCGCGCTGCGACCAAGACCAAGGACCAGGCGATGTCCGAAGGGTGATATGTTGTTATACCGCATGCGGTGAAGTTCAAACAAAGGGAGCAATGTCAAGGGGAGTTGACTCAAAGGTCGTGTTTTGGTCGTGCTCGTGAAAGTCGGCCGTATACGAGTACACGACACTATAGGGAGTAGTGCAGCAGCCAAGTTCGGAAGATTTTCAGGCAGAACTGCTCAAAGGCGGCCAAAACTGACGAGCACAGCTATTTATTGAACGCGTTCTAATTATGATCGGTGCATCACCTTGATAGACTTCGATATCGCCCGCCTTGGCGCGTTCCGGAGGGCATGCGAACAACGGTACGCGAAGATTGAGGCCTTGAGGCTCCACGATTGCCATCTAGCAAAGTGGTAGGACTTCTTAGTAGCCCACTGACGACCCCACGTGCGAGCGAAAAGAGTCTTGCGGCGATGTTAGGTACGGTCGATACACGAGGAAAAGTACAACTTCGTTTCGACGTGCGACAAGAAAAACATCGATAGTGTTGGGCACCCAATCCTCCTATCCCTTATAAAGAGAGCGGAGCCAGAGAAATGAGCAGCGTGCTGCGCAAACGCGACGAGGAAGACAGGACAGACAGGACGTACCTCGGCCGACTGTACACCTCACCCTACCTCACCCTTCTTCCGCCTCTCGTCGAAGATTCCCGTCCCAGCTCTCACGAAGACGTCGCTCTCGCACGCAGCGCATCGCGGCCTCGCCATCGCCCGACATGCCTATGCTGAGCACCAGCCTCCCGCCTTCGCTCCACGTGCCGCCCGCTTCGGCGCCGAGGACGGTCTCCAGCGCGTCGCGAGGTCGCGGTTCTGCGCGTCCAATTGACACGACTCCGCGGGTTTGTGACCGTCGATCGGCTCCCTCTCAGGGACGGAGGCGGGCGCGGGCATGTCGTGATGATATGCTTGGCGAGAGGAACGAGCTCAGAGCGTTCTTCCTGTTGCGACTCTGGCACGAGCCCGGACTATGTGTCCTCACCCGAGGGGTTCACCTGCAATAGGTCGTCGGGAGCGGCGCCGTGCGCGGTCGCTGCACTCAAGTGGCGGACGTCACCGTCTGGACGGTGTGAATGTCGGGAATGGCTTCCAAAACCAACGCGCGAGCGCGGGGCCGGTTTCATTGCAGAGGATGGGAGGAGAAGAGAGAGAGGGCGGGCATGTGAGGGTCTTGGTTTTGTTGAAGTGCAGCGTGTCGATCAAGTGCCATCGGATGTCCGGAGGCCCGCGCGCGACGCAACTGAGCATACTTTTGTCCAGACATGTAGATACGAGACGCACCTGCTGTACTGCCTTGTCCACGAGCTCCTGTACGTATTTCTCTCCAGCGTAGCGCACGTCTGATGTGGGCTTGTACTTGGCCACGGCAACGAGCGTCAGCGCTGACGATGGCGATAGCGGGGTGGCTCGTTGCACGCGTGTACGTGTTCTTGCGAGGGACGGGCTGTGCATTGTGGAGTTGTTGGTTGATGAAGAGGACACGGATGAAAGGCTGGAAGGGAAAGGGAGCAGGATGGGTCAATGAGCCGCGAAAGTCAAGCCGGCCTCGTTCTGTAAGGGCAGATATATTTGTGGCAATAAACAAATGTGTGGACATTGTCATTTCTCCGGAGTATACTGGCACAGTCGACGCGACGAAGAGGACAGCCAGGAGTAAAGCATATCAACATATCAGTATTACATTGTCTGAACCAGGACGTGACGAGGCACCAGGTAAGAGGAATCAGACTAGAGAATCTCACCGATGAGGAGTAGATTGATGACATGATTGACGCACAGTCCTCGCGACAACATTTCAATGCCGTACAATCTGCATTCAATGGTAGGATTGTTAAAAGTTGGTCCGAGACCGTCTAGAATACTGCCTCAAATTGAATTATGTTGCAGGTGGCGGTCTTTGCACAAACTTTCAACTCAATAGAAGAAATCAGTCGTCATATCCAGGACAGTAAGAAGGAAACTGCTCAAAAGCCGTCAGGCACACACTCCTTCAAATACAGCAAGCGTCCACTGTCGTCTTCTGCCGCTATCTTCATTTTAACCTAAAATTCTGCATAAACATCGCCCGGTTTAAGAAATCTAGGTACCGACGTTGCCAGACCTGCCTTTTTCTTCTTGGTGGCTACCGCTATGGCGTCGGTAGGTGGCGATTGCCAGTTATTGTTAATGCGCTGTGCAAATTAATCAAATATGACCCATTCTCATTCATACGAAGAGCTCGCATCGGGTATTTGGGTCATATCCGCTCGCAGACGCCTCAAGAAATCTCCCTCGTTTTCTCTGCGGACGACGTAATTTCCCGCGTTTCACGACTTGAGTAGATTCGTGATCATCTTACCGTTCTCGTACTGCAAGCATACATATGGCAAAATCTACAGGAAGCCTTCGAGGCCGTGGTGATACTGGCGCTTGATCTTGCCGGCCCAATATTCCTCGTCGAGTAAGTCTAGGGCCATGAAGGGCACGGTCTCAAGGTGGGAGGCCTCGTCGTGACTCGACTGCCCGAACATCGTCGCGAGCTCCCAGTCGATCAAGAACCCGCGGTCACCCTCGCCGGCCATGAGAATTGACAATCTGGGCTTGACATCCTCGATGCCCAGCTCCCAAAGCGCATAGCGGCCTGGACCCTCCGCGTCGGCGGCCGTCGACGCCGAACCCTAGCTAACCGCGGCAACACGCACTGCGAACGCAATCAAGCCACGCTTTCATGAACGCCGCGCCGACCAACGTGGTGATACACCTCGGGCGGAGGAACACGGCCAGCCGGAGGAAACGAGAGGGACGCCGGTCTTCAGCTCGTTCAAGACCGAGCTTTTTCCGAATAAACCATGTTGAACATTCGGGAACGTCGCACGCGAAAAGCGGATCCGGATGATGACCCAAGGCATCCATCTTAAACCCCATCGTGGACGCTTCCCCGGGACCCTCGGCTTGGTATGAACGCGATTCCTCCTGCCAGTAGATCTTTACTGTTACCTCTCGCAGCTCCGTGGAGGGTTTGGACGCCGCAGTCGCACCGACAGCCACAGGGCTGTTGCCAGAAGACTCAACCTTGCCGGAGCGCTCAGAGGCTGCCGAAGTTACAGTGCCACAGAACACAGATGTGCCTCGCCCGGCCAGGCCATACACCTGATGCACCTTCCATCTTATATTGATCATGATTCTCGCCGACTCGTCTGAAGCTCCGAATGCCGGGAGTCTGGTATACGGGGTTGCGGCGATGAACATGCCTCTGGCCCCTGTGACCCCGCTACGATCAAAGCGTTGGCGTCCGACATACTTGATCATGAGCCCATCTCGTCGCTTTCGCTGTCATTCACATCACCTATATCGCTCTCATACTACTAGCTGTGCCTCAACTCATAACGGGACCCTTGGCCTCTGCCTGCCCGGCGACCAGCTCTCTGCACGGCGATTTCAAGGTCAGTGGACATCGCCTTCACCTAGAGTGCTGCTTGACTATAATTCCCGTCACAAGATCGGACAGTCAGTGCTTGTGCGCGAGTTCTCTTACCAATGGGGATTTTGCATCGAGTGGGAGCGTGGCACAATAGTGAAGGGAGGTCACCGACAATGGCTGGTACGTCTCGAAGCCTGTTGAATATCTTGGCCATTGAGTAGAGCGTTTAATACACACGAACAGCTTGGTGCAAATATAGTTTATTATGAAGTCGAAGTGCCCTGCGGAATGCAAGATGAGTCCACGTGCTATGACATATCTGAATATTATCCCCTGCTGGACGAAATCTACGACGACTCGAAGCCCGATAGCGAACCACGGACGCAAAAATGGCTCGTCAAAGAACGGTTAGTGGTACTGGTCAGTCGTCCCCGCCAACATCCAACGCCCTTTTCCGTCCGTTTCATCTCCTTCCGTGACATCACGCACAGCACTCCTGCTTGGTAACAGGCGTGTCCAAGTCGGCGACAAGTGGATATGGGAATGGACCCCGGCCGCGATCGACGTGCGTGCCATCTCGGCCTTCCTTCATCTTGATGCGTTCGCGATCTCATGATAGATCTCCCTCAGCCTCACGGTGAGAGCATCAGGGGAGACCTGCAGGTCATCCTACATCCTGCCTCTCGAGCGTCCGCAAAACACGGCAGCTGGAAAGACCTCCTGAGAACTATCCATGCGATATGGGCCGTGCCGTACACGCCCCAGGTCATCGCCGCTCTTCAACGCCATGGGCAGAGGCTGGCCCCGGAGGTCATCGTGCTGCCTCCAATCGCGGGTTTGCAGCGCCGTGCCTGATCGCCTGCTCTCGCAACCTTGTATCATTAGCTAGGAATCATAGTTGATTGTGCGAGCGCAGGGGGACATGCTCCTATTCCGAACATAAAAAAAATTGAATTCGTATATGGAGTGGTGTACACAGACGCGCGACGCAGAGACACTAATGCTTCAAAATTTAGTGGAATAACGACGGAGGCAAGGCAAGACAAGGCAAGGCAAGCTACTTATAGTTATCCAGGACACCTGGGGCCTTCACTATTGGCCGGGACGTAGATGTTACAGTAGGAAGAAACAAAACAGGAGACATAAAAAATGGAAGAAGCTGCTGCAAACAAACGAACAACAAACAAACAAAATCACCAAAGGCAAGGTACGGATCAAGGTCTATAGTGGATTCGAAGAGGGAAAAAAAGGAGACGAGCAGGACTAAAGTAATGCTCCAAGAATACACCCGCGAGAGTAATAAGTGATTCAAGACCGCGGGCGCGGGCGGGATTAACCAAGACAGGCGAGGCGAAAATCCAACCGACGGCGGGGTCCGCAAAGTGGGGCGTGGAAGAGGGGCATATGAGGAGGAGGATAGCTGCACAAATCGAAGGAGGCAGGGGAAAAGGAAAAGAGGTCGTAGGCAAGTCGTACACGGCGGACAGCGACCACGAGCACCGACAGATAAATAACCCGCGTGTCCCTCCCCACTCACGAGCCTGTGCCCTTGCGCGCGCCCGAGTCCAACACCGCAATGGAAGGACCGAGCGAAGAAGACGCATTCATACTTGCTTGGATACGGGGCAGGCGGCTGTGTTGGTGCGAGGTGGGGCGCGAGGCGAGGCTGGCGTGTGCGGATGGAGGGCGACGGAGACGATGTGCGGTTGTTCGGCGTGCTGCGGTCGGTCGAAGTTCGGGGAGCGATGGTTGATACAAAAGTTTGCGGGGGCGCTGCGGCGGCAGCGATCAGCGGTCATACAGACAGTAGCAGTGTCCTTCCACGTCCATGCATGAGAGGGCCCGAGGGCGCGTAAATATTCGAGAAAAGTGCAAATCGTGACTAGTTCGTGCGGACGGTGTGAGAGCGGAGGTCCTTGTGGAAGGGGTAGACGAGGTCGGAAGAAGTTCCTGCACGGAAGACGGATAGGTCTGGCGAGCAGAGACGGCATGGAACTGCTCGCGTCGTTGTACACACTCGCACGACGCGAGTGAAGTTTAGGGGCCTTGATGGATGGATATGCAACGGGGTCAGGGTGTGCCGGAAAGGCATGCTCGGTGCTGAGGTCGTGATGAATCAAGGCGCCAGGTCGCTGCCAACCCTCCAAACCAAGGCAACGGCATGGCGTCTTGATCCACCACGACCTGGGCACCCATCATGCCCAGACGAGAAGCCGAGCGAGAGACCGAAAGCCCCTCCACGCTACTCTAATACCGGGCGAGATGAATGCCTGCGCCCAGCGAGCCCTCCACGGGCGCAGGACCGCCCTGCATCTGCATGCCGCCCATCGGCACGCCCTGTTGTTGCTGCTGCTCCTCCTCAAACAGCTTCCTCCCGCCGTCCCCGCGGAGCCCCGGCTTCAGCGCGCCCGGCGTGCGAGTCGTCGCCGCGGGTGACGGCGAGACGTTGATGAATTCGTTCAGGTTGAACGTGTACGTTCCAGGCGTGGTCGGGTGCACCGTCTGCGTCTTTGGCTTTGCGGCCGGCGACGTCGGGCGGGCACGCGTGTGTGCAGGTCTGGCCATAGGAGTGGGAGACGGCGGCATAGGGTGCAGCTGAGGGAGGGTAGGCTCGATCGGGGTCGGCGGCGTAATAGTCGTCTTGAGCTCCGACGGGTACTCGCCCTCCGACATTGGCTTGTGCTGGAACGACGTGTCGATCATGGTCGCGGTGCTGCCCAAGCGGCTGCGACTGGACGCGTCGGAGACTAAGGTGGCCGTCGACGCGAAGCTCCCTGAATTGTCGCGCGCTAGCAGGCGGTGGGCGAGCCCCGCGTCGTACACGCTGCTGCTGCCGCCGCCGCCGAACAACACGCGGCCCTTGGCTTTGAGGTCCGCACCACCCAGCGCGCGGTAGGCCGCTGCGTCCTGTGCGTCGCGGCTGCGGACCGTCGTAGGGCGCGCGGGCGACGGAGACTCGTGGAAGAAGGTGAGGAGGCTCACCGCCTCCTGGTCGACCGCGGTCGACGCCGAGCCCGCGGCCGAAAGTGGCGTGGCCTGGCTGCCCATTTTGGGCGTGGTGCGCGCCTCGGCGCCCCCCGGGATCCTCCGCCCGAGCGGCGGCGTCTTCGGGCGGGCGCCGGCGCCCGGCGTGCCGAACGAGGATCCGGCCGCGGGGAGCATCAACGCGGGCGCGGTCGTCGTGCGCGTCGAGCTCTGCGCAAAGTGTGCGTGCGCGTGCACAGAGCCCAGGTCGGATCCGGCGGAGATGCTCGAGCGCGGCGAGGCCGCGTTCGCGCCCGCGACGATGGACGAGCGCGAGTGCCGGAGCAGGTGGGTCAGCGTTGCGGCCGCCTTCATGTCGATGTCGTGCGGGTCCTCGGCGTCGACGAGCGCGGCCTCGCGTTTGCGACCCTTGCCCTTCGACCGCCGCGTCGTGTCACGGTGCTGGTCGCTGTCCTCGCGACGATGCCGCGACTGCGCGCGCGTGCGCTCTGCGACGCTCGAAAACGCCTGCGAGCTGGAGCCCTTGCGCGAGTGGGATTTCTTGGAGGACGAGGAGGCCTCGGAGCCTCTGCGCGGGCGCAGGGTACCGTTCGTCATCTTGGGCGGGGCGGGGACGGGGGGATCTTCGGGATTATGGATGGTTCTGGCGCGCTTCGCAGGTGGCGGGGCAAGAATGGAAGCGTACAGGCTTTGGACCGCGTTCGCGGACGGGCTGTCGCGAGGACGCGTGCTAGAGGAAGGGATGGCGGTGGGCGGGGCCATGGTGCCTCTGCGGTGGGAGCCGGAGGTTCCAGCGATGGGCGTCATCGCGCTGTTCCCCTGTGTCGCAGGGTTGTCATAGTAGTTCTTCGCGGCCGCGAGGCGGGCGACGTATGCGTTCTCGATCTTGGAGTGGTCTTCGAGGGCGCTAAAGGGAAGGTTGGACAGGTTGTGCGTCGCCTTGTAGGTAGCATAGGAGAGCCGCGCGCGGAGACCACGAGTGAGCTGCGGAGGGGCGATTCAGCACCGGACAGCGACAACACGACGAAAGCGAGGGCACGAAGAGGACTCGATGAGCGCGAAAAACGATGAAAAAAAGGCGTGACGGAAGCCGGAGGACCGGCGGACGCGCATGCGCACGACGCACGACGCGTGCGGCACCATGTCGAAGAGGCGGGAAGGCGAGCGCGCGCTTACCTTGGAGAGCTCTGCGGTGGCCATAATCTTCCTCATTACTCGCTGCCGCTCCTCGAGCTCTGCGGAGGAGAGCGCGCCGGTGGACATAGGGGGAGCGGTCGCGTGAGTTTTGGCTTGGATGTACGGCATGGGGGGCGAGGGGGTCGTCACAGACGACGATGGGGTGGTCATGCCGCGGGGCCTTGGGGAAATCCGAGTGCTGGCTTGCGCGTTGGATGTGGAGGGGAGCGGGATGGGTGCGGGGAGGGGGAGCGAGGGGAGCGATGGGCTGGGAGTCGGGGAGCGCGTTGGGGTGGAGGACGTGTGAGCGACGCGGCTGAATAAACTGGGCGATGAGTTATTCGCGTCGCGGCCTGGCGCCGAAAACAGCCGGACGTGCTCGGCCCCTTACTGCCCTTGCCCCGGGTGCCCCGGCCACCGGCCATCGGCACCCGCTCCCCTTCCTCCAGTCGAGCCGAACAGGCTCCTGCCTCGCTGCTCGCCGCTGTAGGCCGTTGTCTGGCCCGCACTGCACACCGTCTGGCCATGTGCGTCTGCGGCACACCGCCCTTCCCTTCTTTGCGCTTCCCTCTGCGTGTCGCCGGCGACACTGCGCTCCCAGTCGGAGGTACTGATCCCGCGATAAGCGCATCAGGCATCAGATGACACCCGCCGTGAGCTCAAGCGTGGACGTGAGCCTGGGTCCGCGCGCGGTTGTGGGCCACGTCCGACGCGGTCACGCCGAGATCGTCCATGAGCATCGCACGCGCATGCCTCGAAACAGCACACACGCACACACACCGCGTCTCCCACACCCCGTAATTACACACCGACATCATATGCACCAGCCAGACCGAACAGCGCTCGATGACGTCCCTGCCCCGTGCGTCACTCCTCCATTCCCCGCCCCCACCGGCCCCTCGCGCACCCGTTCTGCGCGCCTGGCCCCGGCCGCTCTATTCTCCAACAGCTCCTCCCAGTACCATCCCGGGAGGAACCCGACCCTGTCCTCGCCCGCTTCCACTTCCTCCACCCCGGCCCTGTCCAGTAACGCCATGTCAACGCCCGTTCGGGGCGTGAACCTCACGCGCCACACACGCGCGCGCGCGCTCCCGGCAGTTTCAGCATCGCCTCCGGGACGCGCGCCCGCACTTCCTCGGACCCAAGACAGGAACTCGTCCCCCCATTGGAGGCACACCTGTGCGTCCCAGGCGCCCGGTTTGCCGCGGATCATCCGGGGCAGTTGCATTGTCTTGAACGACTGCACCGTGGTCACCTGGCCCTTGGGCGTACGGAACCCGACGACGATTTCCTACGCGTCGCCCGCGCGTCGCGTTCGAATCAGCCTATCGCGCGTGAACAAAGCTAGCGTGATCAACTCGCCGGCACGCCCAGAAGAAACGATTGGAAGTAGAACTTGAGCAGTTTCCTTTTGTTCGAAGCTTCTCAGCGCAAGCGTCGTCTCGCGAGACAAATACACAAACGGACTTTTCGAACCGCGCTTCGTCCTGCGCTCCGCGAATGTTCATGGACGTCTTGAGCTCGACCATCGTGTCGTTCTTGCCGCTGTACCCGCCTGCATCGGATGAGCGAACGCAAGCGCGATCTGAAACGAGAGAGAGGGGGGCGATGCAGACCTCGCACGCAGTCGACTTCACCCCCGATCACCAACCTCGTGCTGCCGATCTTTGTCTTCACGACGCTGCACCATTGGACGTTGGTGTCGACGTCTCCGCCCCATCCGGGAGGAGACGATGGGCTGGATGCAGTGCACCACGACTCGAACGCGTACCCGTAGTACATCTGCCGCCGTTGGTTGGCAGGCATGTCGTTCCTATACGAAATAGTAAGGTGGGGATCATTTGATTGATAGATGCCCTCTGTGCAACAGCGCTGCTCGAAAGATTGCGATGAGGTTGCGTGACATCGTTGACTCTGAGGCTCACTCACAGCGGTCTCGTTCACGAGGTTTCTCAAAGTTGAACGGACAGAAAGAGAAAAGGGCGTACTTTTCTTGCAATCGTGCATCGCTCACATGTTCTTCCAAGTATAGCACGCCATCCACGAGCATGACGTTCAACTCCCACCCGTCCCGCTCCTCATACGGCGCCGTCAATATCCTCACTCACGAGACGCAATCAGCACAGCGCCCAGCACATTAAGCGCCTGGCTCCGAGTCCGCAAGCCACACAAATAAACAGCGCGCTCACTTCGTCATGACCCCGCGCCAGCTGACGACGCCCACGTCGACGCCCGCCATCCCCGCGGTGTTCTCCCTACGCACCTTCGCGTACGCCCTCAGCAGCGAGTCGATCCGGCCCTTCTCCTCGCCGCGCCGCACCCACCGCTCGTACGCGTTCCCGAGATCCGCGCCGCGCGGCGGATCGCGGTAGTAGCGCATGCCGGAGTCGGTGAACTCAAGCTCGTGCGCGGGGGTGTAGGAGAACGTGAGCAGGGGGAGCGGCTGCTGGAAGGGGACGGTGCGGGCAGCAGGCTGGGAGGTGGATGGGTAGGGGAGGCTCTGTGATACCGCTGGTGTCGAAGGGAGGGAGGGCGCGGGAGAGGAGATGCGCGATTTTGTCCGCTGGACAGAGTCGTTCTCGGGACCGTCCGCTGCGACGTTAGAGATCCGGCGTTTAGCAGGCATCTTGGGCGCAATGATTGCGATGGCTATTCCTGTTCATATGCTCAGACAAGAAAGGTAGAACAAGCATCGACGGCATGTCGGTCTGACCTACGGTTGGACACGAATGGATGATCGAGTCAGAGAGATGTGCTTAGAAAGAGGTTAGGGCAGGTGTGGGCGTTTGTTGATTCCAGAAGCTCTTGCCAAACAACCGCCTGGTATGCGTACGTAACGGTCTTGGCAGTGGTGGTGCCGGCATCCTGACCTGCCTTCCGCTTTCGAAGATCCGCCTTGCTTCTATTCGCGATACTCGCGAGCAGGATCCCGGGTATACTTTCATTCTGTGACAGCCATCCCGATAATCCATCCAGCCATCATTCATACCCTAGAGCGATCTAGCAAACGCGAACATTATCTTGCAGTATAGGCGGACCCCCGCTCTATTCACCAACATCGCAAGATGGCCTCGTACCTCCGTTCATGGCTTTCTCCATCATCTTCCCTGCCGCTCGCCCAGGCGCAATCCGACGACACTGATCCGCCCCCGTCCAATCCTGCCACTCCCACCGCGTCTCGCCCGTACCTTAGCCACGACGAAGAGGAGAACGACGACACCGACACCGAATCCGACACCCCACCCGCCTTCCCAGCCCTCTCCAGCGCCCAGCGCATCCAACCCCCCTCGCCCACACCCCCAACCCTAGCCGTCCCCCGCCTCTTCACCACCGGCCCGGGTTCTATGCCCCCACCCCCTCCTCGACTGGCGGTTCCGGGTGGTGCGAGCGGTGGCCTCGGCGTGCCAGTGCCCGCGGCAGGCTCCTCGCTGATGCCACCGCCCACGACGACCAGGATCCCGACGCTCCCCGCGAAGAAGCGCGAGAAGGTCGCGCTCACGCCGGGCCATAGCCCGCTCGACTGGGCGATGCTCAAGCAGTCGGGTGCGGATCTGCGGGTGCGTGCCTCTCCCTCCCCCATCTCTTCACTTCTTCACCCTACCCCCATCTATCCCGAGAACGTGCCGCGAAACTGAGGGGAACCGGCTAATTGGGTGTGATATGATTATAGGGCGGCGCAGAGCAGATCATGCGCATACCGCCGTCGGTGCTGAAGCAGCACAGAAAGCGGGACGACGCGTGGTCCGCTTTCAACGGCAAGGTGTACAATATTACGCCGTACCTCGCATTCCACCCTGGCGGCGAGCAGGAGCTCATGCGCGTCGCGGGGCGGGACGGCACGAAGCTCTTCGGTGCGTCTCTCTCCGCTCCTCTATTTCCATCCCTCTGTTATAATCGGAATTTGACCGAGCCCTCCGTGGCATTTTCGATAGCGTCGACGCACGCGTGGGTCAACGCCGACTTCATGCTCGATGCGTGTCTTGTCGGGTTTTTGGTCAAGGAGCCAACCAATCCCGACTCTTAGATGGAACGACGACGGATTCTACGACCTTTTACGATGTTGGACAGGATCGCGCGTTGCAACCCATAGATCATGGACGAATGTCTGGTGCTTCATTTAATTCAAGTGTGGACCGTGTATTACCCGTATAGTAGTCGTATGTGTAGGGGCTTTGACGTCGGACGCATCGAACGTGGTCTGAGACCTCCCATCGTTTTTGATGGACAAAGATCGGCCGGGGTGCGATTTCGGTTTTGACTACACGTGCATCGCTTGGAGTGTCTGTGCTACCCATGAGCTACACAGAATGCACATTTGACTTTGGTGGCCATCCTGAGAAGAGGCTCCCATTGGCCACCACCATCCCCTTTCGCCGAACGTTCCCACGGTCCGAGGCTCACTCAACTAAATCAAATGCGCTCGTGGCAAATTGAAAGCTCGATGTTCCCCAGACAGATATTCCTGCCATCCTCGGGTCCGTTCATAGCTGATATCTCAGCTGCATTTTGTTGTTACCCGCATACACGGACCAAGAAAGTTTTCTGGAAACGAGCTCCTGTCTTCGAAGACGTACGCATCTGACGTGACTCGTGATCGCAACCCTCGACGCTTGCCTCTGACCTCTCTCGACCCCCAACCATGATCGCAGGAGAACCAAAAACGCATATCAAAGGGGTTCGACAGGCGACGGAACCCCAGACGCGTCAGCGCCCTCAGAGCAGCGGCCCGCGTCACCCGACACGAGCGACATGGACACCGGATCGTCAGCAAGTGTCATGAAGGGGGACGAAGCACGCGACGATCCGATGCAAGAGGGCCAAAAAGGGGATGCCCCGCTTCGCCATCGCGAGAAATGGAGGCGCTGCGAGGCCGAGCGTGCAGCACAGCGCGAGGCGGAGGGCGCACCTCACAGCGTGTCTGTCACAGACCCTGTCCCCGCCCCTCATCCCGACGCCGCACCATCCACAGACGTAGTCATGGAGGACATTCCGGGTCTTTCCAGGTCCACAGTGACAGATGCAGAGATGAGCGCACAGCCGGTACGTGTCCGTGCTGCCAGTTCCGTGGTCCCGACCTGTCAATGCGTCTCTGTTCTCAGTTAATGTGGGAGGGTGACGGCCGATCGGCGCGGCCGTCCAATCTCGAGCCTGGGGAGGTCGAAGAGGCCGAGGAGAAAAGCGTGCCGCTGTGGTTGGGGCGAGGGCATCCAGATCTCCCACCCGGGGAGGGGCAGGCCCCGTCCCGCCTTCCATCGCTGGATGTAGGCTACTTGCGCAGCGCGCAGGCCGGGCAGGTATCGCTGATGGACGCCTGCAGGGACCAGCTCGGGGCTCTGCTGACCATGAGCGTCACGGCCGCAGACTCAGAGAGGCGAGCACAAGGACATCACGTGGCCGCAGAAGACGTGAAGGAGAGGGTGGCGGGGCTGCTCACTGACGATCTTTGTTGCGACTTTCTGCAGCAGGCGATGGAGGCCGTGAAACAGCTCGCCGAGCGCAATCGCGAGCGCGCACGGCGGTGGAGGGAGCAGTATCAGCGGCGGGAATACACGTCGCTGGCCAAACGCGCGCAGGGCGTTGATCAGAGCGCGGCGCCGGAGGAGGCGCGGAAGCGGTCGCGCCATTCAGTCGATCCCCCGAGCGCTGTTGGGATCGGGGACGGCGAGATGATTGCCATAGAACCTATCGCTCGGAATCTGATCCCGAATCCTAGTACGTTCAGGCGTCGAGCGTCAACCCCCAAGGCGCCAAAGGCGATGCGCGCCAAGGCACAAGTAGCAGCCGTGGACACATTCCTCACGACCCTCTCTTCCGAGCCTGACGCGAAGCCATCCAGCGATCCGCATCCGCAGCGCGCACGGGCAGGTGTGGAAAACGCACAGATGGATCAGTCGAACCAGACTGCTCATCGCAGCTCCGCAGTCGTTCCTTCAACTGCGCGGTCACCTCCCTCCTCTCCATGCACGACGGATCTCCCTACCGTATCAAATACAAGCGTCCATAGCAGTCCACACACAGAGGACCCAAATGATAACATCAACCAGGCGGGATCTGATACTGATCGCGGCGTTGGCATTCCATGGAAGACGTTCATGAAGCCGGAACAATCCCCAGTGGAATCAGTGATGCCTACAGTAACGCAGACTGAATATAGATACCAGTCAAACAACTCCGACAACGCTAGCGCAGCCTTGCCAGACGCTCACGCTCAGTATATAACTATGCAGTCTCCTGCGCAGGACTCAGGTGCATCCCCACTTCCGACTATGGGTGTACCTGTATACACTCTCCCGCCATCTCCGCCGCCGCCACCTCTCCCCCTCCCTCCGCGATCTACGGTTCCCGGGCTTTGGTCTGTCCTGGTTGGAAAGCCATCGGCGGACAGTTTGGAGAGCACATTCAATGTCGATCCCGATACGGCAGCGGCCACACAGCAGTGGCAGGTGCGCCGGGAGCAATTCAAGTAAGGCGCCCATGCCTTGCTCCTGTGTGTCCAAACACAGCTGACAGCTTCCTGATCTGTTTTACTGTGATCACAATGATACCGCCTCGTGTGCGAACTCGCGTTTCACGTTCTTCAGCGCTACGGAAGAGCACGTTGCGGTGCATCTGCTGTGCCTCCCGCTCAGCGAGGTGAACGCTTTAAACCAGCGGCTGGTTACTGCGCCCGCGTCGGCGGCAGCCGTCGCGCACGATATGTGGACGATGCAGACGAGGTGGCCCGAGCAGCGCCCGCTCATGATCCAGCTCCACCCTGATGAGCCGGACGAGTTTACTTGGTGGCCAACAGACCTGGTACGTATGATCTACCGTGCTGCTGATCCTAATTAATCGTCCGGTACCGCGTCGTCACAGACTCCTGACACCCCACTTGACATCACCGCGTCGATACGAGCGGGCGAGAACAGGCTACGCATCGTCCAGCTTGACGGCATGTCGGACTGCGTGTTTGTGCTGCATGCTGGATATCCGGACGAACAGCAGATCAAGGCGGTGGCTGATCATCGAAGGAGAGATGTAGAGTGGAACCAGATGGTTGTGCGGATGAGCCTGCGGTCGGGAACGATTGTGTTTCCAAATGCGTTGTGATAGGAAGGTGTGTCCGTTCGTGTGACTGCTGTAGGCCCTCGAGACGTACTGCGCTCCCTCGGTGTAGCCAACATCCTGTATCATTCTCTTGACGAGAGCTGGAACTCTCGTTGTAATATCGTAGATCAATACCATAGAATTATACCCTTTGGGTGCCTCTCGTTCCAAGTTGACTGATCGTCCTCGTATTTTCAGCGTTGGGGTCCGAGATGGCTCATTTCCTCTCGTTGTTTTCCTTGAATTTTAGAGGCAACTGTTGCGTAACCTCCATGCCATCGCTCCGTGCTGGATTAATTACACATGAGTATGAAAGATATACGGCACGAGGCCTCGATATGATGCCAACGACACAAGGTCTGTCATAGATTATAGCCTCCGTTGCCAATTTGAATTGTGATACTTACAAGGCCGACACTCCAGTGCATCTCTTCTGCCCCAACAGCCCACGATGCATGTCTAAAAACATGCCACGTCGCGTCGATGCACGCGGCTGCAACGAGTCGCAATCTGCGCGACGGCGCAGCCCTTGTCCCTATCACGCCGCTGAGCACTCGGGCCGCGCTGAGCTTTTCAGGCATATCGTTCGGAAGCGCTCAGCGCAAATCTAGACTGGGCGATCCCCGCGCTGCGACCCAGGACGGCTGGTGGGTTCCATTCGTGTGTCGTTAGTTTACTAGCGGAACAAGGCGATCTCCATGCGCGAGGATCGAGGCGCAGCGCTCGTTCAAGGTGTGGGTGCTCATTGGTCCGCTGTATCAAGATTGCCCCGCGGTCGCGACGGCTGGCTTCAGCCATGTTATAGCGAACGTAGCGAGCCGTTTGCAGTTCCAGAAATCGCTGGTCCTCTCCACACCGCCTGAGCATCTGGATCTCCGACGAACACACTGGGCGCCTGCACAGTACATGCATACCGTAAGCTGGCTCGCGTATGTAAACACTGGACCCACATCGTGCCCGGCATTTCCCATAGGATTGCCGCTCAGCAACACGAGGCAGCTCAGCGCCCGTGGCACACTCAGCCTGCACCACCGCGCCCGGTCCACGACCACACCGTCCCCAACTACCTACAGCTCCCCATGTCGTTCGCTGGCTACGCTTCGCTGGGCCTCAAGAGCATCTTGGTCACCTTTGATGGCCCCGTGGCAATCGTGACCATCAACCGTCCTCAGGAGTGCGTCGCCGTGCCTTTGCATCGCCGTGCGACGCAGCCTCACGAAGCGGCATCCTGCGCGGCTGCTCGTTCACCCTCAGGAGAAACACCTTCGGAGGAACTCTGCCAGACGAGCTGGTCAAGGTCTTCGACCTCTTCGACCGCGATGACCGCGTCCGCGTGGTCATCCTGACAGCAGATCCCACGGCGCCGGCATACTGCTCAGGCGTAAGCACCGGGCCAGCTCGACCAGAGCGTAGTTCACCACATCATTGAATATCATCAGGCGGACATCTCGTCAGGCTGGGGCGGCCTGTTCACGGAGGAGAGCCTGAAAGAGGGCCCACACGGTCCGTCCGAATCGCATAAGAAGCACCACGCAGCGCGTACTGAGGCAGCCGGGCTCTATTCAAGCCCACAGAGACAGCGGGGGCATCGTCGCCATGGCCATCTTCCGCTGCAGGAAGATCACCATCGCCGCCGTGAACGGGCACGCCGTCGGCGTCGGTGTCACAGGCCTCCAGCTCCCCTTCGACTTTCGCTTCGCATGGGAAGACGCGAAGCTCGCGCTCCCCTTCGTCCGCAGAGGCATCACCCCCGAAGGTCCGTCCTCGTCCCCCCTCCCGCCCGCACTCACCCCCACACGCCCGCGGCTCACCGCCCGCCCGCCCGCCGGCCTGCCGCCGTACCCGCCCAGCCACCTCGACGTACCTCCTCCCGCATCTCGTCGGACACGCACACGCGACCGCGCTCCTCCTCACCGGCGGAACCTCCACGCCCAAATCGCCGCACCTCGCGGGGCTGTACCACGCCGTGCTCCCCGCGCGCGCGCACGTGCTCCCCGCCGCGCTCGCGTTCGCGCAGGAGCTCGCCGCCAACACCTCGCAGCCCGCCGTCGCGTGCACCAAGGCCCTCCTGTGGCGCGGCGCGCGCAGCATCGAGGCGCAGCACCTCCTCGACTCGCGCGCGCTGCGCGAGCTCGCGGTCGGGCGCGACGCCGCGGAGGGCGCGCGCGCGTTCAAGGAGCGCCGCGCGCCGCGGTTCGGCGAGACGCTGTCGCAGAGCGTGGCTTCGTGGATGCCGTGGGTGAGCCCGCGTCGCGCGCTTGGGCTGCTGTTTTTGGGGGCGCTGACTTTTTTTTTGCGCCGCGTGGTAGTGGAGAGAGGTGGACGTCAGGCACCGCTTGGCGAAGCTGTGAGGGGCGTGGTCGTGGGCCTCGGGTGAGTATGCGGTGTGGGTGTCATTACGCAGGCGTTGTATCCGTACGTCCTGACTGTTGTAACCGGTATGCGTCTGCCTTTCCGAGTCCTCGTCTAAAATCGCGGAGAGAAAAGAAAATCAAACTACCACGCGTTGAAGGCCTATTCCTGAGCCCACTAAGAGATCCACCCAGAACACGACACGAGCGCACGCACGCAGTCGCGATTCACACCCGAGATATCGTATAGCAAACAAAAACTGTGTCGATACTAGTAATACGAAGCACCACTGTTACACGGCGGGAGATAACCCCAGACGAAATCAAGACCCAGGAAGAGACGGACGGACGGACGGACGGACGGGGGGTATCACTGACTGGCGCTCCCCCACACGACGACGCGGACTACACACAGAGAGAGAGAGACACGCGCGGGCTCACCGGCCCTTCCCCGGCGTCGTCGCGCGCCGCGGCGTCCCAGGCGGCTTCCGTGGCGTCGGCGGCGGCACGCCCGTCAGCCGGCGCTCCTGCACCACGCCGCCCTCCGCCGCGCTGTGCGCGCGCCGCACCTCGCGCACGGCGCGGCGCGCGGCGTCGCCGACCTTGCCCAGCGGGCGCAGCGCGTCGATGCGCGAGAGCGCGCGGAGGAGGTCCTGCGGGTCCGTCGGGGCGGCGGCTGCGCCCGCCGCGCGCGCGCGAGAGAGGCTGGACGGGAGGTACGAGGAGAGGGCGGGGGCGCCGCGCGGGGCGGGGGCGGGGGCGGCGTGCGAGCGGGCGTGGAGGGCGAGGCTGAGGAGGGCAAAGTGGCGGTCGAGCTCTGTTTCTGCGACGCGCGTCATGCGCGCGGACGAGTCGACGAGGGAGCGCAGTTGGTCGATCTGGAAAGCGGAGGCGGGCGGGTCAGCAGGTGCGCGGGGAGACGGGGGGGCGTGCGGACGTGCCTTGTACGGCAGGCGCGCCGCGTCGAGGAGCGCCGGGCTCGGAGCCTTGGCGTCCTCGGACAAGATGGTGCGCGCGAGGTCGAGCCCGGCGCTGCCGCGGAAGCCGGCGGGCAGGTCGGACTCGGCGGGCGCCCACTCCTCCCAGTCGTGCGTGGCGCGCTGCTTTCCCTTGGCGCGCCGCGACTGCGCGCGCTTCTCGAGCTCGGCGAGCCCGGTGGCGTGGTACGCGTTGTAGAACTGCGTCGTCTCGGCCCACGCCTCCTCCTCGTGCTCCAGTCTGAACCCGCCCGCGCACAGGAGAAAGATCGATCTGAGCACCGTCGACGAGCGCGCGACAGTGGGTGGCACACGCACCGTGCAAGCTCCGCCGTGAACGTGACCATGCGCGTCCTATTTTTCGCGTTCTGCTCGTTCTCGACGGGCGGCGCGCCCGCGGCGCTCGGGCTCGCGTGGCTGAACACGTTCGTGTCGACGCGCCTCTCCGCGACCATCTTCACCGCGTCCTCCATCACGCGCCTGAGCAGCGCCTGGCCGCCCGCCGGAAGTGGCGGCGGTGGCGGCGGCGGCGGCGGCGGCGGCGGGGGTGGATCCTTGCCCGAGCCGTTCGTCTGGTGTTTCGAGGACGACGCGGCGCCGGCCAACGCGGCGCCTCTCTGCGTCGCGCGCGAGGCGCACCAGATGAGCAGCTGTCGCGCGCGCTCCGACTCGGGCAGATCGCAGTCGATATGCTTGTACAAGCTCGCATCGCCGACCGACGAGTGCGGGACCGCTACCGAACCACCGACGGCACCGCCAGCACCGCGCGCACCCGGACCTCCCTCGTCAGCCACGCCGCGCTCGGGAAACCAGCGCGGAAAGTGCTCACTGATGACGCCTGCGCTGCCGAAGGTGCTGCTCGCGCGCTTGCCCCGCATGCTCAGCGAGCTCTTCCGCCGTTGGCCCGGGGTCGCCGGGTCGGGCTGCTGCGACGGGGGCTGCGGTGGCGGTGGCGGGGGCGGGCCCTGGCGCATCGCGCGGTTCTTTTCGATCTGGGGCGTCTCGCGGGGCTCGAGGGGCACGGTCGTGTCGACTGCGTTGCGGGGCGCGCGCGCGTTGGGTTTCGCGGGGGGGCCGAATTTCATGGGAGCGGCGGCGGCGGCGGCGGGGGTGGGCGCGCGGGACTGGCGCTGGAGATCGGTGGTCTCTGACTGCACGATGCGCAAGTCGGCGTCGCGCGGGGGGGCATCGCGGCGTGTGTGCGTCCCTTGTGCGGCGGCGGCCTTGAATTTCTTCGAGGGGGGGTTGGAGGGGGCGGCGGGGGGATGCGCGTGGGAGGTGGCAGGGGCTGGTGCGGGTGCGGGTGCGGGTGCGGGTGCGGGTGCGGGTGCGGGGTCGGAGGGGGGCGTGGTGGAGGATGCGGGGATGGGGGGCTGGGAGGACGGGGGAGGGCGCGCGGGGGGTGCGGCGCGGACGATGACGAGGCCGCCTGGCTGCTCTTCGCCGTTGAGCACTGTGCGGGCGCGGGGGCGGGGGTCAGCGATGGGAGCGAGCGAGCGAGGGGACAAACGCGCACGTTTCCGCTTGTTGGACGCGACGGCCTGTGCGGATCGGAGCGGCGGAGTCAGCATGGGCGGGAGGAGGCGGCGGGAGCGGTGGACTGACGTCTTTCTTGAGTCTTTTGGCGGCCAGCGTCAGCGGGTTGGGGTCGTCGGGGGCCTTGCGTTTCGGTGCGGGCTGCGAGGGGCTCATGGGCCGGGGCGGGCGGCGCGTGCACGGGCGAGTGCGGGCGGTGGATAGCGTGTCGCCGGTGTCCAGGGGCTGCGCGCGGGCGGGGCGGCGTCGATGGCGGGTCAGCGCGGTCGTGGGGGCGTGTGTTCAAGCAGTCAACGAGCGGACTCTCAATCCCGTTCCCACACTCCCCCAGCCGTCGCCACCATGTCCACCTCCCGTGCCCAGCAGGAAGACACCCTCGAGGCGCAGAACGACCAGCGCCTCGACGACCTCCACTCCAAGATCAGGACTCTGCGTGCGGTGCGTCGTGCCCGCTCCACGCGATGTGGCTCCGCCCCGCGCGGCACTGATCGCCCATAGCAGGTCACCACCGACATCCACGACGACGTCGAGCGCCAGAACCTCTTCCTCGACGACACCGTGCGTTGCCGTGCCACCCCGCTTCCCTGTACGTTTCCTCACGCCTCCTCACGCCTCCCCACCGTCGCCGCAGCGGGACACGTTCACGTCCTTCGGCTCCAGTCTCTCCGCCTCCGCCAGCCGCATGTCCCACGCCGTGTCCCCGCGCGCCGCCACCGCCCTCAGCGTCGCCGCCTACCTCCTCGGCTTCCTCCTCGGCGCCTGGTTCGTCGGCCGCATCATCAGCTGGTGGAGCGCCTGAGCGCACCTATGCGCAGGCGGTGAGTTGCCCCCGCATCCCTCGGTCGCGCATCGGTTCACATTTCTGCAGGTATTTATCGGCTTGTAGTATCTTATTGGAATGGACACTGTACATGCACGATCGTCGGCTTTCACTCAGTGCTACGCTATCGCAACGCGATAGGTAACCATGCAATTCGTCCAAGCACTGTCCACCGCGCGCTTCACCTGCCCCTCCCCGAGAGCGGCACAGAACACAGCGCGCCCCGCTCCACGGCGTCGTGCTCGGCGGTGTCGTACTCGATCCCCAGATCCTCAGCGAGCTCCCTCGCGTCTTGCGGAGTCAGCGCGTCCGAGACCAGCGCCCAGAACCTAGCGAGAGCCCGAACGTCAGCCGGCGAGCGCGACCCGCATGCGGACGCGGCACGTACGTGGCGAACACCCTTTTCCGCGCCGCCCACTCGCTCCGCCACCTAACCCAGTCCGCGTCGAGCCGCGCGAGCTCGTCGGCGGAGACGAGCGGCGTGCCAGCGCGCAGCGGCGCCAGGCGCGCGCGCAGGCTCGCGACCTGCGGGGAATGTCAGCCGGCGCGCTCAACGGCGGGATGCGTGCGCGCGCGTGCGTGCGTGCGTGCGTGCCTTTGCCTCGGCGTCGGCGAGCTGGGTCGACAGCTCGTCGTCGGTGGGCGCGCTGCGGATCTTCGCGAGCCCTGGTGCCGTTCCCGACGGGGCGCGTCAGCGACTGTATGCTAACTACCGCTCGAACGTGGATATATGCGCGCGCGCATGCACGCATGCACGCACGCACGCACGCACGCACGCACGCACCGGCGGACAGGGTCTTGAGTTGCGCGGCGAGCGCCTTGTTGGCGTCCTCGAGCGCGCCGCAGTCGGCCTCTAGCGCGGCGAGTTTGGAGCTCGGGACGGCGTCGACGCTGTCTTGGTTCGCGACGAAGAACGTCGTTTTGCCTGTCAGCACGCGGGCGCGGGCGCGGGCGGTCAGCAACCAGCTCGCGCGTGTGCGATTCGCTGACCGTAGGCTTTCTGCTTCACGGCGCCCTTGTCCGCGAGCGCGAGCAGGATCTTCTGCGTTGCGGTCTTGGGGACTGCGCCTTTGAGGTTGGCGGAGACGTCGACGGCGCCGAAGGGGCGGTTCATCTGTGCGGGCGGGGAGAATGAGTGGTTGGACGGTCGTGTGTCCGGGGCTCGCGCGCGGCTTACTCGTTTGATGTATTCGAGCACGCGGTCTTCCGCTGGGGCGGGGCGGGGCGTGAGATGCGTGCGACGTGCGTGCGCGTGCGCGTGGCTGGGTGTATGCGTACCTTCTTGGCCCTTGAGGGGCTTGACGTCTGGTTTTGGTTTGGATGCCATGGTGTGAGCGAGTGCACGCGTGAGTGAGAGCAAGGAAGACGCGCCGACGCGGGGGAGCACGTGAATGCGACGGCGCACGCGGGAAACCGGAAGAAGCGGGCGGGGTCCGAGGGATGCTCTGCGCCCACATGACCGCCCGCGTCCCCGCGTCCCCCATCCCGCTCGAATGACTCCCAATGCCGCCGCGAAACAGCCCGCTGCCCCTGCTGCGAGGAGAGACCTCGCCCACTTCGTTCGCTCGGGCATCGCGGGCGGCGTCGCGGGCTGCGTCGTGCGTCTCTCTCTCTCTCTTTGTGTGTGTGCCCGTGTGACGTGCGACGCAGGCCAAGACGGTCGTCGCCCCGCTCGACAGAGTCAAGATCCTCTTCCAGGCCTCCAACCCCGACTTTCAGAAATACGCAGGTGCGTCCCCGCCACATCCCATCCCATCTCCCGCCCCTCGCCCCATCTTTGCGCCTCGCAGGGCCGCTCACGCGCGTCCCTAAGGCTCCTGGAGCGGCGCCTTCCGCGCCGGCGCGCAGATCTACGCCGACACGGGCGTGCGCGGGCTCCTCCAGGGCCACTCCGCGACCCTCCTCCGCGTCTTCCCCTACGCCGCCGTCAAATTCGTCGCCTACGACCAAGTGCACGAGGTCCGTCCGTCCGTCCGTCCACCACCTCACCCCGCCCCGCCCCGCCCCCCACCCGACTGAGACTGAGCCCGCCCGCGCACACAGGCCCTGATGCCCACCCCCGCGCACGAGACAAACGCGCGCCGCTTCGCCGCCGGCGCCATATCGGGTGCGTCGCGCGCCCGCGCTCGTGTGCTGCTGACCCCCGCTGAGCTGAGCCGCGCGCTACCAAGGCACCATCTCCGTCTTCTTCACCTACCCCCTCGAGCTCATCCGCGTCCGCATGGCCTTCCAAACGCGCGCCGCACCCGCCGCCGCCTCCGCCTCCGCCTCCTCTCTCACCTCCGCCCTCGTGCCCCCACACCCACACCCACATCCGCATCCGCATCCACACCCCCCCGCGCGCCCACCGCCACGCCCGTCGTTCCTCGGCGCCGCGCGCCAGATCTACCGCGAGGGCAACCCCGCGCCGGGTGCGCGCGCGGGCGCGGGCACGAGCGCGGCCTTCCACCGCTTCCCGCTGCTCAAGTTCTACCGCGGGTTCACCGTCAGCATCGCCGGCATGGTCCCGTACGCCGGCACCGCCTTCCTCACCTGGGGCTTCCTCCGCGCGCAGCTCCTCCCCGCGCGCCCCGCCGCCAGCAGCGGCGGCGGCGGCGGCGGCGGCGGCGATTCCACGGGCTCGCCGCGGGGCACGCCGCTCGCGGACCTCGGGATCGGCGCGCTCGCGGGCGGGATCGCGCAGACGGCGTCGTACCCGTTCGAGGTCGTGCGCCGCCGCATGCAGGTCGGCGGCCTGACGCGCCCGGAGCGGTGGCTGCGCTGGGGCGAGACCGCGCGCGCGGTGTGGGCGCGCGGCGGGTGGCGCGGGTTCTATGTCGGGCTCGGCGTCGGGTACTTGAAGATCGTGCCGATGAATGCGGTCAGCTTTGCGGTGTGGCAGGGGATGAAGCGGTGGTTGGAGGTGTGAGGCGCGGCGCGCGGCGCGGCGCGTGGTGCGTGGGTGTGTTCATTGTAGATTTACGGCGCACGGTCATTGGATTTATAAAGCACGGGCGGGGCTAGAGTACAATTAATCGAGACAGGGGGGGTATGCTATGCGTATGGATAGGGATACAGCAAGCGACAGCAGCGTGTGCACATTCGTCGTGTACGATTTTCTCCTCGCGTCGCGCGCATCGCGCGCATCACGACGCCCCGACGCCCGCGAGCACCGCGAACACCTCGTCCTGCCGCTCCCTGAACGCGCGCAGCCGCGTCAGGCCAAGCGCGAGGCCGTTGACGCGGTTCGCAAACGCGACCGCGCGCCCCTCGACGCTGCGCCTCCCGCTCGCGCTCCCGCCCGTGCCCGCGCCCCCTTCCCCCTCCCCCTCGCCATGGCGGCGGCCCTCGCACGCCCCGACGCCGCGCTCCAGCATCGCGCGCACGCGCTCAAGCCGCGGCGGCGGCACTTCCTCCCCGCGCGCCGCGCGCCTCAGCGCCTCCTCCGTATCCGCCTCCTCCGCCTCCGTCGCCTGCGCGCCGATAGCCGCGAGCTCGCGCATGAACGGGCGGAGCTCGGCGGGGCACGCGGCGGGCGCGAGGGTGCGGCCGAGGACGCCGCGGACGGCGCCGGAGGGGGTGAGGCGGGTCGTGGCGACTGCGAGGACGGCGAGGGCGACGCTGCCGAAGTAGGCGCGGGGGGGGTCGGTGGGGAGGAGGGCGTGGAGGGAGGGGGTGCGTTCGAGGACGTCGGCGAGGGCTGCGTAGAGGGTTTCGCGGATGAGCTCGATGGCGGGGGCGGGGGCGGGGGCGGAGGCGGGGGAGAGGGAGGGCGTGCGTGCGGGCGTGGGCGGGTGCGTGGAGGAGCGGGGGGAGATGGGTTCCTTGGGGGACTGGGGGATGCTGAACGTCGAGGACGTGGGCGAGGGCGAGTACACGGGCGGGGGCACGAAGGACGCCTTGAGCGACAGGCCGCCGGAGCCGGTGTCGATCGCGGCCTGGAGGTCTGTCGCGTAGCGGTCCTGGAAGGAGCGGCGCTGGCTGATCTCGATGGCGACGGCGCGGAGGTCGGCGGCGATGCGGTTGAGGGCGGGGTGGAGGAGGGTGGAGAGGGGCTCGAGGTTGCAGACGATGCGGGCGAGGTCGTGCTGGTGCTCTGGGGTGAGGGCCTGGATGTCGGGCACGGCGGAGGACCAGATGTGGAGGAAGGAGAGGAAGGGGCGCGGGCAGTTGGCCTCGGAGAGGTCGAGCTGGGGCGCGGACTTGTTGATGCGCGGGAGAGGGACGGAGGGCGGGCGCGTCGTGCAGCGCAGCGCGGCGAAGTACAGACACAGCGCGGGCCCTGTCGAGCACCGGCACCAGCATCAGCGGACGGCCCCAGGGCACGGCACGGACGCGGGGACACACTCGCCTGTGATCATGAGATCACCCTCGGCACTGCTGAGCATCTCGACGTCGAGCAGACGCTCGGCTTTGGCCTGGGTGAGCGAGGACTTGAGGTAGCTGTGGAAGGCATCCTGGACGTAGTGTTCTGCGAGGCGGCCGTGCGGGTCGTAGACGAGGGAGGAGGTCATTGCGGGGCGCGAGCCTCGAGGGACTGCGTGAGCGCTATAAGGGGCGCTGCGCCGGAGCCGGGTCGGCGCCGTGCGTGTGCTGCACACACAGCCACGGCGGGACACTGCCAGGGCCCATCTCACTCCATGGTGGACGGGTATCTACAGTAATTACTGCACGCTTGAACGTTCTGCGTGTGTCCGCTCGACGTCCCCTGGGAGACGTCAAGCTTGAGACGGTCTGCAGCACAGCGACCTGCAGCGACGCGCCGCGGCGATTGACCTCGTGTCGCAGACCGTGAAGCAGTACCCGGGTGTCCCAGCCCGTGCACCCCTCTGCGTTCAGCCGAAGACGTTGAGGATATCACTGTTCATCGCATGTTCATCGGAATTCTCTCGAGGTCTCGATGCGCTCCGGGGATCAAGCTCGCCTGCACGGAGGCCATCCGCAATTCGTTCGGCGTCCATCTCACACGGGTGCCATCGAAAGGAGTCAAGCCGAGCCGAGGTGTTGGTCCCAACAAGTATTTTCGTCTACTTGCAACACAATGTGGAGGGCGCTATCCACGACGGACAAGAAATGGCAACGATATGCCACATTAAACCGAATAGAGGCACAGTAGTACTATACATACATTTAACCCCGCGAGGGAACGTCGACACCGGAATAAAAACGCATACATAGAGGGGGCAGCACAGACACACAGTCCGCCGACGATCCAAGATGAGAACAAGCCTGAGCACGGATTCAAGCTAGATGAGCATACACACATCACGGAGAGAGCGAATGCACAGACAGCTCAGTCGTCGCTGCTCGGCTCTACTTGTGGGCCTTCGGCCTCCTCCTCTCGCTCCTCCTGCTCCTCCTCCTCTTCCACTACCTTTTTCTTCTTCGGGGCTTTGGTCGCCTTTGGCTTTCTTGGCTTGGGCTCCTTGCCTCTGTTGGGGTTTTCGGGCGCGTCTTTCCACATGCTCCCGATCTAATGGACCGGTCGGAAAAATGGCCGCGGTTGTAGGGACAGAACAACGCACCTGCGCCATCGCCTCCTTGACGGACTTGCCCTGGTTCGCCTCCAACCAAGGCTTCATGTTGGCTTGCACGAACAAGTTGTATGCAGACGGAGCCCGCTTGGGCTTGGTGCCGGCTGTTCATAAATATGAGCGGTGACGCACGCACGCAGAGGAGCACCGTGAACGCTTACGCTCCGACGAGCGAGTGCTTTTGGCGTTGGAACGGCGCGTTGCCGCTTTGGTGGTCGTTTCTGCAATAGGAGCGCAAAAAATGAGAACGGGCCAATAAAATGCTGCGGGACGATGCGAACCGGAGGCGGTCTTTGCCATTGCGATAGAGTACACGAGACGGGATAGTAGGGAGAGGAGGACGTGGCAGGATAAAAGGGGGACCGACGGCGGAAGGGGAGTTACTTATACATGCTAGACGCGTCGGAGTTGGAACAGACGCGTTCAACAAACAACGCGTGGCGGGGCAGGCACGTGAGAGGGGCGGGGGTGGTCCGTGCACTGTCACGGCAGGGGGCGTGGTGTGACGTCGACAAAAATAGAACGGTGGCGCGCAGGCCGGGGAGTGCCGAGGGGGAGTAGCGACGGACTATTTAGGGTAGACGCTGTCGCCAACGCCCTTTTCTCCCATCCTCCCTCCTCGCTCATCATTCAGCCCGCGCCTTCCACGACGCACGCGTTCTTCTCTCCCACTACCCTTTCCGCTTTCGATACATCGTCTCTTTGACCGCCATGGTCCACTACGCTCTTTCCGCTCTTTTGGCCGTCGCCTCCTCGACCTACGTCGTTGCCCAGTCCGCAACCGAACAGCAGTTCCCTGACACGCCCCTCGCGAACAAGCACTTCTCTTACCCCACGCAGATCGTACGCACCTTCTCAACTCGCCGTATTTTTCCTCGTCGTTTGACACCCTTCGCAGCCCTACAAGTCGGACACGGACAGCTTTGGCCGTGGTACCCAGTTTGGCTACAACCTGTGCAACTCCACCACCGAGGGTGCCAGCTCCTTGTGCCAGACGTCCTTTGTCAACCATCTCGATGGTGAGTCATTCGGTCGCCGTCCTCGACTCGGCGCTTATGATTCGTACCGTCAGACTTCTGCCTGTGGTCTCCCGCGAGCCCCAACTCCACGATCGCCGACACTGAGGGCGAGGAAGTTGCATGGTGCACGAAGAAGGGTCACGGCACGCGTTTAATGCCTGCCGGAACCCTCCAGGGTGTTCAGTACCTCAAGACCCCCGACTACATCCTGATCGCTGGTTTCATCGACCAGACCAAGATCAACATCCAGGATGGCGATTACGGAGGTGAGCTCGACCCCCACGGTCAGGATCTCGTACGTCTATTTTATTTTTGAGTCCGAATAACACGCGTTGATGGGACGTGTGACAGCGTGGCAATCCTCTCGGAGGCCTCTTGTATTCTAACGTGTTCGAGACCAACAATGACAACAACACGTACACGCAGGTCATTGAGTGGACAAAGTACGTCGCGTTATGATCGCCGGGGATATCTTGTTTACCGGGTCTCTCTCAGCTTCATGGGTGGCAACGCTTTCTGTATCAAGGCCTGTGATCCCGCTGGAGCCAACGCTGCCTCTTACTGCCAGCACATCTACGACCGTATCGGTTGCTCATACAATGCGCCCAACAACGCTCAGAACGGCACCTTCGAGGTTTGCGACAGCGACAACATGATGTTCCCCGGGCAGTACGTTGAGAACGGTGTCACCATGACCTACACTCAACCCCCCGAGTCTCTTGGTGCTATCACCACCATGCCCTACACCGCCTCCATTCCTGCTTCCTCCAACTGCCGGACGTTCCAGTCGGCGGATCTCTACACTGACCTCGCTGCCGTCACTGCTTCGGCTGCGTCCAGTGCCGCCACTGCGACCGCGACCGCGAGCGGCAAGTCCGGCTCGTCCGCATCTGCTAGCAAGGGTTCCTCTGCCTCTGGCACTGCCAGCCGCTCGGGATCTGCTTCGTCGGCAACCGTCACTGGTGCTTCCAGCGGCGCGTCCTCGATGGGTGTCTCCCTCGTGGCCGGCATCGTTGGTGTTGCCTTCTCCGTCGTCGCACTCGCATAAACTCGCGGTGGAGACGGTTTTGGGACGTTTTACGACGGTCATGTGATGCTCGGGTGACGTTATTGGAATTCGCAGTCCGGAATTGTTGAGGGTTGTAACTAGGCGGTGGTTCGAGATGGAGTGTCCCGACGATGACGAGCCGAGCACTTTTTGATACCAGACGATCGAGTTACCCCGTCACGATATCGGAAACCCTTTACTACTACTATTATCTTACTTGCTACTATCGCTTCGTATTGGACTTTCGACAGACACGACGGACTTGGTTTCCTTGCGTGCTTGATTTGCTTGATGCGAGATTAAGTACATATCCTTCTTTGATCGAGGCAGAGCGTTGACGTCTATGAATAGGACTGCCTATGCATGTTCTAGGATCTGGCACGCGATAGCCTACCGCAAGAACCGTGAAAATATACCTTGGCAGTGATCGACGCGTCGACGATCTTTTCGTGCGTCTACAGGCGTCGTGTCAGTGCTTGACTATTTGTTACGCACGCTCTTGCTTGACTATGCATTTGTCGAATCTATGTTATCCACTCCACGTAAGTAAGCTTCCTGCATATTTTCGAGTTGCGTTTTGTTGGAGACGAACTTCACGCGATTGCACGCACACACACATCATGATGCATGATGCATGATGCCTTGTTCGATGCCTATCAGGTATGTCCAGTTCATGGTAAATATAGCCATCGCACGGCTGTGCCCTCGACGTCCGCTCCGCCTCAGGCTCGAGCCAACTATTGTCCTGGCGCCACTATCTGGAATGCATGATGGCGCAGGGAGATTGCTGTGTTCCTGATGGTTCTGATGTTGATAGCTTGATACGCTTATTCGCTGCGTATTGAAGGGGCCGGTTGCTGTGTTCTGATGTTGACATTCTCGTCCACTGCGTACTAAAGGGGGTGGCTGCTGCGCGCCGATGGTGATCCACTCATGAAGGCGCTCCTGTAGGCTCCCAAACGGGTCTGGTAGCACTGGCCTTCGGGGACGCTGGGCGTCGCTTCGCGCGCTGATTGATCTCGAAACTCCATCGGGCACGACATAGAGTCTGCGCGGGGCTATCTGTTTTCTCTGCGCTGCTTTTTATCCAGCAAACTGTGATCTGAAATGGTGGAGGGTATACATAGCCGCATGGTTATGTTTTAGAACGTCAAAACAGCTTCCGGACCCCCGCGCTCTCTCCCCTCTGAGTGTCCCGTCTCATACTCTGCTCTGCTTCCATCTGGAATCTTGAACGGCGGACGATGTCTTCGACCGATATAGATGCGGATGCTCTTCTGCTGCAGTACCTCGGCGAGGACTTCGTCGCGGGCGCTGTCTCCCTCGTCTTTGAGAGCCTTTTATACGGTATGCTGCCAGCCCACGACGATCTAACACGCCGCGGCTGGGCCTTACCATCGGTTGATTTACAGGCGCATACCTCGTGCTAATATGCTTTTCGACCCTCTATCTGTCTGTGGCCTCGCGTGTCCCTCGTCTGAGCTCACGGATCACTGACATGGCGGCTTCTTTCTATTTCAGCTGGCGGGGACCGAAGAACGCGCACACGGTCGCGCTGCTCGCCGTGACGCTCCTCATGTTCGCGATGTCCTCCACGCTGCTGTCGATGGACATCGTGAACCTCATACTGACCATCCGCGGCACGACCATCGCGCATCTCGGGTACTCGCTCCAGGACAAGGCGGACATGACCGACGACTCGTTGATCCCCTTCTTCTGGGTCGAGAACGGCATATTCCCGTTTGAGGTGCGCGACGTGCGGGGGATGCTGCGTGCTGTGTCTGTGCTGACTTGTGTGACGGCTCGGGGCGGCGGCGGCGGTGGATAGTTCGCGCTCGGGGACGGCGTCGTTGTCTGGAGAGCGTGGGCGCTGTGGAAGGACAGCAACCGCAAAGCGCTGATCGCGCCGCTCGTGCTCCTAGCGGGCTCTCTAGGTAAGCACACCGTCCCATCTACCGCAGACGCGCGACCGACCGCCGACCACCGACCGACGCGGCACAGGGACGTCCGTGGCCTACGTCGGCTGCACCGCGCGCAACGGCTTCCCGCACCCGGACGCGAACCCGCCGGGGTGCAACGACCTCTACCTGGCGAGCCTCTGCGCGTCGATGGCGACGAACGCGGCGGCCACGGTGCTCATCGCGTGGAGAGCGTGGTATGCCACGTCTCGCGGTTCTCAGCGGCCGGCCAGTGCTGACGCCAGTTTGGATCGCGGGTAGGATGCATAGGCGGTATTTGAAGGAGATGCTCGGCGCGTCGACGGGGAAGACGAGGGTGCAGAAGGTCCTCGTGCTCCTCGTCGAGTCGGGCGCGATCTACCTCGCCGTCTGGGTGAGCCCCGCCCTGCCCCGCCCCGCCTCGCAGTTAGATAGCCCGCCGACGGCGCCACTCACGCGCCAGGGCAGATATCCCAGATATACAACTTCTTCCCGATCGCGATCGCGCGCGGCGCGGCATACGACGCCGACCTCACCGTCACGTCCGCCTGCAACCAGATCGTGGTGAGCACCTTACCTTACCATACCATACCATATCTTACCTTACTGCACCGCACCAAACCGCCCGCACCGCACCGCACCAAACCGCCCGCACCGCACCACACCAAACCGCCCGCACCGCACCATACCGCTCACCCGTCTTCCCACGCAGGGTATATACCCCACGCTCGTCATCGTCCTCGTCAGTCTCCAGCGCACGACGTGGGACTCCCCCGGCGCGTCGCGCCAGCGCCACACGCACACGCACGCGCACACGCACACGCACACCGGCATGCAGTTCGCCGCCGCCCCCACGCCCGCGAGTGCGGTCGACACGAGCACCGATACCGTGCTCAGCCGCGGCGGCGGGGCGGGGCGGCGGGACGCCGTGCATCCTGTTTCTGGGCCGTTCAAGGCGCAGGCGGCGGGGGACAGGGAGAGCGACGAGAGCGGGGAGATCTGCGGCGACGCCGCGGAGGAGGAGGGGGGAAAGAAGGCGGGCACCGTGGTATGAACGGTTCGTGTCCATCGGCGAACAGGAGGCGTGTATATCTATACGGACGTTCATATGCGAATGCTACGAGGCTCTACGAGAGTCCTCGATTTTCGGGCACCGGGGTGTGGACGGGCGTCTTGAGCGGGGCCGTGCAACAACAGGAAGTCTAGCTCATGTATATAACTTTGTAAATAGACCGCGGGATCTGGCCACGCTGCGCTGCCAACTGGGCGCTACGAGCGCCTATCATACGAGTGCATGCCTCCCTATCACAGAGCGGCGACAGATATCGAACGTGGTCCGAATTTCCATACGGAGGAGGGGGGACGGTAGGGGGTACAAGTATGCGATACGGATACTGTACATGCAAGCGTAGCGTGGCTGGACATATGTTGCGGGACGGGTAGAACTACAAATGGCTTTTGCGAGAGAATCGGAGAGTCGAGGGAACGCGTACATAGAGAGAGAGAGAGAGAGAGGGGGGAGAGGGGAGAGAGGGGAGAGAGGGAGAGAGAGCATCGAAGTGGGGGGTAGTGGATTATAGAGAGAGATGCCTCTCGAAGGAAGACAAAAAGACAAAAAGACAGAAAGATAGAAAGACAGAAAGAAAGAAAGAAACCATGATCGAACACGTAAATGGGAACGTGGACGGAGACGTGGACGGAGACGTGAACGGACGAAGACGTGACCAAAACCAAGAACGGGGACACCACGACCGGAAGGATCCGACCACACAAGCGCATAGCCCCAAACGAGTCCCAACACCCCCATCCGCACGAACATCACTCACGGCGGGGCGACTGCGCGGAGGCAAACGACCCAACAGCGCGCCAGGCACAAACGGCACCGACCGCACAGCACGGCAGCAGCAGCAGCACAGCACAGCCCCCCGATAGAGTCACCCAGCGCAGCCGAGCGCGCGCCCCGAGCCGACTCTACCGACCAAGCAGGTCAACACTACCCAAGGAGGAGGGGAGGAGGCGATAAGCGTAGCGAGCGAGCGAATGAATGAGTGATGCTGTCCTTAACCCCGCGCGATTGCCAACCCCCCGCGCACGCCGGCCTCCTCCGCACGCGGCTTAAGTACCCCTCCTCCACGCCCGCCCGCGCTCGCGCTCACGCCCACGCCCCGCCCACGCGCCACTGCTTCTCGGCCCCGCGCACCGCCCACTCTACGATCCCGCTCGTCGACGCGACGTACAAGTGCCGCCCGCTCGGATCAAAGCACGTCCCCGCGAGATCGAGATGCGGCGGCGCGTCGATGCGCGGCTGCGGCTGCGGCGTGCGCGCGTTGGAGCGGCGCGCCGCCGCGGGGAAGGAGGAGGGGAAGGAGGTGGAAAAGGAGGCGGCGGGAGAGGGGGGGTTGGGCGCGGTGAAGTGTCCCGAGGGAAGGGCGGGGGCGGGGGCGGGGGCGGGGGCGGGGCCGTGTGGGGCGCGCGGGTGCCATGGTGCGTGTGACGGCGCCGAGGGGGGCGGGGCGGGCGAGCCCGCGCGCGAGGTGAGGCAGTCCCGCTCGGTGTCCAGCTCGTCGTCGCCCTCGTGTTCAGGATCGCGCTCGCGCCCGTCCGCGTCGTCCATATCGACGTCAGGATCAGCATCCGCATCCGCATCCGCATCCGCATCCGCATCCGCATCCTCGTCTTCGTCCTCGTCGTCCTCGTCGCGCTCGTCGCGCTCATCACCACGACCATAATCCCCCACACCGCGCATATCCTCATCGCGCTCGTCGCGCCGCGGCGCAGACGACGCAGCCAGCGCCGCGCGCAGCCCATGGCGCCCCAGCACGCGCCTCACCTCGCGCTCCGCCGCACGGTCGCCCAGCGCCGGCACGACCACGACGTGCGCGCCCATGCCCGCGCCGTCCTCCGCGCCCTGCGTGTCCCAGCGCCTGCGGGGCGCGCGCGCCGCGAGCGAGGTACGGGGGCCGAAGCGCGCGTGCGCGAGGGTCGTCCAGGGCGCGGGCATGGGCATGGCGGCGGCGGCGGCGGCGATGGGGTCCCAGGGGGCGTGTGCGGAGGTGGGGGTGGGCGCGCGGGTGTGTGGGGGCGGCGAGGCGGACGAGTGCGCGGAGGTGGAGGGCGCGGGAGAGGACGAGAGGCGGTCGTTGATGATCGTTGGCACGCGGACGATTTCTTCGGTTTCGAAGGTGGTTGCGTCGACGACGTGCAGGAGCGACGTGTGCTGTGGGCGGGGAAAGAACGGAGGTGAGCACGCGACGGCGGCGGCGGCGGAGCGGACACGCACCTCTGTGAACGTCATGACCTCGCGCCCGCCCGGCCCCGCGGGGCTGAACTTGACGTTGCGCACGCCCCACCCGGGCGCCCTGTGCCCCGTGCGAGACCAGTCCCACGCATCGTCGTACGACCATCCGCTCCCGATCCCTATCCCGCCGCCACCTGCACCACCGCCGCCGCCGCCGCCGCCACCGTCGCCCGCGCAGCGCGAGCGGTCGGTGTAGAAGACCTTCATCGGCTTGTGGCTGCGGACGTCCCACACCGCGACCATGCCCTCCTGCGAGGCGACGGCGAACTTTGTGCCGCAGGCGGAGAAGGCGGTGGAGAAGGACGCGGGCACGGCAGAGGCGCGGGCGGCGTCGGGCGGGGGTAGGGCGAGCTTCGCGAGTGGGCTGAAGGTGATGCGCGCGCCGCCGGTGAGGCCGTGGAGGTACACGTGCGGGGAGTCGCCGACGGAGAGCAGCGTGCGGCCGTCGGGAGAGATGGAGGCTAGCGGGAAGAAGAGCGGGCGTTAGGCGGGCTGTGAGCGACAGGACGGGGGCGGGGGGTGCCTGCGCGTGCGTGGAGGCGCCGCGTTTGGACGAGCCGATGATGAGGGTGAGAGTAGGGCGGAAAGGACGCACAATGGTTGACCGGGACGTCGAGGCGGAGTGTGCCTGCCTCGGAGATGCGCTTCGGGGGCCCGTCGACGCCCTTTGAGCCGCGGACGTTGACGTCGTAGAACTTGATGGTGCAGTCGTTGTTGCTGACGGCGACGCGGGGCTCGGCGCTGCTCTCGTGGGAGCGGGTGAGGCTGAGGGAGGTGAGCAGGACGGAGTTGTTGATGGAGCCGGAGAGGGTGTTGTCGTACTGCCACAGGCGGCGGGTGCGGGGGCGCGGGGGGTCGAGGGTGCCGGGGTCGGCGGGGTCGGGGTCGCGGGATGGGGAGCGGGTGTGTGCGGGGCTGCGAGTGGGGGCGGGGCGGAGGTGGGTGTGGGGGCGGCGGGTGTGGATGGAGAGGTGGAGCTCTGCGTCCTGGCCGCCCGCGGCGACGAGGCGCTCGTTGGAGTCGGGGATGTGGAGGGAGGCGAGGGTGTTGGGGACGAAGTTGAGCACGACGAGGGGCGTGGAGGTCTGGTGTGCGTGTGTGAGTGGCAGGGCGTGCGTGGGAAAAAGGGGCGCGACGGGAGGACGCACGGACGAGGGATCGGAGATGTCGCGCTCCATGATGCACTGGTCATGGACGAAGTTGACGACGGCGCGCTCGTCGGGGCAGACGATGAGATCCCTGAGCTGGCTGAGGTGTGTGATGTGAGTGTCGAGACCGCAGGGTGACGGGCACGACGCACATGTGGCCGATGGTGACGGGCTGGGAGACGATGCTGGAGGGCTCGGGGGAGAGGAGGGACTGGGAGCGGGCCATGGCGGGCGTGGTGGGCGTGGACGGCGTGGGCGTGGACGGAGAGCAGCAGCGCCAGGAGCGAGTCAGCGAGGGCCTGTGCGGCGGTCACGGGAGCTCCCCGGCCGCGGCCCCACGTCGTCCGCCGCCGCCGCACAGGCATCGCCAGAGAGATCACAGTCGAGCGGGTCGCCTCCCGGGCCCCGTGCGGGTCCTGCGTCCGTCGCCGTCGCCGTCGCCGCCGCAGACGACCCCCAGCCGCCAATGCAGCACGCGTTCGCCCCCGCCGCCGCCGGTATACTCCGGGGAAACGCCGGTGTGCGTCCGCTCGTGTCCAACAACTCCACCACGCACAGCCAGGCGCGCGCCTCCGTGTGTTTCCTTGGCTGTCCGCACGCTGACTTGCATCGACGATCGTGTGCGGCCAGCTGCCCTCGGACATCCCATGGCACTTCATCCGCACGCTGCGATCCAACAAGGCCAAGACCCTCGCATGTCCGCCTCTCCTGCTCTTCTCAATGAAACCGACCCCGCTCGCACGACGCTGCGCGTTCGTTTTGGTGGCCATTCCCAACTCCCACACCGTCCGCCACTTCATCGCAGCGACCGCGCACGGCGCTGCTCGACGTCCTTCTGCAAGCCAACACCTCGAGCAAGGACGCAAAGTCCAGGCCCGCGCCCCTCGCGTCGGAGCCGCCGCGGCAGGCACGGCGCTCCGAGCCTGTCGCCCTCGCCACACACATATCATCAAGGCATGCGCGCGTGCGCATCCGCCTTCGTGTTCACAGACTCGTAACCATCGGTCGGCTCCCTCGTAGAGTCGCGTCGGTCAGATGCGGGGTACCGCGACTTTGCGACACGCGACGCGCTGGAGATGGACCTCGGCGCCGAGGCGGGCGGCGGAAGAAGGGCGGGCTGCAGCGTCGGGCCAAGTTGTATTCCGTCCTCCTTCTCTTCGCGTTTGTCTTTGCGCAGGCTGCGGGCTCGGTCCACTGGCCGTGCTTTCTTTATAAGACTACGGACTTTTTTTTTTCTATCGAACGTCGAAACGAAGAAGTGGTGGCGATTCCTTTCGGGGGCGGTGTTAGTCTCGCTGGCTGCAGCGCAGGCGGTCGCGCCGGGTGAGCGCGAGGGCATGCAATGGGACAATGTTGTTGCTAGATGGGCTTGTGATGTAGCATTGCGGCGCAAGACCTTCGCCTGGTTGAGCATACTCCCCTCGATCGAGCTCGAAGCTTGCGAAACCATCTCGAATCCGCCGCCTGCCGCATATGTGGGTTCAGGGCAAGTGATCCCTGCACACTCCGTCCCTTCGGGCTGTTGACCCACAAAAATGCCAGCTGAAAGCCCGGAGACTATCAGTTCCTGCTATCCAGTGCGGACTGTATCACCGCACATTGCCCCCAAATATCCCCAGGGAATATTCGGGGTATATTAGCAATATACCTGGAATGTACCTGGAATATACTCGTCAGGGAATATCTCTCAAATATCCCCCAGTCAATCCCAACTGGGAGATGACTCATCCATTTCGACGGTCACCTGATGAGTGCGCGTCGTCGGACAGCGTCGAGATTTCTCTTAAGTGCTCCCTTCGTCTTACTCTCTAGGAGCCTCCAGTGTGCACATATTTTGGTGAGTCTTTCTCCCACTGAAACATGTTTCCATATGCTCTATAGTTCCGGTTCTCTCATATAATCAGATCTAATGCCTGAAAATGTGGGATCAGAGCGCATATATGCGTCCATTTAGGGCGGGCCAGGGTGGGACTGAAGGAGATTGTAAGCACAGCCTACGACGTGTGTGCGGCAAGAATTGTCAGAACGGTGGGTATTGCGGGTGTGAGCGTGAACGTTGGATGGATGAGATCAAGGGTAAGCACAGGCTGAGCTTGATGGCGTTGGCGTGGGTGCTAGCATCTGTGTTTCTCATGCGCATGGTGGCTCGGATTAGCCTCAGAGTCTGCGGTGCGCGCGCAAGTGCCAATGTCGTCGGGGCAGCAGCAGCAGCAGCAACATCAGTGAGGCCAGTGTTCATCTGGGCTCTCCGTGTCACAGTGCTAACCCCCCGCACGGCAGTACTGACCCCCGCACTACACTGCATTCTTTCCATTCCCCTCGCTCCCTGCACTCGCCAACCTTATCGAGCTGCAACCCTTCCTGGTGACCTTGTCTCTTCCCGCACTGATCTTCTCAGCCTTGACACGCATGCTTACCCCGCTTCTCCGCAGGATGCGCCTCTACGTTGCCGGTACCGATGCACTCGCCAGCGGCTGCGTTTGTGCGCGTGGCGTGCTACCAGATGTGCTCGTGTTCGACAGCACGGTGCCGCAGCCCGACGCACCCCCCAAAATGTACTCCTCGAATTCGAGGCCACGCGCGGACGCACCGCTCCCACCACCGCAATAGATTCTTGTGTCAAGGTGCTGGTTGTCCCATCCCTGATGCGCGCCGTGGCTGCTTGCATATGCGGGGGAAGGTCTAGCCGGGATTCGCACCTCTCGCCTCTTCAAGTATATTTTGTAGATCTTTCAAGCCTTAGAATTGTCGTGTAGCCTTCAATAGCATGTATTAGTTTTATGATTTGTTAATATATTTATTTCTCTATCTATGGAGCGCATATAAAGTGATTGGAATGATATCGAGCTCGAATAAACCCACAATATACTGTGAATATACTCAGTACCCAGGTATATTCACGGTATATTCAAGACATTACCTTGAATCAACCGTGAATATCCCCGGAGGGGAGGTGGGTATATTCGCGGTTGATTCTGGGTATATTGCTAATATACCACAGATATCCCCTGGGGATTATTAGGGACGATGTGCGGTGTATGGCGTTGCAATGTTGTCGCGAAGGCTGTGCGTCACCCACGCAATCAATCTACTCCTCATCGGTGAGACTCTATCGTCTCTGATTCGTCATCCATAGTTCTTTCTCACGTCCTGGCTCAGACGATGTGATATGGATATGGTGGTACGACAGACAAGGTGCGATCCAGACGGAAGGCATCAACTTCGTCCAGGACCTTCCGCGCTTCTTGATTCTGCTCTTCGCGCTCCAGCGGTTCGAGCTGGACAACTGGCAATTCAACATCTCGCTAGACCAGTGGCCTCATGCCATCCATTCCTCTGATCCAGCTTCCAGAGGCGTTGATATTGACTCCACCAGGTATATCAAGCTCATGGCACTCCGAGCTTCAGGCGAGTTGGTGAGAAATCACAATCGATACGAGCTGGCAGGTGCATCAGGCGTATGGCCTGGCTGGGCGAGGCACGTCTGTGTTCTGTGGCACTGCGACTCTGGCGGCCTCTGAGCGCTCTGGCAAGGTTGAGCCTGCTGGCAACAGCCCTGTGGCTGGCGGTGCGACTGCGGCGTCTAAACCCTCCACGGAGCTGCGAGAGGTAACAGCGAAGATTTATTGGCAGGAGGAATCGCGTTCATACCAAGCCGAGGGTCCCAGGGAAGCATCCACGATGGGGTTTAAGATGGATGCCTTGGGTCATCATCTGGATCCGCTTTTCGCGTGCGACGTTTCCGAATGTCCAACATGGTTTATTCGGAAAAAGCTCGGTCTTGAACGAGCTGAAGACCGGCGTCCCTCTCGTTTCCTCCGGCTGGCCGTGTTCTTCCGCCCGAGGTGTATCACCACGTTGGTCGGCGCAGCGTTCATGAAAGTGTGGCTTGATTGCATTCGCAGTGCGTGTTGCCGCAGTTAGCTAGGGTCAGCTTGGTCTGGTTCGGCGTCGACGGCCGCCGACGCGGAGGGTCCAGGCCGCTATGTGCTTTGGGAGCTGGGCATCGAGGATATCAAGCCCAGATTGTCGATTCTCATGGCCGGCGAGGGTGACCGCGGGTTCTTGATCGACTGGGAGCTGGCAACGATGTTCGGGCAGTCAAGTCACGACGGGACCTCCCACCTTGAGACCGTGCCCTTCACGGCCCTAGACTTACTCGATGAGGAATATTGTGCCGGCAAGATCAAGCGCCAGTATCACCACGGCCTCGAAGGCTTCCTGTAGATTGTACCTTTTGCACGCCTGCGGTACAAACACAGCGACTTGATCGAGCATCCACCAATTCGCAATCTGTGGACCACAGGAGACTACTCATCCTCCAGAGCATCCAAGCGTGATTTCTTGGCAATGCTCCAGAGAGCACCGCTGGAGGCACCCTGGGCAATTCGTCTATATAGGTGGGAGTGGCTCGTATCTCATCCATTGTACAACACATCTTGAATGGCTGGTGCATGCAATCAATTGCCAGCTACACCGAGGGAGAAAAGAGGTGTCTTCTGTAAGGAGCAGGCAGAGGCAGATCCGAAAACGACGGTACTTGTGCTGAGGGATATTTATGCAGACTTTTGGGCTACAATCAAAGGGATGCAGATGTTGTCTTTAGGGGTGTGTGTGTCTGACGGCTTTTGATCGATTTCCTTCTTGCTGTCCTGGATGTGACGATTGATTTATGGCCTTTGACTTATACTCTGTTTCAACTAGGTCTGCTCAGTCTCAAATTGAAGTACCCTCTTTATTTCCTCAGTTCGACATGCTCAAGAAATTGTCCATAGCCCTTCTAGTATGATTACACATGAATGTTCCACATCATAATCTCACCCACACTGTTTGATGCGCCGTGCAGGTATGTGGGATCGCTCAGGATGGACCGGGTGCGATTCGAATGTCATGAAAACTCGACTTGGAGGGTCTTCTGCCTGTACCTCAGTACTACGTGCATATCGGCAACCTCTATTGCAGGAGGCGAACAGAAGTTAGAAAAGAGAAGTGAGCCAGCCAGCGCCCATCACGACAAGGAAAGTCACCTGGCTACAACCGTGCTTGCATGCAAATGAATAGGATTTGCCTTCATTATCTCCTACCTACCAGAGTCTGTTGTGGTCATATATATGAAGATGATCCGGGGCAGACATCAGCTATCACGGGCAGTGCCACCACTCAGTGAATGGCAGATATGATATGTTGTTGAAGCGTTGGGCATATGCGTAGATATGGTCCCATCCAAAATTGGAGGATTTTGGCCCTTTTGTCAGCACAAATTTCAGGTTTTCTTTCAGTGCCAGCACCGCCAATAGTCTTCCTGAAATGGCTTGAACTTTATCACATGTGCCAGCATTCGAACTTCGAAGGCATATTGCCCTTCAGACGAGCCGCCCAGTCCTAGTCTTAGTCTTGGCCATAGCGCGCTCAGCGCTGCACGGAACAGCTCTAAGCAATATCCATCTGTTGTAGGACGGCATGCGTCAAGGCTCGAGTGAGGGTGGCCAATGACAAGGAGGCGGGAGGAGGCGGGGGGGAATCACTTGTGACGTCACGAAATGTCGTCTCAATTTGAGACCTGGTCCTTGAGATCCGAAGGAGCAGGGGGAGACTGTTGAAAAAATCCCCCTGCGCCCTACCAGCATTATTTTCCGCTCCTTGAAATCGGCATCCTTCAATAAGTCGTTCTTGATCATGGCTTCCAATTCCTTGCCGGTGGCAATGCTGGCACCTGACCTATTGAGGCCAGTTACGCCCCCTGACCAGATCGGCGGCTTACGTTGAACATTCGCTGCATTGAAACTCGACGCCGCTCCTTCGAACAACATGGGATCGTTGTCGAACGCTATCAGCGAAGGATATGAGGACTACATGTAGGTTATGCAACTGCGACGTCTCAGAGACTATTGTCTACTCGCTGATTGCTTGGTTCAACAGTGCAGAGTGGATTGCGAACGACCTCGAAAAACATGAGAAATGCAATGTCGATGACATGCTAGCGTACTTTCTCAAGCAATGTCTTCACGGCCAAACTCCTGCTTCAAAGAATACGAGCTCGACTTTCTTGCAACCATACCTCGAAGCGGTGCTTCCAATCTGCAATAATGTCGAGATAATGAGCCAGCTGACAGAATAGTGCGTCCTTCGTCCACACTAATTAAATCAAGGATTGAGAGACAATTACATAGCTGCAAAACTGGAGGCACCGAACAAGACAGATATCGACCTTTTGTCAAGCTTTTCAATTTAGCGCTCCAGAAACTACGCAGCGTCAAGGTGCCCAACGTTCGTTCCGCGAATGACGATCTTGGGATACTCTTTTATAGAAACAATCTAAAAAGGATAGAGGGATACCACAATAGTGATGTGTCTGATCGTAGCCCCGATGTGGTTGTGGTCTCCCTGGCTGCAGCTCGGGACGCAAGTGACTCTATTAAAATGCAATGGCGGCATGCCACTGGGCCCGCTCCTGAACAGCTTCGCACCGCGTTCGAGTGGTCGCAGATTCTCTGTGTTTTCGAGTTCAAGCGAGTTGCAAAGACGTTGACGCCGCCGCCCCTCAAATACTCCGGTTTTGGGGCCGTCCGTGAACCTCAGCAAAACATATGGAACCTGTTCAATCCCGTTCTAGATCCTTCCGGAGCGACCAGTGTGGAAGCTCATCCAGATGGCGACAGATCTGAAGCGACGGGTGCAAATTCAGGTGGCGGTGGAAAGAGGCCTCGAGCGACAAGTGCGAGCTCGAGTGCACGCGCAAACAAGAAGCCTCGAGGAAGAAGTGCGAACTCGGTTCCACCGAAGATGCACAACACTCGTGGTATTAGTGCCTTAGCGAATCAACCTCTGAGCGCCTCATCGGCACCCATCGCGCAGGAAGTCGAAGTCGGAATGGAACCCGTGGAGCGTCCGGAACCGCCTATCGTCCAGTGCGGATTGTATGGCGTTGAGATGTTGTCACGGGGGCCATGCGTCAACCACGCCATCAATGTACTTGTCATTGGTGAGACACGATGAATCTTCTTGTCGCGGGAGGTTCCTCATTTTTTGCCCCAGACGATGTTATGTGGATATGGTGGTACGACAGACAAGGCGCGATCCAGACTCAAGGAATCAACTTCGTTCAAGATCTTCCGCGCTTTCTGATCCTGCTCTTCGCGTTTCAGAGGTTCAAGCTCGAGGACTGGGGGTTCAACACCATCCTAGACCCCCAGTCCGAGATCGTCCATGGTCTCAAGAAAGTTCATAAAAGCAATTGTTTCCTTCCAGAATCGCATTTCGTGTTTCCGCCACCTGAACTGTCCGTCAGCGCACCGGTTGAGACCACTGTCCTGACGAAATCTCCAGTTTACCACGTATATAGCCTGGTGGGACGAGGCACATCTGTTTTCAGTGGTACTGCGTGTACGAAGGCTCCTCCGACCAGAGGTTCTGGCATACCTCAAGGCTCTGGCAAGGGACCCGTGGCTGTCGATGATATATCATTCGCAACCCCTGACAAGGATCAGGAAGTGGTAGTCAAGATCTATTGGCCGGAAGAATCACGCTTGAGCGAAGGCCGCATTATCAGTGAGGCGTATAAACGAGGGGAGGGCAATCTAGATATCGTGGAACATCTTCCGAAGATGTACCTCGAGCACGACTTCCCTGAACATTCGACAAACCATATCAGGGATGCGCTTCGTCTGACGTGGCCTGATGGACGGCGGGCTACTCGTATCCTTCGGCTTGCCATCTTCCTCAAATTGGACCCTATTATCGCATTGGGCGGGGAGGAGTTCATGAAAGCATATCTGGATTGCGTCCGCTGTGCGTCAAGCTTTCGTCTCAGTGGCGACAAATACTGACCCAAAGGTGCAGGCCACTTTGCTCTTTGGACACTGGGTATTCAACATAGCGATCTCAGCCTGTCAAATGTGATGATCAATGACCAGAATCGTGGTATCCTGAACGACTGGGATCTCGCCACGATCGAGGGAATATCAAAGCACGACGGGTGCGATCGCACTGGGACCGTGCCATTCATGGCCTTAGAACTACTCAACAAGCGATATTGGGCCGGTAAGATCAAGCGCCAATATCATCACGACCTCGAAGGCTTCCTGTGGATTTTGCCATATGTATGCTTGCAGTACAAGGATGGTAATATGGTCACGTATCTGCTCGAGTCGTGGAACACGGACGATTACACCATCTGCAGAGAGAAAAAGAGCGATTTCTTGAGGAATCTCCGCACACAACCTCACCTGATACCCAAGGCGACCTCTTCGTATAAATGGGAATGGGTCATATTTGATCAATTTGTACAGCGCATCGACAATAATTGGCAATCACCACTTACCGATGAGGCCATAGCCGCAGCCATCAAGGGAAATATGGAACTAGCAACATCGGTACTTAACCCTGGCGATGTTTATGCAGAATTTTGGGCTAGGATAAAGATGGCGGCAGAGGACGACAGCGGACACTTGTTGTATCTAAAGAAGTATGTGCCTGACGGCTTTTGAGCGGTTTCCTTCTTAGTGTCCTGGGCATGATGATTGGTATGAAGCTTGTGACTTGGAAGGCTGGCACGCACACCTGATACTATACCATCCCCACATCTTATACTCCGTCTCAAATAGGGTGCGGTTGAAGTAGAGTATACTCGCTGTTACACATAAAACTACGTTTTTTTCGGATATTCTGGTCCGATCTGCAGTGGTTCGACACACTCAGAAATTTTGTCCACAGATCGGTAACCACGAGTGCAATCATCAGTACGAAGCAAACAGAAATCTGATCACAAAGTGGACCGGCGTCGATCATGTTCTGAGCAGGAAAGTCACGCTACACGTACAAACGGCACCATGCTTGCATACCGCTTGCATGCGAACGACGGGCACACTGGCCGTACTCGATCAAGGAGGAATCGGATGGGATCAGCCCTTGACAACGTCGGTGCCAGTGGTGGGACGAAGCACAGGTACGTTGCTTCGAGTACGGGTTGGATCGGTCACGCTGATACACTAACTGGATGCCAGAAGCCGGATTGCCCACGACCTCGTGAAACATGAACAGTGCAAATTCGATGACATGCTGCAGTATTTTCTCGAGCGATGTCTCATCGACCCAAATGCTGCTCCGAATGATGCGCGCTTGAGCGTCTTGCAATCATGCCTCGAAGGGGTGCTTCCAATCTGCAACAGCGAGGATATGAAGCAAAGGCTTGTACACTAGCAAGTCTGTCTCCCGCCCTGTTCGAGATCAAGCGTTCACAGTCAATCTGAAGCTGCACATCAAGATTCGACGAACGGAGCAGACATTGGGCCTTCGCCGACCTCGCCAACGAGGCACTGAAGAAACTACACAAGGTCAATATCTCCGATACTCGTCCTGTAAACGACGATCTCCACATTCTTTTCCACCAAAATGACTGCGCATATATCCAGCCAGATCGCGGTCATCAGGCCTTTTGCAGTCCTGGGGTGGTCTTGGTCTCTCTCGCTGCAGCTCAGCTGATTGTGCCAGATGATTGTGGGGACATGATGGAATGGGAGGATGTTGTCGCCGGATATGCTTGCGATGGACCATATTCGCGCAGGAGCTTCGCCTGGCCGAGCATACTCACCTCGATGGAGTTCAAATTTTGCGGAAATAGTTCAAGACAGCTGCCCTCGAAGCTGGCCGGTCTAGATTTGACTCCAGAAAATCCTCGTATAACAGTTATGAATACCAATCTAGGTACGTTCGTATATGGTGTTTGTTGATAGTCTTTGGTAATACAACGTGTTCATTCTGGCTGGCAATCTGCTCTCACATTTGTATAGCAGGGGCAACTTCGAAGCAAGACGAAATTGAAGCCGAAACACTAGAGAATCCATCGTCTCCTATTGTACGGTGCGCGCTGTATGGCGCCGACATGCTATCAAGGGGGCCGTGTATGAACCACGCAATCAAGCTACTCCTCATCGGTAGAATTGGGGATTTTATTCCTGCTGCATGGTCCTTTCTCATTTCATGTTTCAGACGAAAGATATGGATATGGTGGTACGATAGACAAGTTATCCAGACGGAAGGCATCGACTTGATACAAGACTTTCCGCGCTTCCTAATTCTGCTCTTCGCGTTTCAGCGGTTCGAGCTGGAGGACTAGGGTTTCAACACTACGCTAGATCCGCGGTCCAAGGCCATTTCCCTCAAGAAAGATTCTAGAGGCTATCGTTTTGTCCTAGCCAGGAATTTTGTGTTCCCGTCATTTGGAATCCCTTCAGGTGGGTCGGCTGAGATTACGATCGACACGACTCGGCAAGTGCATCGGGCACATGGCCTAGCTGGGCGAGGCACATCTATTTTCTATGGCACTGCGGCTCTGGCGGTTTCTGAGAGTTCTGGCCAGCGTCGCCCGACTGACGATGAAACTACGGCGTTCAAAACATCCGAAAAGCTCCGAGAAGTAACAATGAATTTTTACTGGCGAGAGGAATCACGTTTGGGCGTATTCAGTAAAAGCAACAATCACCTCGCTCGTCGTCCAAATTCGCTTTTCGCGCACGACTTTCCTGAGTATTCGACGGGATATATCCGAAAAATGCTCGGTCTTGGATCATCCGAGCGCCGGTCTCCTACTCATATTCCTCGGCTGGCTGTGTTTTCCCGACCGAGACCTATCACCGCGTTGGTCGGCGAGGCGTTCTTGAAAGCGTAGCTTGATTGCGCACGCGGTGTGTGTGTTTTTGGTTTGGTGTTGACGACTATTAATGCAGAGGGCTCAGGCCACTATGCTCTTTGAGAGCTGGGCATCCAAGATATCAAGCCCAGGTTGTCGAATCTCATGGCCGATGAGCACGAGCTCAGTTTCTTGATCGACTGGGAGCCGGCGACGATCTTCGGGCAGTCGCGTCATGACGGGAGTTGTCACATTGGGACCATGCCCTTCATGGCTTTGGCTCTGCTCAACGAGGAGTACTGGGAGGGCAAGATGAAGCGTCAATATCACCACGACCTCGAAGGTTTCCTGTGGATTTTGCCTTTCGTATGCTTGCAGAATGAGAACGGAATCCGCCTTTAAAGTCATGAAACACGGAAAATTACACCTTCTGCAGACTATTGAAGCTCGGCTTTTTGAATGACATCGAAGACGGACCTGCGTTGCTTAGAATGAAGGCGACACCTTCACACGAGATGGGATGGATCCTGTTTTGTGATATCTTGCCCTCGATTCATGAGTCTTGGTCCCCACAGTCCGGGTCAGCGTTTGACCTTTTTCTGTGCAGATCGACTGGGGTGGAAGTCTCGGAGGATGCTTATGCGAAGGTGTCGAGTAAGGAGACTTACTTGGACTTTTGGAAGCGCGTGAAGACGCTCGCAAACTTACCACGAACGAAGGAACTCATACCTAATTTATGAAGATTTGTGCCCGTGGGGCTTGTATAGATCGGTCACTCGACTTAGTCATGACGCATGAATGCATGACGGCCGGTTATGGCCTACAAGTTAGTTACACCGCAGCTCTTGTATGTGGTCGAACCAGTGCCATTATTTAAGCAAAGACTGAAGCAGCTGCGATGACATCTGCTTCGCGCTTGAGCTGATGTTCCGAGATTTAAGTTTTTGAAGGATGCATGTCGACTTCTGCATTGGAATGTATGTCTGTGACAATGATAGCCACGCATGTAAGCACTCATTCCATGCCGCCCAACGGGCCGTCGCCTTCCTCCGGGCCCTGCGCGGGCGATTTCGCGTGTGCCTCTTCAACCTCCTCCTGCACGCGCTCGACGGACTTGAAGTACTTGGCCGTCTTGATGTGGAGCTCTGCATGGTCCCATGCATTACGTCAGGCGACGAATGCCACTCTGGAAGAACCGGAATGGCGAGAGTGTACGTACCGGCGATGGCGTCTTCGTTGACGATGATCAGCGCCCAAGGATGTATCTGGAGCACCGACAGCGTCCAGGGATGGTTCACGCTATCCTCTGTCAAATCAGACATGCTCAGTCCTACACGCCCACACTGTAATTCCACGTAATTGACGTGATGCCGGAGCCAACCTGCTCTGAAGATCGCGTCCGTGATCACGAATGCTTCGTTCGCTCAACATCGCCTTGCTCCTGCTCGTCGAGATGCAGAGGCAGACGGGGCGGGGTTTGGTCGGTCTGCACCGATGAGAGGCGTCGGACGCACCGATAGCCTTACTGATCCCCAGGCTCTTCCTTTGGCCGGTGACGACCACGACGACCTCCCACGAGTCGAGGACGGTACCGACGCCGACGGTCAGCGCCATGCGAGGCACGGCAGATACGTCGTCGCCGAAGAACCGGGCGTTCGCGAGGATCGTGTCGTACGCGAGCGTCTTGATGCGCGTGCGCGAAACGAGCAACGAGCCCGTGCGACAAAGCATGACGCGGTCAGGAGCGCTGTCTGTCACGGAGAGAGACGCCCATGAGGCCAGAGATGTAGTAAGATACGCGCACTAAGCTCGTTGAACGCGATGTATCCGTCTTCGCCGGTGCCGCCGAGAAACAGCTCGATGCCCCCGCGGACCTTGATCTCAGCTTTGCATTCGCCTATCAGATCGTCATCTTTCTCGTCGAGGATATTCACGTTCGCGGCCGGGATGTCGACTGGACGGACGAGCTATGCAGCAGTGACGGCATGAAGCAAGCAGAGATAACCCGCACTGTACGAGAAGAATTCGCGGAGCATAAAGGTATGGTACGACTCCGAGTGATCCCGCGGTAGACCCGCGTACTCGTCCACGTTGAACGTCACCGCGTCTTCAAACCTGCGCCGGGTGGCGTAAACATCAAGACACGTTACGCATATACATACTTGACTCGAGACACTTGTGACAGGTTGCCACCCTTCACGAGCTGATGAGGTGTTGTACGTCGGGATCGGGGACGATCCCATAGGCTTGAAGTCAACGATCCTATCAGCGATAAACGACATCAACGCACGATCTGTATACTTTCCGCGGGCAGAGTAACGCGACGTAGGATGCTCATATACCGATTATTTGACAATGCAATTTCCGATGTACTCTCCGACAGCATGGGGGTCATCCCGAATGATGAGACCTTTGATGGGAATGATGGAATGAGAGTAGACATTGAATCAACACCTGACGGTTAGATCGACATCGACGTCCGTCAAGGGAGCGTCGACATACACACGATAACAGAGGTAAAGTTGGGATCTACAAAATGGGGCAAAGCCAGGCTGGAGGGATACGAGCAGCAGAGTCATGGAAGAAAAAGCAAAGGGGAAGACTTAGCAGCAAAGTACTCAAATGGTGCAGGCCGGAAGATCGTCGACTTGGACAACACACGTTTGTCGGCCCTGCGACCCTCAAAATGAAAGATAACAAAGCCTTCACACAGGGCCATCGGATGGGGTGCGAGGGAAAGAACATAGCATAGTCATGCACGGATAATGCCGGGATCATACTACACTTTTGCGAGGGAAAATATAATGCAACGTCAAAGTGGAAGCATAGGGTCACCTGGTGGTCATACTCGCCCACCCAACCGCCTCCTCCCGGCCTGTCTGCCTGCCATCCTGTGGGGCCAAAAGCCCGGCAGCGAACGACTTACTCCCGAGGAGCACCGCGACCGACACCAGCAAACTGCGGCCGGTACTCGCCAGGTGCGCCCTCCTTCTTTCCTCCGTCGTCCCTGCGGCGGTAATCGTCGCGGTCGCCTCTTGGTGCGCGGTAGGCGCCGTCGCCACCGGCACGGACCTGGGCGGGACGAGCGCGGGCAGGCTTGCGGTGTGTCTCCGGAACGACCTCAGTAGGGAGGTGGAGCCTGGTCCATAATTAACAATCTTCGCCGTGCTTGAGAGATGCACTAAACGCACCATTCGCGGAGGTAGTCAACGCCCTCGGGGGTGAGGGTATAGTAGTACCATTGCCACGAGAACTGGGTCTTAACGAAGCCTTTTGAGGTCAAGGACTGGAGAGCCTTGATGACTTCGAGGTTGGGGACATCGAGTTCCTCGTGCTTGGGCGCGTTGAAATCCTTTTTGGCGACCATCACCCCCTCTAGACATAGGACATCCACTAAATCACGACGACGCCGAAAAAGCAGGTGCGATCCAAGACGCACCCTTGAAGAGGTTCTCGTAGATGACGCGCCTGTTCTGCTTAGAGATGATCATGTTGGGCTGGTTTTGAAGGCGGTAGCTGCTCCCCGGGCACAATAAACTTCCCAGAGCACGACACGCGAAAAATGAGACGGACGCACTGTAACGCTCGAAGGTTACACTAGATCCGGCTGCAACGAAAGATCCAAGTGAGCATGCATGTCATCCAGACCGCGGACCAGCCATCCGACCCCTTCCACGCCTCAGACTTGCGCTACGACAGCGATACGGCCACAACCTAGCCAGGAGAAAACGGTGGGGACACTCACGGAGCGCGAGGGTGACGATGGCGTTGAGGGGGGTAGTCTTGACGTCGAGCGGGTGGGTCTTCGGCGACGGTGAATAGACTTCGGCCAGCGTCGAGCGGAGCCCCAAACCATGCCTAATTGGGAAATATGTGCCACGTGCGCGGGAGTGTCAGCAGCTATCGGCGGTTGTCCTCGTCCTCGTCGCCCTCGTCGTCGCCATCGTCGCCCGCGTTTTGCTCAATGTCGCGCCTTCCACAGCCCTCGTCCCCAAAACCACAGTCAAGAACACAAAGGAGCCCTTCAATATCGCACCTCGCGCCGCCGTCGCCCGCCACCTCCCGCCTGCGTTCTCCTTCTCCCACCACGTTCCCCACCTCGCGCCTCTCCCCAACCACGACATCCTCCACAACCGCCTCCCCGGCGCGCCTCCGCACCAAGTCGACGCCGAAACCGGTGACGCGCAAGCCCGCCGTGGTCGAAGCGCCGCCGCTGCCCAAAGCCACCCCGCTGAGCATCCGCGAGGCGATCGCGCTCAAGCGCTCCGAGGCCAAGAAAGCCATGACCGCCAGCGGGGGCGCGTCGCCCATCGTGCGCGCTGCGGCTGGCCTTGATGACGCGCTTTTTGCGCAGGAGGATCCCAACCTCGACATGGGGCGCCGCTCGGTGCGCGAGACGATCGAGCGCGCGCGGAGCACAGGTGTGGACTCTCTTCTCTCCCCCTCCCCCCGCATCACCGAATAGCCGGGGAAGACTGACCGTCGAAGGTCGCACCCTCACTCAGGCAATCTAAACCTGACGTCTCGCGACCTGATCTGCATCCCCTCTGCGCTGTTCGAGATCCACCTCGGCGTGCAGCCCGCAAAGCTCGCGCTCGTCCCCGACGAGCCACCCCTTCCGGAGAACCCCAAGCGGCGGGGCGAGTCCGAATCGGGCGCCCCTTCGTGGTTCGAGCAGCAGGACCTTTCCGTATTGAAAGCCTGGAACAACGAAATCGTCGAGCTGCAGCCGGAAATATCTTTGTTCGGTTCCCTGCAGAACGTTGACGTGCGCTCTCCATTTCTCCCTTCCACATGCTCCAAGCTCACCGCGGCTCTTTCAGTTGCGCAACAACCGCCTGACCACCCTGCCTGACACCTTCCCGGACCTGACGTCTCTCACGGTGCTCGACCTGTCGCGCAACAAGATCACACATTTCCCCACTAATTTTTTTGCGCTGCCCGCGCTCATATCGCTCAATATATCGCACAACGCGCTTGTTTCGCTGCCGTTCAACACGCCTTTTTCTCACGGCGTCGCTCCCCCCTCGCGTTTGCGTTCGACCGACCTCTTCGCGACGGCGATCGTCCGTGCCGATCAACCTCTGCCTCGCCTGACGACTCTCGACGCCTCACACAACAAGATCGCCGCCTCGTCCATCGACATCGACCACCTCCCCCAAGCTCTCGCCACGCTCGATCTGTCAGAGAACCCTCTCGCGAGCGGCTCGGGCTCGGCGGTCGCCGCGCTCCTCTCCGCGCTCTCCACGCTTCCCAAGCTCGAAACTCTGCGCCTGAAGAAAGCTGATCTCGATGACCGCGCGTTCCCCTCCTCGCTCTTTCCCTCCGCAGACGTTTTTGAGAAGCTGACACTGCTCGACATGGAGGAGACGCACGTGACAAAGGTCGCGGTCGCCAAGGCCTTCTCCGTCCTGTCCTCCCGCGAGTGCGACTTTGACGGCATCGTCGCCACCGCCGCGGACGAGGACGACGTGGGGCCCCCGCCGCGATCTGTCTCTGCCTCGATCATCAAGATCATTGTGGGGAAAAAGGTCGTCCGCGAAGCATGGGAGATCGAGGCCGATCGACGCGCCAAACTTCGCAGCAGGCGCAGTGCCGGGAACTTGCGCTCTGCAGCGTCCGAGGATGCCCAGCTCTCGTCCCTGGCGACTCCGCCGCCGCCTCCTCTCCCCACGACGACGCCGTCAACTTTGCGTGCGGCGCCTGCGAGAAAACTCGTCGAGCCGAAGCGTGAGGTGGCCAAGGAACAGTGGGAGATCGAGGCCGAACAGGGCCTGCTGACTGAGGGCGGCCGGCGGCGCGCCAGGGCCCTCGCAGCAGCAGCTGCGCAGCAACAGCCAGCGTCTTCCCAAGAGGGAAGCCCCGCATCTGACTCGGGCAACCCGGGCGGCCTGCTGCTCAAGAGCAAGTACTACGATGCGCGCACGCAAACACTCGCGCTGCCCGCCCTCGCGCCCCCGAGCCGGCGGGCGGGCCACAAGCACGGGTTCTCCCTCGCGTCGAACGCATTCTCCGGCAGCGCGGAGAGCGCGGACGTGGCAATACCGAGTGCGACGCTGCCTCTGTCGTTCATCGTCGCGCAGCCGTTCGCAGACACGCTACGGGTGCTGGCGCTCAAGGGGCGGCGGGCAGACTCGAGCTTCGTGTTGCCGAGCGAGGGCGGCGCGCGCGGGCCTTTTCTGGCGCGGCTAGAGGAGCTCTGTCTGGAAGGTTGCGGGCTGGGAGACGAAGTGGCGGTGGCGGCGGCGGGCGCGAGCGTAGGGGGCGAAGAGAAGAGGCGTGAGGATGTGCTGGGGCTCGTCGCGCGGTTGTTCCCGAGCCTGCGGATGCTGGACCTGTCGTACAACGACCTGGTGGGGGACACGCTGCGCGCGGAGACACTCGCACGGCTGCTGTCGTCCGCGCCTGGAGAGGGGCGGGCGGGGCTGCGGCAGCTGAGGCTACGCGGGAACCGGATCGCGCGGCTGGACGGGTTCGTCGAGGTAGCGCGGACGCTGTTCGGTGCGGGCAAGAGCGGCGAGGGTGCGGGCGGCAGGTGGGTGCTGGAAGAGCTGGACGTGCGAGATAACGCGGTGGAGGGGCTGGCGGGGGAGCTGGGGCTCCTGCCGCTGGAGGTATTTTTGGTGGAGGGCAACGCGTGAGTGGCGCGCGACGCGCGTCTTGTTTTTTTTGTTTTATGTTTTTGCGGCGATCGGGTGCTGATGATGATCATTCTTCCTTGTGCAGGTTCCGGGTGCCGCCTCGGCGGATCTGGGAGAGGGAAGGAACGAAAGGACTGCTGGCGTGGTTGAGGGCACGGGTGGTGGGATGACTCGGATATGTTTTTGTGGAGAGAGTGAATGCGATGTTTAGTTATTGTTTTACACGGACGATGTGGTGTGCAACCGGGAAGAGGAGGGCAATCGCGCGAAATGAGAACCGCCGTCTCGGAAGCTGCCAACCGCGTCCGCGGAGTTATAATAGAATCCGCGCCGCAGATCTCGTCTCTCCTTAATACACGCCCCTCCCGCCCTCTCCCTCCCTCTTCCCCCCCTCCTCCTTCCTCCCTCCCACCACATCGCAAAATGTCGTTCGCGCCGCTCGACTCGCTGGCCGTCGCAGAGCTCGACTGGCTACAGGATTCTGTGGAGTGCGTGCACGGGTCTGCCCCACTGACGTTCCATTCCACTGACCGAGCAGCGCTCCACCGTGCGTGCGTGCGTGCGTGCGTGGATACACACAGGCTTGTCGACGGGCCCTCGGCCCTCTGGGACCTGTCCTTCCACTCCTTCCATCCCACAGACCTCTCCGCCGTCCAGCGCCCCCCGAGCCCCCTCGACTCCCTCGAACGCGAATTCGTGCGTGCCCCCTCCCTCTCTTCCACCCCCCTGCCACCGTTTCATCGACCTCGACTGACCCTCCGCCCTCTGCCTGCGTCTGCACGCGTCTCAGTGCACAAATTTCACGTGCTGCGGGCTGAACCTCCCTGACATGCACCACCTCCTCGAGCACTTCGAGGACACCCACGTCGTCTTCCCCGAAGACATCTCAGACGGCCTCTCCCCGCCCCCACATCCCTACGTCCTCAGCTACCCACGCCCCCACACGCCACCATCATCGACAACGTCGACATCAACGCCAACGCCAACAGCGACCCGCCCTACGACCCTCCTCGCGGATCCCCCGCCCGCACGCGCCCACATCACACCTTCGCCTTCTCCCTCCCCCGTGCTCGCACTTCCCCCCGCCTTCTTCGGCCTCGCCCCCGCCTCTGGCCCCGCACGAACAGACAGGTCCAAATCCGGCCGCTTCAAAACCCTCCACGCGCCCGTTCACGCGCCCGCACGCGCCAGGGCCAGGGCCGAAGGCCAGCTCTCCGCGTCCGGCAGGAAGCGCGACAGGCAATACCGCTGTCCTGTGAGTCGCCCCCCCTTCCTCTTTCCCTTCTTTTTCCCTGCGTGCCTGCCCTGTTCTCTCACCCCCCCCGCGCTGACGCTCGCTTGCTCGCTTGCTCAGCGTCCCGGCTGCACAAAGGTGCGTACCCTTTCACCTTATCTTGTCGGAACACGCAGACGCGCCGTTCGCTCACGCACCCTCTCCGTTCCCCCCTTCGCTTCCTCGCGCAGTCCTACCTCAATCCGAACGGACTCAAATACCACGTCGAAAAAGGCACGTGCGAGATCGCGCCAAAGGGCGGCTGGATCGATCGCGACCTGCACGTCGCACCCGCTAGCACCTCGGCATAAAAACAACGAACACTCGCTGCTCGTGCACCGTATACCCGCCTCCCTCTCACTCCCCTCATCCTACCTTCCACCTCCCCCCGCCCGAAAGAAAACAGACTCGCGTTTCGGACGGACCGGCTCCGTCCCGTGCGCGCCGCCTCTCTGCTCTCGAGCCCTGCATTCACGAATTTCCCGTCTCCCCTCTTTGCCATCCCCGTGTGCTTACTATCATTATGGCGTGTATGTTATTGGTGTAGTTGTAGTATGATGTACGATGTACGTCTCCCCCCGTGCCCCGTGGTGATCTTGTCTGCGCGGCATGGCATCTCGCGCACCCGAGCGGAAGCGAAACAAAAATCCAGCAGGAATAGATGATAAAAATAAATAGACGATGGACGGCCATCGATGCGCTCGTGGGGGAAGGAAGGGGGGAGGGGGAGAATCAGGGAACGCAGTTCACCGCGACGTCGTTCAGAACGTCCGGAGGCACTTAATCCTGCAACTCGATGGCGAACCGAGCCACGCGCCTCCAAAAGTCTGCCTAGTCCGCGCGGGCCGAGTCTGCTGTCGGCCGGGGAACTCGGGACTGTAGGCTGCCTCTTCATGGACACTCGCTTGCTCCACGCCGTCTCGGGTGGTCCGAGCCAGAACGTGTGAATGGTAGGTAAGATGCCGGAACATAACATCTCATTACTTCTCGTATGAGGGCATCGCCTTCATTGCCTGTGATTGATCTTGGTTATGTCTGCAAGAATGGTAGTTTCCCGTGCTCCGCGACTTTGGAGGCGGATTCTCAAACAAGTCGTCGATGATGTATCGGAGGAATAGCACATAGGGTCGATGATGTATCGGAGGAATAGCACATAGGGCATAATCCATAAGAAGCCTTTGAGGTCGTGGCGACATTGACGCTGGATGCTTGTCCAATAATCTGTGTTGAGCAAGTCCATAGTCATGTACGTAGGGCACGGCCTCGGAGCGAGAGCTCCCGTCATGACGTGACTGCCCGAACATTGTCGCTAGCTCCCAGTCGATCAAGAACCCGCGCTCGTCTTCATCGGCCATGAGATTCGACAGCCTGGGCTTGACATCCTGGATGTCCAGCTCTCAAAGAGCATAGTGGCCTGAGCCCTTCTGTGTCAATAGTCGATGACACTATAGCAAACCGGAGGAAGACGCACCGCGAACGCAATCAAACCGCACTTTCAAGAATGCGATGATAGGTCATGCCCAGTGAGAATCCCCCCACGGCTGATAGGACGAGGTAGGACGACATCGGAGCTTCCTATCTCGTCCTACCTCGTCCTCTGGTGTCATCAAACCTGGACTTACGCCATCAATCTATCTGAGGCTATATCGTGTCATCCGAAATTTCGGATGCTTCTATATCCTCTCATCGGACCCTGTAGGAACTTCAGATATCTCAGTGTTTTAATGAAATCAGAATAAACATTTTTATTTTTATTTGTTCTACTACCAAAAGATGCAAGAAAAAAAAACATTGCGGCGTGGGGCGATCACACGAACAACTACACGACACACAAACATTACTCTCACGAGGAACTAGGCCTGCTGCCCGGCATGCCTGCAATTCCATCATCGTGCTCCAAGGAGATGATGGCAAGTACATCCCGCTTGCGCTGTTGCTTGAGCTGTGCAACCTTCAACCTATAGAGCTGCAAATACAAACATCAGATGGTGTGGATTGTATGAGCAAGCTGGGCACTCACCTGTTTCGTGCTCTTGTCCATGGCCAGCCAGATCTTTGTAAACTCTGCAAGGGTTGTTGGCCCATGCTCCTCCACATACTCTTTCATAAAGAGCAAGGTGTGGAATATGTTAGTATGAGATGGAGAAAAGTAAAAAAATACATACCGATTGATCTGAGGCACTGCCGGAGGTGTGCACATCTTTGGCTTCTGTTTGCTAGTCCTCTTTGTGCATGTGGGTTTAGGTCTTTTGGCAGTATCGGTAGCATTGGTGACTTGAGCTGCCAGTGTGGTGATGGAGAGGGAAGGGGGGGATGGGCCGTTGAGTGTCAACACGCACAAGAAAACAATGGTGAGTGTCAATTCATCTGTCAACAGAGTGATTTTTCTGCTGTAAGAAAAAATGAGATTGATAGAAAAAGAGTGAAAAAATATCAAATTACTTACAGCAGGTCTATGATCTTGTGAGGCATGGTAGAAACAATACCAATGAGATAGGTTTGAATCAAAGAGAGATAATACTCACCACTATGGCCAGAAATGACTCTACTGTATCTAAACAGAATGTAGGAAAGTCCCCTTCCTATTCCTTGCCTTTTAATGGCCCCATGCATAAAGTTGAAAGCACTGCTTTGGCTAGGTCCAATACTTCCATGATCCCAATGTTAGTAGGCATGCACAGGGCTACATGTGCTGCCCCCAGGGCTGATACAACTACATCTTGCCAGTACAAAGGTATCATCAGTAATGAAAATAGGTTCAGCTCAAGCACATACCCTTACATATGTCCATATCTATATTCTTGTAGTCTTTGCAGTGACCTGAGCTGCTTGATGTCATGGCACATCTGTGTCTTTCTTGTTGCAGTACTTGTGACCATCCACTCCACTTGAATGTGATGGCAGATCACCATACATATCTTTAAGATTGTCAACTGGCTTGGCAGGGGTTCTGGCTAGGGCTTTTCAAAGGGGGGAAGTGGGCATAGAAATGGATAACAGACTATATGCACCTGTGAGTTCTCTTTCTCGTTTCCATTTTCTCATTGAGTTTCCAATCATCCTCATTTTGTAGCAAGTATCAGTGCACCAAGGCATTATTTAGAAGGCCACATGCCTTCTATTGTGCCTTCCTCAAGCTTGACAAGCTCATGCTTCCTTCCATGAGTCTCATACTATTTTGAATAGTTATTAGTCATGATGTGTTCAATTTTCCAATTATCTTGACAGAGCCGCTAGTGATGCCTTTGAGTACAAAACACACCCAAGAAACACCCCTACAAGCGCAGGTAGGCAGGAGCTGGTTCTAGTGTGCAAGGAACTATAAGATGTGGAACAACTAACAAGGGAGCTTACTAAAAGTGTTTGGAGTGTAGCAAACAAATAACTCCAAAATTGAAATATTCGGTTGGTCAGTTGGTCAGGCAGTTAGGCAATTGGTTAGTTGGTTGGTAGGTTGGTTGGTTGGTTGGTTAGTTGGTTGGTTAGTTGGTTGGTTAGTTGGTTGGTTAGTTGGTTGGTTAGTTGGTTGGTTAGTTAGTTGGTTAGTTGGTTGGTTAGTTGGTTGGTTAGTAAGTTGGTTAGTAGGTTGGTTGGTTGGTTGGTAGGTTGGTTGATTGGTAGGTTGGTCGGTTAGTGTTTGATCGGGATTTGATCAGGATGCAAAGGGGGGAATGGGTATGAGGCTACACTGAACACTGGCAGAGGATGACAAACTAGATGAGAGGGAGAGAGCAAGATGACAAGGGCTCTGATGGAGGGCTGTGATCAAATGCAACAACATAAACAAAGGGAAAAACTGCAAACGAGGGTCAGAATGCAATAGCTCAAAGTCTTATAGACACAAGCGCATAAATGGAATCGGAACAAGGGGGGAGCCAAAGCTGATGTATTGCAAGGCCATAGGTGCTCTTTTATAGTAAGCCCGAACAGGTACAAGATAAGGAGATTGGCAGAGGCATAGAGCAATTGGAAATGCATGCCAAGAGTGATCAAAGGTAAAAAAGATAAGGGGGTAATATTGCAAATACTATAAGATAAGAAGCAATAACTTTAAAGTCTAGATAAGTGGAGAGATTGCCAAGGTGAGTCCACATGGACCTGGAAATAAGAACCACATGCCACATGGATAAACCATTTAGAAACTTAGGAGCTCTGAGAATAACAAAGGATAGGTCAACAGAAGTCATAAGGACGATAAAAGATAGAAAGAGAGATCTGTTCTGAGTTAACAAAGTGTTTGGCTGCCTCCGATTTGGGACACTGAAGCCAACCAAATGTGCTGACCATGTGAAGTGTACTGAACCGATCGGTGTCATGACGCAAACAAGTTTGTGCCTTGGCAGGGTAATTTCCAAGAATGTTCCATAGAAAAAAATAACTATGCAAGTCTAGGCCAATGCAAGGAACGTTGGAAAGGAACGGGAAATTGAGGAACAAGGTGATTCAAGAACCGCTGGTAATCACATCTACGCATCACTCCCTCACATCATGTCCAACAACACCTCTACACGCTCATCACTCTGGGGCACATTCCCTCAATCATTGTTCCATCTTCATCACCACACAGAGCTGCGACAGCCACCACCGGACTTCCATCCACTAATTGTCCCATCGGGTCCATGACCTGACTTGCTTAACGTATCCTCTATCTTCCCACCACCTCGTTCTTTTATAACCATCCCTTACGAACCCACATACTGCATCGATGTCACCTCCCATACTCTTCTAGCTCCATCACCTTTGAATGAGCCACCCATGATGTCAATCCCTCCCGCCGAAGATGGAATTTGACTGCCACCTGTTTCAGCTGGAGGAGTATCAATGGAGGTCTGTGTCCTTCCTAGGAAAGAGGGGATTTGGTTGGAAGATGGGGTTTCAGTGGATGTGATTGAAAGAAAGCCAGATGGCGACTACGAGTTTACGACTATCATTCTTTCCGAAATGGTCTGGCGAGATGATCATATTGCCGTCTTTGGTGGAGCGGGCAATGAGCAGCAGTTCATAGTGGTGACATCTACTTTCCGTGTCAACTCTCCTATGTATCACATGTTCGGTGAGTACATTCGAGCTCTCTTCAGCTCTGACCACAAACATGTTCCCGCATCTGATGGCAATGTCTTGGAGATTGCGAGGCGAGCATTAGCAGGAATGGGAAGTATGATCTTTCATCGATTTGCTAGGCCATGAACACTTTACCCATTCATGATTCATTAAGTTCTTACTCCTTTAATCTAGTGTTTCTTGTTTATTTCTTTCCCTGAAAATTCATACAGTCTTTATATTTCAAGTATCACACTCTCACTTGGCTCCAGTTTCATGCTTAGGATGTGGATGGACATTTTGATCTATGTTTGTGAATATATGCAGCTGTCTTTCATTAAACCTTGACTTATCTGGGACTTAAAGTATCTGTATTTATTAACAAAGCTGCCTTGGTGCTATTTTAACAGACCAGATGAAGCCTAGAAGGGACTAGAGTAGAGCCAAACTGATCCAGACTCTCATAGAATTGCATGGACCTTATGTGCTTTCTAATGCACTGAGAGGCTTTGTAATGGCTTAGTGAGCGGATGAGGAATCCAGAGGCTAGAGAACCTAGAGCTGCTCAGGTGACTAATAGAGAATCTGGAATAATTCCAGGCCATGCTCTAGAGGAATCTAGGAAAGCCTACTCTGTTCTAGTTTAGACCAGACACTTCATTCTAGAATCTTTAGCACCTAGATACATCTGTAAATACCCAAATCTAGGTCTCATGCACAGCCTCTCCAGAAACACATAAAAGAGGAGTGCATGTGCCCTGAAATGTATGCAGTTTGTTTCCCCTCTTGTTGAAGTTGCTCTTGCCCTGTAAAGTGATCTTTACTTTGTAAGGCAGTCTTCACTAATCACTGAAGTCTTTGAAGTCAGCACCAAGTATCTTTTGATAAGTCTAAAGCTGTGTTAGTCCAAACGGGATGCTGAGTCAGTTCTAAGTCTGATCTGGTCAGAAAACATCTGAACCTGCATCAGTAAAGAAGCTCTGAAAACACCAAGTTCAACACCTATTAGTCTAATATCCTGGTCTCGCCTCTTCATCACACTCATCCTCTGGATTCTTTCAAACGGAAAGGGTCTGAATTCAGGAAAGTATTTCTCATGCTGCTCTACCAATCCTAATGCATAGCACCTTGATAGGAACAACACACTTCACAGCACACTAGTAACCACTCCTTTAGGATCCATACACCTCCTAACCTAGGCACATAGCTTTGCATAGTAAGATAAACTAGTACCACTACATAAACAAGAGAAATTACCCTCAACAATGAACAACTAGGCTGCTCCGGGAAAGAAGGAAAACCTGAGTCAGTCTAGGCGACGATTCTTTGGAATTGGTTGGCGTGTCAATTAGACTATTTCCTGCCCTCCGACTTCAAACCGTCTCACCGCACGACATTGGCAATTGGCTGTGACAGTCTGTGAAGAACCCCTACTGCTGAGAGTGATGATAGATGGATAAGATGACTGTGAACAGCTCCAAACAACTGTGCGGAGGTCTAAATGCAAGTCAGCACCTGAAAAATGGCTCAGATTGCCAAACAGATTGGGATTGGTCAGTCCTAAGTATGCCAAATAGTCAAAGAATACTGAAAAGCTGCAAAAAATAGGGTATTGGTGCTTAGAGAACACCCATGCTCATCATTGAAGCTCAGGATATTTGCTATGGAGTCTTTTAACAAAAAGGTTGTGCACCCTGACCAAGGCATTGCCTTACTTGATGGGAGCAATCCTGTCCTGCATGAGTTGTTCCCAAACCATGCAACAATCCCAATAGATGCTATCAACCCATGCCTTATTAATTACCTGACCATTGGCATGCACAACATAGTTTTGTTTTTTTCCTCCTCTTTCTCATCCTTCATAGTAAACTCATCCTATTTCCTATACCCATTGCATGTCCAGTAGGCTTTGACTGTGGCATTGTCAATTGATGATACTAATTTGGGCTAATAATGGCTAATTATTCATAATTATGTTTTTGATCAAATTTGCAAATTAAGGTAGCATTGTCTATACTAGTAGAGTCTTATTGAATATTGTACTTAATCATAATTTTATATATCTTAAATCCAAATTGTGTAAGTGCCATAATTTATTTTTACCCTAAATAAAGTATATTATTTATTTTCTATTGGTTTATTATCTTCTTAGTGGTGTTTAAACTAAATCCTGAAAGACCTGACTTTTTGAGTATTTATTGACTTGTTTATTTATAAGACAGAGAAAAGATAAATACTAAATAAAATCAGAGATGTTGAGATTGCCTATATTATATCTACTTATTTATATTATCAAGTTAATACATTAAATCTTATGGCTTGGTGGCTTAGAACATCTGGCCCAGATGCTTGTACATATGAGGTTGTTAGTTCAACTCTGGCAAAAGGCAAGTTTGTTATAAGGTATATTTTGTGTTTAGGTATTTAACTAGTGTTCTAATAAACATGACTCTATAAGAAGGCTATGAGAACTGTAATGCTTGATTTATTGCTATTTTTCCGAAATTTCAAGCTATAATCTATCCTAATAATTCTTAATTTAGGAAAATTATGTCTAATTAGAACAGGTTTAGGAAGAGGGTAAGCTAAAAATGTCTAATCCTAATCTTTCACAATTTAGTATAGCAGAGCATCAATTATGGCTAATTAGAGCTCAATAAAAGGGGGTGGTTTTCCAGATGAAACAATATGGATAGTGCTAGAAATTGTAATATCAATAGTAATGACAAGTCATCTAAGAAATCACTCTCTTGTATTATGCTCTAATTATTTCTATTGATGCATAATTAAAAATGATTAGAGATTATTCACTTACCCCCCTAAACCTGTTCTAATTAGACATAATTTTCCTAAATTAGGAATTATTAGGATGGATTATAACTTGAAATTTCGGAAAAATAGCAATAAATCAAGCATTACAGTTCTCATAGCCTTCTTATAGAGTCATGTTTATTAGAACACTAGTTAAATACCTAAACACAAAATATACCTTATAACAAACTTGCCTTTTGCCAGAGTTGAACTAACAACCTCATATGTACAAGCACCTGGGCCAGATGTTCTAAGCCACCAAGCCATAAGATTTAATGTATTAACTTGATAATATAAATAAGTAGATATAATATAGGCAATCTCAACATCTCTGATTTTATTTAGTATTTATCTTTTCTCTGTCTTATAAATAAACAAGTCAATAAATACTCAAAAAGTCAGGTCTTTCAGGATTTAGTTTAAACACCACTAAGAAGATAATAAACCAATAGAAAATAAATAATATACTTTATTTAGGGTAAAAATAAATTATGGCACTTACACAATTTGGATTTAAGATATATAAAATTATGATTAAGTACAATATTCAATAAGACTCTACTAGTATAGACAATGCTACCTTAATTTGCAAATTTGATCAAAAACATAATTATGAATAATTAGCCATCATTAGCTCAAATTAGTATTATTAATGATTATCAATAATTAAGATCTATTAAGAGAGAGGGGTTTTCCAAATGGCCACTAGTGAGGTAGAGGGTGGGGACAAGGGTATATATATAGCATACCTATTGTCAAAATAAGCACAAGATTGTTAGAGATGATCTTAATATGCTTAGTGCACATATTTCCTATATGGCAGGCAAATATATTATTCTGGCACTACATACCAACATGACTGTTTTTCCATAGCCCAATAGCTAGAGAAAAACACCAAGTTTGAGCATCTTCTGTATAACAAGGCAGTGGACAGTATGGATGGCACTGAGAATTGAAATATCAATAGTAGTGATGATTATGTGCTGTACAAGACAGTACTAACCACTGCACTAATAGACAAGGTCTGCAAGGCTGCATGTAGCACATCCTTAAGCCCAACTTGCATATTGTGTTCTGTAATGACTAGTAATAGGCATTGGCTAACAATGACAACTTCAATGATCTTGTGTGCAAGGCCAAGGTACTAAGGTCTTCATAGTCTCTTATGGCAGCTGCTAAGCTGCCAACAAAGTGGCTGGGGCATCAATGCATATTTCTCTTTTTTTATGTCCTTTGTAAAGGCAGCTAGAATGTGCCACATCTTTACCTTTTCACTGATAGAGCAGTGGTACTTATTATTTCCAAATGCTAATTAAAGACTTCTTGGTATAGGATTAGTGCTAATATTATAAAATTAGAAACCAATCCAATACTCATAATATATTGCTCCCAATTAGGAAATTAGACACTTTTAGATACTATTAATACTTTTAGATACTTTTAGACACTATTAAATATAATCCAAAGCTAATATAAGGGGGTGGTTTTCCAGATGGCAGCATGTGAAGCACTTTGAAGTGGTCTGTTATGGGTGTCCCATCAGAGTACTAGATTGATGCTAGTCTCATATGTATATCTTGGACAACGATGGGATTATGGAGCTCAAACTGGTTGCAAAGGGATTGCCAGGCACTAGTGGCACTAGAGATGTTAAGCCCAGAGCCTGGTATGTCTACAACATTTAGAATAGTGTGTGTGCATGTGAAAGTGTCCTGCTCACACCATTACCCAAACATTGCTGCATAGGCTATCACTGCAGAGGGTGTTGCTAGCAGGGATATAGGGAAGAACACAGAGAGGGGTGGTATTGCTGATGGAGGAATGTATAGTGCTGTCTGAGTGGGCTGTAGGGCTAGTCCCGGTGTGATGGTTGCAGGTGTCTCTGGTGGCGCTTTGGCAGCTATGGTGGTAGCTGCAGTAGGAGATGTCACTGCCATTGGTAGCAGTATAGAGGGTTGGTGACATTGCTTGTTCTGGAGATGAAAGGATGGTGCTGAGCAGGTACGGTTCAAGGCCTTGAACTTGACACATAGTATAAATTCTAGGCATCCAGTTTGCCCAATTAGCTATGGTTAGCCTTTTGCTTTCCAAAAGGATGTACACTCCTAGGGATGAGGATAGTACTATTGACATGATGGGTTCAGTAGTATATATTAAAATTTTCTAGGGGCATGAGCTAGTGTTGGCTTAGTATTTTTGAGTAAGAACAATAAGTCTTAGTATTCTGGTTAATCTGTCTTGCTTTAGATAGCACACCCAAGGCCCATAACCTGATAGAAGAGGTAATCTATGAAACAGTCCGACCAAAGCAAGAAGAACTCAGTCATCACTCAAGGATAAAGAAAAATGACTGAATTGGGCTGTATCTGCGAGACAGTAAGACCAAATCAAGGAGAACTATGAGTGGCTTTTAGTACAGGTGAAGTAGAGTAAGGTAGAGGAAACTCACCTCAGTCATTACTCAAGAATGAGGAAAAACAACTGGGGGGGCGAGCACTGACATTATGAGCATAAGGTTAGCCCATGGGTACAAAAACCAAAATAAGGAAATTAGTTACAATATAGGTAGGATAGAATACTAGATAAGAACTTTGAGGGTAGAGGAGAGCTTATACTTTAACAAAGTTATGTAGAGCTAGGAGGAAAATCTCAGCCTAGGTCATGCTCCAGAGTACTAAGAATTAGCTCTTGCTTAATAAGGAGTCAAATGCCCCTTTAAAAAAGCTATAAGAAAGAGTATGGCAGCAAGCTAGATTTCATATAAGATAGGGGCAAGAAGAGTCTATTCTAGTATTATGAACTACTCATTAAGTGACCTTAAGAGTAGGATGTTCTTTCCTAGGTCACATAATAAGAAAGAGTAGAATAATGACCTTGACTATATAAATATATAAAAGGGGATAATATCTAGAGTATGTAGTAGGGAAGACTGCAGTATGTGGTGTATAATAGGAAGACTACACTAAACAAAGAAAATAGACTGAAAATTGTTAGCCTATTCTATGGGCCTTTTATACTACTTCAAGAAATAGTAAAAATGCCACTAGTTTCTCTAGACATTCTCTAGATTATTGCTCTTTTTTAGCAACTACTCTTGGGCTTCTTTTATTGTCTTTTTTTAACCTAAAATTACAATAGGGCAGGTTCTTCTATTAAAGTAATGATAAGGAGCCCTTGATAGTCATCTCCATATTATCTCTTATAATGCTTAACTAGTGATAAAAATATCTGCTAAGAGTTGATGACTTAAGGATTATACCCTAGACTTTAATGTCTTGTGCCATGGTTGGCACCATCTAGTATTTTTAATGATCAGTTACCAGTATAACTAGGCCATAGAGGCTCTAGCAGACCACAATCATAATAGTATGCCTACTATATGGGCAGCCATCTTGAATAGCAGGTTGTGTAGAGGGACCTAAGATACTAACACTTGTTTTAGGACTTAGTACACAGCCTACTATCCAAGATGGCTAGTTGCATAGAGAAGTGTCAAGTGTAAGTTTACTTACTGTGCAGTTAGCCTTCTTGGACTATGGGTTGTGCAGATGGACCTTAGATACTAACACTTATCCTAGGATTCAGTGTATAGGCAGTCTTCCAAGATGGCCAGTCACACAAAGGGATATTAAGTATAAACTAACTGGCATGACCACTGCATAGGTGACTATCCAAGATGGCAGGTTATATAGAAGGACCTCAATACTAACACTTATACTAGGACTTAGTGTTACGAACTGCTCGTTCGGTAACCCCAAGAGTAGGAGGTTCTTCCCTAGGTCACTCGTGGAGGATGTGTGGAACGATGGTCTCGACTGTACGTGTAGCACAGGAGCCAGAGATGTATTGCAATGTAGCAATGAAGGCTGTAGTGTGGAGACTACAGTGGACGAAGGGTACTGTAGGAAGACAGTACCAGAACAAAGAGAATAGACTAAAGAACCTCAGCCTACTCTATGGGCCTTTTATACTACTTTAGGAAATAGGGCATGAGAATACCGTATATGTATCCATAGGTATTCTCTAAGTCGTCTCTCTCAATAACGACTACTCTTGTGCTTCTCCGTTCGTCTCCTTCTGGCCAGGAAAGACTAGGAGCTCAATGCCCAGTGTGTGAGTAGTTTGTAAGGCGGCATTCTATGCCCATCGCAATATGGCTCGTGATACTCAACCAACAATAAGGTGATCCGTTGGGAGTGGATGACCAAGGTTACTATCTGTACCTTGTTGTATGCCTCACCTTGTGAGGCCGCTTGATATTTGTGATGATCGTGTCGGTATAGACCGCCGTTAAGGCCCGACAGAGCGTAATCATAACACTTAGTGCATAGGTGGCCATCCAAGATAGCCAGTTGCATAGAGAAATGTTAGATGCTAACACTCATATTGGGACTCAGTATGCAGTTTGTTATCCAAGATAGCTAGACACATAGGGGTATCAAGTGTAAACTAATCAGTATGCCTAGTACACAGGTGGCCATCTTAGATGATAAATTGCACAGAGGGTCCTTAGATACTAACACTTAGACTAGGACTCAGTATGCAGCCCACCATCTAAGATAGCCAGTTGTACAGAGGGGCGTCAAGTGTAAGTATGCCTACTATGCAGTTGGCTGTCTTGGATGGCAGGTTCTGTAGAGGGACCTCAGATACTAATACTAGGAGTTAGTATATAGCCTGCCATCCAAGATAGTAAGTTGCACAGAGAAACATCAAGTGCATACTGACTAGTATGCCTAGTGTGCAGTCCACTGTCCAAGATGGCAGATTAAGGGGTTAGGGTTCTGCTAGCCAAAAAGTATACCTAGGTTTATGGAAAAGGCCTCATAACCTAACCTAACCTTCTTTACCTCTTAAATATGGCCTCTTTAGCCCTGCCATACCCCTGTCCTACCCTAAACCTTCTAGCTTTTCAGGTTAGAATATCATTTATTACCTACTTCACATGTTCTTTGTCACTCGACGGTCACCAACTGTCACGTTAAAAGTAACCCCACGTAATGTAGTCGTGCTTGCATGTGGTCCGTCCCAGACAGCTCGTCAGATGTTGACAACGCACAATTGGAAGCTGCGATGGCAAAGCATGAATAGCCAGTAAACGCACGTTCCATCTACTGAGTGCATTCTCCCGATCCTTGATGTCGTCGATCGTGGAGATCCATATCTTGCGCCCCTGCCTGTGAAGTCCGTGGCAGCAGTCAATCATGAATGAGCAGCGATGAGCGAGTGATGCTTCTGGGGATGTTCGAAGGTGAGCTGCTCGTGAAGACGGCGGTGGTGAAGATCGACATCGAGTCAACACCGGGTAACATGTCTATTGCTGAACATGGATATGCACATGCAATCGCACCTTGAATGCATCCGACGAGAACGCGGGTTCCTTTCCGCGACCACATCACGTACTCACTCTCACCCGGAGGTCGCACGGTGTGACGCGCCGTTGCTCGCGCTTCGAAGGCTGGATTGTCGAGATTCGAGGCTCGAAGACGTATAAAGGGAGAAGCGAACGGAGCCGTGAGACGCGCGGGATTCGTAGGCCCGTTCTCGTTCGCAGACCCGGTTCCCCGTTTCGCTGTGGAGCGAGGGCGACAGGGCGGCTGGAAGGAAGAGGCCGGGGGCAGTGAGAAGGCCGGCGCGTGCGTCGAAAGGCGTGTCGTGGTCTAGGCGGCGACGTAAGTGACGAACGGCGAGATTGAGCGACGGACGACGAGGTTGGAAGGCTGCGGTCGTTTCGCGAGGAACCTCATGGGGCGGGGCAAAGGAGATGCGCGACGGACGATGGAAGGTAATGCAGCGGGCCGTCGATCGATTGTTGTGTGCGCTGGATAGCCCGTCGAAGATGTGGAAGCCGTAGGACGTGGCCTCGGCCAAGGACTGCTGCATTTATAGGCGAGTCGACGGTGCGCGCTAGATTGCGATAAGGATGAGCGGACGCACGCGGGAAGAGTCAGAGATGGCGTCAGCGACAAGGAAGAGTGTGATTGTACATGACAAGATGACCGCGAGACGGGTAGAGTGCTTACGGAACAGGGTTGAATTCTCGAACGACAGCCTCTTTGGAGGTGTGAGGATCGTCGCTCTCGCGAGCCGCCAGTGGTAAGTATTTCAGGGCGCGGGGAAATTTGCAGTGCCGATCCAAAGCGCCGATTAGGTTTGGGTGCCTGCTTACTGCGCAGGATAAGAACAGGGTTCTTTGGAGCGGCAGAGCAGGGGCGGAGGATCGCGGGGGAAGATGGGGGATGAAGAGGTCGGAGGAGCCAAGAGCGAGAGGGAAGGCGGAGAGGAGCAGCCGAGAGCCCGCATAGCTTGGCCGTGGATGGTCTTGGATGCGCCGAGCACGAAAGTAGAGAGCGAGGGAAGGGAGCGGAGATTGCCAGAGAGGTGGGAAGGAAGATGGGACAGATGGAGGGCGCCAGAGGGTGGGAGTGGGAGTGGGAGTGGGAGTGGGAGGCGGGCCTCGTGGTGATAGGAAGGGAGAGGGTTGGGAGGGTGCGTGATGCGTTGGGCCGGATTGGGAGAGTCGAAAGCCAGAATGGAAGGATGGAGTGCACCGCAGTGTTAGATATCGCAGATCCCGTGGTGGCTGGCCACGGAACGCGCTCTGGCTCCAGGCAGGGACGCGAAGAAGAGCGGCGGGGGCGGAGTCGGCAAGGGCGCAGGTGTGACGAGAGGAGCGATGCTGGATCGGGGACGCAAGAAAGGGAAAGAGCGGGCGAGAGGAGACAGCGGGGTGGAGCAGGAGGAGCGTGGCTGATGGGGGCCCGAACGCGGACGACGGCGGAGGGGCTGACACAGTACTTGCGATGAGCGGCGAGAGGCTGAGGCAATGGCGCGAGGGGCGGCGGGCCTAGGCTCGGGAGAGGCCCAGGGCGGTGCTGGTGCAATCTCGATCAGGAATAGCCGCGGGCGGGCGGCGAGAGTGCGCGGGGTCCGCGTTGACCCCTGCTCGTTGTCGAGGAGGGCCTGCAGGCGTCTGCACGCTCGGACGGCGCGACGCGACGGACAAGAGGGCGGGGGCGGGGGCGGGGGCGGGGGCGGGGGACGAAAGAGTGAGGAGGAGCGCGCGAGGAGAGGGGGCGCAAGGGCAAGTGAAGGGGAGCGGAGATCTGAGAAGAAGCGGGCACAAACGCGGTTCTTCGTTGCGCGTCCGGCCAGCAGTTCAAATGCCTGCGCCTCTTCCTGCTCCGCCCTCTCCCCTCCCTCCCCTCCATCCTCCTCTCCATGGCCTCTGTCCCATCCGACAACCCTGCCGCCGTCACCGTTCACGGTCTCTCCTATCCCCCCGCATTCCTCTCCTCGCTCCCCGTCCTCCTCCCTCGACCCTCTCCCCACACTCCCATCCGCGCCCTCTCTGCATCCCAATTCGCCGATCTCCATCTCCGCGCCCTCCTTTCTCATGCCCCCGACGCTGCTCTCTTCCCCTTCCTCCACGGCCTCGAGGGCGACAACGAGGCCCAAAACCTCTTTTTCGCCTCTCCCCGCCATGCCCCTGGCTCCGTTCCCGTTCCCACATTCCGTGGTCTCGTTTGGGTCGCCGCTGACGACGATGACGACGACGACGACACAAATCCTGCTTCCTCTCGCATCGCTTCCGCGGTCGCTGCTGCCCGCCGAGGGCTGAACGACGAAGATGACGAGTTTGCGTCCGACGACGACGACGACGACGACGATGAGGACTTTGATGAAGACTTTAGTTCGTCCGACCTCGATGCGCCGGACCCCGCACGTCACGAAGAGAGCTTCCCGATGGACATGGACATGGACATGGACGTCGATCCTCCCCCCGTCCACATGCACCCGGTCCAGCACCGCGCGCAGCCCACGCCGATCTACACCAGCCCGCTCCCGCCCTTCGCACACGACCGCACCAGCAGCACAGGCAGCAGCTCCTCTAGCAGCGCCGCTTCCTCCCTCTCTGCCAGTGACTCCCCCTCCACTCCTGCCACCTCCGTCGCCGCATCCCCTCCCCCCTTCTCTCCTGCATCGTGCTCTCCGCTGCCCTCGCCTGTCGTGGCAGCCACCCACAAGTTCCCTGCGCACAGGACAGAGCCCGCGCTTCTTACCTCGTCCTTCCGCGCTCATGAGATCCTGCGCGATGGCCCTGGCCCCGAGCACCCCCACGAATTCATCCACCCGTGCGTTCCAGAAGGCATCTCCTTGAGGAACTTTGGTATCCAAGTCGTCAGTCTTCTCTTTGCCATTTTTTCCCTTGTTTCATCACTTTTCCGATTATCGCCTTTGTCTGTTTTTTCTACGGCTGAGGATCTCGGTCCTGGCCTGTGCGCCGCTATATGCGCCACTGTGTCTATGCCTGCCGTTATGGGGCGCATATAGACACCTGTACTTGACACAGAATTCGTGTCTCTCTCTCGCATCTTCTACCTCCGATCCTGTTCACCGTGGTTCCATATATGCGTGCAGGCATGCACGCGTCTTATTTTCTTCCCCGTTGCGTCTTCTCTGCATAGCGCATCGGCCCCGTCTTGCTCCCCATCCGCTGTTTGTCCCCGCGTTTCCCACAGCTCTTATCGGAGCTTTGCTTCCGCTAGTCACGTTTGCCACTCCGTTCGCCAGCAAGTCTGCTGACACCGCAGCGGCTGACATCCTTGACCGATGACGAAATAGAGTTACGGGGGATCGTGATCGCGCGCATATCATAGGGCCATACGTCCTGATGCATACGCCTCGTGTCTCGAGTGAGGGTCCAACTAGCCGTTTGGATTGGGATAAGGTGGCCTCTAGCAACCTCGTGCGCACGCGATCGTCTGCTTTCGAACGGAGAGTTTGAAGGCGTGGGCGCCGCCGATCGTATCCGCTCGAAACGTAGTTCGACTGCTATCTCCAAGTCCATTTCGATCATTGATCGTGATTGTAGTGGTATCTGCTGAGGGTCCACTTTGCCGCCCGTGCAGAGGCTGCTTCTTTTATCTTTTTTTTTTCCCCTCCTGTTCGGTACATTGGTTAATTATGTTTTCCGTTACTGACCTCCTGCACGCCTTTCTAGCCTATCTACGCGACTCTCTCTGATATCGTTGTCTACTCTCCTACTGGATCCTCCCGCGCCGCCTTTGCCCTCGCCGAGAAGCTCAAGTGCGCTGTCGAGGCCAAAGCCGTTGCTCGAGCTCGCGGAAATGCTCTCACTCGTGCACGTACCGCTTCCGCTTCCGCGTCTGTTTTTCCGTCTACATTCCCCTCCACGTCACCGGTATCCAAAGTCGAGACACCCACGGAACAGTTGGAGCTTGGGCCTGTCGCGTACAACGTGTTTGTGCTTCAGGCAACGCTGCCCGAAATGCGTGCGGCCTTGCCCCACCTACTGAGCCGTGTCACTGATGCGCCGTGCTCTTGCTCCATGTCTCGCCCTCATCCAGCACGCACCAGCGCCAAATTGAGTGCCCGCAAATCCAACCTCGACCCCCCACATGCGTCCGGCGTTGGTCACGGTCACATGCACGCTGACGCGCACACCGACGGCACTGATGCCCACGTAGCACGCGCGACAGAGTGTGGCTGCCGAGAGCACATGCTGCTCAAGGCGAACACCATCAACTTTGCGCAGCGCGAGCGGGATGAAATGAGAGATCTCACCAGAGCGAGCGAGATTGTCTCTGTCGACCCGTCTTCGAATCATGGTTCTCACTCTCCCATCGCTCGCAATACCCATGCGCACACCAACGGGGTTGCCAACGGACGCGCCGACGCCACTGCTCGCACACACCAAGACGATGGCCCGCGTCCGTGGATTGCCTCCCTTGGTCAAGTATTCCTTGGCAACGCGAGTGACGTCCCGCTCCCGCCCTCCGCCTCCCCCTCGTCATCGACAGACATGCTCGGTGTCCAGAACTCTGACCTCGCGGACTCGTTCGCGAACGCAGACAACGATCCCGAGCGCGGACGCGGATTTGACATTTGCATAGAGTGCCACGATCGCGCGCCTACCCCGACTCCAGAGCATCTGAGAGCTGCAGAGGCGCATCTGCGGGCGTTAGATGACCAATGGGTCGAGCGTTGCCGTAAGCAAAGGGGGCTAGGACTGGGAGTCAAGGTAGCGCACACCGGTGACGTCGCCATCGTGGACGGCGAACTGGTGACCCCGCCGCGCCCAGCGCCCAGTGCGCAGTCGGTTGTGCACCTCCCGTTTCCGAGCGCCCCTATCACCGCGGGTGCAGCGGTCACCGCTTTGGTACCGTTTGTTGAGTTCTTACAGCGCGTTATCTGCCCGTCAGTTGAAGAGCGGGATGCATTAGGACGCTCCGTAGGAGCGAATAAGGGGAAGAAGGGCAGGTTGACCAGGGGTGCGAAGGTGTTAATCTACAGCTCGGACGGGTATACGGAGTCGAGCGTGTTGGCCCTGTGTCTTTTAATGGCAGTCAAGGGGATCTCTTTGCCAGAGGCGTACTTGGAGTTACAGGTGCGCGTGTCTTCCTTTCCCATGATCCTCCCTTCCTTCCCTAACCAATCGTCGCCGGCAGGTGGCCAAAAAACGCAGTTTTTTTGTGTACCCGACTGACATCCACGTCCTCAAACGTGTCGAGCAGCGCCTCGTGGAGGACCACTTTGTTCCCGGTCACGGCCATGGCTACAGCTTTCCTCCTGTTCCTGGCGACGGTCACGTTGGCGCACGTCTGTTTGCGCATTCCGCCCACCGCCGGTCTTCTGCCTCCAGTCACGCGACCGGGACTGTGTCTGCTTCTGCGCCTACCTCCGTTCATACCCTGTCCGCGTCGTACGAGGAACAGCATACGAGGAGCGGTAGTGGCGGAGGACGGCCCCGCGCCAGCACGAGCCCCCTGCTGCCGTCGCTCGCTGCCGACCACCAGGTCTGGTTCGACGACCCGCGGTTCGACGGGAGCTTTCCAAGCCGCGTGCTCCCGTTCTTGTACCTCGGAAATCTGTGCGTGTATCTTGGCTTCTCTTCTGTTTCTATGCTGATTGTTCCTGGTATATAGGAACCATGCTTCGAATGCATATATGCTGCACGCTCTAGGTATTACGCATGTCGTCTCAGTCGGCGAGTGCGCGTTGGTGCCACCACCCGAGGCTGGGATGGGTGACAGTGGTTGTCCGAGTACGGGTGGAACGAGTGCTGCCCGACCAACATTCATCCCCGGGCATCACCAAACCCGTTTGCGCAGAGGGTCGCTGTGGACCGAGGAACGCGAGGGGCGCATAAAGGTGTTGGATATCAAGGGAGTATGTGACGACGGGATCGACACACTCGAGCCGCAACTGGGTCCAATTTGCGAATGGATTGACCGCGCGCGAAGCGAAGGCGGGAATGTGCTTGTGCATTGCCGGGTGGGCGTATCACGCAGTGCAACGGTTACCGTGCGTCTTTCTTCCCAAATACTCCTGGTTTTGGCGCTGACGAATCTGTGGCGGCGTTCAGATCGCATATGTGATGAAGTACCTTTCCCTTCCCCTCGTCGACGCCTATCTCATCGTGCGCTCACGACGGCTGTCGGTGTTGATCCAGCCGAACATGCGCCTGCTGTACAACCTGTGTGGGTGGGAGATCAAACTCGCCCGTGAACGAGCAGGCGATGACAGCGAGCGCCTCAAAGCTGAGCTTGCACCTTGTCTCAACTGGCCGTTCCTTGCACGGGAGGTCCATGCGCTCAACGAGAAGTACTTACATTGAACTGTCTCTGCGCTCGTGGTGTTTTTTTTTTTTTTGTATCCGCGACTATTCCTCTGGGGCTGCATACATCGTCATCCTTCCATCCAACTCAAACAATGACGCAAGAGCATCATCGGCGTACATTTTTAATCTGGCGAGTCGCCGTTCATTGCCGCCGCCTCTTCGAGCGCTTCGTGCTGTTCCATATCTTGTACCTTAGCTTGCATACACTATGCGCATGCCTTCCATCACTCCAACCCGCCCCATACATGCATCTTCATTTTCCTTCATTTTCATTTTCCCATCCTCCCTCACCTATCCCCCCATCCCTTTCCCATCGTCTTCCGTTCCAAACTCTACGTCCACCTCCCTCTTCCATCCCTCCCTCCTCACCTGCCATATGTTCCTTCTTCTGCACCCCAACCGCTCTCGCTGTCCATCGTTTGTTCCATTTGTGTGCACTATACATGTCCTGTCTCATACGCTGTTCCCGACTTCCCCGTGCCTCCCTGTGTGTATATTACGATCAGTCTTCTCTTGAACGGTTATGACATATGTGCCTTTGTTCTTCGTCCATCTCATCGGTTCTTCTCGTTCTCGTTCTTTCTCCTGCTTCGGACTGTGGAGGTATCATCACGAGGTTGTGCCCGGGGATCGGGGTACCCGTCATGTGCACGGGGACTCGACGTTGCCCAGGCTGAGGTGTCGTGAGACCCTACAATGGCGTCTCTGCTGACGTCCTTGATCTAGCTCATGCTACAGCTTTCTAGGCTGGAGTCCAAGAAGCGCCGCGGTGGGCTCCGGGGAACTTGCTAGCCAGCCCTTCGATTCGATAAGGTGCGATACTCCTTTTCTTGGCCCGACTTCCGATTCGCTGCGCGCACTCTAAGCTTCGAGTACGCAGAATACCCCGAGGTGACGTGACCCATGACTTTGCGGCCGAAAGCTCGAGACGATAAGGTGCGAGACTCTTCCTGGTTCTCATTTGCCACGCTAAATATGCAGCGCAGCTCGCCCAAGCTGTAGAGTCCGTGCTGATGTGAGCGAGACACGAGGTGCGCGGCGCCCTGCGCGGCGGCAGTGTGTGAGGTCCCGTCGGACATCCAGGGGGCAGAAGCTCGCTAGTCGGTCAGGTGCAGATCTGGAACGCTATTTCTGAAACGATACGATCCTCGTGGGACCTACGGGATGTGGCGCCTGTTTTCTAAATGTGGCAGATAACTCACGAACGACGGTGCTTGCTCCATGTTGATCGAGGAGGAAGACGGGTGCGTGTGGTGTTAATCTTGGATCGATGGGCCGATCGTGTAAGTAGGGGCTTGGTGCAAGGTCCAGTTACGTTGGCATCATGTTTGGTAAATGGGTGGGTGGGACTCTGTATGTGTACGTCCATCTTTCACGATCATCTACGAGAGCTGTGATTGTTGGTGCATGCCTTCTGCAGGACTCGGCTACTTGAGCGGTGTGTACTACTGTGTACACAGAATATCAGTGCCGCAGATCGCCGTAATCACACATGCAGCATGAAGTGACCGGTATGGAAGGCTGTCCTCTTCAAGAAACCTCGCGCTGTCTTCCGTGAAGAGCAGTTACTTTTGAGGGTACGTTATTTTTGTTCGTGGGATTAGTGACGGTCGGGTACCTTCTACCGACTTGTCGGGGATAGATATGAGCGGGCCACTTCGAGAGTTCTCCAAAGTCCGATCGCGTGATGGGGCTTGACGAACGGGTTTCGACTATTCATCCCTGACCACGGTCTATCCGTGGTGCATGCAGCCTTTGTAGCTATAGTTGCCGACGAGCATCGGATCTCGACTCGCCCTCCGCCGCGCTCTTGACAATCAGGAAGGTAAACTCGGAGGCGGCCAAAGATCCTTCTTTGCCTGAGCGCACCGTTACTTTCCTCGTTATTCTTGTGCTTCCCGAATCGACATTGGTTGGCCTCTACTCGATCTTCCTGTCTTCAACACCGCCGGCTCCTGTCAGATAGCCAACTTCGCGTGTTACCTCGATCTTTCAGCGCCCTCATCTTTTTCCAGAGATATCGCGACCCCCCATTGTGACCCCCCTTGCCGATAAGTATAGTCCCCGCTGGCCAATGCTCGTTTTATGCAGAGGATAAGTTCCATTCTCGCATCTCCGAAAGATGAATTTTGACGAGGTACGGGCTCCCTCTAAGACCCTGCCGATAATTAATTTCCTGACTACAATCTGCGAATCGCCAGTATCTCTACATAGACCTCTTGTCTGTCACGAGTTCGGTCCTCCGCCGGCATTGATCCACCGCTCTCAGCACATCGGCAGTGACTGTGAACGCCTACCTCATCGTTCGACCCTCCTTCATCGAGGCCTGCAGACCCCCCGCCGCCACCTGCATTGCTATATGAGGAAGAGCGAAGCGCGGGGCTAACGACGTCTGAAGCAACGCATTTCTTGGGTTGCCTATGTTATTCACCCTTTCCCATATGAATCTCGGCAAGGTCCATTCGTGCAAGATAATACTCATATTCATGTTTCTTACAGCGGAATCGATGATGTGGAAAGTGAAGGACTGTGCGCTGTTTCATGGCCTACACTAAATATGTAAGCATCGTAATCAAGGTGCAAATAACATTTTTTCCCGTATCCAAACCCGATGACTACTGATTAGTGAAAGTTACTAATCATCTCCTACCCAAACTAGAGCTTGTATTGCGGACATGCGACGGCAGGGAGAATAGCAGGGGCTACGGTGCGATAATGGTGAGATCAAGCCTTATGCGGTAATGGAATAAGAGGACTTACCCTGTTTTCCGCTGATGTCCTTTGCATGAGCAACAAGGATATCCCCTCTGGCCTTGTAGGTCTCATTGCGAAGATAATAGAAAGATTCTCCGTCGTCATGCTCAACATACTGGCAACACTGATCGTCGTGACCGAACAACGACCAGAATGCGTCACCGACCGCTCCCGAAGTTTTAACTTGGGAGAGGAATGTAGTGAGATCGTCGCCGCTCTGTCATCCAAAAGGTGAGTCTATTTTTGTTGAGAGTATCTCCAAGATGGGTGACAACTGACCTTGCCAACCCAATCGAACTCCCCAGCGAAATATCCACGACCCGCGCCATGGGCAAGCGCGATACCTGATTCCAGCTTCGTAATATTGGGCGGGTAAAAGTGATCGGAAAATACATCAACGACCTTCACGTCCACCTGCCCAGTGCCTTCATATATTCCATACGTTCCGTCAAAAAACAAATGATTCGGCGCAAGGCTCTTGATAAGCTGTCCAATCTCGCTCGTCCAAGTTGGTGGAGCAGGTCCGTCATTCCAGAGCACGGCCGAGAGCTCGTTCCCGGATTCCCATCCTAGGATGGTGGGGTCGTCTTTCAGCGCAATATTCGTGTAACGGTTGACGTGGCTCAGGTGGTGCGTGATGTAGCGCTTAAAGGAGTCGACGATGGAACTAGTGTTGAAAAAATAGGCTCCGACGTCTGGGGGCGTGATGTTATCCCCAACTCCTTCGAATGGATGACCTGCCCATTGGATGAATTGATACTTCCCACCGTGGTAGCTACACAGCCGTCCTTCAGCCAAAAAGATCAATCTCGAACGCTGGAGAATATACGAACTAATTATAGTTGTCGACTAAAGGAATCAGGATTTTCAAGCCGTAGACGCGCGCTGCTAGAATTGCGAAATCGATGGACTCGTATGCATTCTCGTTGAATACGTCAAGAGATGGTTCGACAGAGAGAGGATTTCCGAACGAGATTCCAAGGGTGTGACCACGAAGAGCAGTACCTTGCATGGCCGATATCACGCCCATGGCTTCTAAAACGCGTGTTTTCGAAGGATAGCTGGTACGAGATTGATGCTGACGTTTCGCTCTTGATTTTATCAACTCACCTTGGATCTGGGATTACATTCTCATCAAGCCCTAACCAATAGACGTTCGGGCCGACGACATGGAATGGGTCTCCGAGGAGAGTAAGCTGATTTCCTGACCTGTTTTACTGCGAATTACGTCTGATTTCGTGCGGGCGAAAAGGAGTGCCAGAGTCTCACCGTTTTACGAACGCGCTCCTCTTCGAGATGTCATACGAAGATGACCGGGTAGGATTAGGCCAAGTCCCGTCGATGGTCGTGTTCGCTGTACAAGTCGAAGCTGAAGGTCCGAGGCCAGGGACTTCGGGGAGCTGTGAAAGGATGCTCTCGATTTCCGCTTGAGGGATCCCAGTGCGTTCCCAGAGCTCCCGAGGCAAGGGCACGACTGCAGAGACACAAACAGCAAAACTAAAAATTGACAACCAAGCGGTGGTGCGCATACTTCGAAGATGTTGAAACGGCTCGTCTGTGTATTCTTCACCGTAGAGCAGTACCTTATATATGCCTCCGACGCTGGAAGGACTCTGTGCAACAATAAATCTGCGAGACGTGCCTCCGCTTGTGACTCTGCTCTCGTGATCAGCGGGAAAACCTCGGACGGCGCACGAGGCCCTCATTCCCCTCTTTTTGCAACGGACCTATTGCACACATACCCGTAATAGCGCAGACGTTCAAATGGGTCCCTGCACTGTCCTTTTGCTTCAATTCCAATATATAATCCGACGACATCGTGAGTACATAGACTCGCCTCGAACAGGACAGAGATGCTGCTTAGTCTCGACACACCGAATATCGGCTAAGATTCTGGCAATTGAGATCTTGAGAACGAAGAAATGTTTCGTGATTTTTGCCAGGTGTAGTCGCGACCACGACGACAACGGCCATGGTCTGCGAAGTTAGTTTGGACTGAACGCAAAGCGCGTCTGATCACGTGGGTGTATTCTTCCGCCAAGTGCTCCAACAACTCCCGGCAATTTCTCGGAGTTCCCCCGCCGACAAGATATTCTCGCCAGTATCATACTGGCGAGGACACTCTGTAACAGTTTCGTATTCTGCGGAGCTTCGAGCATGAAATTATCGAAGCGTTGGATTTGAGTCATATAAATGTGCCTGTATGAGAGGTAGATGACCTGTAAACACTAGTAACTGTAGGCATGTACTTATTCAAAACTTAGTCGGTCCTGATCATATAGCTAGGCTCACTTCTCCTTGCGACTGTGAGAGGGGCGGAAGGTAACCGTACATGTTAGTGAAAACGGTTTGAGCGGTCCAAATTTGACGTCTGTCCTGCCAAGCAAAATGTGTCTAGAGTAGGACAGCGTAAGACGTAGCTGTGCAACTCTTGGGGCCCTACGACCGTTGTACGACGACAGGCATGCACTGTCTTGAACATCGTCAGAACTTGTAACGATCTTGCCGTACTTGCCTTCTTTCCACCCTGTACCTATGATCGATGGATCGCCGAGACGTCAACAAAGTATTGCGGCGGCCACAGGGTGCACCTTCTGTAAGCTCCACCTAGGCTCTGATAGAATTATCAACAAAACCGTACAAGTCAATATCATATCAATAAATTTAATATTACAGATACATTGCGTGGTCTCGTGTCATGAAGCCTTCAGCGGATATCAGAAGCCAGCAAGCCACAGAATACGAGCATGTACTCACCCAAGAAGAGAGAATCACCAGAACCTCGACAATACCTACGTGGGTTGTCGGAGACGATGGAGAACGAAAGGGATGAGAGATGCTCCATACGGTATCGATCGACAATTCGTTCGGTCATACAGTCGAAACATGTTTTTGCGTCTCCGTGTAGACGATAACGCCGCTTGGGGGATTATTGCTGTCGGTGTTATGTGGTGACAAGATGATGTCCCTTCTGGCAGCAGCTCGAAGGGATTTGCGGCTGTTCAGCCTGTGGTTCCGGACGGTAAGCTAAGTGAATGAGATTACGGCGAGGAGTATTCGACGGTACTAACGATGTAAGCATGGCACTGAAAAATACTGGTTTGTATGCGAAGGGTCAGAGTGGATATATGAGTACACTGGAAGAACGCACAGGTCCCATACACCTCATATACACCAATGTAAACCATGTTCAAAGGCATGACCAGGTACTGTTGTCAAATTAGAACATTGCCTCGAAAGATTCATGAAGCAACTTACTACGATGAGCACAACTACAGCGAATGTGCTGAGCGAGGGCCCAGTGTTCAGGGCTCTGATAGCATAAGAAAGGTCTGCACTCGTACCTAGCCAATACACCTGTTGTTAAAGTATACGCTAACAGCGTCCTAATGATGCCTCCTTTTCTGTTCGTAGCGTGAACCTCGTATAGCACACATGATATATATAACCAGAGAGAAAAAACACGCACGAAGACTGGTAAGATTGTTTTCCGGCTGTATACAGCATTATGCAAAGGACGAGTGATACCAAGACATCCGCGAAAGCGCGTGTCGCGCTGTACGAGATGACGAGCCACTAATCGAAGTTCGTTGATGTTTAGTCGAAGGATACCCAGTGGTATGACGAACCTGTTCTTTGAGCGCATCTGAGAACAGAGGAAAGCGAAATCTGATTGAACGAAGACTGTGAGTGAGGAGTAATAGAATCACGAAGAAGACGAACGCTTTGATAATGTAGCCTGTATAGACGTAAGTAAGCAAAACTTGATCCCAGAATCCACGCTACTTACCGATACCAAACGCTGATCGAGGGATGCGTCTGAGCGAGAACAGAATTACATGAGGGTAAAGTTCGTACCAAAACTAATAAATATTGGTATGAGCTAGTGCAAATTTCATGAGTTCAAGCCGGTGAAAAGCAGAGGAGGATGCTCACGAGGATCCAGGATACATTCTTCTTTCCGCTAACTTTAGGCTCGGGTCAGAACGTCGCCGCCTTCCGTAGAAGATGTGCACGTACAAATCCATATCCGCATGACGAAGAAGCTATTGACGTAAGTGTGAGTGGTAATAAGTGGTCACGAGGAAATACAAACGGACCATTCGACCAATGTGATAGCGATCTCCTGTACGTTGACGAGGGACATTCGCTCGTTATAGAAAGTGTTTTGAGATGGTGCTATGGATACTCACGGAAGGGACGGTTCGCGCCTGAGCGTGAGCATGTCAGCGATAGACAATCAACGAGAAAGTAGCTGAACTTGCTATGAGACTCCTTTTGTCAGACAATTCGTGAGACATTTGTTTATGCAAGAGAAGCTTGGGAGACGCACCAGTTCGCACGTTGCAACAAAAGCAAATTTCCGTTGCCTTTCGAGACCAGATAGAACCAGAGACAGTGGATGGTGATGCACCGATGCAGGGTGTCCAACTGAATACGGCGTCTGTTGATCAAAGATGTGCGGTGGAGACGACGTGAGGCACTCACCATCCATATGACGGCAACCTTTGTGGTCGACGAAAGTGAGCTGTCAGATGCGACTCACTGGCCGCTAAAATGAGACCCACCAGCAGCTTTGTGGAGCGGCTATCCTGTGGGTAATTTATGAAGTACTTCAGAACTTGCGAACAGGTAATACCGTAGACACTGGACGAGTGCGAGGTCAAGTGAACTGTAGAAAACGAACAAGGCATGCAGGGCACTCACACAAAGGCAAGCAAAGCCCCATCGAAGAGAGCACCGAAGCTGGTGTCGATCGAGGTGGACATGGCGAGCAGCAAGAGGACGGGGATGAGACCAGAGAGCAAAAGCTGTTTCCAAATGCAGCAGCGAGTGGTTTTATATGAAGTCCAGCTGGAAACGGAGGGGTCTTGCCAACAAGAGCATGGAGGCCGCCTATACTAATATCAGGTACTATCGCCAATCGGCCGACTGAACCTGGATCTAAGCATTTTGTCCGATCACGAAGCCGATAGATTGACTCGTGGATTCAAGATCCCGTCCCACCATTTAGCAGTCCACGGAGAGCAACAGCCTACAGAACGGAAAGACATGAACATGGGCCCCTGGCCTTTAACATGTCTCGACCATCCTATTCCTATTCATTGAATACGCTGCAAGCTTCGTACGATTGAAAGCGATAACATCGTGCCCATGAAAATGGAAAGCGTGTGGGCGCAGGCGGTGCTTGGCATGGAGTTGAAATAAGGTTGTCCCGAGTCCCGCCCCGCAACTCCCGCTGGCCGGCCGCCCTCCTCACGTGCCCCGACTCACCTGAGCGGGGGACCACTTCGGTTGGTCCGACAACGTGTACCCTTTGACAAACCAACCTCTCCGATCTCCATCGACGTTTGGCCAGCCAGATCTTCATGAAACACTCACATAAACATCCCTCATTTGATAATATTTTGTCCGGTCCGAACCGGGTTTTTTTCGAGACAACGGCATTTTTGCGTTCTTGTTCTCTGTCTTTGATCGCTAAATAGCAGAATCGCGATCCGTCCGGCACTCGCTGGCTATTCGTTGGAATTCTCGATCGCCTTAGGCTTTTCTACACTTCAGAAGCCTCTCCGACAAGATCTAACCAAAGTAGCCTGCCATCAAAATGATGACAATGATGCTGCAGCCCGCAACTCGAGCTGGGCTCCTCATCATGTGGCCATGACAGCGGGTATCGGTACGACATGTTCAAGTGTGTGTCCTCAAGTTCATCTCGGCTTGACCCTCACGTTGTGATCGGACAAGCAGACCAAATGAATGCGCCGCTAGCCTTACAGCTAGGCTGAGGCTTATAAGGTGCTTTTGTTGACAATACGTGCATATAGTCTTCAAACGGTCTGCCCTCTGTTGCGAATTATGTCGTCGCTGTGATCGCATCGTAGTCAGACGCGCTCGACAACTGTTCGACATTGTCCGATGTCTCGATCCGATCTCCGGCAGCGTACGAGTACATTCTGCCATCCATCGCCGGAGATTCTCGATCCCCAGATCTCAGATTTTAATTAGGGGGTATTCATTCTGCAGCAATTCAAACAGTTTGTGAAGCAGCAATTCCGCCGATACTGGGCTCATCGTAGTCGTAGAATAGTATCTGATACACACGCACCAAGCGATGGATTGTTGATTGAGAGATGCTGAGTGCTTACTGAGTGCAAGCTCTACCCAGCAATATTAAAGATCAGTATGCCAAGGTTCAGCAATAGTGTAACTCACACCCTTACCTTGCTCATGGACACATGAGATTATAGTCTCGATATAGAGTAAGACATGAGACATCCAAACTTTTGTGGGTGGGGACATATTGCATGTGGCATTGTAAAAAAGAAACTCCACACCCATGAACCATGTGGGACAAGTAGACTATATGCACAAATGCTGCTAGCCATTTCGAGGGGCTAAAAGGTGGAAGTTGTCTCCAGCAAGGACATGATGTATTTGACAACCATCAATGCCTTTCATGGCTGTATATTGTATATCTGTAAATATTGCATTATTCTTTTCTGAGTTGCACAAGTGATTGAGGTCAACCATGCTCAGTCCTGTCCAGAGACTGTGTGGGCACTCTGGCTCTGCAATGAATGTTGGTGGAAAGCAACAATGCCCATCTGATGGTGCATGGGCTGATGCAGATAGGAGATTGTACACACATTACATAGCAGGCAGGAGTCAATACCTCAATGTGACATCACTATCACAAACCCATTTTGATTTTGCTTCTAGATAAATGACTGGGATTTGGGAGTAAAGGCATAGAATTAGTTATGATCAGTGAAAAAATATCTCAACAATACATCAGCACGCTTATTCTTTTGAATTTGTGAAGCCAACGCAATTATATTAACCAATCACAGTGGCCGAACAACACAGTGTTTTCATGAATAAGTCTAAAGATGGGAATATTGGCAGCACAGACCAATATGTATTTGCTTCCCTTTACTAGGCAAAAGCCTTTGTAAGGTGATTTTCTCCACCCACTTTGGAGCAAAATGTCAATGAATACAAAATGTCAATGCCACACCTACAAATGGTCCCCTGTCTGCCGTGAGTTGGCGAGAAGGGCGCTGAGTCAGTGCTGAGTCCACACCAGCCAAAGTGTTCTCACGTTTCTCGCCTTGCCCGCCCACCAGCTATCCGTCGACGCCTGTTCGCGCACGATGGTCGATATTACAGGCCTCGCTCAGCAAGATCTGGTGTTTCTAATCACGGTCGCTCCTACTAGACCTTCTCGCCGACCCTCTTTGTCACCTAGAATGTATATAACTCGCAGCACACCGCTTACCCCTATGACTAGTCGTATCATTTCGGACCGGTAGCTCACCTCCATATTCTTTAAACATTCACCATGTCCTTGCCCGAGGTCCAGAAAGCTCTCTTGCTCGCCGCCAAAGGTATCCCTATCCACCGTTGGCACCCGCCCGATTCCAAAACCTGGCTCAGGTCAGGTTCTGGTCAAGATACATTCCTCCGCACTCAACCCGGCGGACAACTACATCCAATCCCTCGGCATTTTTGTCGAAGAGTGGCCGTTTGTCTCTGGGAGCGACGCAGCGGGCTATCGGAGGAAACGTCCAAGGCTTGGAGAAGGGAGATCGCGTGCAAGTATTTCATCCATCGCTCGTCTTCAGATTCTTTGGCTGACAGCATACTCTTGCATGTCTACTTATTTTACAAATTATATTAGTCCCTGTTCACTCCTGGTAGGGGCACGTTCCAACAATATGGAATTGCAGATGGGGTTAGGGCGAGTGCCTGTTCTCTCGAAACATCCTCCTCCTCCTTGAGGACGCTGCTGTCTATGGGTACATTCTCCTTTGGGAAAACCGCCTGCGTACTCGACGGTGAACATGACAACTCGATTGACAGAGTGACATTTGACATGTATATCCGAATTAATACATACATATTCTAGATTTTGCCGAATGTTTCCTTCGAAAGAGCCAGCACACTACCTCTTGGCCTTGCGACTGCGTCAATCGGTCTGTACGCAGAAAAGATCTGCCGCGGCAGTGCAGGGCTCTACCCACCCTGGGAAGAGAGCGGCCGAGGAAAATACAAGGGCCAGCCGATCCTTGTCATTGGTGGCGCCAGCTCCGTAGGCCAATTCAGTGCGTCGCCTCGCCTCTGATTAGCGATGGTGCATCTGACGTGAGTTCCTAGATATATAATTGGCAAACTCTCCGGCTTCAGCCTTATTATCACGACTTGTTCCACTCATTCCGCCGCATACTGTGTTGCTGCCGGGGCGACCCACCCAATTGACTACTATACTACGCCCTACAGCGAACTTTCCTCCGTAGTTCGCGTGATCGTCGGCCCTTCCACTTTCGTCTCTGTCAACTACGACGCAATTTCTATGCCGAAGATCACAACGCGCATGCTAGGATATTCTTGCTCCAAGGGGGAGCATCGTAATGGTAGCCACGCCCGCTGTTGCAAAGGACGGAGAGGAGGCAAAGGACGGAAAACGCGCGGTGTGGGTGTATGAAAGTGTGAACCATCCCGATTATCAGGAATTTCGGTGCGGCACTCTACGGCAAATTGACTGCGCTGTTGGAGGAAGAGGCGATCAAGGTGAGAGCTTTCATGCCATTTCGATCGAAGGCTCGTCATCAATGCAGTGCACTCTTCATAGCCTAACAACATGGACGTGTTGCCAGACGGATTGGCCGGGATACCGGACGGCTTGAAGAGATTACTTGGTGGGGTCAGCGGAGTCAAGCTCGTCGCACATCCTCAGGAGACACCGTAAAGTATGCAGTTGCTCGTACAATACAATTTTGCCTTTCCGTAGAATGTGTAGATGCAGCAAATCACGTAACGCATACACGATGACTTCAAATACTGCTTGCTTTGTCTTCTGATCTACGCCTCACCGCGCTCCTCCAAGATGACCAACCTCAGCCTCCGCAGCGCCTCATTCACCTCGGGCTCTTCTAGAAGACTGAACGCAGCGCGGACGTGTGCCGTTTTCGCTCCATTGGGGATGAACACCGTCCCAGGCAAGGCGAGAACCCCACCCTCCAGTGCCTTGGTCGCGATCAGGTCCGATGTGTCGGCCTCGACGTTCGGGTCGTCACTGAGCAGCAGCTTGAACCTACACCCGTCCGATCGCCCCGTCCCGTCAGCAAAACGGGGTTACCCCGCTCCGATGAGGGCGAACGTACCAAAAGAACATTCCCGCCTCGGGCGTCGTCCATTCTGCCAAGCCCTCGAGCTGCTGCCGCATCGCAGCCTCGAACACGTCACGCTTCTGCTTGTAGAAATTGGACACAGACTGAGTGTGCGCTTGGAATCCGAGTGGGCCCCACGAATCTAACAGCGCGAACGTGATGGATTGGGTGAGCGAGGCGGGCTGCAAGTTGGCCGAAGAGGTCTAGATGTCACAGACGCGTTAGATCAAATTATCTGTACGGAATGGGGAAGTGGCGGTAACGTACGTGTAAATCCATGGCATCGAGGAGGGGCTGTGGACCTGTTGCGAAGCCTATCCGGATACCAGCGGAAAGGATTTTGGAGAAGCTATCGAAGCGAAGAACATGTCCTGCTGAGCCCGTCTGCGCTTCTAGGGCGAAATAGGAGGGGATGCGAGGCGCAAAGCCAAAGTAGAGGTAGTAGTAGGGGTCATCTGCATCGGACGGGTGAGATGATAACAATAAGGGGGAGAAACAATGCGATGGACCTTCGAGAATGATGAATTTGTGCTCGCGTGCTAGCGTGAGAGTCTCCAGGCGACGTTCCAATGTCGCGGTCATCCCCGTGGGGTTACAGCCGTACTGGATCAGCATAGATTGAGTACTTCGACGGGGGCCGGAGAAACATCAGCTTACGGGAACGGTGTAAAGAGCCTTTGGCTTTGATTTAGATGCAGGCCAGCTTTCGAGAATAGAACGAAGCGAGGATGATACGATGCCTTCCGCATCAGTCTCGACCTCTTGGAGATAAAATCGTTCGTGATCTGGCTTATACGGGCAGTAAAAGCGACATACCAATCATCTCACTGCCGAGAGATTTGAAGATGGGTATGACGCCACTAGAGTCAAGGTGTAAAGAGCGTCTAGGTCGATTGAGTGTACAGAAAGACACGTACGCATAGACTGGCATTTCGACCAAGATGGAATCACCAGGGTTTAACAGGACACCTGCAGCCTGCGAACAGTGCTCTTTAGTTGAAGACTCTGTCACAGTCCCCGAGTTTGAGATCGTACCTTGTAGATAGCATCTTGCGATCCAGATGTGACACTGATTCGCCAGCCCTGGTCTGTACTTCTGTGATGCTCCCTCTCTTGCAAGTCCGTCAACCACTTGACCAATGATGGAATTCCCGACGTCGCGCTGTACTGGAGTCCTTCTACGAGCGCCGCACCGTCCACCGTAAGCGTCGACTCCTTGCCTGGCTCGGTAGGGGAGCGCGCGGTGAAAGAAAGAGAGGTGAGAGGAAACGTTGCGCCATTGGGTTTACCGGCGAGGAGAGAGATGACTCCCGGGCGTTGTTCGAGAGGGAAGAGGCCGCGGACTAAGCCACGGGCGCTAGATCAGCAGACGAAACATACACAGAACCAAAAGAACATACTGGGACTGGGCTTGCGATCCTTGGCGGCCGTGGAGATGAAGGAAGCATAGTACTCCGCAGGAAGGATGCTGCATTCCTTTATCTGGGTCTTCGTACAACCGCTTCAATGTCAACATCCAGTGCGGGTTCATGTCACGCCTACACACCCCGTTCAACCCGTTCAACCTGTCTGTGCTCGCAGCAGTCTGTGAAGTCATGGCGGATGCGAGAGTGGATGACGGGAGTGGCTGGAAACAGTGGACAGCTGCGCAGTGGATGCATCGTTCTCGCCGGCCGCTTTTTTGAATCGCTCAATTTCGAGTCACGAAATCGCTCGGTCGGAATTTCGGCATTTCGGTGATCAGTTTTTCGAACCAAAGTGCCACCGTTGACCAAGTCAAAGATACACGCTCTTGATACAGGTTCCAAAACTACACAATAATATGGTATCTAGAGGTAGGCTAATCTGCTCGGCATGACGACAGATAGTTCGTCAAGGCGAGTCAACCAGCTCGAGAATGGGCATCCAGGTAGATCCAGGTACTAGGATAATCATAATGGTCGAGTAAATGTACGAGCCCAACGAGTAATATGTTGTCCGTAGTGATGCCATTCTTGTGAATGTCCAAAGTAGAAGGAATAGGTCCGTCTTTTCGGTGCTGGTCGGGTGACAGCTCCCAGACATCTCGATATCTGGAAAAATCGCTCACATCTGCGATGAAAATTTTCAGAATCTGCTTCATCCAGAAAGCTAATTGTAACGGTGAGAGGGCTTTTATATTATTTTTTCACAATTTTTTTCTTCCAGGGCGCATAGCCAGGCCACTGTGAAGTAAAGAAGTAGACGATAAGTCCTAGACCACGAAAAGAGTGCAAAGGTGACCTGCATTAATACAAATATGCTGGTCTCCTCTTGTACCTAGCGGAAATCTGAAATTGGGATGAAAGAGTGTTCTGCATTCCAGATCCCCGATGTCTCGAACGAAAATTCCCTCGCAGCGCCGGGCTTCGTTCGCATTCAGGAAGAATATGGGAGGTGTTTTACCAACCCGCAAGCTGCGACTCGGGCTCGGAAAGTATTCGTACAGCTCCCTATTCGCCTTCTGTCGAACGACCCTAGTATGCCGAACCTCGACATCTGCGATATCGACAATCTGTCTATTCAAGGTCCCGTTCGTGCAAGTGAAACAGTTCGTTTTACGGTCATACTTTACAGGGACATGTCCCTCGTCCCTGAACCACTCGACCAGAGATGCGAAGTATTCCCTGGCGAAGTCGACCGAAAATGAGCGGGCAATAATACCTCGTTCAAAAACGTCGTAGTTGTGAGTTTCAAGAATATGAGTTCCTCCAGGGAGTTCGCGGGAGGAAGCTTGAGTGTTGTCGGTCCGGTGAGATCTTGTGTGATAGGTTTAACGGAGGCAGTAAGTCTGCTGTGAGGATGTGGTGTGTGCGGCACTGTGGTGAGATTCTGAGTGATGAGAGGAATTTATATATGTATTGAGAACAGTGGCGAAATGATGCCCAATACCTCAAATGTAGCTATAGTGCTGGGCCTTGACGAGGCATTGACTGTGCCCAAGCAAGTGGCTACCATGAGCCGTAAGGACAGGCTTTGATTAGATTATGTGGCAGAATCAGAATAGTGCTGCTCGCCACAGTGCCACGCCATCGCAAAGAGGCCATGTGGCTATGGCTTTTGTCCTTCAATGAACACATGGACGCGTCCACCCAGACTACTAGGATAATCATGATATACCGTGGGTGCTAAGTGCTTGATGGTGCCGGGATCGAGAGACGTACCATGGAACGATCTGCCCATCCCCGCTGCGCAAGCTTTGATGATCAATTGGTCGATTAAGGTCCAGCTGATATCCGGACATTAATTCATATAGGGAAAGCAGTAGGGAAAGGGATGCACTGAGCAATGGAGGCAGGCGGAAATGACGGAGACAACAATCCCCTAACGGATGCGATGGCGTAAATTGAGTTATTAGGATATCCCGCTAGTATCCTTCTAAAGCTTTCTAGATCTGTAGACGCTGTAGCTGATAGGCAAGGAGTTGAGAAGGACCAAGCAGCTATGGCACACATTATATCACATGGTTCGTGACACACCACCTCTGCTGGAACAGGCTGAAACGACCATGCACAGACCCTGCACATATTACGGTTCAGGCGAGAAGATGACGTCAAGAATCCTCGACCTCAAAGCTCAAAGAATTAAACATACGTTTCTGCTCGATATTTTCGAGCAGGCGAACGGGCGAGATATGATGAGCAACCCAGTAAGCAGATAGTCAATGGGCCTGAAGCGAACTGGGCAAATTTGGATTGTTGGGGGTGTAGGTCAACTGCGACCATACTCGCCCTTTCATCAGCAAAAGTGACAAAACGTGGGATGGCCTTGGACGGATTGGGGGGTTATATAATCTCGAGAGCCTGCAGGCAAGGTCATATATGGCATTGCATTTGCCGCGCTCTCCTTGGTGGTTCGGCGCAATCGTTGCATTAGATTGCAATCTGGAGGCCCCGATGCCAATGTAATATATTCCTGGCCTTCATAATATATTCTTATACATGCACACCGGCCTCAAAATATATTGTTAAACATGCACACCGGCTCAGAATGTAATGTTATACATACACCCGGCCTCAAGATATAATGCGATACATACACACCGGCCTCAAAACTCGCCATAACCCTCCTCTGCAAGCACTCGCTCGTCCCGCTCCCTTCCGTCCCCTTCAGGCAACGGGTCGGGATCATCGTCAGAGTCCTCCTCCTCCTCCTCCTCCTCTGTTAAAAGCCCATCTTCTCCCTCCTCTTCTTCAGATTCCTCTTCCGAATCGTCATCCTCAGCGCCGCCTTGCTCGTCGACTCCCTCGTCGGAGGGCTCCTCCGGCACTTGTGCAGATTGCCCATCTCGGAGAAGGCTGGTATTGAGGTGCCATGTGCCCTTGTGACCGATGCCGCCGCCGCGGAAGCGCATGAACATGTCGCGGTCCACGAACCTAGGAGAAATTGAGAAATAGAAGTAGGAAATGATGTGAAACTTACATGTTAATATAATACCCCTCCCAATCTTCATCGTTCTCTGCTGGCTGTCGAGCGATGGACGGCCCAAGTCGCTCGGAGGTGTGTCCACGCGCAAATGCAGGGATGAGGTGTACGCCGCGGATGATTTCCTTGGGGTCTAAGAAGCCGAACATGGCAGGATCGTCTTCGGGGATAAAGGCGACACTGTGCAGCCGCTTGCGATCCCACCCACCTGGCGCGTCAGTGTCAAGGCCAAACCAGCGAACCCACAAGAAATCCATTCGCTTGGGCTCAGAGGAATGACCGCGGTGGTGCACCATGCAATGGAAGACGCCAACGACATGCGCGTACCAGTACGGATGCATTGGGTTGTCAGGGGTGCCATCCTCTTGCGAGAGGACCATTACATCTGCTTGTGTTCGCGTATTAATCGAGTCTTGCTGTCGTCGCATGTCGTATGAGGTGTAGTTGATCCGCAGCACGCTGTGTTGATACAGCCGGTCATTGACGATGGTGATGTTGTCACGGTCCTCGTCTGAGAACTCACGTTCATCGCCATCGTAAGCGAGCCCTAGCACACGTGCCAAGAGGTGATCCTTGAGGCGAGGTAGGAACTCCTATGGTAATGGAATGAGCAGGCAATCAATCAGGTCGACAATCACCACTTACCTTGAGCGCGGGGTCTCCAGAGTGGTCGTGAATCCAAGACCGCACGTTCAGGTGCTTCCTTGTTGATACGGCAATGTGGTAATGGGCGGTGGGGTCAGACAAAGGCAGCCGTTCAGGCCGCTTACGCTTCTGCGTGCGCGTGCGTGCTAGCTCGCGCCTACGATGTTCATCTGACCGCTTTGCGACTTTGTGAAGGAGGCGTTCACGAGCGTCGTGCCTTGCCAGCTGCGGAACAAAGTTGTTCTTGTTTGTACGGTCGTAGCGACGTTTGACCACCTTGTGTGCGAGCTCACCCTGTGTAAGAGATACTCAACTAATACTACTTATGTGAAGGAGCAGCAGTTCTTACCACTTGCGTGCTGTACGAGTCCGTTGTTCCAAAGCGGACGATCATGCCAACGTAGTCACCAAGGGCATGGTATTTGTAGGTTACCAGGTTAAAGATTTTGCGCAGTTTTTCCGAGGCGAATGTTGTCGCACTGATGTTCTTTCCTGAGTCGAGACCCTTCTTGATCATTGCAGCCTTGCGTCTTCCTCGTGCGGCCATCTCGTGAGGGAGTTCCCTTGTGTCGTAAGCCGCGCAGGTCTTCTTGACAAACCGTCGCATTGCGGCACCGAGCATGAGTGTGGCGGTGGCGAAGAACCCCAGGGAGGTGCCTGTATGGAGGCGCAGCTTTGCGTATGCATGCCACGTTGCGAGGTCGAACAGGAGGTTGGCCACAATGGCGTCGTGGCGTGCAGGCAAAAGGCCTTCGAATACTGGCATAGCACACTGTGAAAGGGAGGTTATACCAATGTGTGACATGATTCTTCGAGTCAAGAGAAGTACTTACCTGTAACAAGTCTTCAAAATCTCACGCAGCAAGCTTCCGCATGGCCGAGGCATTCCTGTGAAAGCGTCGTATTGTGCTGCGACCAAACGTGGGTACCGCTCGATAGCTATAATGTATATACTGTTAGATTTGAATCAAATACAAATAATAGATATAATGTACCGTTGATTCAATTTTTGAATGGCATCATCTGCAGCTGCTTGAAGCACTCGCATCAGATGAGTGAAGGTAGCTTTCCATACACCCAGCTCGACCTCATGCAGGAGGTCGACCACAAACATCGAATGGAAGTCGAACCCAAAGCGTGCTAGCTTCATGGAAAAGGCATTCTATAAATAATTGTTAGCTAGTTGTCTGAGTAGATAGTGGAGAAACTTACCCTTGTTGGTACGAGCGAGCGTTCACCGAGCACTGTCTTCAGCCTGTCTGCCTTGAGTGGCACACCGAACTCGTAGATCAGTCGGCGGGCAGTTTCAACATTCTGCTGGCGTTGGACATCATCTTCGCGGTCCTTGCAGCGAGTCTTCATATCAGACTTCATGCCCATGTGGACAACTTTGTTCTTCTCGACAAGGCATCGAGGGCACGGGCACTTGGCGAGATACTTGATACTCGCAAGTATGACCCTGGATACAGGTAAATTACTAGAAGGACAAAAGACATGATAATAGACTTACTTTTCGGGGTAGTCCGCGGAGTAAGTGAAGAATCGTGGAAACACACGACGCATGATACCATCACCACATCGAATGACGATTCCGTGGGTATATGCCTCCATGAAATCGTTGTCAAGGAGGAGGATCCATATCGCATGTATGAGCTCACGCTTGCAGTGCGTGAGAGTCTCTGCCGTCGCGCTCTTGCCGAAAAATGAGCGGTAAAAATCTTGAATAATGTCCGGAAGCTGGAAAATGCACACATTAGAAACCTATCACACCGGCAAAATGCAAACTCACTGAGGGGATGTATGCTAGATGATGGCATGCATATGCCGTGGGTTTTGCGCGGGTGTACTTTGATTGGGAGCCAAAAAACGAGTAGAAAGGCCAGAGTGACGCCGTGCCGAAATTTGCAAGGTGCGTTGCGTCCGACCAAAGCATGAGCGGCGTGACGATGCGCTCCAACTTGTCATCAGGCTCGCGTGGGAGTTTCTGTATTTCCTCGTCAGCCTCGAGCATCGAGTGTGAGCAATATATTTCTGAGTGGACGCGCTCGGGCTTTGAGTTCTTGAACGGCTTCCAAAACTGCTGAAATGGTGTGGCGTGAAGTGTGGAGAAGGTGGTGGAATCTGAATAGACAGTCTTGATAATGTCGACGATATTGCGATGCCAGACACCCTTGACTTCAAATTCTGGCGCCTGGTCTTCGGGAGTCTTCACCTTGTCAGCAGGGAGGCGGATCTTAACAGACGATTGATGCCAGCCCTCGCCCTCATTGAAGGGGCTCGAAGAATTGGCGATGTAGCTGTCTATGCGCTCGTTCTCTCGAGCAGTGTTGAACTTTGTGAAGTCCTTGATGCTGAATCCATCCCTCATGGAATCCCCGAGAGAGTGCGCTAAGCGATCCATCTCGCTTGCCGATTTTGTCGCAGACTTTGTGTACTGCCAGCACATCATAATTGCAGCGACTGCGTTAGTAAACGGAGCATACCAGGGTTCCACTGATCCTGCATCCTGGGGCGGTGCCGGATCCGCCTTGGGGAATGCTGCGGAGTCACAGACTTTATCGAGTGAATTTTCAGGTTCTGGGTTGTGCGTCGGGTGTCGCTTGTACTGGCGGAATAACCCAAATTCATTGGGTTTTGTTTCAAAGATGAGTTCCGGCGCTGGCGCCGGCTCAGGCTCAGGCTCAGGCGGAGGAGGGATTGGTGGTACAGACTCCGGGCCAGGCTGGGTAGGAAGAGGATGCTGTTTCGAAGGAATATGGGAGAGGGGGGTGGCGGAGCCAGGCAGGAAATCATCAAATCGCTTTGGGAAGCGTATTCCACGTCCAGAGCGTGCAGAGCACGTAGTAGGAGGCAGAAGCAGGGGTGGAAGTTCTGATGATGAAGCTTCTGGGATGGGGATCGAGTCCATAACGTCTCGCTGATACGCAAAAAAAATGCGAATATTGTTCAATATATGTAGTGAGCGCGCGTGAAGGCCGACGACACTCACCTCTGCTGTCAACTCTTCAGGTTCTACCGACACCTGAGCTCTCTTCCTCGACCGTGTCTCCACCTCTTCCGCCGCCTCCTCCTCTCGAGCGCGCTTTTGCTGAAAGGTAACATCTTGAATCTCTTGATAACCTTTGCAGTTCCGTTGATGCGTCTTGAGAGCGCGTCGGTCGTGGAAATTTCGGGGACACGCGAGGCATTGGAAAGCCATTAAAAGGAGGAAAAACAAGAATGATATTACGGTTTTCATGCTCGTCGAGGGTGCGCGACCCTCAATGAGCTCTGAAAATGACAAGACGAGTCCGACTCTGCAGAAAGTCTGCGGATGCAATCACATGACCGCTCAACGCGTTGCGACTTGATGATCATTTCGTCATTACTTTCGCTTTCACTCTCACTCTCACCATGCCTTATCGACCCCCTCCCTCCGAGAATTCTGACTCAGACATGGAACATTCAAGGTATGTCTCGAACCCAGAGAGAGCGGTATCAAAACACGCCATGGAAGACGCACGCCGTGCACCAAAAAGCATGGCACAGTGCAAGGGAAAGAAGCCCAGGAAGGACACATCGAAGTAAGTTTATCTTCTTCAATTCTTGTCAACTAACCTTCTCCATTATCAACAGACGTGACGACCAAGATATTTACAAGAGCACCGCGCGCTGGATTTCACGTGGGATCACTCTGTACGATGATCTCCATGATGTTTTCCACGTCGGTATGCGCATACAACTCGGGCACGCTGGCACATCAAACTCAGATGACGAGACCGATGGCAGAGTTTCTGCTCATGATCTTCGCGTGTGAGTTCTTCGTTATCTATGTCATTTGTCATTTCTCACGTATTAGACAGGCAAAAGGACCAGAAGAAGCTATACTTGAAGATCTTCAAACAGGTTCTCGACCTCGTTCCTGGTTTCTCTGTCAAGGTTGAGTCTGAAGGTAACAAAGACTCTTTTCTTGCATTGCTTGATATGGTGAGTGCATATAAGCGCATATATGCACACTTATCACATCTAGTCAGATGATCAAAAGCAGCTCCAATGCTCGCGCGGTGGACACGACACACATGAAGAAGTTTGTTGCTCATTACGCGCCACTTGATCTGGTCACGCAGCCGTTGAAACCGGCACTCGTGCTGGCCAACAAATGCGATCGTGGGTTTTCGCATCCGATGCTCGCGCGTCTTCTGTGCCCCAACAAGTATCTTGCAAGCTTTGACAAGGATTTCACTGGGTACTGATGTCAATGCCTCACTTAATGGCAACTCACTCTTGCTCTCTCTCTGCAGCACCTGGAACAAGCTCAAGAACAACGAGCTTAAGGTCTTGGCCAAGCATTGGCCCGCCTTCGTATACAAGGACTACCAGTACGACCCAAGCGACCGCGAGAAGGGATTATTCCGCGGTCACCTCCTTATCTGCGTAAGTCTCCACCCGGTCCGTTCTCAAATTGCTGACGTCTTCTATTGTTGCAAAGGCATGGCGCGCTATATACATAGGCCCGTCAGCAGCAAGGCTAGGCCCTGACAGCAAGATAGCTCGCACAAAGAGCGGCAACGCAAAACTGCACGGCGCTAACGTCGTAACACCGCAGACTATTGCGTATGCCGCTTGCCAGGTAAGCTGGTGTCTACAGGTTCTTGCAAGAGCTAAAATTGAGTCTGCAGGCACGCTTCGCTATCAGTTCCATCGAGATGTGGAGCCCGGACGACGGCACATTCAACTATCCAATCTTTTACAGGCGGATTGTGGAGCTTTTTGAAAGGTACCAAGCTGATAAGTGGACAAAGGACACCCTTGCATGGTGGAACAAGTACCTTACATATTGCTCTTCGGGTTGCTTGCACTAACAAAATTCTCTGCAGGACGGTCTTTGGGGATGAATCAGGACGTGCAATGCCCAATTCAGGAGGTGAAAGCGACACAGACGGGTCCGACAGCGAATGGGAAGCCCTGCACACATTGCGCTGCGAACGCCGTGCGATAGAAGAAGAAAAATCTGGTATTCAGGTTTCGTTACATATCCACATGCTACTGACATGCTACGTACTTTACAGCACAGGCCGCCAGTCTGGACACCGGCGCGCGAATTTCTGCTGCACCTTTGTTGGGCGCGGCACTTGAAGCTAGCAACCCGACTCCAGCGGCCCTGAACATGCTCGCAACAACAGCTTCTCGCATGAATGCCCCCGGCGCCGACGACACAGACCACACAATAACGACTGGCTCATCCAGTCTGCCGCCTCTCAGACAACTTGCCACCCAGTCCTCTCGTCATGGTCAAAGTAACCGGCACATGTTGTGGCACATCCTGGACGAAGACGAGGACGAAGATGAAGACATGTACCTGGATGGTAGGCCCCGTGGCAGCTCGTCCAACAGTTGCATGCACGATGGGGAAGACGGCACTACACGCCAATCGCGCAAGCGCAAGACGCTTGTGGACGACGACTCTGACACTGCTAACAACGACACCGGCAGTGTTGCCCATCGCTCACGCAACCCCAGACGTCTTGTTGAGGGGGACGACGAGCACGAGCACGACAACCACGACGACGACAACCACGACGACATGGCGCCGCAATTGCGCAAGCGCACGGCCTCGCGCGCTCAGTACGATGACGATAGTAGCCGCACCTCGAAAGCACGCAAGGCCAAGATGAACGCTGGCGCTACGTCGACTTCCAAGGGCAAGGGGAGGTCTTAGACGGTCATCCTTGCCGTTCAATCCTCGGGGGTTATATTATTCTCTTGTGCTCTGCTTCAATCTCTTGTGCTCTGTGCTCTACATGGCTCCGCGGCGCGCTCTCGTTTCGGCTTTTTGTGGTTTATCTTCCGCATTACTGACTCATGTATATTTCTTCTTGCCGCTGAATATATTCTTATCGTTTGATTGCCGTGTATACTTACTCTTGCTGCTCAATATATACCGGCTATTAAACTAACGTGTTTTTATTGTCTGACAAGCGAATATAAGCTCGATATTAGATTGTGGATCATGCAATGCCTTGCAAGCATTGCCTGGCAATATATTCTCGCCAATCCTCACTGAGTAATATATACTTGTCTCAAGGCTTGGCAAAAACCCCAAGAAATATGAAGATTGCATTTTTGCTCGTGCCTCATATGCTAATGCAATACCCCCCCTCCCAATTGGAGGTCTTGGTGGGTTTCCGGGGTATATAAAGGTATACATAGCTATCTATCATTTGTGCACTTTTGCTGATGTTCGTGTTCATGGCGGATGAAGAGGCCAGAGATATTCTTGCCGGAGTTCGCCGAACGCTCTTTACCGATCGCTGTTTGCAGAGATCGCCTGCTTATTCACAGCTTCAATATTCCAATGATACTAGATGAACGCTTTCTGCTGCGGATGACATTCCAAGTCCATTCATCGAAGAAAAACGCAGGTGAGCCTCAAGGGCACAATGCTGCTACGTAGAGTACATGGTGGTAGAAGCGAAAATGCTAGTGAAATATTAGTGAGCGTATAACCACGGCCTTCCTTCAGACCGCAAAAGCTGAAGAATAGGCATCCAAATGCTAGGCGTGGCATGTATCTGTACGAGCCCGATAAGTAAAACATCTTTCATTGTGATATTATTAGAGACGATGTCCAATGTAGGCTCGGTGCAAGATGTGAACGGGGAGTGCTGGCCGACTGTCAGCATTTGAATGTAGATAGAAAGGGGACATGCTCACCTCTAAAAAGAGCCGAATTGCGTGGCCTACTAAGTAAGCCAATCTTCTCATGGAGACTGGTTCGGCATCCTTTTTGAAGAGGGTTGATGCCCAATTACGATAGCCTGGCCACTGCGAGGTGATAACTTCAATATTGAAAGATTTTATTCTGGGAGATGAAAGGTCACTTGCACTGATGGTGATCAGGTGGCCACCTCGCGAGCCTAAATTGACTTCAGAATCAGGTTGTTCGAGAGTGGGGCAACTCTCTAGAACTAGATCTTGTGCGAGCACTCCTACGTCGCGCAGGCCTTTCGTTAGAAAGAATATGGGGTGCGTTTTACCAAAACTCGGCTTCGACTCCAAGATCGGAGGTATGGCCTGAGGAATAACTAGGCCGCGCTTGTACGAAACTAGCATGTCAACGGGCTGTCCTCTTGTCTGTGGATCCATGGTCCGGAATGACTTCGTCGACCTGTCGTACTCAACTGGGACTGGGACTTGACTCTGTGATGTTCCGGTCAACGAGCGGAAAAACTGTTCGGCAGACCCTGCGGATAGACAGCAGGAGACGTATCCATCCATGAACAGGTCAGGTTCGAAGGTTGTTTGCGGAGTAGGCTCTGTTTGCGCCTGCTCCGGTGCGGTGTCCAGGATGTTGAGTGATGACATGGTTTGGGCGTCTTTGTGGAGTCACTGTCAGGTGGGTACAATAGTAGTATATATCGATACAACTCACTGGGGAAAGGGGGGTAGTATTCAACAAAGAAGCTCCAAGAGGTCAGAGGATATTTATATAGATCTCGACATTAGTGGCGAAACACTACATGTTGTAACTTGCATGTCAACATAGCGCTTTGCCTGAATATAGTTTCGCCCGTATTCAGACTGGTGGCAAATCGATATCGATAGGTGCAGTATGCCATAAGAATCTGCTTCGCTTCTGTATAATTTGTGTTCGAAAGTATAAGGGCAGATTTGCTATCCCGGTAGCCGACAGGTGGCAACTGTCGGCGGAAGATGATTGGCTCGAAGAGATAGGTGGAGGCGACATGTCCACGTGGCTTCTAGCTGGAGCTTGGCCATGGCACGTAGCTTTTGCATCCAGAAGGTGATCCACCCGGAAAAGTCACAAAAGGGAAGCCACGCGCATCGAGCTTAAGCAGAGCAGAGCGGTGTAGACATTGTGATGAAAAGCAACACACAAAACTAGAGCTGCAGAGCTCTTTGTAGGACCAGAGCCCGTGAAGGTCATTGAGCGCTTGATGTTACCAGGACGCACCGTGATCATTCGAAGTTCGCCTCAGTTCCCCGCAACACCGATCTTGATCGATGGCAAACACAGGACAAACCCTTAGATGATATCAGGGTTCTGAACACGAACCCGTCGTAACACCAAGATGGAACGATAGTCAAGACGACAAGGCTAGTGGGAACGACGAGTTTTTGAAGAACGCAGTGTGATGATTCATACGACAGCATCAAAAGATTGATTGACATTTATAAGTGTCTACGACTGGACCTGCGGGCTAGAACGAGGCGAGAATGGTTAGGCAGTGCGCGGTCTGGATACTGATCTCTTGGATGCGGATCCAGCACACAATATTTCGATGAGGGTGAAAGCGAGTCGACTGAGCGAAACACATCGACCACACAGGATGGGGCACCGACGAAGTATAAGCCTACAGCTGATGGAGGGAATCAGGGCTTCGACAAAGGCGGCAGTTACGAGGCGAATCACGTGCATATGATGCAAAGGTACGAAAAATAGAGGATATCCGATTGGCCCAGCCGTCGCCGGAAGGAATCGGGACCCCAGATCGAGCTCATTTTTAATGAGCAAAAAGTTGTAACATCCGTCTTGCAACTGCACCACCACCCTCGCCCACTACTTTATTTCTCTTTCCTCTTCACGACCCGCTAGAACTATATCATGCCTTACTCTCCTGGTACGTTTCGGGTCTCTTTTCTGTTGCGGAGGGTGTCAGGGTTGACGCGCAGGTTTCTTAACCACGTAGGTGACGCTGCTAAGGGTGCTGGCCTTTTCAAGACGCGGTGCGCCCAATGCCATACCGTTGGTGCTGGTGAGCCTCACAAGGTTGGCCCCAACCTCCACGGGTGAGTCTCGATGCCAGCCCGGAACGCCATGATGGTCAGCGAATGTTGACGTGGCAACTCTCAGTGTCTTCGGTCGTAAGACCGGTCAAGGAGAAGGTTTCTCCTACACCGCTGCCAACGTGAACAAGGGCATCACTTGGGACGAGAACACTCTATTTGAATACCTTGAGAACCCCAAAAAGGTACGTTCATGCCTTATCGCAACGCGGCATGACCTGACTCGTGTTCATAGTACATTCCTGGTACGAAGATGGCGTTCGCTGGCCTCAAGAAGGACAAGGACCGTAATGACCTTGTTACATGGTTGAAGGAGGCTGTGCGTAGTTCTTGTCCTTTCTCTCCGCCACTGTGCTCATGCTACGTTTCGTAGACCGCATAAGGGATCTGAATCGCATTTATCCCTATCTCATCCTTTCCTATCATATACCTTCATTGGGCCTTAGTACTTGTAGACGACCCTTCTATTGATTTGGTTCTCCCAGCACTTGTCACACCTCCCAGCTCAACTGCATTATTTATCTTGCTGCAAGCTAATATATCGAGCTGCCATAGATTCATTGGCATGTTCTTTAAATATAAGATGCACATCTTAATATGGTCAGTCGACGTGAGTGACCCTTTCAATTGCGAATGCTTGCGCTGTGGGCGTGTTGACTCGATTTTTTTGTGCGAATCATGACTGCACATCATTTTTCTACATTATTCAGCCATGACATACAGGCTGTCTCCGATTCTGTATGTCTGTCAAAGTCCTTCATCAAGCCGCCATGTATGACACTGCAGTCGATGATAGAAAGACGAGTATCAGCAGCTGAATTGTAAGTCGGGCCACGCAACTTTCAGGTGTCCCTCTGCCATTGTGCGTTGAACATCTTGCACCTACATACAGATGCCACGCCATCTCATGAAGTGCTAGTCTGCTATCGAGACCAGAGGCGTCCACCCCGCCAACATTTAAATATGTGAGTTCACTGACGCCACGCCTCCTCGCATGATCATGCAGGTACCTTCAAACTCGTCAGGCCGTGTGATCCTATCGACGTGTATGAGATTTCCATGATCAACCAGACCGTGAATCATGAAGTCGTATTAACGGGAGGGAAACGAACTGAACAGTGGCGCATGTGCACGGATGACGGCCATGGTGGGTCCGGTTAAGCATCGTTGTCATGAGCACCCTCACAAGCTCTCGCTCCGTCCAAGGGGAGGGAGGACGCAACGAAAGTCTTGAAGAGGTCAATCAAGCGGATGGATGGATGAGAGAGAGCGAACTTGCGAGTCTGTGGGACACTCTCAAGTACCGCTACGCGTCTCAAATTGCTGATTCGCGATTCCTGCTCCTACGAATTATAAAAGGAAGAGGGTTGAAGGCTCGTTCAAGCGCATGAGTCGCATCACGGTCAACTGCTCAACTTACTCTTTGCGAGAACGATCGCTTCTCGAGCTGCTACGGGAAAAGACGCAACAACCTGGATCTTACCTGCGAGAGTTCTTCAATGAGATCGGCTTCATCACCAAAGCGGACATTCCACAACTATTGGGAGCTCAATGCAAGTTGCGAGACGATCCAGGGCGTTAGCGGCCGATCTGGTTCCTCTAAATTGGTTGATAAATCTGGATAGGTAAAGGGAGAGCATGATGAGGCTGGCCAGTCGATAAAGTCAGAGACATCCGATGCTAAGGACGCGCTCGAGGACGAAGACGGGGGCATGAAGAAAAGTTCGTGACTTGTTAGTCGAGGACATCTTGACATGCATTCTGTCTTGTCTGTTGGGTCCCTGCACATCTCGTTGCTGTGGGTGGCAATGCTTCAGTTGATGTGTAAAATAACGACGATCGGTCCAAATTACGCGCCGTAGGAAGACGTAGTAGTGCACTCCAGAGGCATCTTGCGCAACATCTGAGGTGGAATGAGTGGAAGAGGCTGGGAGGAGCGTGGGAAGAACAGCCCCGTCGAGTTTGCGAAAGCGACCTTGTTTCTTCTCGCTAGCAAAGCCACCCAGACTGTGACCGCGCTACGTCACGACTCTGCTGTAATTGAAGTTCGTTCTTTCATCTCAGCTATCCATGGACGACATCGCTATTGAGGATGAGAAGAAGCCATTTGATTCAGTCGTCGGAGGACATGACGAAGACACTCAGCCAGACCCAGACGAGCAAATCATGACTGAGTCGGGCAACGGGAGAGTCTGGATGGTCAAGGTGCCTTTATTTTACTTACCTCTCACTACCCATGAACGTCTATCAACTGCTGCCAGATACCGCGCCATCTCATGGAGCGCTGGTCCGCGGTTGACGCTGAGGGCGTTCCACTAGCTACCATCCGTGTATACGACAATCCTACCCCTGGCGCGCCCCAACGGATCATCGTCCAGACACCTTCCGACCCCTTGGATCCTGCGTCTCCCATGGACCAGTACGAGATGGACATGCTAAATCAGGACGTGAACAACCAGATTGTCGTCGCAGAGAGAGAGAAGGAACCACACAGCCGCGCTCGGACAACGATCATGACCGGAAAGGTCAAGCATGAGTGTAATATGCGCCCCAGACTCTCGGCAAACTACCGCAGAATGATCAAAGCGAGGACACAAGCGGCGAACACTTCGACACGGCCTATCAAACGGATCGAGGATGCCTTGCCTGGAGGGCGGGGCGGGATCATCAAGCTCAGCAGTGGTGTTGCGCCTGCTGCTGGGTTCTCAGAACATATCGTGAGTGGCATCACATCTCTCCTTAGTCTCTCTTCATCGCGTATCCTTTTTCGCTCAACTTTTGCAGAGACCAAAAATCAAACCGGCAAAGGGCCAGTACGAGCGCATGGCCCGTATGCCCCGCAACCAGCTGCTCGACTTGCTCTTTGGTCTATACAGAGAGCGAGAGCAATGGCCACTCAAAGTTCTTAGGGAGAAGACACAGCAGCCCGAAGTTTACCTTAAGGAGGTCCTGAGCGAGATTGCATTCCTTCACCGGAGCGGAGAGTTCAATGGTTCGTGGGAGTTGAAAGGAAGTTTCAAAGGTGACGGGGTAAGCATAACCATTGGCTATCTTGCTTTGAGCCGGACTGAGGGACTTGATTCTGTAGGTCAAGGGAGAGGGTGGTTCCATTACCGAACTCTACAAGAGGGAGCCGCCACCCGACATGGACATGCCCATGGCAGATGAGGACGAGGACGAAGACGACGATGACGATGACGATGATGACATGGAAGAGGTCTCGTAGCCTGTCAGTGGCATCCGCAGAGTGCCGGTACTTTCTCTCACATAGGCCTTTCGTGTATCACTACCAACCATATCTGTTTTCCTAGTCAATACCATATCATTTGCTTTCGATTTCGACCGCGATAGCCTTGAGAGCAATAATATGAATACCCTTCACAAGGGTGCCCAAGCTGTTATGTCCACGATTTTTTTCGCGTCTTAGTACTGACTCTCTCACGGTATTCCCAGAAATCACTCACATGACAGGGCAGACTCTTGTTCGAGCACGTTATCTTGTTGCAAGGTGACGTTGTACAGGCGAAGTTGGGCCGGTTTACTTATGGTAAATTATATATATAGCAGGACCATCTGATTGAGCTTTTCGTTCGAATCACGATGTCAATCGCACCTCACAAATTTAGAGTCGCAATCTGGTACGTGTCCATCGATTCTACATACTATCAACGCTGCCTCCAAGGGCGCCTTCCTTACTATAACACACTTTGGTAGCGGCGGAGGGCCCGCAGGCCTCTCCCTCGCTGCTACGATAGCACGATTCAATGACGCTACTGCCCCAGTTGCATTTGACATATATGAGGCTCAGCCTGTTATAGGGACTGTTGGAGCTGGGATCAACGTGTATCCACGCACACGCCAGATGTTAGAGCGTCTGAACCTCATGGGTAAGCTTGCAGGAGAGATCGGTGCAGAAGAAGGGCAAGAAGGTATGCCATTTCAAGTGCCTTTGGACCTTACATTTTTCTAACTTCGAAAGCCGGGAGCGCTGCCTTCGATTTTCGCAAGTCGGATCAGTTGACTGAGGGGTACAATTTTTGCAGAATGGTCGCAAGCAGTACGTCGATCTGATCAGATCCACTGTAATCTGTTCGTTATGCTCATCCACACAAGCATTACTGATCCATCGGTCTGCACTGATCACTGCTTTACAAGCCGGGTTCGAATCGTACTCTCATTACACAGTTCATACTTCGGCACGCCTTGTGTCTTACATGCGTTCCTCGGACGTAGAGACAGGATCGCCTATCACGCTTCATTTTGCTGACGGCACGACTGCCACCGCAGATGTCCTCATTGGCGCGGATGGAATCCGCTCGGCCGTACGATCAACGATGTTTGAGGGATCGTTGGCAGGACCGCGCCCTAAATGGACTGGAACTATCGTATATCGGAGTTTGATTCAACGCGAAGCGTTGGATGCAGTCTGGACAAACCACCGGGCTTCAAGATCTCTCACAATCGTGCGTGACCAGGGATGGAACTTATTTTACTTCCTTTGAAGAGAGCTACTGACCAGCCTCTAATGCCTTAGTATTGTGGTAATGATAAAGTAAGCATGCATCCTATATTCTCAATATTCTTGGCAAAAATACACAATGGTGCTCTAGCATATTGTCTGTTACCCAATCTCGCAAGGAAACTTGGTGAATTTTATTGGATATTACACCGTACCGAACGGAGAAGGAACGTCCTTCGACGACAAGTGGGTACGCGATGTGTCTGCGGAGGAAGTGCAGGCTTGTTATTCTGGATTTGAACCCGAAATTCAAGCCCTGCTCAAGGTGAATCCAAATTGCTTGCAATGACCTCATGTAATGACCGCTTTGCTCACGAGTGCAGTGCCTCGATAAAGTAGCTGCCTGGGCCGTGCATGTCATGGACGATGTTTCTAGAAGTGTAGATGGACGGGTCGCTATAATGGGCGATGCAGTACGTGACACAAGGCTCCCGCAAGATGAACTGACAAGCAGACGTGGGATAAAAAGGTTCACGCAATGGAACCACACTTTGGCGCAGGTGCAGGTCAGGCGATGGAGGTAAGTGACGGTCCGTCCTCGCCCGATATTCGCCATCTTCCAACTCTGGTTTGACGCTATCAGGATGCCTACATCATTGGCAGGCTCCTTACTCACCCTCTAACGACGCGCGAGCAGATCGCTACTGCCCTCGCGATATATGAGGACGTGCGCCTGAAGTTCACCTTGGGAATTGTATCGAACGCGAGAAAAATTGGCAAACTCTATGAATTTGGTGGAGATCACCGCCCTTCTGCAGATGGTGACGATCGCAATTGGGCGAAGATGTGGGGTGATGAAGTCTCGAGGATGTGGCAGTGGCAGCGGAATACCGATGCAGTGGATGAGGATTGGAGTCAGGCGGAAAAGCAATTGGTCGACGCCGTTCTGCATAACAAACATTCTGCGGCATGACTGTCTCTAAATCGACTCAAATTTGTCGTATTCGGTGAGGACGTTATAGTCTGCGGATCCGAGCGAACACTACGCTCGAACGTGGGCATGCAGGAATCAAGAACATCTAGTATTCATACAGAACAGTTCTAGCGGTACAGTGCATACAGCTTTCAACATCATTTAACTTATATATTCTCCCGCGTGGCTCACTCGTAGAGCTTCTCTTGATAGCCAGGCAAAATGACCGCGGTTCTGAACGTCGGGTCATACGTGTACGCACCCTTGGTGCGCTGCCATTTCTGCTTCGCAAACGTCCACGCTAGAAAGGCAAGATCAGTACGACCACATTAAGTGGTGACATAGGTCAGTGGCGGCTGACCTTCGGTGGTAGGAACAGGGTTTCCTGACTTCTCGAATACGTTTTGGGTGAACCCTTCACGCTGGAGCACTGGCGATTCGTGAGCAGTGCGGAGAAGAATATCATTGTGCGGGCTGCAATGTGGATCGTGTGACTATATTATTAAGCTCGCCGGAACATGAGGATGGCGCCTTACCGAGAAAAGTACAGCAGCCCAAGACGGTCAACATGCTGCTGGTCTTTCGGAGGGGCTGCGACGCTGAAGACGATCTTAGCGTTGTGCGATTATTGCGAGAAGCACGATGATTCATTTACCGGTGAACCGTGCTCTGGACGTAGCCGCCAGTCAAGAAAGACAATGCATCACAGGCATTGACAGTCAATGTAGCATCCTGAGGCTTGACCCATTTCCACTGGTTATGAACGGGGTCGCGAATCTGAAGGGCTGCTACGGGCTGGCGGAAGAGAAGGGTGAACGACCCGAGGTCTTCACGATGCACTGAGCCAAGGATTTTGATAAACCGATAAATGGAGCATACCGGTGTGACCGCCGCCCCAAATATTCCCGAGTTTCTGGTTCTCCTCCGGCGACATCTTACCGTACTTCATGTAGCGGAGATGATCCTGAACACGATGTGACTAGGTGAAAACCGTATAATGGTGAAGCAATCAGCTTACCTCGCTCTTTACTTCATATTGGTGTATTTTTGTGAAGTAATCCTCAGGAAGCTCGAGAGCAATGGCGAGAAGAACGTGGAGACGATCCAAGACCTCACTGTGGAGAGCCTGACGAACATACATATAAGCGATGCAAGTTCACACAGCTCGAAGATGCAAAGCTGACCCTAGCGAATTGCTCGATCTCCTCGATGTGATCCTGGATGAGTTTGGGGTGCTGATGCTTGAAAGAACCATTGAACTCTGTGTCGATTAGTTCAGATCACATCCTCGTATGCTATCATAGGGACCGACATACTTGGAATGTTATAGACCTCTACGCGATCTCTTATGCCTTCAGTGGGCTCCAAACTAGACAACGTAAAGTGTCAGAGCAATCATGCCAACGAAGTATCAGCTTCATAGGAAAGCGTACGCACAGTCGACGACCGGCAGGAACGTAGCCATTGAACTGACCCTCATCTTCACAGCCAGAGATATGGGAAATGAAAGGTAGTCTCTGGGAAATTTACGTACCTAATCCTTGGGGAACGTACTTGAGCTTCTCCTCCAAAGGTAGCTCATAGAGCTCTCTCCCTAGCGCAAACTGCCTGTTGACCGCCTCTTGAGAGATATTGAAGTTCTTCACGTAGAAGAACCCCTTTTCCCGCAGGGCCTTGATGAGAAAGGCGGCAAGATCTTTCTTGCCCTCTGGTGTATGGTACAAGGCAAGATCGAGAGTGACTAGTTCCGCCCAATCGAGATCTTCCTGCAAGCAATTCGCCGCTGATTCAACCGCGTACGAGCTAAATTGTTCAAATAAAGCGCACCTTTGTCTCTGCGACGAAGGAATACGAACCTAGTGGGTGCGGCAGTCAGCCAAGCAAGACGCGGAGTGGCCGCCACGAGCAACAAAAGTGCAACAAACTAACCAAGGGAAACGGGGGCAGGCATCACGTGCTTTAAAGAGATCTTAACTCTTCGCCGTTTACGGCAAAAGCCAAGTTGAGCGTCACCATTTGTGAATCCTCTCACTTTTATATGCATTCTGTGTCCCTGACTGCCTGGCGTTTGGCACGATTCTACTCACAAGACAGGATACACGCCTCAGTAAGCTTGAGCACATCATACAGCTTCTTAATGACACGCTCGCTGCTTGCGCCGATCCTTCCACTTTGCCGCTGCCCAACGGTCCTCTACAGGTAGTTATCGGAGCCCCTTTGTAACAACTCCACCGACGGACATAGATAGCACAGACTCATGATCCTTATATCGCCGTCACCTCATATGACTTCTGAATGGTGTGACTCCCACATATATAGTGTGATGGCAGCCAATTATGGCCAGCTGACGTGCAATGGCATGCTCACAGGTATGTTTTGCGATATATTTTTCTGCTCGATTTCCTGAATCTCTGCTTATTGATCAGGTGGATTGGCGTCGAACCTTTCTGTGCCTTCGGGTGCAAGATCTATACGTGGTGTCATTGACATGGCCTATCGCATACCACAGCAGATTCATCAACTCGTAAAAGCCGCTGCGGAGAGTACAATCATGCTCGTCCAGAGGACATCTTGCCCCCTTGGTCACTTTGCATCTTCATCATGTCCACCCCCAGATCTCCAACTAAAGCGCGGTCTTGGAGTAGTTACATCTGGTTTGTTCACACGTACCCGTCGGATGGTCCGAGGGGGTCTGATGAAAGGAGATTAGGGACTCGTGGGACAAGTCACCTGAGGAGCGCAAGTTCCTGCGAAGGCTTGATGCTGGCCTCATCACGTACGCCGCGTTGTCCTATTTCAGCAAAAACTTAGACCAACAGAATATCACGGTGAGTCTCTTCAACACCTTCATTATTAGCTTTTTATCGCCGCAAATTAGAATGCATATGTATCGGGAATGCAAGAAGAGTATGTGCTGCGTAACTTAACTTTGTCTTGATCGCACTCATTGTTGTTCCTCGCAGTCTTGGCTTGTGAGTGTCCATATCGTGGTACAATCGTATCTAACCGCTTCAACGCAGACACGGGAATGAGCTAAATTATATCACAACGGCGTGGACATGCGGTTATGTGATCGGACAAATTCCTTCCAAGTGCGGGCTTTCTTGTCTTTTGCAAACCAGTGTTGACCATGATTTTAGCCTGCTAATTACGCGAATTCGGCCGTCTCTTTGGGTGAATTTCTATCACGAAATCATTCATCAGTATCGTCCAGGAGATCTGACACAGTTCGATGACCAGATTCCCGCCATGGAACTTTTGTGGAGCATTTTAACCCTGGTCCTCGCTTCGAGCAAAAGTTTCACAACTCTTGTGGTCGTTCGCTTCTTTGTTGGACTTGCCGAATCCACATTCTACCCCGGAATGCAAGTAAGTACTCGGCTCCATGTACCCAGATATCGCAATGAGACGTGCTATGAAAGTATGTTATTGGCAGTTGGTATAAGAAAGAAGAACTAGCAAAGAGAGCCTGTATATTTCATGTGCGTTCTGCATGCCATGTATATTGTGACGGCTCGTAACTCTCACCGTCTGACTTACAGACGTCCAGTGCTGTTGGATCGATGTTCAGCGGCTTTTTGCAGGCGGTACAGGGTTGATTCTAGTTGTATTCTCATGATTCATTGACCAATCTCGGCAGGGTGCGTACAACGGGCTCAATAATGTCCACGGACTTGCAGGTTGGAGATGTTGGTGTTCGTGCACGTACTTTACTTGTTTCAGTACTGATACTACGCACAGGGCTGTTCATCATCGACGGCGTCATCACTGCTCCCATCGCCCTACTCGGGTTCATCATCATGCCTGATCTTCCTTCAACCACCAAGCCTTCCTTCTTACTCTCCAGTGAGCATCTTGAGATCTCAAAACGGCGTATGGAGGAGGCGGGAAGAAGGCGACCTTCTCATTTCACGAAAAAGAAGGTTGGCTCACAGACGGGGTTTTTTTACAACCAGCCATTTCTCTCCATTCGCGGTCTCCTGCTGATAATTTGCATATGCAATAAGGTCCTAGGATTCTTCAAGACGTGGCATCTCTGGATGCTTGTTCCTCGTGCGCCCTATGACAACCATAATAAGCGAAGTGATATCTAACTTTCGCCCCATCTAGTATATGTCCTTGTCTGTCGCCTTTTTATCTTTCAGCCTTGACATGATGAATGATACGTGACACAGTTCAATAATGGGGGTGGTGGATATACATCTATGACATTCTGGTACGCCCTTCCCAATGATTCTCATCAATATCATATTCATGACATAGAAATTCACAAGGCTCAAGAGCTTCAATACATCTGACCACACCGTCTATACCGTCGCGCAAATCAATACATATCCGTTCGGTATCTATGCAGTTCAAATAATCACGAGTGCGCCTGTCTTCACTTTTTTTTTTGAAGGTGCTGACAAGGTACTCACTCTCATAGCTCTTGCGTATGCATGGTGGAGCGATGCAGTGGGTGCCCGCTGGCCACCAATGTTGTTCGCTGGGGTCAGTTGAAGTCGTACATGTTCTTTGACTTTCATTAAAATCGTCTCATCCCTCAGACCTGGTCTATGGTGACTTACATAGTCTTAGCAGCAACGCCTCTGTATTCGCACATTGCAAGGTTCGTATATCGTAATCACGAGCCTAAATCAGGGCGTGCTAAACTTTTCCCCAGGCGCTGGGTGTTCTATTACTTCGTACGAGCTCATACGCAAAGTGGTTTTCCCAACAATTCTGATGTCATCGTCAGACACTCTGCGCTGCAGGATTGTCCGGGCTTATACTTACATGGGCGAATGAACTCACACAAGATGACAATGAAAGTAAGTCCCCTGTTCGTGCCTGACTTCCGCCTTGACTGATAGCCAGCGAATCAGAACGTGCCTTCGTAGTCGCCTCATGCAATATGTGGGCATATGTGTTCCAGGTCGGTGTAAGCATCCTACATATACAACCGCCGTTGACATCCGCTATACACAGGCTTGGCTTCCGATGTGAGGAACAATCTGATCGTCGGAACGTGTTTTTGTTAACATAGATCTCTAGAGTCATTCTTCCGCAAGTTGAACAACCGCGGTATGTATTGTAACTAGCCACTCCGATCACTTAAAAGAGTTGATTTCGAGATGATACAGGGTGTTCAAAGGCAACGTTGCAACTGCTTGCATCAATTTGAGCATGAGTTTGTTGTTTCTGTCACCCTCAAGATGACATACTAATCATCAAATGCAGTGTGTTTTGCCACAGGCACGATGTTCCTCCAACGGCGCGACGAACGGCGCTCTTCCGGGATCGGCTCCGATGAACGCAGCATCGTTGCTGAGAATGTCGAAGCAGACGATCTGGATGTAAAGAGCAAAATTTTAGAGACATAAAGGATTAGGAGAGTGGCCGATGCATGCTGTGATCATGCCTCGTGGCATTCGTTCTTCTGGGTGTACAGTAATAAATTGTCTTATTAGTCTTCGGGTGCGCATCGTCATCCTCGGTACTGAGCACTCAGCAGGCCGAGCGGACAATGTCACTGCAATGTCATCCACATAGTCGAGGCTTATAGACGAGGCCCTGGTCAGGGCGTCCTTAGAGCTTCTTAGAGGCTATAAGGCATCCAAACTCAGGAGCAATCTGCAGAGAAACCGACAAAATTGCCAAGATTGGACCAATATACTGATCGCGAATTTCGGTGCAATCGTATCGATCACACCGGGGCCGTTGGCTGTAGAGAACTTACTAATGAAAGTTAGTAAGGCAATTTACATGATCGACTGCATAAAATATTCGAACCATTGTTGTTTTCACCAGTTCTTCACCTTCGACGTCGTCCATGGATCATTTCGAACTGATATCCAATCATTTCTTGAATCTTCCTCGCCCTGATGTTGAGCTAGGGCCACCCGCTGGAGTCGTTGACACTACCACACTCGCCGCTCATGATTTCGATGTCGACACACGAACAGGGTTCATGCCCCCACAGCCGCCCTTGATCCGCTTGTCAGATCAATGGGAGGCATGGGAGCAGGCATTAGACGATGCCCAGGTGCGGAGGCTTCAGCTTGGGCGCAAGCCTGGAATAACGGAAGATGAGAGAAACCAGTCTGAATCATGGCGTGCCCACATTCGGGAGGTAAGTCCGCTACAATTCCGTCCAAGCGCCGCAGACCAGTACTCACATGCACGCTTTGGTGCAGATGCCTATTATACCGACTTCGAAATTGAATCAGTCAGAGTTGATGCTTCGTCGGGCGCACCACGTCCTTTCATGGACGATGCACTTCTACATTCACTCACTTCCCCCTTCTCCCTCCTCGGAAATCATCATCCCGGCACCGATCACAGTCCCACTTCTTCAAATATCTGCCCAACTTCAGCTACCGCCCGTGGTAACTTACTCCGATGATGTGCTTTACAACTGGGCATTCAAATCACCCCCACTCTCCGATCCGACCGACTCTACGCCTTTACCAGCACCGGCACTCGATAATCTCCGTTGTCTTACCCTTTTCACGGGGACACGGGACGAGGAAGAATTCTATCTCACCAGCGCTCGTATGGAACTTCGTGGAGTCGAGGCCCTTGACCTCATGCGTGCTACTATGGACGAGCTGTTCGTCGGCGATACCATCGCACTTCGCCGCATTACACAGTACCTTCATGCTCTGGGGCGCGTTATTGACGATCTTGCCGCACTCTTGATGACCGTGCGCGATGGTTGCAGACCTGACGTATTCTACAGCGATATCCGGCCTTGGTTCTGTGGTGCCGACTCGAGCTCTGAGCAGAGAAGGTGGATATTCGAAGGACTGGAGGACAATCCAGACCTTGTAGCTCCTACCGAACTGTCTGGCCCTAGTGCTGCGCAGAGCTCGCTCGTGCATGTACTCGATGTATTCCTTGGCGTAGACGAGTATTCCCACTCCAATTCGCTGACAGGGCATCACTTTGTGAAGCCATCGTCATCGTCATCTACCACTGCAACCTCGTCATTGGAATCGGACAAGTCTAAAATCTCGTTCCTTACGCGCATGCAAACTTACATGCCTCGACACCATCGCAATTTCTTGCGTCACCTCTCTACGGCCGCTCGCCCTCTTCGCGAAACCGTTTCCGATAGTCATGACACAGAACTTCTCGAGGCGTACAATGATGCTGTCTCTTCATTGAAGCGTTTCCGCGATGGACACATTCGTATCGTTGCCATGTACATCGTCGGTCCATCTAGAAAGGCCGCAGACGCTGAGCGTGTGGAGTCAGAAGAATTACAGGCCCCTCTGAAAGGGACCGGTGGAACAGACCTGGTCAAGTTTTTGAAGGATGTGAGGGATCGGACGGCGGCGGCTGTCATGAATCCCAAATCTGAATGTTTATGAATTATTTATCTTTGTGTTCTTGGATTTTCACCTAGGTTTATTGACGGCGCGGTGTCTGTCGTCCAAGATAAACCTATGTTGGCTTGTGTAATATTCACATCTATCAGTAGATCTCAGCGCCTTTTGGCGCAGCTATTGGTTGCATAAAATGTCTTCTCATCATCTCGGGATTTGGGCAATATGTTTGAACAAAGAATTGACAGGAGACATCATCCATTTGATAGCGTGTAGCACTACTGTAAAGCTATCCCCGAACATATGTAGCAAGACATCCTTCCTTTACCCCTTTGAAGCAGAGGCGCATACGTCAAAAGGTCTAAGTGGAGTGATGTCTTAGGGTTCAAAATGTGTCTTCGAAACGAGGAGTGTAGGCACCTGAATGACCATGTCGGCAGCCGTGGCATGCCAAGCATAGCCTTGTGATAGTATTAGAAGGAAGATTGACATGGCCACTAGCAAAAATTCCGGTGCATCAGACATTCAATTGCGTGCTTCGGCGCTGATTGGGAGAAGATTTCTATAGGAACGTGCGGTTGGAAAGATGGCCATTCGCTCGTTATGGCGTGATCTTCTTGATCAGACACAGGTCACCCAAACCCAACTGCAGTTCTATGCCGAATCATGCTATGCTTCTAATAGATCGAGAGCATTTGAGGGCGGATCATTAGCCATGTTTATTAACATGACTTTGCACGACACCCAGGGTCGGTTACCGATCAGAAGATATAGATGTCTGTCAATTGAAAAGAGTACCTTATGAACTTTTCCGATCGCCCAAAACGTCGCTGGCAGATGATGCGAGTGGTGTCGGTGTCCTCTCTCAAAATGAATACTCGCGCTATCGTGACTAAGAAGCATAATACTGTGTTGAAGCAACAGGAGTCTATGGCAGCATCGTAATGTTTGTTAGGTCATGCAAAATGGGTTCACCAACAAACAATGTCGAAAAGAGGTAGTATGGAAATGCAATCTAAACACTCACGACGAGAATTGCTCGATAAAAACACTGGATGGCACTTGGAATCATGTAGGGCGGAGTATACAATTATTAAAGCGTGGACTTGTTACGAAACGCCATGAAGAAGGCGTTCCTCCATGGGTAACGGACTGGTTGTAGGATCCGTGCTTCAGTCATCTGGAAGACCTGGATCCGGAAGGAAGACTATCCGCATGATGGCGCCAAATGCCTTTGAATGGGACGTACGAAACGTCTTCGAGCGAGTCAGTGTTTTCGTGACAGTACCTGCGTGCTAGTCAGGAGAACTGCGAGACAATGGATACGAACGCGAAAGAGGGGTTGGATTTGGCCGGTCCAAGGGCGGAACGAAACTTATTAAAGAGATACTATCAAGGATCACATATACCGAATGCAATGAGGAAACGAACGTGTGGCTCGAGGAGATAGGAGCAAATTTCATGATCCCGGTATGACTTCCGACTTGCCCACATACACCACTTTGACATGTTTCAGAGGTGGTGTAGGAGGATACGTGGCTAGTGCCCCCATCATGGCCGTTCTAAGGACGAATGCGTAACGCTGATCAGACCACAAGAATTAGGTTCACTCTCGAAGTTTTACTGAAGACCCAACACTCAATGTCCGAAACTTACAAAGGTCCTAGGCTTTGATTATCCAGAGAGCTGGCGTTCTGCGGTTCACAACAATTAAGACTGGGATATACGTTTCCGCTATGACGAGATATGAGGGAAATTGGCTTGATGCAATATTTGCTATCTGTGCGGGTAAGTCATAGGGCCAACAACAAAGTTGGCTTGGGGTAGAGAGCGCGCCACGTCAATTGTCTTTTCCGTGAAACAAGCGCCAACCCGAGTTGCCAAATTTGGTAACGAAGTAAATCTCAGCTTCGCTCTTTTTGTTTTGCACACGTACGGGCGAGCTCATACTTCTCCTTCGTTATTGTCTTCCGATCTCCTAGAAGTTATCTCCCTTGCGGTCTCTTCATATCGACGACGAACAACACAAAAAGACGGGCCGTTTCCAACACATTCTGGGCGTAGCTTTGAGACAATGTTTCTCCACTTTTGTTTGAGCTCTGGTCCGAGACAACGAAGATCTGGAGTCCCTAAAGATAGAGATTTCTGTCGCGGATATATAATCTCTGAAACAATGGCAAGTACTCACTATCATCCGAGACTAAGGTTCATCTACACAACTCAATCTTCCGAGTAGAATCGCTTCAGCTATGGCCTACTACGCGACACCCGCTGCCGCCAATTATTATACCGCCCCTGCACACACTCATAGACAAAGAGGGTTCCGTTTATGCGATCAGTGTGGAATCGTTGAGCAGCCAGCGATCAGGCAGTTTCGACTTTGCGGTGGTTGCGTACGTCTGAGACCCCCGCTCATTTCGCACTGTGAATCTGACATTGATCGGTACGCGTCTCAGATGACGACCAACTATTGCGTGAGTCATGTGTTCCAATACTACCGCTAGAATTGATCCAACGTCCCTCATTCATAGTCTACGGACTGTCAGAGACTGCACTGGCCTACACACAAAGCCATCTGCAAGCATACCATATCCCAGATCTCGGCCTCCAAACAGCAACCCATCAACGATGACTATCCAGATGAAAATCTTGCCAAACTTCTTCGAAAGTTCACTTCGATGCATACGTCGTTGTTGGGCTGGGCTGGGTTCCAGGGACTTCAGCTCAAGCATGTGCCTGCGAATGTCCGCCAGCATGCGCTCCTTGTTGAGCTCAGCTACCGACCCTCCGCAGACAAACACCGGCAGTACGGTTGTTTCTTGTTCTCGATACCTTTTTCTTCGCTGAAACGCATGTGCATAGATTCACCATTAAAGGCACACACATCGTTCCTCGAGCTTATGTGACAGGCAGCGATCCTCTTGTCGCGGCTGAGATCCAGCAGCGCGATGATAGATGCAGGCGCAGTGGTGGTATCGGGGCTGCTGTCGTGTTGATTCAGTGCGGGGGTCTCAGTCAGGTGATGCCTGTCGAAGTTGACGCTCCAAGCAAGATTACGTGGGATATCCGCGATGATTGGGAGGATGTCCTCCACCATTTCGTCGAGTCTGGTCGATCAGATTTCAAGCCAATATCGACTACTTCTAGAGGGTCAGTAAGCGTCTCGTCGCCTTCATCTATGCTTATCCTGAACTCAACTCGAACTCATCCTTCAGCGTGTATTACGGGTGATTGGCGGCCACCAATTGTCATCCTTGTTGGTTTAGACGAGACCTTCGGTACTGGACTATCGTTGGTTGACTCATCTGTCTTGTTCGATTTTTTGCCATTATCTTGCTACTCTTTTTCCCTCCTTTCATTGGGTTGGACTCTACCAAGATACCTTATCGTTTTTCCTGACGCTCTCTCCGTAGCATTCTATGTCGTTGATCACTCACTGTATTTTTATCCCTCCGGGTCTTCACCCTTCGATCTTGTAGTACTAAATAGTGACAATAATAAGGCTGCCCAACACAACAGAGCTCTCAGAAGACTGCTGAACCCGCATTGGTGGCTGCCCGGCCACGTGCGCCGTGGCCTCAAAGTTTGAAGGCCTATCTCTTGACGATCTTCTCAGAGCCTGGTTGATCTAAACAACCTTCTGTCTTATCAGTGCCTCTTCACCTATGGCAACTTCGTGTGCTCCCTTCAGCCTAAATGCTCATCACCCAAAAATCCCAACCATTTTGTCCAGAGGAGAGCCTGGTCAAGGTTGATTCAATTGTCGCTTCTCAGGGGCTTTACTGTCTCCATCCGACTTGCTCAAGTTGACTGGCCAACAGTGATAATCAGCGGTACCGAACGAACCTGCTTGGTCTCTACAGGTCTCTACACATGACTTCATCCCTATCAGCTCGCTGCCTCTTTCAACCTCCTCGTTCGGTCACACACTATTCTTCCTAGATCTATTGCTCTGCGTGTAAGGAATACTGGACCTACAGATCTTGTCCGGTCTATCGTCTCGTCTACATTGTTACAGTTGTCAATTGCTCTGCATCACGCCGGCATTATGATTGTATGCATATCATCATGACCTACTGAAACTGCGAGTCACGGTCATTTGCCTGCCTCAGATGTGCCAATGAACCTTTTGCATTCTGAGATGGTCATCAGCTTTAGATCGCAATCATTTCCGCGGAAACATATACGGAAGTAGTCGATAAGAGACTTTCTTCGTGTGTTCCCAATCTTCCAACGTTTCTCCATTCATTCATGACTGCCTCCAGTGCTTTAGTGCCGGAGGTCGTCTCGTAACTAGCCTGCGTGGCCTCTATCGTTCTTGTAGTTCTCCCTCGTCCATTACGAGTATCTCCGCTTGCTACAGCGCAAGACGCGACTTGCATAGGAAAGGAGAATGGTCATAGGACGTGGTGATTTTCCTCGACTTATAAAAGAGCTTCCCTCACACAGCGGCTTCATACCCAATCTTCTACTGCTTATTCTTCTTATCCATCATAGCATGGTCATGATTGCAGTCGCGACACGCTCCCTTGTGTTCCTTGCTTTAGCCCTCATTTATCATTCCATCGCAGTTCTAGCGTTTGACATCACTCGCAACGATAATGTATGTGCACGCCGTCCTTGGAATTAGGCTCCCCACTTACATTATCCTTCCGTCCTTCCGGGGCTTTGTAGCTTGCTGTGTACGCCAGCACACGTTTTCCAGGCGAACAAAGTATTAACACTATTTGCAGGTATTGGGGACAGGACTCTGCTGGCAACCAAAAACAACTTTCTACCTACTGTGCAGATGCAACGATAGACAACGTCATCTTGGCTTTCCTCTATATCTTCAACGGCACAGGTGGTGAGCCTGTCATCGACTTTGCCAATGTAAGCTCCCGTGTCTGTGTACCTATGCGTATCTTAACTTTGCCATCGGTCAACAGATATGCAATCAGTACGATGACAGTGTTTTTCCTGGAACTGCTCTCGCCAACTGCTCGTTCATGGCATCTCAGATCGAGGCATGTCAGGCGAAAGGAAAGATTGTGACGCTCAGTCTTGGAGGTGGGACCGGTCAGGTAGGCCTCTCGTCGACGACAGTTGCGCAGAACTTCGCGAACAAGATCTGGAATGAGTTTCTGGGCGGGTCGAGCACGACGAGACCCTTTGGCAGTGCAGTCCTCGACGGGTGAGCCTCGTTTCTCTGTCATGTGCGAGTAATTGTATATTGACCTTCAGCTCCAAGTGTCGATTTAGACATAGAGAGTGGCTCACCAAATCACTACTCTGCATTTGTCAATCGAATCAGATCACATGCTAGCGGCGCATCGAAGAAGTAGGTAGTCCGTCCTTTCCATTAGTTCAATGTTGAATTTTGATGGATCTACAGATACTATGTTACGGCTGCTCCTCAATGCCCGTTTCCTGATGCCAACATCGGTGCAGCTCTGAATGCCGCGTCATTCGACGCTGTCTTTGTACAGTTCTGTATGCCCTCTATGATTTTCTTGTTCGTCGACATCCTCATCTCCTTGATTGCCTCATAGACAACAACTATTGTGGCCTCGATCAACCCGACGTGAGTTTTTGAACCCTCTTCGAAATCCCATGTGTGGCTGCTTACGATACTCATCGTAGGATTACAATTTTAATACATGGTAGGATTGTTGAGATTGTATCAGAGCTTGCAACTTATCACTTTGCTTCATTGAGGGATGACTGGGCGCGCTCCGGCTCTGCGAATCCGGACATCAAGGTATACATCGGTGCAGCGGCTAGCGCGAATGCTGCAGGAGAGGGATATGTAGACATCGGAACTCTGGAGAATTATGCCACGAATGGTCAGGATACATTTGACTCTTTCGGTGGGGTCATGCTGTGGGATGCCTCAGAAGCGTACAGTGCGCATTCTATGTTCCAATCGAGTCTGTATATGCTGATCACCGTTCTTCCAGCGAATCATCGCTATGATAAAGCGATTAAGAATGCGATGACGGCTAATGCTGCTCGCAGTAAAGTCGAAGAGAGAAAGAGCAAGGGTCATTTGGAGTCTACATATCCGGCAGAGAAGCCCTTCCTGCATGTGCAGCTTTGAAACAGACCCGGCAATGCACGCGGGTTCGACACCATGATGCAGCACTTCCGTGATTACGATAATGAATATGTTTTGATAGTAGCACCATCACGATACTTTGTCATACATACACATGGTAGAGAGTAGGAAACCCTGATATTTGTTCTCGGACTTGTGCGGCGCTTAACAGCGCTCAGTGGAGGCAGGCCCCTTGACTCCCCTTAGCGACGTCGCTCACGGTTAACTCTCAGTAAACACGGAATCCAGGTGAACGTCAAGCTCAGTCAAAAAAATGGTCTTTTGTCATGTATCCGTCAAGAAAGTGGCGCGAAAAGTCATGCACAAGTCATAAACTGCCAAAATTGGACACAACTTTCACATGACTTCTGCACTGCTTTCATGACGGATACATGACAAAATACCATTTTTTTGACTGGGCATGACGTTCACTTGAATTTCCGTTTTTACTGAGGGTAACTAGCCTCGATTGGTCATAACTTTGTAATTTCGCTTTGATTCTGCCCTCATCTTCGTCGTTCTCTCTGAGTTCTCTCTGCCACTCAGCTGCAAGCACACGTCTTGATCCATATAGCATGTCCCACACCGTAGCTCACGGCCCTTCAACATCGGCGCCCAGCGATGGATCGCGCACCCTCGTTCTCCACGATACTCAGCCTGAAAGCTCTCGACATGATTCTAACGGCAACGGTCATGATGTCGGACCCCTGCGCCTTCGAGGAGCTCATCGCAACCAGCAAAGAGTCTCGTGGGAGGAAGACGTGATTGATAATGAAGGGATGGGCAAGAAGAAGACGAAGAGTGCGTGCCATGATGCCTTGCATATGCACCTATGCTCGAGCTGATGCCGCACCGTCACTTCGCGCATAGTATGCTGTATCTACCACAGGCCGAAGCAATTCGACGAGTCGTCAGACGAAGATTCTTCCGATTCGGACTCGGACTCGGGCTCGGACTCTGGGCCTTGCCGCACTTCTCACCACCGTCACGGCCATCACCATCACGGACACAGAACACCACCGCATGCACCATCGCATGGCAATGGTCTGCGTATGAAGGATTCTGAAAACGGGGGTGTCATTCATGAGCTGGAAGATGGTGACGATCGAAACGCCTACGAATCCATGCCCTCGAAAAAAGGCAAAGGAAAACACATACCGTGTACGTCCCCCATCTGTCCATCCGAGCCTTATCTACTCAATTCTATTCTTGTAGATTGAGCCGAGTAGATGACCTTTTAGTCTCGTTGCTGTCCGTGTTGTTTGATACCGGCCGATTTGTATCCGTTACATACATGTATCTCCATATGATCACCGCCTGTCTTAGACTTGGCAAGTTCATAGCTCTTACCGTCTTTGACGCCGGAACGACCTACTCCTCGTCTCGGCCCCTGCACCATGTAGGTCCGAGAAAATAATGCTTTCGGTAGCGATGACCCATTTCCCTGGACCCGGATCCGTACAGCGGTAGAAGCGACGCCATCTACGTTTACTGATCCTGTGCGCCTCGGCAGGCCTCAGCTATGCCAGATTTTCAAACTTCAAACTATCTTCAAACAGGACAACCTCCTGCTTACGACTTGCAACCCGTCTTTCTATGTGGGGGAGGTCGGTCGGATTGAGAACCAAGCTGTTGGCGGACCGCCATATAGCATCCTCTTTGCCATCTCTTCCTGCTGATGGTCTCGCCCTAATTTGCTTCTTTTAGGCTTGTGTGGAATTCACATCCGTCTACCCGCCTCTAGCGCAGTTGATGTTACATTGCTTGGCCTGATTGAGGAGATCGTCCTGGATCATCCTGGCGGTGTCGGCATCATTGGGCACTATGTAAGCACTGACACTGACGTGTCCTTCGGCGGATGAGCAGGTTGAGGGTCTGATTATTTCTTCTCCACTCTTCTGCGAGTATAGATCTGCACGGGTTCGGCTCCTCGGGAGTATTGTCCATGCCATTGTCCTCCAGGTTCCGACGCTACGCAGTGTTTAATCTAACTTAGGGACTTTCTCGGGAAGGTGCTAATTGCTCGATGGACGCATCCTGGTACAACTCGTCAAGCAGGACGAACTTTTTTGGATCAGTCGCGTCCTTCGTTGCTAATTACAATAGTGTTACTAGGACCGATGTGCGCTGCTCCATTCCCGACATCTCCGATGTTCGTATTTTGCTATAACAGTAGGGTACCATTGGCCGGGAGCGCTAGAGACATTGCGAGGAAGTCATCGTTCTCGGCAGCGGGATCGGGGCTTCGAATGTTGCGCTGTGTTGGAGTGTGTTGGGTGTGCGAGTGCACGCGTCGAAGCTGAATGTCTTGAGAGCGCAATGTCGAAAGGGCCTAAATTTGGGTCCGCGTACTTCCCCATACTTCCCCTGAATGCAGCCTTCCGGAGATGTCGTTGCATGCATCCCGGATCGTTTCCCACATCGAAGCACGTAGTGGTTCGGGGTCGAGGCGTTCGAGGGGACGGACGTGTCGTGAGTCCGTTATTTTACTTTTTTGAGGTATATGAGGGCTCCTCTTCTTTCGGTTCTGAAGGTGCGACGCGGATGAATGTTGCGCGGACAATGACATGGTGTCACCAGTTGATGGCCGCTGGCACCGTAGACAAGAATACCAAATCTTCGTCGGTCGTGCGCTCATCGCGCTCTCAGGCTGCCTGGGGCCGTCCCGTCTCTCCCACCGATGCGGCTTCTGTGCTTGCTCCCCGTTACGTGTTTGAGTGACGCTGGTACTAGCTTCTTCGAAATATCCCATTCGATGCGGTCATAGGTGTGCGGCGGTCCAGTGACAGTGTGCGGTCTGTTTGAAATGCAGCCTTTGAAGGATGGATGATTTGCGGGCGGCTAGAGGCAGAATGTGCCATCTATCGACCGGGCACGGTGACGCGGTTGCAAGGGATGGGACGGTGTGCAGGCACGCGGGGAAGCGGGCCGAGGGTCGGAAGGGTACGGATGGCCATCTTGCTGAGTCAAGGGATCGGACCAATGAGGCAGGAATGGCCGTATTTGATCAGAGCGCCGCCACAGGCTTCGGCAGCCCCCTGCATTCGTCACTCGGCATGGGACCCCTAACTGCTCCCTCCACTGCATCGCCCAATATCTAACGCTCACGTTCCTTGCCTTTCCTCCCTCTCCCATATCCCCTTCCATAGTTTCCTCCGTCCCCCACATCGATTCACCATGTCCTCCGCCGACGAGGACCAAAACGACGTCGAGAACGGCACCTCGCAGAGCTTGAAGAAAAGGAGAATTCAGAGAGCATGCGACATCTGTCGGCGAAAGAAAAGTATGTTCCGCACAAACATCCCCCATTTTACCCGCTGACTTGGTGTCCAGTTCGATGTGGGTACTCCTTTTTACTTTTCCTCACCGAACCCCACCAGATTGTCCGCGACAGGCGATGGAGGACAAATGCCTGGGAACCGTTGTTCTAACTGTATCGCTTACAACTTCGAGTGCACTTACAATGAGGCTGCCAAGGTAATGTCGGTTCTCATCGTTTCCATGAACATTCGTGAATTCACTCCACGTCCAGAAGCGAGGTCCGCCGAAAGGGTTCGTGACGCTTTTTACACATGGATCATCAAACTCACAAGGGGGTCACGCAGGTATGTGGAGAGCCTCGAGACACGCCTCGAGAAGATGGAAGGGCTTTTGCAGAGGGTATGTCTCCCCCCTTCGCTTCACCACTACTGTCGCTTATTTCCTGCTAGTTATGCCCCGATGCCGATTTCACTCAAGAACTAGGCGGAAATCTCACAAAAGAGGCCTGGTTCCGTGAGCGGTCCGCGTCAAATGTCAACGGTTCTTCTGTGGTGAAGACTGCGACTCCTGGCCGCATCCCCTCTCCTAGCACCATGGCCACTGGGTCCAAGTCGCACTCCAGTCCAACCATCAACGCGGATCTTGAGTCGAGTGATGACGAGCTCATTCAGACTAATTTGCTGCAGGATCATCTCAAGGACCTCTCCATCAACCCTCTGAGCAACCGCTTCTTCGGTAAGTCAAGCGGCGTGCGGCTCGTCAAGACTGCGATGGATCTTAAATCCGAGTATTCGGGGAAGGGGCCTGACGGGAACGCTATCAACCTCTTGGGAAGCAAAAGGCCCGAATTTTGGAACTTACATCCCGTATGACGTCCTCTACTTCCTCCACCGCCGATACTCACCCAATATGTTCTAGTGGGAACGATCGAATCTTGAGTCCGAACGGCGCAATTTTAAGTTCCCTGAACCTGATCTTCTGAGAGATCTCGTGGATCTCTTCTTTCAGCACATTAACTTTTTCACCGGCCTCCTCTATCGCCCTCTATTCGAAAAGGGCATCGAAGAAGGCCTCTACCATCGTGACGATGGCTTTGGTGGGCTCGTCTTGCTGGTCTGTGCGAATGCTTCACGATTCTCCTCCGACCCACGCGTGCTCCTCGAGGGCACGGACTCGTGGCATTCCTGTGGCTGGAAATATTTTGCACAAGTACAGATGGTCCGCAAGTCACTTCTTTCTGCACCATGCTTGTACGATCTACAGATGTATTCTGTGCGTAGCATTCTAGTGTCTCCTCTTTGCCCTCTCATCAATTGTGTCGTATGCTGGGTTAGTTATCTGTCATATTTTTGCAAGGCTGTTCTTCTCCCCAGGCGTGTTGGACCTTGGTCGGCGTCGGCATCCGTTTAGCTCAAGATGTCGGTGCTCACCGACGCAAGGTCTACGGCAATAAGCTCACCGTTGAAGACGAACTGTGGAAGCGCGCGTTCTGGTACATTACATCAACGAAGTCTGGCGCCTTCATTTCTGAACTTTTTTTCTAGGCTTCTCGTCGTTCTGGACAGATCGATGAGTTCATCACTCGGTCGTCCCTGTGCCATCCAAGAAGAAGAGTAAGCATTTCTCAATAATACTTCTTCCAGGGACTCGATCTGAATCTTGATGCAGTTTCGATCTGGATCTTCCGGCAGAATGTGACGATGAGTTCTGGGTACATCCTGACCCTGAGCAGGCCTTCAAACAGCCGGCGGGAAAACCGTCGGTCATGTCATACTTTATCTGCTTCTTGAAGCTCAATCAGATTCTGGCCTTCGCTTTACGGACGATTGTAAGCGTTTTGAGCGATAGCTCTCACTCTTTCTATACGCTTCCTCTGATCCTTTTGTATCTAGTATTCTATCAATAAGTCCAAGATTTTACTTGGCTTTGTCGGGCAGCAATGGGAACAACATATCGTTGCCGAGCTTGACTCCGCTCTCAACAAGTGGGTCGATTCGGTTCCTGACCATTGTAGGTCCATTCTCCAGTTTCTTCGAACTTCGTCACTGAATCAGCTGCAGTACGTTGGGATCCCACGCGGGAACATCGTATCTTCTTCGTCCAATCTGCTAGCCTTTACAGTACCTATTATCACCTCCAGATACTCATCCACCGCCCATTCATCCCCTCCCCTCGCAAACCATCGCCCCTTTCATTTCCGTCGCTCGCTATCTGTACCAACGCTGCACGTTCGTGTAGTCACGTCGCCGACGTTTTGCGTCGTCGGTCTCCGGGGATCCCAGTCCCTCACTTTCAGGTTGGAAACTCTACTTTCGCGATTTCTCTTGTCGATGCTGATACAATGTTTGCTATCAAGCTACCCGCGTTCACAGCTGGAATTGTACTGTTGCTAAGCATTTGGGGCGTCAAACGTTCTGGAGTGTCTATTGACCCTGCGAAAGAGATGGAAGATGTGTACAAGTGCATGCAGGTTCTCAAGGATGCAGAAACAAGGTGTGTGTTTAATGTGTGATCAAGCCCATCGTTAGCCCATGTTTGATTTGCGTTACAGATGGCACTCAGCCGGTCGACTTTGGTGAGTCACATCACTGTCGGAAATGAATTCACTGAAACTGATTACCTCCGAAACATAGGGATGTACTTTGCGAGCTCGCTTCCGTAGGCGAATTGCCGTTGCCGCAACCCAGTCCGCCATCTTCGAAGCGGGAACGAGATTCGGACAGTCCAGGATCCAATACTTATGGGGATTCGCCTCCTGCAGCGACCCCGTCTTCAAATCTGTACGATGGACCAAGACCCATCGCTGGCTCGAGACGTGTCTCCAGAGAACAGTCCATGACATTCCACACATCGTCCAGCTCGTCACATCGTCGTTCTTCTGCATCGATCTCCCATTCCCATGCTGTGTCCACCTCAAGCTACCCTTATCCCGTTCTTCCGATGCACAGCGATGAGCTTGGCCGCTTGCCTTTCAATCCGCCCTACAACACTTTCGATGCCCGCGGTGATCAATCAGTGAACACATGGCATCTTCCCAGCAACGGAAAGGGGGACCACGTCGAAATAGGTTCTAGAGCGGGAACTAGCTCGAGGAGGATTTTTCCCTCCGACTCCGGGGTCGGGGAACAAGTCCTGTCGCCCGTCTCTGATATGTCGTTCAGGAATGAGTCACTGCTGGTCCCAGGGTATGCATACGATGGCATGACCCCCGGCGCTAGCAGAGATGATTCTCAGATGCTACTGTCGGGTACCGGTACGTATCCAGCCGGGATGCATGAGATGACATCGCCCACAAACGGGCAGTTCGGGACGGATAACGAGATAATGCATGACGTGTGGTCTAACCTTCCCTCGGGCTTCGAGTACTTAGTTTCATCTTCTCTCCTGTTGTTCTTGATACTGACCGTACCTTTTGCAATAGGTTGGAAGACTGGGATACCTATATCTCCGGCCTTGGGGGTGTCCACCCATCCGGAAACCCGAACGCTTCGATGCGATAGACATGACGCATCCGTGTATTCTCTCATGTTTCTGATCGGTCTATCCACAAGTCACTGTACACAGCACGATCCCCGTTCCCATTCCCCACGTATCGATAGTATCTTATATCATGTTGGGTCCAATACGTTATCGCCCTCGTCGCGAATAATTTGTAGCAGTATACTTGCACTCGCGTCTCTAGGTACCGGTGTTGGAGTCCGATGTATGCCTAGCTCGCTCTCCCTATAATGTTATCCGTTTGCTTTGCTGTACAATTGGAATGACGACGGCTTCGTTTGATTCTCCTGCGAACTCGATCCAAGACAATTACGTGCGCAGAATTGTGTCAACCCGTATGATGAGTCTGTCGCGGGACACGAGGCATCATGATCTCGGGGAATCTTACAGGTCCCAACACACTTGAACTGTACGTTCTAACACTGCTAGCTTGAAGGGATTTGTCGAGTTTTCGTACGTTGCCCGACTGTCCCCAGAATCCGACTCACGCACTTCAGCGGCAGCGAACGACCATCGCATCAGCCAGTTGGATCGCCGCCGATATCGACAGACAGATAGACAGACAAACAGACAAACAGACAGCGGGCAATGCGAGATCGATGTTGTGCTCGATACATAAATTGACCCCAGGCAGCCCCAAGCTCGCCGTGTCTCGACACCAATCCGGATTATCCGCTGAACGATCCGGAGAGCAATGAGCATCCTACAATCATCGTGACATCATGTATCCTTGCAAGGACATATTACACAGAACGGTGGTGCTCCGTAGTGTTCTGTGTGACTAAAGTCTGTGTGGGGAAGATTCAATACGCACAAGCTATCTGGCCAGCAATCTGTCCGTTCGTCCGAGTTCCGATCTGTTGTCTGGACTCTGAGCGGTGTCCAAAAAATTTTCAAGCAGTAGCTGTGGAATTTAAGATCGTCATGCGAAGTTTCTGTTCCACCGAAGGTCCGAAACGATGTAGCGATAGATGGCAATTGTGAATCTTCGCGATGTTGCTGGCGGTGTTCTGGTAGGCTCCTTCAATTAAATCTCGCCAAGCGGCTCGACGGCTCCGTGCGGTGCCGAGCTTGGTCCTCGGCAAAGAGCGATCTCATCTCCCGTCTGCTTCCTCGACTAGCCTCCAATGCACAATAACGTTCACGTTCAAGCGTCTAAAGCAATCCGGTATTCGGCCATTGGTCACACTCGGCTAGTCATCTGATCGGTTCCGCAAACTTGGGCTCAGTCGATATAGTCAGTACCTAGTCTCCGTTGCTGACCCAATCACAGAAGACAGTCGTTCTGTGTATATAGGGTCTGCTTCCAAATGCAGGGGTCTTGCAGGTAGTCAGGATTTCGGTGTTTGCCTGTCTAAAAAGATGGGGTTTGCAAGAAATGTATCACCAAACCTGACTAAAACAGGGATGCAATCCTTCAACATGATATATTTTGCTTATTGAGTACAATACTGCTTATCGAAATAGGTGAGTTGGTGTCTCTAATAGCTTTTTGCTCCAGCCGTTGGTTCGAGTCCCGATCAAGACAACATTTTACATGCTCCTTTTTATATCCTTACCATCCCTTCATGTCTCTTCTACCATTTGAAGTCAATTCGATCTTTTTTTGCACCTCAAAACTGCCCAAAAACACATTTTGAGCCTTCCCAAGATTAGCACGTGAGCTGCTTTGCACGTGAGTAGGGCTGAGTCTGAATATATATCAAATTCAACTCGAAATCCTGACTACCCGCAAAGGGGGGTGATTTGGATGTAGACTAGTCAGTATCGACGGATTTCGACGATTGTGCACTCGAGCATGGCTAGCAAGAATGTAAAGAAGAGTGACAGAGACTAGTGCGTTCGTCTTCCACACTCCATGCTTGGACATGATGTTTCAATCTCCTTCCAATGCGCTCTATGGCTTACAATGGTCTATTGTGATTGAGGGCTTTGAGACTTTATTCTACTCAGAGGACAAGTCAGGGCACCTGCCAGAACATCTGCAATTGCCTCCTTGAACCCTTGATCCTCTCGGGCCCCATCTGCATTCTCACAACATAAACATGGTCTCGTGATCACGAATCCATCATTGCAGGAGAGAGTACAGGAAAGTATGTGCGTTGCAGACAAAGCAGGCCAGAAATTCTGTGTTTTCCAAGGCTTCGAACAATGGCAATGCCTTATCACACTAAAGAAGGAGTCCCCAGAGATTCACAGCGCGCCGCACGGTCCGAAGGGTATTTCATGGACTAGCGGTCAAGCTGATGGTGAAGAAAGCTCCGGAATAGCAAAAAGCTGCCGGCACATATGGCAGCACCGTATGCCCTACTTGTATGGGTGCGCTCTCACAGTTCACATGCAAGTAGGGTATATACAGGTATATACCTTTTTGTTCCTTTGTCTAATTACGGTGTAGCGTATGTCCAGACAAGGCCTGCTCTATACCTTAACTTAGAGTTAGGTTTTCTGCATGCAGTACGGATTCAAAATCCATGTATACTTGTCCAAGGTCCAGTGCAGATCTGTGAGACTAGGCTGACCGACTGACGCCGAGGTCGTCCAGTCGGAGAGCGGCCCGGAGGCGCCGGACTCTTCGAGACGGATGACCTCCACTCTGAAAAGGAGGTTGAGCGAGCAAAGTGCCTCCGTCTTCACTTTGCTCCCTCCATGGCCGCCCAGCTACCGATTCCAATCTACACATCTCTCGAACAGCTCTACAGTGACCTCGGAACAGCTACCAAGCATGCGTATGTACCCAGTTCCGTCCGAGAGCAGCAGCTGACCCTCTACGAGACAGTGTACGATGGAATCATCTTGTAGAAGAATTTGACAAACGATTTGGAAGGAAGCCGACATTTATTGTGCGAGCGCCAGGGCGCGTGAAGTAAGTCGTCGTTTTCGATGGACGATCGTATATCTCAGTTGACCTGCAACTTCACAGCTTGATCGGGGAGCATGTCGACTATGCACTATTTGGTGTACTCCCTGCAGCGATTGAGCGTGATATCCTCATCGCTTGTGCTCCACAAACCACCTCGCTCACGCATGGCGCGGTCAACGCACAGAACCTGTATCAGAAGTATACTCCGCGCTCATTTACTCCAATCAGGAAGAAGTCCGTTTCAGATGATCCAAGCGAAGCTCAGGTCCACCTCGAGGAGTGGGATCTGGACATTAACAAGAAAGAGCTGCGATGGGAGAGCTATGTCAAGGCTGGATATTATGTTCATATCTCGATCTACAAAACACTCGAAAAGTACTGATTACTCGATCTTGATACAGGGTGTCCTGAACCATTTCTTCCCCCCATCTGCGACAGAATACAATGGGCATCCTGTTCCGATCGACCTCCTCGTAACAGGTACTGTCCCTGCTGGCTCCGGTCTTTCATCGTCTGCTGCAATGGTAGTAGCGTCAACGCTTGCATTTCTCGCCGCAAATAACAAACTTGCGGGTATCACCAAAGGCGCTCTCGTCGAAATGGCTATCGAAAATGAGCAACGAGTAGGCGTGAACAGCGGAGGGTGAGCCCTGACTCTGTCGGCGAAATCTCAATTCTGACGAGCTCAATCCTTCAGTATGGACCAGGCTGCATCAGCAATCTCGACGCCTGCCTCGGCTCTCTACGTCACGTTCTACCCCCGTCTAGCAGCCTCTCCTGTTCCACTCCCGGGCTCCTCGTCTGTAGCATCTGGATCGCTTCCCACGGTGGCATTGCCTCCTCGCGCGGTCTTCATTATCGCCAATTCTCTGGTTGTCTCTGAAAAGGCCGTCCATGCTCGAACGCGGTATAACCTGCGTGTCGTCGAGACGCTCGTTTCTGCTCGCGTGCTGGCTCATCGTTTGGGTATCTCCATGGGCTCCAAAGAGCGTATTACCTTGCGTGAAGTAGTCGGGAAATCAGGTGGCGAACCAGAGGGCGGTTGGACAGAGGATGACACTGGACTAAAGGAAACATTGGAGAAGGCTGTAGTCGAGGTGGAAAATTTGAGGCCGAGAAAGGCAGAGGGGCAGGAAGGCGTCACGATGGAAGAGATGATTGAATGGAGCGGAATGGGTGAGAAGGAATTCAGAGAAGTTTATCTGTCTTGGATTGACGGCGAGTCGACATTCTCCCACTCACACGTCTTGCCTGGGGAATCCTGACATCCCCCTCTCTTTAGTGGAAGCGACGCATTTCCAGCTTTACAAGCGCGCGAAACATGTCTTGACTGAAGCACTTCGCGTCCTTGAATTCCGCGACATCTGCCTCCGCGCCGACAAGGCGCCCACCTCGGGTGAGGATATCCTCAGGGAGCTCGGCGATCTGATGAATCTGTCCATGGACAGCTGCACTGATTTATTTGAGTGCTCTTGTCCGGAGCTCAACCAGCTCACCACGATTGCGCGCGAGGCCGGGGCGTTTGGCAGCCGGCTCACAGGTGCGGGATGGGGCGGATGCACGGTCTCCCTCGTCGCCGAGGAAAATGTGGCTTCGTTCATTGCGAAATTGAAGGCGACATACCCGGCGTATCAAAGTCTCGAGGAGGAGGCGTTCACGGAAGCTGTCTTTGCGACCAAGCCAAGCAGTGGGGCATGTGGTAAGTGCTCCCACCGTGCCGCTCTTCATTGATATTGCTCATACACTTCGATATCATAGTGTATAAGTTTGAAGATTGATGTTCGAGTAACCTAGAGGAAATAAATGCATGCGCATTGTGAATATCATAGGATATATGGCGATTGAGATCATCAGCTCCCGTGGCTCGCCACGCTTCGGCATCTACTTGGCAGCGATATGCATATGAGACCGAAAGAGCCACAAACACTGTTGACCAGTATATTTGGAAGGAACGGTTTACTTGCTTTGATCAAGAGAGAGCAGCTCTGCAAACACACTGGCCGATAACAAATCAATGGTATATGAAAGAACGTAAGGCCCACGTCACAGCGGCGGTCAAAGTCCAAGGCCACAGATTAAGGCTAGAGTAGCCAGGAAGGTATAAAAAAAGAATGTGAAAATCGGTATTAATGAATAGAGAGAAATGAAGATGGGAGTGTTCTGAGAAGACAGTCCTTAACTCGCGTTGCCGTCATCGTTGCTTGAGTCAGGGTGGTCCTGAACCCATTTATCGTAGATCGGGCACAAGTTCTTCCACTCCTCTATAAGATGAGATGTGAGTTGATCATATCTTCTATGATAATGCAGGTAGACACGAACGCGTAACAGGATTGGTGGACTGGATACTAGGGTCATCTTCGACAAAGACCACAGCAAATCCTCTACAAGGCGGTCAAAAGGTCATTTCCAGAAGAGGATACACAGTGCCAAAATACCCACTCTTCGAGATGCCAATCGATATGGCTACAGGATCATTGTTTGTTCAGCGCTTATAGCGGACAGGTGAATCGCTCACCAATGGAAGATCCAAGGCCCGGGATTGTCGGTTCTGAACCGGATAGTGACATTCGAATTGGAGTCTTGAGGGCCCATGCTGACTACGTCGCGGCGGACAGGGTTCGCATAGTTGTAAGAGCTGCTCCCGCCACTGCGGACAACCGAGAATGCATGCTATATTCAAGTGTCATTCAGTATCCTTTCAGACGACAAGACAAGCGTCGAACAACGTACGCCGTGCAAATGGACGGGGTGCTAGAATGGGAAGAGTGTAGTGTCAGCCTCGAATGATGCAGATGTGTTAGGAGACTGGATGCTTACCTCTCCACCCTGCGCCCCTGTGGGGATGGTAAGCTCAATCGACTTGTTCCGAGGCAAGAAGTAAGTGGACCCGGCTGGCAGCAGGTTGGAATTCCCGTTCATGATCTGGAGCAGTGTTGGGACGTCGGGAGACTCGAATGTCTCGCCGTTTACCTTGTACACGAAGGTCGAGTTGTCGGTAGGCTTCGGTGCGCATCACATCGTATGCGATAACGTGAGGGTTCAATACATGACCTGGACGGCCAAAGGGACGTACCAATGGAGCCAATGTGACTTGAAGGTTGATATCAACATCCGCGCCGCCAACGGTAGGAGCGCCGGGCTAAATTCAAGAAGTCAGACCCGACAATACATGATAGCTTGGATGGATGCATCTCTGACGCACCGCCTCAGGATTAACCAGGGCCTGTTTAGTGAGCAGATGATATGCTCAGAATGAGAGCATTGTGATAATCAAGTAGAACATACGTGGACGTTGGTCTCAATCAAGGGCAAGGTGCTGACCGAAAGCGCGTTCTGAGGCTCCGTCTTGGAGGCACCTTTGTAGCGGAAGATGGCAGAGTTGCGACCGCCACTGAAAGAGGTGTCGATGGTCCCGTCGGCGCCTTGAGGTAACATCGGTTTGGAGCGAATCCCTGACGGTATCCTTTTTAGAGGATCTCTCTCTAAAAATCTGGCCGTCACTCACAGTAGTTGTTGATGGGTTGAGAAGCATTGACCTAGTTTTTGTCAATATCTGGCTACAGGAGGACATGCGAAATATCTCACAATGACAGAGTAACGTTGACCTATCAGAAGCAGTGAGGAATTCTACATCAACACCCGGATGACACGAAAGCCTCACCAGCATAGATATTGATAGAATCAACCAAGAGCTTCTCTGTGTATTCACCATCAGCCTCGATGACCGTCATATTGTGCCCGTCGATAGAGAAGACGAAGTTGGGGAAGCAAGAGATGGAGACAAGACGGAAGCGGTAACGTTTTCCTTGTACGACATTGACGACAGCAAGCGGTGCGTTTGCGGGCCCATCTCGAGCTCGACCAAGACCGTTGATGAGGGTGGAAGAGGGATGACTGCACCAACGATGAGTATTTTTGGAGAATATGTGCAAGGAATTACTGACGCTACGTGACCAAACCCTTCCGGAGTCTGAGGGGCGGGGTAATGATACCAGTCGGCGAGTGTAATAACCGTAGATTCTTGATGCACATCAGTACAGCATTGAAAAAATCACCGAAGTGTAGACCTCACCATCATCGACGTCGTACATTGCCTTGTAAGGGTCATTTGGATCATAAATGACAATGACTCCCCGCAAACCGTCGCAGTATTGCGCCTTGTAGTGTGAATGGTACCAGTAAGTTCCGACCTGTTCTCCAGGATTGAACTTATATTGGAAAGATTTGCCGGGAATGATCGGGCATTGCGAGACAAATGCAACGCCATCAGCCCATGTGGAAGTGTGTTGGGTGATACCGTGCCAATGCTATAGTGGTAAGATACCCAGAGTTTGTTAAGTCTTCTTCAGGAATAACAAAGCACAATTCAAGCACACTTACAATAGCAGTGACCAAGTCCATCGTGCCGTTCTTCAAGTTATTAATCACATTGACCGAGAACGGATCTCCCTGTTGTGAGATGAGTTTAGATGCCGGTTCATATGAATAACGCCTCTTACCTTCCTGGCGGTGATGAGGGGACCTGGGAACGTACCCCCAGCAAGGACAGAGCTGTAGGGAGATAGAAGAACGATGGACCACGGTAAGAGTTGGACCATCGACGTACTCGCGGCGAAATCCATCAGGGGCAATGATTCCATTACCGATACGTAGATTAGCGGTGGGTCTGATAGCGGAGACCGCGCCAGTGAGTAGGGCGACGAGGACAGCGAATTTGGACTGGAGAATCATTGCCTGTAGACGATCTCAGTGGGAGGGCGGCTGGAGTCCTGAGAGCAAATGAGAAGAGCCATTTTATACTCCAGAGCAAAAGTTGTTTGACGAGAATGATGGAGTGTAAGAACATGTCCCGTCGCTTTTCAATGGAATGGATGGTAGTCAGTCAATGATACCTACCAATGAGACGTGAATCTCTAATGGCACTTGGAACGCACCCGAGAAAATGTGCCACGGGAGAGTATTAGGTGAGTATTCAGAAAGCACACGCGAGTCGTAGCGAGAGGCATCATTCCTGTTCCGAGCAATGAAAATTGGTGCCATGCGATTCATGACCTATCTGCGATACGCTTGTGGATGATTTGCGGAAGCCTGTTGACAATCAATAGAAGCCGGCGAGTTCTGAAGAATGCAACTAAGAGGTGGAATTTTGAAACCTCTCCATCAATGCAGCCTCTCAAAGGCACGACTCGTATAAATGAGTGAACGAACATCCAGGGCTGATGTTTGTTAAGGAAAGGGATCGCGGAGAAATACGAGGCTCACCCTCTTGTATTGTCAGAGCACTCAAAACCTCAATTCAATAGCGGGCGTTCAGGAGTGTGAGGAGTGCCTGATTGTGCGAAGTTTCAAGAATGATGTCACATAGTCTGCATTCACCTGCATTCACCTGCCATGAGACAGCCTAGAGAAGTTGATGATTTAAGGATAATAGAAGAAGCACTTGCTACCTACCTCGCCAAATCACTTCCCATGAGTGACTGCCAAGGAAATTTGCTGCTCTCCATCCATTATCATGGACGTCTTCGCAGATACACACTGTCATTATAGAATCATGGGGAAGAGCTAGATGATAATTGCCTCGGATTCCGAGAAAGATGCTGACACTCCTGACAGGGTATGGGACTGGGAAATTGATGGAGCGCGAGGCATGCTCGGTGCGAGCTTCATGCCGGGTTTTTGATATGCGACTGCCACATGGAAGGCCTTTCTAGTCATGGAGGGACCATGTAGATGCTTGAGAGACTTTGTTACGATTATGTTAAATGCCGATGTACAAGTGGCAGACCCCGGGAGGCGGCTGGTAACAAGGTGACGCGGATGTTTTGACTTACGCTCTCTTTCTAAACAGAAAAAATAGATACGTTTGAATGTTGGGTGTCTTGAAACTATAGAAGACAAAAAGTTTAGCTTGAGTCGACGGATGCTGGCGTCCATGTATGAAGATAGACACTGACGTTTCTCGTGACGTGATTATTGTCTCCAGTACTGTCGATGATTCTATTGAAAGTCTTTGCGTTAGATGCTCCACGACTTGGTATTTAATAACATAGAGCGTTTGTCAATTTGGCTTCAGTGACAAATGACGTATGAGGTCGTAGCAAGACTGGCTGTAACACTGCTTTTATTACACCGCAAATTACAGGACATACGAGAAGAAGCATGAAATTATCGAGGGGTTGATACGCAACTCGTGCAGTGTTGCTGGCGTCTTGAGCTCGTCTTAGAGGATAGTATTAGCTTTCGTTCAGCTTCTGTTCAGCTTTCGAATCTACTCATGATTGCGTTGTAATATCGCAACTTGATCCCTACAGTCTGCAGGCAACAATGCATCCGACCAGTCGAAGATAGCCATCATGTCACAGAAGATGTACGCTCGCGCTGATCAGACTGATCATTCCTTTGCAAGCCGCCCTCTGATACACCTTCGCTGTGTTATGTCCACTATCAAGATATCACGAACAACGACAACTCCACATTGCACAGACTGGCACCCCGTTCTCACAACTGCCCGGCCACCAGACCAGTCCCTGAATTAGAGCAGTTCGGTGCCCAATGATGACAAGGTTGATGGGGCGGTCAGAGGTCAACGCAGCAATAGCGACGAGATGAAGCCAGGATCGAAAAGTATTAGGACAAGGCGTGTGCAACAGATCAAAAAGGTAAAGCTAGTAGGATGTCGTCGTGACAGGGAGTTTCAATTGAGCGACCAATCAGCGATTGAATTTCCTTACTCTCCCCAGCCGGCGCCTCCGACGCGTTCCCGCAAAATCACTCGCCAAACCCACACCTGTATCTTACTGAGGTCCTTTACAATCCTATCATTACTTCGGTTCTGCTTAATGACACTCAAAGGGATGGCTTGGAGAAGCTCTGTGTTGGTACGCCATCAACTTTACATTTACAAAAAGCTGCGTTATATCGACCAGTGAAAATCACATAATGCAGAACAAAGAACAAAGAGCACAGCATCTTTAGACCACACGTTGGGGGAAAAAGCGTGCCGCCATACCTCATCACCACTGCGGTCCATCAGGACGTCTTCAGTTCGGGTGGGTCAGGAGCCATGTATTATAAATCGGGCATAAGGCAGACCACTCCACTGTTAGATTGCAAGCTGGTCAATATGGTATCAGACTATAGGAATAAGGATAGACTAACGCGGAACTGGGTTTGTCAACGCGATACTGGGAACATCTTCAGCAAAGACTACGGCGAACCCCCTATAAAGCATGCAAAGGCTCAGCTTCGGAAGTAGGGATGAATTAAGAGGTTTACTCTTCGAGATGCCAGTCGATGTGGCTCCAGTGACCGTCATTAGAATATTCATTTAGACGACAATTACAATTAAACAACGTACCAGTGGAAAATCCAAGGCCCAGGATTATCGGTTGTGAATCTGATAGTGACATTAGAGTTGGAGTCTTGAGGGCCCATGCTAACTACGTCACGGCGGACAGGGTTCACGTAGTTGTAAGAGTCGCTCCCACCGCTGCGGACAACCGAGAAGGAATGCTGTATTTGACGATCACTCAATGATGACTTGATGAAAAGCGAGATTTGACAAAAAAAAAACGTACGCCGTGTAAATGGACGGGATGCTAGAAAAGAGATGGAGCTATCAGCCTTGAAAAACCTGTGGGAAGATTGTCAACTTACTTCTCCGCCCTGCGCGCCTGTAGGGATTGTGAGCTCGATGACCTTGTTCCGCGGCACACGATAGGTAGACCCGATAGGCAACAGGACCGGTAACCCGCTTATAATCTGAAGGAGTGTCGGGATGTCGGGGGACTCAAAAGTCACACCGTTCACTTGGTATACAAAACTCGTGTTGTCAGAAGGCTGTTCGTGTCACAGTCAAACAACATGCGATTGAACAGGACGAGGAAATTGAACAGACTTCTTGTACCAATGTAACTTGAAGGTTGATATTTTCATCTGCGCCGCCAGCACCGGGAGTGCCGGGCTGAACTTGATTGTTAGCATCAAAATAATTTGTAGAATATTGAATCTAACGTACCGCTGCCGGATTGACAAGCGCCTGTCGTTATCGAAGTTAGATGATCGATGAAGCAGTACATGGTAAAGTCAGACATACGTGGAGGTTAGTCTCAATAAGGGGAGCCGCGCCGTTCCCTGAAAAGGAGGTTTGAGGCTCCGTCTCCTGAGCGCCCTGGTAGCGGAAGATGGCGGAGTTGCGAGTGTTGCTGCAAGAGTTATCGATAGTCAAATTTGCACCCAGAGGTAATATTGGCTGAGAGCAGATCCCTGTTCAAATGTCCTTGTTAGTGATATTTTACAAAAGATAATAGGATAGTCACAATAATTGTCGACCGTCTGCGTGGCATTGACCTGGCTCTTTCTGTGAGTACAAATTTACAACAGAGGATGGAAGCACTATACAACGACAGAATAGCGTTGACCTAACGGGACGGATTATTAGATCTAGACCCTGGAGATAACGCCAAAGGCTCACCAGCGTAGATGTTGACAGAATCAACAACCAGCGGCTGCGTGTATTCACCGTCCGCTTCAATGACCGTCATATTGTGGCCAGCAATGGAAAAGATGAAATTAGGGAAACAAGAGAGGGAGACTAGACGGAAGCGGTAACGTCTTCCTTGAACAACATTGATGACAGCAAGCGGGGCGTCGGCAGGCCCATCCAAAGCTCGGCCCAGACCATTGATCAGTGTGGACGCAGGGTGTCTGAACAACAATCAATTACTAGAAGAAAAAACATAGAAAACGACTAACGCTACGTGGCCCAGTCCTGGTTGAACTTGAGGCGCAGGGTACCGATACCAGTCGGCGAGGGTGATGACCGTAGATTCTGAATCTATTTCAGTGGATTTCTAAAGGGACAGCGACCTAGGATCGTTACCATCATCCACATCGTACAAGCTCTTGTAAGGATCGTTTGGGTCATAGATGACTATGACTCCTCTCAAGCCATCACAGTATTGCGCTCTATAATGCGAGTGGTACCAGTAGGTACCGACTTGATTTCCAGGATTGAAGCTGTAATGGAAGGAGTTTCCAGGAACGATGGGGCATTGTGAGACGAATGCGACACCATCGGCCCAGGTGGTAGTATGCTGCGTGATGCCGTGCCAATGCTGTTGAAAACTGGATGAGGCATTTTCCGGCGTCTTTTGTGGACAACAAGGCACTCACGACGGCAGTGACCAAGTCCATTGTGCCGTCCACCAGGTCATTGTGAACATTGACCGAAAACGAGTCTCCCTGATATGTACAATTTCAGATGAATACGATCGCCTAAAAGGAGAAGGAAGCTCACCTTATTGGCTGTAATGAGTGGACCAGGAAATGTACCCCCAGCGAGGACAGCGCTGTTGACAACCATGAGCCGTACGACTGCCGCATAAAGTCATCCACGTACTCGCGATTAAACCCATCAGGAGCAATATTTTGATTGACGATGTGTAGGTCCGAGACGGGACTGATGGCAGAGACTGCACCAGTGACCAGAGCTGAAAGGACAACAAACTTCGACTGAACAATCATGGAGAAGACGCAACTCTGGATCAGATGTCTGGAGTCTGCTGAACTACAGAAAGAGTCAGGTCGTTTTATACCCCAGGATTGTTATTTTTGTCGAGATGCGTCAGCAGAGCTGTAGGCGCATCCCAATACAATGGATGTGAATCATTGAAGTCCACAAACCAATGCGACGCCCCAACGACAAGCTACAGCGGAATGTTCTCAACCGGTTATGTCACGGAACAGGTGTTCTTGTTTCCCGCGCCAAGGAATAATTGCGGTTTCAAGTATCAATGCTATGCGATTCGTGACTTTTTAGGCGCGTCTGGGGTCGAAGTCATTGACAGAGAATAGAAGCAAAGCCTACAGAACCGGGGTCTCTTCCTTTTGCGCCAATTTCTTTGTGAAGATTAAAATGCAGTATCAACAGCCCCATACAAGGACAGAGAATTCGGAAGGCCTACTACTATTTTTTTCCTGGAGAGGGCTAAAGGGTTTTCTGGTCTATGAAAGAGCTTGTATACAGATCATGCAACAACAAGTTCTGTGACCACGTTTGACATGTCTAAAAAAACATGCATTGAGCTGCCATGTCAAGAGCGCCAATGAAAAGTGCACAACTGGCTGTACCTTCTTGTATGATGATGACGACACACATCGTCGAAGAAGAGCCAGACAAGTCTCACAGGGACAGAAATTCTCTCGTAACTGTTATACAGGCTGTCAGGATTTGTCCACAGACCGTCACTGGTAAGCTCGGGGGACCTGGCGCATGACTACCTCGAATCTCGAGGCAGAGAGCGGGTGTTTGCGAAAGCATGGAATATGTTAGTGTGACTTTCATGCCGATATCTTGTTTCATCCTTGTCTATGGAAGAACATCCTCGGGTCGGCAAAACCGAGGTTCAAGGAAGCTCGGTAAAGCTCCTGTGACAATAAGGCGCTTGGAGAACGATAGAAAATATAGAAACAAATGGATGATACGGACCGAGCATGAACAACAACCTCTCGGCGGAGACGGCCATTGTACTGTGAGAGGCGCTGAGCGAGACATACAACAAGACGAGAGTTGAGATGAACTGGACGATGGCGATATTTGTCGCGTTTATGAGTGCTGTCACTATGTACAGAGCACTGTCAATGGGGCACCCTCGGGCATCCTGTGAATGAGCCCTAAGATGGCGCAAAAGTCTGTCTCCCTCTGCAGTATATTTCCCTGCATAGCGCCTGCCATCCTCTGACTATGCACGATGAACTATCAATCGGCGTAAGGTATGCATGACGAGTGAGACGAGTGTGGAAGATGGCCTCCTAACATGATTGCATGCATCAGTAGGCGTCAGAACAGTGTGGTTTCGAAGAGATCCGAGTATATCGTTGTCATACATCCCTCGAAGACTGAGCAGTGATATATACCACATTCATTGTAAGTGAAGATTCTGATAAAATCGTGATTGTGTCGCAGTGGCCGAGTAAGGAGTAAGCTGTTTTTTTGACATCGTCTTCAGTCAGCGACGTACGCCATGGATCACAGAGCACTTACTGTCCGAAGGTGAGAAATTTGGAACCCCGGATAGGAACGCTATTGATGAACCTGTGTCAGGCTCTCGCGGGCGGAAGAGGTAATATGTACGTGGGCCTGCACTCGCCTTGCGAAGTCAGCTTCTGTTTGATCAGTCAGCAAACGCGGTGCGCAGAATGATCAAAATAATCACTGATTACATCTCTCCCGACACAACATGGGCCCTGCCCAAGCCTATGTCGCCCTCTCCAAGATCCACAGAACCTCCTCTGTGCGCATCGCTAATACGTCCAGAATACCACGCACTCCACGCTGCCTCACCAAACCTCTCACGTCCCGCTGGACCTCCCACCCTTTGAATGCCTGTATGGCTCCGAGGACCACCCATTGACCGCTAGATACGAACGGCACGCGGTCCTCAGCAAGAACGTGTGTAATTCGGCGGTCGGACGTCAGCGCCGCCGCGGTGACGTGCTCGGTCTTGTTATATACCCAACCCGCCGCCAGATTGTGACTTGAAGGAATCGGGTAGAATGGCGGAGCGTGATTTTGGAGAAACAGCGAGGCACCGGACTGAGCGGCGAGGTTTGCGATGTGTACGTGTACTGTGGTACAAAAGGCAGGTCAGGAAGAGTGGCTGCGTAGATGTAGGTAGAGGTATACCATGTTGCACATTAGAAAATCCATCGTTGAGTTGCGCGAGCGCGGCGCCGCCAGGATAGTTCGCCATCGAAGCGCGCGTGTGCAGGATAGTTGCCATTGTGGTCAAGCCAAATAGTCCTGCGACCGTGACGAACGCTAATCTACCTATGATACGACCCTTTGGCCTGCCAATCCTACAGAATGGATGATGAAGATTGGAAATTAGACGCCATCCCTTCTCTGTGAAGTTTTGCAACGTGGGTTACGCACAGCCAATGAGCTCCTCGTGCCGCGGCAACATTGAAGAGTGGCACTACATAGACTACAAAGCGCCACTCCTTATGCCCAAGCGCGCTGATAAGCGCAACGAACATTACCGCGGGTCCTAGCAGCGTACGGATACGGTGATCAAGTGCAAAGCCAATTAATGCAAGCGGTCCTGCGCCAAGCAGGATCTTCGGAAGATGCGAGGTAAAATATGCGTGGAAGGGCGAGACCTACGCACGAGGAAAGAGTATCCGTTAGCATCAAGGCGAGAACAAAAGGAAGACGGCGCATACACCCCAGTCTGCGCTCTTTCCCTGGAAGACGTTAAAGTAGATCCCTGCGAGCTCGGGCCAGAGAGGCCATCGATTCCATACATATGAGTCTACTAGCACGGTGAGTGCTACAGACGCAAATCAGTGAAAACATCCACAGAGTCTTGGGTGAAACGAACCGATGGAGCCAAGGCCCGAAAATACCCCCAGCTTCACGAGACGAACAAAAGTGATCTGTCTGTTCCATAGCGCCTGAAGAGCAATGGGGCCCAAAAGGAGCGTGACCTCGGCGCGGAGAACGACAGCGGTGAACGTGAGGAGCGCAATGGCGGCGCCAAGTTTGTGCTGATGCAGGCGCACAGTGCTTTTTTCACAGTTGAGAAGGAGGTATGATACAAAATTGACTGGCGCTGGCTCAGAGGATGGCGTACTCGAAGGCGGTGCTAGAGATTATCTTACCGGGTGCAAGAGCAAACATATTAGGCAGGGTGCGGCCCATCCAGAAGGGGAGATGAAATTGCATGCAAGTGAGCAGCGCAAACGCGAATGCGGTTGGGTGGCCGAATCGACGAGATACGACCCGCCGGATGAGACAGATGATGAGTGCGTTGAAAGAGGCGAGGACGAGGCGAACTGGAAGAAGGGCTTCTGACTACAAGAGGCGAGTATGAGAGTTCAAAGACGTACCGATTATTTGAAGGTCAAATTTTGACTTCACAATGCCGAAGGATTGTGCTACGGTGATGACAGGCATTGATAGCCAGGCGAGGAGAATGCTGCCGATGAAAGACCTGGGCACCGCACCACTAAACACGAAGTGATCATACTAGACAACGAATATCGTCAATGGTAACTGAGTGAATGCCTAGACAAGCCTCTACCTCGAGTAGCGAATCTGTGCCTATACCGTACATGAGCACGTCGTGGGTCGCGTGTAGATTGAAGCTCTCCTCGACCTTTGTATATGGTGCGAGCAGAACATGTGTGCAGGCGGTCGCGACGACCAGCAAATCGAGTACTGCACTCATGGAAAGCAAAGTTGTAGAATGTTATGAAAAATCCAAGCTGATGTTTGGCATAATAGAGTTGCCTCTGAACCGAGGGAGGCGGAGGAGTGGCGGATGGAGGACGCGTCGCGACTGAGTCATACGTATTACGCTCTCACCAATGGAAATGTATGTGCCTTCCCCTTTGTCGAAGCTATTGTATCCACATGCCTTCCAATCAGTTCTACTAATCCTCCAACTGTTTCTCGTGCCGCAAAGAGTTCCCAGGAATGAATCTCAAGCGGTGCGGCCGCTGCAGAGGGCCACTGTACTGTGTCAGTGTTTTTCCACCGCATGCCCCGTGACAAGTTGCGATTGAACTCCCTCTGCGCGGAGCTCCAGATGCCAACGTGAAGACTGACCGGACCACAAACCAAGATGCCATGGCGCAGCGATCTGGTATGATAAATACCGTACCTGCAAGGATGGCAGTGTGCATGAGGGCCGCCTCGAACTCATCATGTGGGACGCGTAGAACGACGACCTGGAAGAGATGATCGAGTGGGGTGGGGTCTTCAAAAATGAAGTCCCAGAGCACAAGCACATGTTTGAGGTTGAGCTGCAGGGTGACTTGAAGAATTTCTTCAAGCACTGGCCTCAAGGATTCCGCTGGACGTGCTGCGGCTTGGCACTCAGTACGGATGCGACCATCATGGTTCCGGGAGCAAGCCGTGCACATGCGATTTCTGCAGGTAAGCATCTGTGCGACCTCTCCTCTTTTGACAACTCACGGCGACACTGGTACTTGATGGTTGCAGAATGGGCAAGCCTGTCACGGATGAGATCTTCAATGAGAAGAATTCTGCGAATTATGGTTTGCAGCTGCGTCGAGGACCTGACCCACGGTATACCCCTCTCTCCTGTATCAGTTATTTCACCACGCTCATTTTCTATCTCATCTCTAGTTCCAGCCTATATAATGCTCCGATCGCCACTATCTGTCGTCAAGCTCGTGCCATGCCTAGCTAGGATGTGTACACGATAAAGCGTCCATCCTCTGAACAAAAGAGCCACTTTTGGGCCTGCTATATGAGAGGAGAACATGATATGGCTTGCTCTATGCTCACAATCTGGGGTTTGTTCTGTTTTAGTTGATGTAATATGTACACTAGAGGAGTATACTATCCCGATGTTTCAATTACTTTGTGGGTAGGATTGGGAAATCCGACTTTACCTTAGAGGTAAGTGATGTCTCGCCTGCGATTCGTCTGAGAGCACGCATCTGAATACAACCAGCATGTACGTATACGCTGTTTTGCGTATAGTGGTCAGCAAACACCTTATCCCTGACCATGCATATACAGCAATCATGAGAGCCTGGGCATCTGTTTCTTTGTGAATACTATAGAGGGACGCGACAGCAGTCGCGTTTCGGTGAATTACAGACATCGTGTAAGGGGTATCATCGTGTTACTCGTTCATAGTGTCGTTCGTCCATCCGTTCGCTCCAAAGTCATCCGGCTCCGCGTCAGAGTATACGGACCCCTCAGGAGTTCTCGGGGTGGGAATATATAGTATCAGATGTCGTGTTTGCGAGTTTGGATATGTACGTTCGCCAGTCGTCGGCCCTGTCAATCCAGCCACGCTATGAGTCCGTCCGATGCGCTCAGATAGGAGGGTTGTCGAAACTCACATTACACCAGCAGGCATACTCGCCCACATGGCTCTGAGTTCGTTATTGCCCAGCTCTGGCATGCCTTGGAGAATGTTCTCCACGTTCTCTGTGTCATGAGCCTGGTCGGAGATGGGAGATTTCAAGTTTGGATGTACGTTCAAATCAGGGTAAAAGTTCAGCTGCAAATTCGGTGGAAGGTCGCCGAAATTGGAAAGGTCCAACGGAAGAGATTCGCCTCCGCCCATAGGTCCCACCGGTGGTATCTGCGATGTGCCATGCAGGAATGGATCGGTATTTGCATAGTTCAAGGGCACATGGCCGAAAGATGGAGTCTGTATGGCGTCCTGCATGTTGTAAAAATGGAGCAGCGGATCTAGAGAGGGCTCTTGCACCATCGGCTGGAACTCCTGGGACCGCCAGTCCACTGGGATATGCTGAAGCTCGTCGGAATGTTCGGGAAGTGTCGCATAGGAGTACGCACTCGTATGCGACATCGTCGGGGCTTGGGCTGTAGCGAACATCCGCATTTGGTCGACTGGAGGTAGAAGCCATTCTGTGGAGCCGAAATCTACGCTGGATCCATCATTCATGACGTCTATGGGATTTGACGAAGACATTGATGATGGAGGATCAAGGAATGGGGGCTGGTAGGAAGACGAGGCAGTACGTCGGGAGGACGCATCCTCCGGGTTTCTGCCCCGCTTCAACGACGGTGGACTAGGCTGCAAAGGGGGTAGACCACCCGCAAATGCCAGTTCAGACAGAAGATCACTGAAGTTGAAAGTTGTGAGCCATCGCTGCAAAAACAGGAGCCGAGAAACTTACACCAATCTTCCTGCAACAGGCCACCTACATGGTTGGGAACTGGATTAGTAGGACGAGCCTGTTGCTGACGCAACCACTTGCCTGGTCTCACTGTCCTTTAGAACCTGCATGCAAAGGTGAACGTCCTTCATCTCCTTCGCGGTGTCGACCGACATCCCAGATTTTTTTCGTCCCCATACATTGACTAGGAGAAATATGCCGGCAACAAAAGCCGGACCCTACATGTCTTATCAGTCTTTCAAGGCCAACCCACAAAAGGTCAGAATCTGACCTGGAAATTGGGCGACATCCTGATACCTGTACGACGCCGCATAATGTCAAGCACGTGGCTGCATGCACGCGCTGCATTCGTGCAGATGGCGAGCGACGGAAAAGACTGGAGGGAGGATTTACGCGTGGACATGATAAATGGGCGATGTACAAGTATTTGCACGGCGTAGTACGAAGCGTACAGGCAGGCAGATTGCTTGAGGTGAACGAGATTTTCGCGCGTTGGGTCCCAGCGTACTAGAATTTCAAACTGTTGGAAACATCACGGGATATGATGTAACAAGACTCAACTTACGATGATCAGGAAGAGAGTCAATGTACTTGTTCAGCTCGGAATCTAAGGCGATGACTACATCCTGTTCCCATCGCGGGTTGGTGTTTGCGCGCAGGTGCTTTGACTTGTTCGTCGCATACTACGAGGTGCAGAGTAAAAATGCATATTCGAACATGAGCGGATAGAGGGAAGGAGATATGACCGCACCAGGGTTCTTAATGCAACATTTTGAATTCGGTGAAGCTTCAATAGATAGATGAAATATGATATATTCGGCGAGATTTCTGGCGGTTGTTTGAAAGCCAACGTGGGGTTGGGATTGTCCCAGTACTCGTCATCACATTCAACAGGAAGGTCAACGTCCATACTGGCAGCGCGTCAACCTAAACTGCCGGTTGTATCAAAACGATCACTTACTCCTCATCTTGCATCGCGCAGGGTCGGCCAAGAAGACCGCTCGTTAAACGATCTAGGAATACAATACACCTGATAATACCAGCATGATGAGGTGCTGCCTCGCTTGTCACCAAGCGTGCGCGGGAAAGACTGACCAGAACGCCCTCTTCCACATCTCATCTGTCATGTTGCGCGTAGATGCGTAAGCCTTCTTTCGATGGGCCCCAACGTCTTGTGCCTGGCGAATAGTCACCCCAGCCATAATCCAACACGCCTGCGGAGGAGAGCAGCCATACATAAACAGTAGAGAAAGCTGAGACGAAAAATCCATCAACAAAGAACAGATGAAATGAATAATAGGTCTCACAGCGCTCATTTGCAAGTCGTACAGCCGAGGCGCGCCAAAAATCAGCCGCCGTAACCTACGTACTTGAACAAACCATTTCCAGCCTGCTGAATGGCGGTTATTCGTGCCTTCAAGGAGGGCACGTGGGTCATCCGAGTGTCGAGAGCCTGTAGCACAAACAAGCAACGCCACGCCAGCGAAACCTTTGTCGCGAAAGTGTAGACCATCTGCGATGGCTTTCTCGAATGTCGGGCGGTGAAGTATGGGAATGAAGATGTGGATATGTTCGAAGAAGAGATTGATGAACTCGCGCATTAGGTCTGGCTCGGGGAAACTCAGCTCATCATGTGAAAGCTCCCACTGCGGCACAGGCCCGCGTCAGAGACAAAAAAGAAAAGAGGATACAACATAGGCATGCACCTGTTGCAGCGCTTCTGAAAGCGGACCCGTTTCTCCGCCTCTCCGGAGCGCATTTATACGCTCGTCGACCTCTCGACCCGCATACTCAGACCCAAAGTCCTTCACTTGTTGTAGAATATGCACTGTGCTGGATTCCCCCATGAAGCGATCCTCGGAAGGTTCGAGAGTTAGGCCACTAAGTTTGTTCTCGAGCAGCTGGATTGGCTCGTAGCCATTGTCGCCGCTGACTGACAAGTGGCTGGGGCCGGCTGTGGGGATATAGGACGGCGGTTCCGGAGAAGAGACACGAACTGGGCTGGCACGGTTGGCAGTCGCTAGAAAGTCTCCGCCTGGCACCCGATCCTGAGACCAGCTGTACGGTTCGATCGATGGGCCTAACTCTTCAGAAAAATCTGCATCGGGGAAGAGCTGATAGCGATAAGCAGCGGTATAGTAGGACGCGGACCTGGGCTTACCTTTCGAATCAATTCTTCTAGTTTCCGATGACGCGTCTCGAGGCCGTCGATATAGCTTCGGAGAGGGCTTCAGAGCGCGCATCGATTGGTCAAAGGTTGGAGAAACGTACGCTTTTGGCGGCCCACGCTTCTGCACGATGTTAGTGAGCAGGAGCTAGATGAATGAAGAGGAGAGCATAGAGAGAGAGGGTGCCGAGACTTCACCTTTATGAGCTGGTTATAGGTGCATTCGAGATCCTCGTAAGTGCAATTGTCACACTTGCCATCTAGCGTGGCTTGAGAGTCATTGCCTAGGGTAGGCTGAGTGCGAAGACCGAACGGCTGAAAGATCAGGTAACCTTACAAGGGACTGCGTAAACTCGTAAGTGTAAACGTTCCTCGAGGTTGGCCGCGTCGCGAAATAGCCACACACCTTTCCTCGACCTGCACTGATCACATGTACGCGATATCTGAACCCGCCTTTTCTTCGAGGTGTGCGAATGCGGCCCATCGTCGTTGTTCTCTCCCTCAGATGATGACATGGCGAGCTGGGAAGGAGCTTAGGAGAAGAGAGTCCGACATCCCCGTCAGTATTTCACAGTTTCGAGTGCAGTCGCGGAGCTGACATATGCCCCGCCGGCAAGTTGACCGCTCTATGCCGTAACTTTACATCTCCTTTGCTCTCTCGAACGGTTTCGTCGAAATCCTTGTCTGCAAGGCCGTGGCCGCTATCATATTACTATGCATGCGACATTCGCCTTTGTAATGGCGGTCCCCTCAAATACTGGTGCACCGTTGTGAGCTCAACTGGTGGAAACGGTGTGGTCTCATCTGGAGAGTAACGAGAGTTGCCGCCATTCCCCTTACAAGAGGCAACAACTTCTCCAATTGCACAGTAGATGCGCACACACGTGCGAGGTCAAGGTACGGACATCACCCGTGATAGGTGAACACAAAACCGACTCGATCGAGGTGTTGTGAACATGCATCGAGTGGTGACGCATGCGGGACAATGCAACCACCGTCCTTGTCACCGAAAAGGGCAGGAAACCTGACGCTGTCCGTAGAATCCCCGCCATCACACTCCTTGTCGAAACACTCTGGTGTGGCGAGATCAGCGCTCAACGCTCAGTTATCACGCTGTCGTTTCCTCATCAACAAAATGGCTCAAATGGGTAAATGAAGAAGACGGCATCAAAGCCATAGGCGTTCACAGGCGTTTACTCACCACGCAAAACATCGATTTGGCATGTGTAGATCCCCCGGGGGTGCCTCCCATCGGACCTCAGATGCAGCAAGTATTGTTGATGAGAAAATCATGCTTGTATGCGGTGTACCCCGCTTTCGGATTGGATTTAGCGACTGCTCTGAAACATGGCCGAGGAGGATTTGTGCAATGGATTCGGGACAGCATGGCAGCAAAGGCGTGGTGCCTGCGCGCAGCCTTTCACAAAAGTCAACGTCAAAAGCACCCGGGCGAGGGCAACTCACGCATATGATCGCAAGTGAAACGTCAGCAATGGGCTTTCCCTAGGTGGTATCTCATCATGAACACGGATGGCTAAAGAAGACTGCGATGCCCCACACCTCCAGACAAGTGGTGGTCGCCTGGAATTAGTTTCGTCTCCTGCGCAAGCCTGGCGCGGACAGTTCCCCGTAAGACAAGCACCTTGCGAGCTAAAAACAGCGCTTGTCAAATGATGTGTACACGGCACCCGATGCTGACGCGCGCGTGCGAAGAATGGCTGATGTCAACGATCACTGAGCCCCACGGGGTATCCTACCTCGGATATGCGATAGCGCGTTTCATCGGCCTTACGACGAACACGTCCAGGTGTACACTGTCCCGGGTGAGGCGTTTGTACGCACGAATGTTGGCACATGATCCGCGGAGGGTCGTAAGGGCAGGCGGCCTGACGAGGGGGGGCTTCATTTGCAAGCTGCGCTGGCACAGCGGTGGGCACACATGATGCGAGCCGAGGCAGGAAATAGCATTTCATCGAAGTGTTGAACGGGGCGACGTGGAGGAACGGTGTCGACGACGTCGAGAGGCTATCGCAGGGACCGGGGACCGCGGGGCATGGACCTCGCGTGACGGACATCGTAGACAACCGGTTGGGCGGAGAGCGGACCGGGAACTTGTGTTAAGGCAGCGGCCGGATTTGTCGATTCGAACGGTGCTTGACTCTCCCTCTCCTCCGCACACTCATCAGGCCGTGTCCTGTCCGTGTTTTCTCCTCCTTTCTTCCTTTCCGTCCCGGCCTTTGACTCGTCCTATCCATTAACCGGCTTCAAGTGACCTAGTCGCTCCCCGTCTTGGCAAACTCCAAGACAGCTGGTCGACTGGTGGTCCTTCGCCCCGATTTTCCTGCGTTTTTTTCCGACTCTCTTTTACTTTACTTCTCTTTCCCTGTACCATCAATACCTTCGACATGATCGCTGCTTTTCCCACCCCCGTCCTCTCCATTGCTGCCGACGTGGTCAAGGATCTCGATGGCGGAGACGCTCTCTCTGGTCTGTGGACGCGTGCGTACTCCTTCATCTTTCTCCCTCTTCAACTTGCGCGCTCATGGAGATTCGCACGGACTGTAGTGTTCACAAAATGCAAGGAGTCTCTCCAGGACGGTCGCCGTCTCGAAAATATATCCTGGCGACTATGGTATCGCGAGGTTGCTCGTTACCACGCCTCTCAAGTTTCCACTACAGATATACTCGCCCATTTCAACGAGAAGCCTCCGCTATCTCCCATCTCTCAAGACGGAAGGGAGCCGCACGACGTCCCGCGTGAGTCTCATGTTCCCATTCTGCTTACCACAGCTCAGATCTCAACTTGAATCCTCTGCATCAGAGAATCTCGCGGTTCCACTCAGCCATCATGAAGCCTCGCTGTCCTTTCCCAACGGACGCACCGACGCGTCGTCTGCTACTGACAAGCACTCTGTGTCATCGTTTTCAAGTGTGCACCCTATGCACATCCGCACAAAGCCGGGCTCGTCCGTGGGTAAGATCATTGCTGATATGATCCCCGACAAGCTCGTTGTCTCTTCGTCGTTTGCCAAGCATCCCTTCGATGATATCAAGTCGATCTCTACCTCCTTTGACGCATACTCGGTTTCAAAGGCCAGCGCCGATGCTTGTATCGTCGTAGCTCCGATACCTACCATGCGTCTACCTCCGCCTAATCCACCCTCTGACACCTTGTTTCCCCGAGTCATCGTTGTTAATCCCACTCCGCATCCTACGCCCCCCGCTACGCCGGTCCCTGTTCTGCCGTCATCAACGCTTTCCACGCTGTCCCCTAAGCAAACACATCTCGCAATTCCATCGCGGATAGGACCGCTGACAGTGCTGACCTCGGCGACGGCGAACGGATCCGCGCTGTCGGCCAGTTTGAGCATGCCATCACGTGATAGCCTCCCCACTCCTCAACTTATCGACGACGATGCGCTCAAGCCTTCTGACCGTCGGTTCTTTCTCCAGCAAGAGGAATCTCCTTCCCCAGAACGTGACTCCATTGACCGCGGCTCGGTGGGCACTGATAAGACGCCCTCAGATGCGAACGAAGTGGAGCCTAGCAGCCTCATCTCGAATCAGACCAAGGCGAGCACCTCATCAAACAAGCGGCAGACGAGGGGCCGCAAGACCAAGGAACCAGCGCGCGCTACAACCGGCCGTACTGCGATACATCGTTTCCAGGGCCAGCGCCATGCTGCGTCTCAGCGCAAGACAACCACGTCTGGGGAGAGCAAACCGCGCTCAACGCCCACCGTCGGCTCGGGACCGATCAACGGAACAAAAGTCCCGCCAGGTCCACCAACACAAACCCCCTCGGCGCGTGCGGACTCAAACTCCAAGTCCCGCGTTTCGAGTCCGCAGAAGGTCGTAGTCCCGGTCGATCCGCAACGCCGAGGCATCATCGTTACCAATAGCTCGTCAGAGTACGAGACGGACTCGGACGACGACGACTCGTGGGCGTCCGAAGACGTGAGCAACGAAGAGAGTGAGAAGAAGAAAGAGGAGATACGCCTGCGCGAGGCGGCGCTCGAGGCGCAGCGGCAGCGTGAGCTGTTTGCGAAGGTCCCGAAGCGCTCGTATTCCAACCTGAACCGCACACAATCCGGGCTACTCTCTGTGCTCTTGAACCCAGATCCCTCTCACCTCCCTCCCGGCCATCCCTATCGTAGCAACTCTTCGGCTGACGTTGGGCGTCCCCGCACGTCCGTGCCCCCGCCGCTATCGACGTCCAAATCGACCGCTGCCGTCCCACTCGCCGCGCAGATCACCGCGCAGGCGCCTGCGTTGAACGGCGCTACTGACGCGCGCGGCTACCGTCCCAAGGGGCGGCCGCAGGGCCAAGAGATGGAGGAGGACAGCGACAGCGATGAGGAGAACCCGGACGACACCATCCAGCTTTCACGGAGCATCGCACAGCAGAAGCTCGCCGCGCTGACTGGGCGGCGCAACTCGGATCGCGGGGGAGCGCTGTCGACGCAGCAGGTGCGCCCGGTGTTGCACACCGTCGCGACGGCGCCGATACCGCTCGATCATCCATGGAACCTCCCGCCGGCGGCCGCACCGTCGACACCGCGTACGACTCGCCGCCAGATGCTAGCTACAGAACTGAGTGAGAGCTTGCGCCGGAACCTGTTGTGGGAGAGGCAGCTGGGCCGTCCAGCGCTGGGGGGTGCACGGAGGGGGGGCGTGCTTGGTAGTGGGTTGAGGCCATTGACCGCAGCGACGACGACTGCGACGACGACGACTAACGGGACTGGGCAGACCTCGCAGCAGCAGCAGCAGCATCAACAACAAGATAAGGATCCCGGGGGAAGGCAAGGTGGACCCGACGACGACAGAGAAGAGCGCAAGCGACGCGCGATGGCACGCAATCGCAGCTGGGCGGACGACTACCACTACTCGGGGTGGTAAGCACGTCCGGTAATGCTCGTCGGTTTCTTTTTCTTCTTCCCCTTTCTTTCTCCTTTCTGTGTTTCTAGTTTCGCTCGAGGTATGGCGCTGTTCATCCTCATCATAGCTTATTCCCCGCTGGCAGAGAGTCTGCAGTGCTCTCCAGGGTCGGCATTGTTGTCCCGCATGTCCCTGTCTCGTTCATCCGTACTCATTTTATGTTTCTTGATCTCCGTATCCTCCTTTCGTTAGTCCTTCCTCCTATCTTCCTCCTCCACAGCTACCTTGCATCGTCACCATCACCATCCATCACCATCACCATTGTCCACCACGCGTACCGTCGGGCTCGCCATCCATGCTGTTGTTGCAATATGTGTACCACTAGACCTGATTCCAATCATAGTATATACTCGCGCCTCTATGCGCTTCTTAATCGTTGGGCGTTGCTAGTACTCTAATCTATGTGATACCCGACCGTTGTTGACGGAGCGAGCGACGTCGGGCACGCAGGGCCGCGGAAGGTCTGCATACGGTTGTTTGGTTGCGACAAACTCAATGTTACTCAAAGCGACCCGAGAAGCGTATATCATATGGGATCATCACCTGACCACGATGGCGCCAGCGATGATTCGGCGGTTGCAGATACGTAGATCATGAGCATCGCCTGCGACATCGAGAAACATGAGCAATGCAAAATCGATGACATGCTGATCCACTTCCTGACACAATGTCTCGTCGATCCCAATCGGGATACGAGGCCGAACGTAGTCGCGTTTGCTTGCGGCCTACCTTATATCCGTGATGTATGCTTCCAACCTATAAAGCCGACCTGAGTCCAGTCCACAGCGGTATTCATTGAAGCACCCGTTACCTCAATTAACCAGATCGCTCACGACCATTCCGCTAGACAGTCTGCTTGGCGCCGCCTATATTGGAGTGATTGTATCTACTGGGTGGGCTGGCTTTTCGACGAATCCGCCATATGATAGAGCCGCTTTGCCTTTTGCCAGAATATACGGGGTGACCTGCCTACAAGTATATTTATATTATACGCAACATTGCGGCAACGATGGTCGGATTTTAAAGACTCTTGTCAGTTCTGTCCATGACCGCATACTCGATTATCGAAGCCAATATCCCTCCCAGGTTGCCGTTTTGACGTAAGTCCATCGCGTCAGCTCCGTGGGCTTCAATACAGATCACTCTCCTCTCTTTCAAGGCTTATTGACACTTTGCACGTCGCGCTCATAGCCCACTTCATGTATATCTATACGATAACGAATTTCGGGGATTATAGAGCCCTCGTCCCTGTGTGGTAAATGCGGTTCATAATCTGTTCGCTCGGTCTTCGTGTTGACTATTTGTGTTGCAGGAGCCTATTAGTGCGTGGTTTAGGTACACGACTCAGTTGTCTCTCTTGACTAGCTGACTTTTGTAGATCGAGGTTGTGATAGGGGTGTGATCTTTATTCGCATTCAGCTTTCTATGTAACCTTCGATCAATGTTTAACACCAACAGGATCTATTGAGTGTTTTGGTCCAGATATGAGTGTTCTTTGTCGGTCTGAGTCGTCGACGGCTCTGGGCCCGCTGAACACGTCTCTTTAGCTTCTTTGCGTATAGGATATATTGCCGTGCGTCTCTTCCGGTCTACTTCACATAATTGAAATCAAAGACCGACATTCCTGCAGTAACCAAGGGGCACGCACTACTACCTGCTCTCATAGTGCGTGTTCATTAACTTGATATTTGCGTTGTTATTGATCGCCTATGCAATACAGTGCCTTCTCAGCCTCGGACATCTATGTTCGCAACTTTAGATTTTAGTGAGACAAGCTAAGGCTGACGAATCCAACATCCCTACAGCTGGCGCACTTGGTAAGATGATACGTACATACTCGATCTTTGAAACTTCACTGACCTGGTATTTCAGCCGTGGACCGTCGCTTCAATTTCGGTAGAAAGCGCCTGTGACGTCCTCATCACGGGATTCATGATATATCATCTTCACAACAGCCGTACACAAATCGAAAGGTATTCCATTTTGTCTCACCCCTTCTACCCATGCTCATAGTTGTTTCTCATCAGAACGAACCGGGCCATCAATCTACTGATTACTTACGCTCTGAATACGTGTGAGCATCCTCCGCATCGCACAAATGACACTGATCGAAATACGTCTACATTGAGGCATTGCTCACAACGTAACGCCATGCTCTCCCTCTCATAACTTGACTTTGTATCGTCTTGACCATGTGTGCAGGGTATTTGCTGTCACTACACTGATCACGGTAGATTTGGCGGTCGATCTCCTTCGCTCTGATCAACACTAATTGACCCCATTAAGTTCTTGACGTTACATCATTCCCTCCTCTTCTCCGCATTCTGTTTCATATTGGTCCGACGTGCGTGTTTCCAGATTGCTGTGGTCACTTGTCATGTAATCTGATTAACAGTTTGTCTAGTCTATCTCTGCTCGTTCATGTCTTCGTTCGTTTATCTTTCTCTGTTCAATATTTCTCTGACCCATCCTTTAGCTTGAATTCTCGAAGATTTGTTCGACACGAGCTCAACGGCAGACATGATGAAATGATTACGCTGTCCAGATATACTGTAGGGGAGGCCCTACGGGCGCAAGCAGCTGTTGGTAAATCAGTTATAAGTCACACAGGGTCTGAATACTCATCTTCGAGGTTGCATCATGCTGATATTATTAGTACAGGGGATTGAACCGGGCTTTTTAGCCCATCACCTTGTTGATCTCCTTGACGCTTATTGGACACATGGTGCGTTCACTGGCCTTAAAAAGGTTGACTGATGTTGAACACTGCGTCCCCCAGAATTGATGGATCACAGTACATGTCCCGAAGTTTTGTACTTATCGGTCTACTTGTCAACTCTGTCTTACCAGGACTTTCTGGCGGGCCTAAGCATCTCTTGAACCTTAGTCAGTAGCAGCTCATTACTCGTACGTGTGGTAAACAGAAGCGAACCTATTTGTAGTCGTAGATTAGCAGCTGTTAGAACGATTATTACAAAGTATTTAGACGGAGCCCCTCATCGTCCACGTCAACGAGGAACTATGAATTTGCGTAAAAGGACCACATCGAAAGAATTAAATGGGTTGCACCAAAGGATAATCAAACTCTTGCCACGACCTCAATCTGTCCATGATCTGCGATATCTGTTGAATGACGGAGCTCCTCTATGCCACTACCCTCCTCCATGTCTTCGCTTTGACTTTTGACTACACCAGCCTCGAACACCATCCCTTGGGAGACGTGCAATGTATGAGGTCGGCCAACATGGGTGGAGTATTGGGTGCTGTTGTCGGCCACCGAGGTACGAATACGGAGGAGCAAGCGGCAACATAGAATGCTGTGGAAGATGCGCAGGAATCTATCGCAGATTGAGCACCGATAAGGAAGCAAAGGTGCGGCTCACAAACATGTCAAGGAAGTCGACCATCTCTGTCTGTTACACGAGATCAGAATGCATATCAGATAATTTTGGACCAGAGCTTACCGGAGCTAGAAGCAGGGCGAGGACAGCCCCCAAGCTGAGAGCTATATTTACAAGGCAGAAGTCATCATTAGGATTGCTGCCGGTATGATCGAATCATACTCTGTGAAAGACATACGCAAGAGACAGAGATAGAAAACGATGCCTTACATCGTCGAAGGGTTTCCATCAAAGATGCTGTGAAAATGAATGCACGCTGTCACTCACCATCGCGGTATAGGGTGAGGAGCAGAGGGCTCTTAGATTGATGCGCTGTGTATACATAGAACTGGCGTCAGAAGGTTGAGCGGTGATTGAGGCTACCTCCATACGCACTTAATTGGAACCCCTTATAGACGGTAAGGATCACGATCACTACGATCGTGTAAGTCTTGCGCATTGCGAGAATGGGTTTCTCTACACACCTGTTTCAACAAACAATAAGGAAGCAAATGATACGAAGACAATTGGGTCTCCGTTAGCCAGATAACATCCAGGTATCAATGCCGAGGGGGGGTCGGCAACTACAGAAGTCATACCAGTAGACATATCAGCAACGGTAGTGTAGAATGTGCACAGGATATGTAGATTGATACGAACAGACCAGAGAGTCCATAAATTTTACGAGGACCCAAATGTTAACACAAACCCAGATCTGTGCCATGAAGGTAATAATCAGATGAGTTCCTAAAATCAAATTTAAGTGACCGCTTACAATCCATAAAGAGCCTAAGCTTGAAAGTATCTTTCTTGAGTTTGCATACAAGGCATAGGTCCTGAGGATCAATATAACTGTGGGAACCTAAGGCTTGGAAAACCCCTATATAATAGATTCAAATGCTCACGTTCCGATGTTGCTATTCCGATGCCTGTAGAGACTTTGCAAGAAGCGTGTAAGTAAGTGATCCCAAATCCGGTGCTTAATTCACACACACCTGTTGCGGCATCGTAAGTTGCATGGCACGTCTGTAGGGGATAAAATTGATTAGTCAGTAGCCATATGTTCTTTGAAAGGGAAGGTTAGTTTCCTTGAAAGCCGACTGCGAGTATGCATTCTGCCTGAACTGCTCTATTGAGGGTGCCGTGAGGAACCGGATAGTGAACATATGGAAGCAAATGTTACGAACGTTGCATCGACAGGCTCATGTCGAGAACGGGGGTGTAGCGGCTCAGGAGGTACAATATTTTTGACAGGTTCCAAGGAGAGTTCCATATCAACGACACCTATAGTTGTATCAATCCTTATTTCTGCCGCATCAGGGAAGATGGATATTAAGCCCGACCTCCTGATCTAGAAGTATTGCCCACTCATAGCCCTACCAAGAAACGACAGTTAGAGATGAGCCTATCGGCGGACGATGAGACCAGGACTTACGAGGAGGGTGGCGCTGACGACTAAGATGAATGATTTTGTGTGAATTACAGTGTGGATGCTAGAGACGAAAGCTCTGACCTTCAACATACTAGAAATCGATCAATAGATGAAGTCGCATGCTCGAGCAAAGGGTACACACCCCGACGACACGCAAGTTGAAAACGGATGATGCAGGGTCACTCATAGTGGACTGCAAACCACGAGATCCGCTAAATATATAGGTCCAACCCCGTAGTGAGAGGCAAAGAGGCTGATGATGATGCAACGCAGAAACGTGGGCATATATACAAACATACGAGCCTAAAAATATCGTTGTATAAATGCGCACGATGCACTTGAATAGAGATCTCGGGAATCGGTATTACCCAACAGAGAATGCATCAAAAGCGGATATCCGCGTCCTCCGTACAGACCATCATGCATCATCATGATGGTGATGAGGCAAGGTGTGTGCTGTAATCCAAAAAGCGAGTCATCCAAAGCTTCTGTATGCGACGCGGTGCGATGCGATGCGATGCGATGCGAAAATCGATGCGTTCCAATGTCGATCACACGAGAAAATCGGAAACCTGATAGTGATCTGAAGAGTGCGTTAAGCTAGTCATCATTTCCGAGATCCTTCCACTATTCCACGAAGAACGACCATTAGCTGGAAAAGGAAGAAGGTCGAAGCGGCCACATACCTTGACCATAGCATACAGGTCAAACCCGGTCGCATCCTCGCCGCTGGTTCTATAACCATTTATGTCCGCATAGCCCTTTCCAATAGGAATAGGGCCCTCAGGCTGTAGCACGTTTTTGAGTTCGTACAGGGGACGAGTTCCGTCAGGTGCGCACCTGGAACCCGAGATGGGCATATTGATCCCGAGATTTCGGTGTTGTAGCCTCGAGCACGAACGTGACATCATCTGGGGCGTGTGCAAAAGCTTCACGAACGAGGCGGGACATGTAGCCTGCAAGGATCCAGGACATAAGAATCTAATAATCAACCGGGAAGATTAGACAAACCTTTGCCTTGTTCCTCTGGATCTGTCGCAATAATTTGGAGGTACCACGCGTCATGCTCCGTCTCGTTTGGTCCGCGTCTCTTGTAAATTTCAGTGAATACTTTCTCGACTTGATTCGGGTACTCGAATCCTGCGCGCTGAAGTCGCGAGTCGTAGCTAAACATGAGATGTCCAATTAAGAAGCACGATTTGGCGCACCCGAGCTCCCGTCCATCCTGATCTCCACACTGTCCTCAGAAGCCCTGAGCGCAAAAGAGTCCAAGGGTGATTGAGCCCAATTCGAATATGAGGGGGCATCCAAATGGCGACTGCCACAATTTTGTCTTGATAGACTGTCGCATCGTCGTCTGACAACTTTGGGATCACAACAACCGTGATTCGTCCTCCAGAATACATCGCTGCGGTTAACACCATACGTTGGAAGTCTTCAAGGTTACGTCGTCCAGGTGTTTCGGTGTCATTTGAAAGAGGCTACCAGCAAAATGAGCAAGATCTTAGTGAAAGAACAGATAACGATTATCGCGGACCTCTTCTAAGTTGGCGATGTAGTTCATCATGGGGTCATTGATGAAGGCTCGGCGCAGAAGTCTCGCAAGAGTTGGGAGCTCATTGGGGTCGGCGGTGCGCACATACGCCTTGTCACTCTCTGCATCTCGTACAAGGAGTGGCTGGGACATGGGGAGATAAGAGAGCAGCGAAACGTGTCTACCAAATATGTTCTAACGTCGAACCTCCTTCAATGTCTCGTGATCAAGCACACTATAACGTCGCGTCGCGTCCACACATTGCTGATAGCGCGTTGTAGTGTTGACTGTTCCTTTTTTTGCCTATCTTTAGCTGCTGGCTTCGTTTTAGCGGACAACTTCCTTCCTCTCTAGGACCGGACGGAGGAGGTAGGAATGGCCGCAGCGAAGAGATAGCTTGGAGAATGACGAGGGGCGTCCACGACGGACACAAGCTCACTCAGTAGGTTGGGTAATACACAAATGAGTCGTTATTTCTTTCTCGCGCCAACCCCTCCCCGCGCGTGTGCCCCTGGTTGTCATCATTTCCGTCCCCCGTTGACCTATTTTCCCCGCTCCCTCGACCCCTCAATTGTCCACGCTCCTACTCCCACACGCCCACTACCCGGTACGCTTGAACGCCTCTGATATAGATCCCGCTCTCAAGCGCACGCGCGTCTGTTCAAGGTTATGCATCCGCCCTCGTATGTGGCCGGCATCTGCGGACATTTCCACGACCTAACGTACGCAAACTTTTCTCTGCGACCGCACCCATGTCCGCTGCACGCTGACCTGAAACCCAATTTCATTCTGCATCACCTCCCAGATCCCATGCACACTCGTCCCCTCGAGCGCACCCTCGCTGCGATTGAGTCGATATTGCCTGCGCAGGTGTGGAAGAGCATTCAGACTGCTCGCAGAGGGCATGGCTGCCTCAGTTCGGTACCAGGTGTGGTCGCACATCATCAACAGCAAGGCGCGACGCTTCGATGGCCTGTATGGGTGGGTCAGCTGGGTAGAAAAGGCTCGACCTGCTCTCCGCCATGCCCGCTCTGCCCACTCTCCCCAATGTCCGCTCACCTGCTCACCCATTCACCGTCATGCCTGCTTGTCCATTCTCCCGCTCCCCGCCTGCTCACCTGCTGGACCCGATCACAACCTCTCCGTCTGTGCGGAGCCGTGCCATCCCAGCACATGTCCGCCGTGCGCGGTGATCGAGGCGGCGCGGTGCTGGTGCGGGAAGGTGGAGAAGCGCCTTGCGTGCGGGGAGGGAGAGAAGAAGGCGTGCGCCGTGGTGCGTGGAGACGGCGAGGAGGAGGGGGAGGAGGAGAAGGAGGAGGAGCAGTGGGACGGGTCGTTTGATTGCGGGAATCCGCGCGATCGGTACGTTCTTCCACCATCCGCGCTGGATTTTGACTGACAAAACTGTGTTTTTTGAACTCTTCGCCTGCGTCGTTCATCAGTGCACCCAGCCCTGCCACCCGCCCTCCAGCACCCCTCCACCCTGCCCACTCTTCCCAGCTCTCACAACCCACTGCCCCTGCGGCAAGCACCCCTTCCACCCCTCCTCCGCGCCCTTCTTTCACCCCTCCTCCGCGCCCTTCTTCCCCCCCTCCCTCCCCGCAGCCCGTCTCCTCCGCACAGCCTGCACCGATCTCGTCCCGACCTGCACATCCCTCTGTCTCAAGCCCCTATCCGGCTGCGCGCACGCGTGCACAACGCGCTGCTACGCCGGCCCGTGCCCCCCGTACTCCATCTATCCCGTGTACCCATGAAGGTGCGGCACGACGACGCGCAACGTCCCGTGCAGCGCCAATGGCGGCGCGGCGCTCGCGCCCGAGATCCCGTGCGACAGGCCCTGTGGCGCGCGTGCGCGCGCCGTACGCCACCAGTGCACGCGCGCCCTCGCGGCGCTCGCGGGCATGGGCACCGCGAAGGGCAAGAGCCGCAAGAGCCGCGGGACCACAGGACATCGTGGACGAGGGCTGGTACCAGTGCGACCTCGTGTGCGGGAAGCCGCTCGCGTGCGGGAACCACCGCTGCGAGGAGCGGGACCATGAGGGCCCGTGCCCGTCGTCCTGCGGAGCTCGTTCGAAGAGGTGCGTCGCGCACTTGTCATCTCACTAGGCTGGACTGTACCTGATGGTGAGATGTGCGCGCGTGCGCAGATGATCTACCACTACGGCCTCACGATCCTCGACCCGCCGATCCCGTGCGGCACGCGCCTGTGCTGCCCGCACCCGTGCACACGGCCGCCGCCGGCGTGTGAGCGACCGCGCTCACCGTACGCATGCCACGCGGACGACGCGCGCGGGTGCCCGCCGTGCCCGTTCTTAACGACGAAGCTGTGCGCGTGCAGGAAGCGCACGGTGGACAACGTGCGGTGCGCGCAGGCGCACGAGCGCGTCGGCGTCGGCAGCAGCGGGTGCGGGCGTCTGCAGCGCTCTCGCTGGCATGGGCGGTAACATGCGCGCCCTCGGCAAGGGCAGCCTCTCCTTCGACTATGTCCTTACTCGTCTCCAAGGCGGGCTCCATAAGTCTCGAGAGACTGGAGCAGAGCTCAATTCCCTCTCGGGCGC